TAGCGACTTCACTATAATCGACACGAATGGCGTGCATATTGTAGCTGTCCAATTCTGCGGCTGCGGCAAGAGCGCCGAGAACCACCGCCAACAACTCATGCGAGTTGGCTGGTGGCCGGGAACCATCAAGAATCCTCAGACTTGCGCCACGCTCGCGTGCTTACGCCAATTCCACAAGCTGAACGCATGCAGCAAGATTTCTATACACGAATTTTGGCGTGCGATCGAGCGCCTCACTGACAACACGGGCACGATACACATCAAGGTACGTCTGACCCCTTCGTATGAGATGTACCCAGCGCTAACAAAGACGCAGAGCAAGCGCCAGGTATTCGCCAGCATGATCAATCATTTTCGGCACGTCGTCATGCTCAGGCGCTTCGGGAGGGCCCACGTCGACGACGGCGTGAGTACAACTCCTCAAGGGGGCTTGGCTATCAGATGTCCCGCATGCCCTGAGCCCGGTCGTAACCTACCTCGAGGTTGGCAAGAAGCAGGCCCGGATACGAGGTATGCCCGCGCCGATAGTCTGCGAGGTGTTCAGCTAATAGCATTACAGCTTTCTTTATCAGAAGTTCATCGCTCAAGATGCGAACTTCCGCCTTGCCAACGCAGTCCGCTCGAGCGAGGCGCGAAATCCGCCGCTGGGAGATGGCTGGGCTTACTTCGTCAAGAGGGAACCTTACCTGAAGTATGTGAGCTCATTTGCGAGCGAGGGCGATGTAAGTTTGATGTTGAGCTCACTTGTAAACGCACTGATGGGCTCCACAGATCTCGACGTGCTCGGGCTTCGCCGCGATCTTCCTCGCGAATGCCAAACGTGTGCGCGGTTTGCGCGCAACGGGGGTCGCGGCCGTGATCTGCTCGCGCCACAATATGTTCCTACCGAATGGCATGGGCGATCTGCAGAAAGGCGAACGGTACGTTTCCAGTTCTAGTACTGCTCGACTGCTCTGACGGCTTAGACAGGTTCTGCAACATGACATATGTTCTCGCTTCCGCTCTCGCGCACGAAGAAGTACCCAACGTCGTTTATTCATACGATGTTGCCTGCGTATTCGACAAGAAGCTCAAGGACCGCATTGCTACCCTACCGGCGACCATCCAGGGTCGCATTGCCGACATGGTACTGCGCTACTTCGTCCCCAATTTCCACTTGCCAGCACATCGAGCGGCTTGTCATGCGCTCTATTCATTCCACTTTGGGCTGGGTGTCGGCCGGACGCACGGAGAGACGGTGGAGGAGAACTGGTTCCTCCTCAACAAGTCCGCCGCTCAGACGAAGCCAATGGGTCCTGGTACGCGGCAGCTCACCCTCGAAGATCACGGTGGCTGTCATAACCATGAGATGGATGTTAGCTTAGGTAAGTCACTTCTTCGAGTGCATATCTAACGTGATGTTGAAGCTGCCATAGGTCGATTGTTGCCCCGGAGACTCGTCAAGTCCGTCGTGTCTTTCATGGATTCCTACAACGAGTTTGAACAGCTACGTGACGGAGTTGAGAAGCGCAACGCCCCTCTCGTGCAAGAATGGCTCGAAACCGAGTCGAAGTGGCAACAGGACCGGACGAGCGTGCCGTGTCCTTACGAGTTCACGACGAAAGGTGAGGCTGCACGCATTGGGCGATGACGATGGCTTATTCCCTTCAGTGCGAAACCTTAGAGATGTCGAGCTCTCCCTTCGGCAACAAGAAACCCAGCACACCGCCGATGGCACTCCTGTCCCGCAAGAAATGACTGTGACGTCCTTCATCAAGCTCGGGATTGATGTACAGCATGCCCAGTAAGTGTCGAGCTGTCTACGTCGCCACGTGCTAATGCGTCTCAGGCGCCTCCTTGCGCTCGAGGTCAAAGCCATCAACAACCCGACGAGTACGCAGCAGCTCGCCATATTCAACAAGCGGGTCGCTCTACGCAAATCCGTCGACAAGCTACGCGCTTGGCAGCGCACGTTCATGCCATCGCTTCAAGACAATCTTTCGAGCGCCGACCTTGCGACGTACAACAGGATCCCCGAAGCAATCGAAAATATACGTCTGTTCTTGCCGTCCGAACTCACGGATGCAGCGCGTGCTGCAGCCTGCGCGCCTCACGTCGCCAAAACCGAGATCGCTTTCCGCACCGCAGAGGCAGAAGAGTGTTTGGAAGATCTTCGACGTGGCCTGCGCATACGAACGGCCACGAATCAATATCGCCAGGCCAACGTACGCCAAATCGGTGCAGCGACGCGGGCGCGCCAGGCATTCGACAAGCTGGCCAAACGGATACATACCTCGAAGGTCCGTTATCGCTTTGCTCGCAACTGTTTGCTGCATCTGCGAGGACCTGGAGACTGGGAGAGGCAGTTGCGCGTTCTGCAAGATGAAGATGTACGCGCGTTGAATGAGCGAGCCCTAACGTCGGAGGAGAAAGCTCAACGCGCTGCGGGAAGGTCCCTTGCCGCTGACACTGACTGGACTGCTGCCGACGGTGTCATTCTCGCCGGCGTGGTCAACGCCGGCGAGGGCTCGCGGCGTCTTTCGTGGATATGGTATATGGATTCCGGACAGGGTGCCGGTGATGCTGAACTGAACGAGGGTGAGTGCTTCCTACTCTACATCCGTGTCCTATTGATCCCGTTGTTCGTTAGCTCTTCGAGTCGAGTTTCTCAAGTCGAAAGCTCGCCGTGATCGAGACCGCGAGGAGACGCAGCTGTTGCTAGAGGAGATGCGTCGCACGATCGCGTCGCTAGATCACGATGCCGAACAGTGGCAGCAGCGTGCTCATGCGCGCACGACCTGCGACGAGCTTGTGAAGGATGGCCTTCGGTCGTACGCGCTGGAGCAGTCTATGGTCTGCATCGAGCGGGCAACCGTCCTGGAGGCGAAGTGGAAGCGGCCTAGGGAGGCTGCTAGACTTGCTTTAGAGCTGTTGTTTGACAAGGTTGGGGAGCTGACTGACGAGGATGCACGGCAAGATCTGGAAGATGCTTTGGATGGTGTAGAACGAGATGAACTGGATGACTTAGAGGACGGTAGCCCCCTTGTACCTGAGTAGTACTATACACGACCTTGACTTAGAAGAATTTCGAGTGGATAGCTTGGACATAAAGATGGACCCACATCTGCCACGTGATGCTCCTAAACTGGGTTTTGACGTGTCAGCCTTCTTGCTCTCTTCCACCATCACCAGTCGCGCTACGTGTCGACTGCATCACGCTCACTTCCTTTTTCTTCACCTCCGTCGCTGCCGCCGCCGCCGTTGGCCACGCTCTTAGACTGTACGACCCCGAGTCTTCCACCATCGCGCTCAACAGCGCATCGGTCCAGCATTTGCTCCGGTCTCTCCACGACCGATCGACCGGCCCTTTGCAGTGTCCATCCTGCACTCTTCCCATCACCCTCATCTACACACCCACATCCTCGTCCCCGCCGGCTCCCGCCATGGACGCGTCAACGTACCCAAAGACCCTCTGTCGCGTGCATGCCATGATACACGGCACGTCTGTGCCGCCGTATGCATACATGCAAGCCTCCTGCCTTGTCGGGATGAGCTACGCGCACGTCAAAGCACGTACAGCACGTTGCTACAACGGCTTCGCGCGCTGCTCGACGTATCATCCCGAACGACATCCCAGGCAATGCGCGAGGACCGGCGCGAGCGCGGCCCGACCTCCCGGCACTTGCTCGTGTGACGCTGCGCCTAGGTGCACGAGTAGCGCAGGGCAGGGGCGTTGTCTGGTGGGCGTGTTGACGTATGCGGTAGCTGCCGAGTACACGCAGCCCGACAGCTGGTGCTCGTGCAGATGAGCCGGCCGTGCGTGCACGGTGATGAGCGAGCGCACACCGCTTGCCGAGAGCGTGGCGAGCTGCAAGCGCGCAGCTGTATGTTCGACTACGAGGAGGGCAACAGCGAGGAACCGGGTGCGGGATACCCATTGCGAGCATGCACGGGGTGGCTGGTGGGCCGACGCGGTGGGAGGAGCGTGGGAAGAGGCGGGAACGGGAGGCGAGGGATCGCAGGTGCACGTGCGAGCGCGATGGATGGTGCGAGCCCGACGCGCTAGGTAGTGGGGCAAGCCGTGTGCGTGGCGAGATGGCTGGGCGATGCTACACGACGCGGCGGGAAGGGCGGGGCGACGCGGCGGGGCAATGCGGCGGGAGGGCGGGGCGACGCGGCGGGAGGGCGGGGCGACGCGGCGGGAGGAGCGTGGGAAGTTTCGGGAGGCGGGCTGCACGTGCGCGCGCGCGTCGGAGGGCGGGACGACGACGACGACGACGACGACGACGACGACGGTGCACGCGCTGCTGGCGACGACGACGGGGACCACGGCGATGGCCGAGGATGCAGGAGGGTACGGCACTGTCCGAGTAGCTGTAGCTATAGTAGTTTTCTCAGTCAGTTGTTGCATCAGTTGATGCAACAAAGGCCTAAGAGCTCAGGCCTATAAGTTCAGGCCAGTGATGCATCAGTTTCCCCTGAGGGCTCAGGGGACTGTTGCATCATTCATAGGGACTGACCTCAGGTTCCCTGCCTATTGGATCTGCTGCTTCGACCATCAGATCAGCAAATCTAACACAAGCGTACTGGCATAACCTTCCGATCCGCTACCGCTCAGATCTGCTTCTGTTCTACGACGCGACGAGACGAGAACCCATACCCCTTCCTTATCATCATGATCGACTCTACCCCCGAATCGACAGCGCGCTTCCCGAAGCTCAACGAGACCAACTATGCGACTTGGGCGATGCAGATGGAGGCGGTCCTCATCCGTGCTGGTCTCTGGACCGACATGGTGGAGATCCTCACCGATGTAACGTCCGATGGCGTTAAGCGCCCGCAGGAGGAGATCGATGCGGAGATCGATCAGAAGATGGAGGCGCGATCGGCGACCAAGATGGCAGAGGCTCGTGCGTTGCTCATTCTCAATGTCGAGCCCAGCCAGCTGGTCCACATGCGCGATCGGGATCCGCTTGCGGTCTGGCAAGACTTGCAGGCCGTTCACCGCGCGCGTGGATTCGCCACTGTCCTGTCTCTACGCCGGAAGTTCTATACGATGAAGAAGACGACGACGAAGAAGATGGCCGCCTGGATTGGTGACGTGAAGGCGCAGGCATTCGAGATGGAGGCAGCCGGGGTCGATCTCACTGATCTCGACATCATCTTGGCGATTACCATGGGCCTCCCCTCATCCTACGACTCCCTCATCATCTCCCTCGACGATACCCCCGCCGATCAGCTCACCCTCGACTATGTGATCGGGCGCCTGCTCAACGAGGAGACGCGCCAGCTGTCTCGGCCATCCCGTGCCGTGGCCGAGGACGCGGCTTCGCCCGTCCTTGTTGCCCGCTCGGTTGATGCCGAACGCGTCACGTGCCACTTCTGCAACAAGAAGGGTCACTACAAGTCGGATTGCCCGGAGCGCATGGCTTGGGAGGTCGCAAAGGCGATGAAGGTGCAGCAGGAGGCGAACCTTGCAGCAGAGGACGTTGACGACGATGACTACGCTTACTGATTATCGCTTCTGGGGGTGACGTGTCCCCTCCTTCCTTTTTGAGCGATCTCGACGACGCGTCGTTCAGAGAGCCCAAAAAGGCAATTATTCCGCAACCATTGTTTACTTACATTGTACTTACATTCCGTGCTCGCGCTCGGACTGTGGGGGTGTGTTGAGGTTGCAGTTCGGCCGCTCGCCCGATGCGACGAGTCATTTTGTGCTTTTCGGACTTATCGCTCTTAGTTTACGTATATAAACCCCGCTGAATATACAGGAACCTCGTACGCTTGTCGAGGTTCCCTGCCTATTGGATCTGCTGCTTCGACCATCAGATCAGCAAATCTAACAGTATCCTGTATGGGACCCGAAGGAGAACAAGGTGTTCTTCCTCAAGGACTCGTGGCGCTCTGGCTTTGCCAACGTTCAGCCGGAGGCCGAAATCGTCCGCGATCTTAATCGCGCGGGCGTGAGCTACGCTCCGCAGCTCGTATGCGGCGGTGATCTGCCAGGCAAGTGGCAGAAGACCGTCACGCACGAGTACGTCGGCGACCCGGAGAACAATGGCCAGCACAAGGAGCATCACCCGCGCATTCACCATCGGCTGGTGGAGCCCATATACGAGCCTCTCTGGAAATTCAAGTCCTCGAAGCAGCTACTCCAGACGTTGGACAACGTTTGCACATGTGCGTCTATTGTTCTCCAACGCTAACCCTTGCTCACTGTCAAAAGTAGGGTATAGAGGGGCGAGTCTGCCTCCTCCCATGGGCGGACGGTTTGCCTCGCGTCCACGCTTTTGGTCCGCCTTCCTATTCGGGAAGAACTTTCCCACGCCGCTCCGGGGGCGTCCGTATTTATCCTTACTGTACATCTCTTTTCCCTCAGTCGCTACTCCACTAGCAGGAAGACTGAGGGTATGTTTCTCACTTACTATACTCATACTATTTACTGACTGTACTTTAGTCTTGCGCGTCCTGCGCTTCTTTAGGTATGAATATTAGTCGCTACTCCACTAGCAGGAAGACTGAGGTCTTGCGCGTCCTGCGCTTCTTTAGCTCGTGAAAGGTTATGAGCCCCGTGGCCTAAATCGAGCAAGACTTCGATCTGCGACTCACTCTATCCCACTCTGCGCCATGGCTCCCAAGGACAGCAAGGTCCCGACGCTCACCGACGCGGCGGACTGGCCGCTCTGGCGCCTCCGGGTTACCGATGCCCTCAACAGGGACGATCTCACCTCCGTGGTGACTGGGTCGGAGAAATCCCCTCCCCCTGAGATCGCGGTGACTCCACCGACGCCGACAACGTCCTCTCCCCCCTCCACGTCACCCGGTGCTCCAGCTACCACCACCACATCCACGGGATCGGGCTCCTCCTCCACCACTCACCAAGTTGCGCGGAGGGAGACCTGGTCTTGGCGGAATGCCCGTGCCCTCTCCACCATCCGAGAGCACCTCTCAAACGACATCGCCCTCGAGCTCCACGAGTACCAGCACGCGAGCGAACTCTGGGAGAAGCTCGTCGAGAAGTTCGAGCAGACCAACACCAGCGAGATGGCGGTCACCGAACTGATCAAGATCTTCCGCGCGAAGCTCGCCGACGCCGACGACGGGGACATCTCCCGCGAGGCCATGAGCGCGCACATCCACCGCGTTCGGCAGTCGGTCACCCAGCTCGCCACCCTCGGCTACCCCCTCAACGCCAACCTCGTCCCCCTCATCCTCCTCGCCTCCCTTCCCAGCTCGGAGAAGTGGAAGATCGTCTCGTCCGGCATCTCGGCGGGCAGCTCCAAGGCCGCGCCTCTCACCTTCTCCTACGTCGAGGCGAAGCTGATGGCACAGGTGACCAGCAAGGAGGACTTGGACGACGAGCAGGCCTACGCCGCCTCCTCTTCTCGCGCGCCCCCACCGCGCAAGCCCAAGGACAAGGGCAAGAAGAAGGCTAAGGCGAAGGCGTCCTGCGTCATCCACGGCGAGGGGCACTCCACCGAGGAGTGCAAGATGATCATTGGGCAGAAGGAGAAGGTGCAGAAGAAGCGGAAGGAGCGGGCGGCGGAGAAGGCGAAGGCGAATAAGGTGAAGGACTCGGACTCGGACTCGGACTCAGACTCGGATTCAGACGTAGACGACACGCATGTAACCGTCTCGCGCCGTGCCTACAAGAAGATTTCCGCCTATGTCCAGTCTGATCCTAAGCGACCGCAGCGACACCAAGGTTCGCACATCGTCGACTCGGGTGCGTCAAAGACCATGACCCCCGACGAGCACCTCTTCGACGACAGCACTTACCGTGTCCTTGACCCGCCGCGCAACATCTACCTCGGGAATGAGTCCGTCATCAAGGCAGTAGGCATTGGCACTGCCTGCTTCGCCTCAAAGACACCGGACGGTGTGCGCGCGCTGACTATTCGGAAGACACTGCATGTCCCCGACCTCGCGTTGACGCTCATCTCGGTGCCCCAGATCACCAAGCGTGGTCTGCGCGTGTCCTTTAAGGACAACACCTGTACTATCCGCGACTCCTCGGGCGATATCGCCTGTGTCGCGACGCGCAAACACGGTCTCTATCACGTCGACTGCCAGCCCATCGGCACAGATGAGCGCGCCTTCACCGCCATCGACATCAACCGGCTGCACCAGATCATGGGCCATACGAACTTCGAGAGCCTGCGCAACATGGTCCGACATGGGCAGCTCGGGGAGGTCGACACGCTTACCGGCATCCCGTCCTTCTGTGAGCCCTGCGTCATGGGCAAGATGAAGAAGCTCCCCTTCAAGCGGAGCACCACGCCCGCCTCGCGCCCGCTCCAGTTCGTCTCCTGCGACGTTGGTGGCCCCGTCGACCCCGCTGCGATTGGCGGCTACCTCTACTGGATCGTCATCGTCTGCCACTACTCCTCAGGCGTCTACACGCTCTTCACAAAGAAGAAGTCGGAGGTCTACAAGAAGCTCCGTCAGTGGCGCATCGACATGGAGCATCAGCACCGCGACTCTATTGAGCAGTGGGAGTGGCTCCCCGGCTGGGTTGAGTTCACCCGCACAGACGGCGGTGGCGAGTTCTGCTCGAACAAGATGGAGGCCGAGTTCCGGCGACGCGGTATCATCCACGAGACGACGGCGCCCTACACACCTGAGCAGAACGGCATAGCGGAGCGTATGAACCAGACGCTGGTCACCCACCACTGACAAGACCACTGATGCAACAGTCCCCTGAGCCCTTAGGGGAAACTGATGCATCACTGGCCTGAACTCGTAGGATTGATCTCTCAAGGCCTTGTTGCATCAGCTGATGCAACAACTGACTGAAGAATCTCCTACAGCTACAGCTACTCGGGCAATGCCGTGCCCGCCTACATCCTCGCTCAATGCTGGGCTCCCCTCGTCGTCGCCAGCAGTGCGCTCGCCGTCGTCGTCCCGCCCTCCCGCCGCCCGACACGCACCCACGTGCAGCCCGCCTCCCGACCCCGCGCTTTCCCACGCCCCTCCCGCCCCCTGCCGTCCCGACGCGCACGCGCTCGTCGCGTTCCCACGCCTCGCTCGCCACGCTGTACGCTACGCCTCACCCTGCGCTCGCAGCTGCACGTGCGGCCGCGAGCTCACCGCGCGCCCGCGCGCGTCCTCGGCGAATGCCGAAAATGCGCCGGCCACGGGTCGCGGCGCGGCCAGCGGGCACGCTCCCGCTCCCCCGCTCCTCCCGCGCGCGCACCTGCCGTCGGGCTGCGCGTACCCAGCTAGTGCCAGGTACGCGTACTCGCCCGTCGGATAGCGCCGCGCTGCCCCCGACTACCAGATGTCGTGTGAGCGCACTGCGCACCACGCGACCAATCGCCATCCAGCGATACGCGGCTGCTCGCGCGACGGACCGCACTGTCGTGCGCGATATCGCAACGTCGTCGCTGTTGCGCGACGCTACACCCAGGCCCACGCCGACGCCGAGTGATCCCCGCCTCACACGTCTAGACGAGGGAGGGTGCGCGCGTTGCGCCCGCGACGGAGACACGCGCCGCCCGGCGCGTCACGTGACGTGCCACGTACGTGACAACACGGCACTGCGCAGACGAGGCAGAGCGTTAGGGAGGTGGGTAAGGGGAGTGTGAGGGGCGGAGGCGGGCTGCCCGGGCGAGGCAGATGACCGAGGTGGGCGAGGTAGACGACTGCGCGCATGGGCAGGAGCGGACAATGCACCGCTGCCTAGCCATGCGCGCGAACGCGCCCAGTGGCGCGGGAGGGGCACGACGCTAAAATGGGCGGTGTCGGAGTCGACGCGAGGGAGCAGGAGAGGAAGGGGCAGGTGCGCGAGAGGTGCACGCCAGCCGACGGGTGCACGATGGTGGTGGAAGACGAGAAGGAATGGCTGCGCAGCGCGGCCGATTTTTTTCCGGCACGTGCACGTGACCTCGGATGTCCGGCTCGATGAGCCGCGCATCGTCGCCGCCACTACTGCCGCCAGCCTTTGTGGCTACCCTTCCATTCCCATCGACAGATGAGAAGTATGAGTAGTGGGGGGGACGCTTATATGCGGCGCGAAGGTGAATATATACGCTGTTAAGCGTGAATAGCACGTAAAATCGCTACAAAACCGATATATTCCACCTTTTGCATCTTTTTCCTATCGCCCTGACCTGGGGAAGCATCGACAACGCGTAATTTCTCTAGACGACATACTCTATAGCTGATCCAATCTAACTGCACTGCATCAAACCATATTCCACGCACAGAATGTGTACGGCGACGCGCTGCGTGAGGCCGGGCCGAGCTCCGGCTCATGCTCGTCGTCGAGCAGAACGACGTCTAGAGCTTCGCCAGCATTATTCGCCGTCCTGGCTTCTCCATAGGCATGTAGAGCGCCCTCGAAAATGGTGATACACGGGTTGAAAATGCTACATTGGTGCACAAAACAAAACAGAAATATCAGTTCTCTTGAGGGGAACGGGGTTTTGAGTGAATTCTGCTTGTGCACGCTGCCTAGCGAGTAGCTCACTGCAATTCATGATACCCTACAGTTCCCCTCATCCAGGACAGCTCAGCAGAGCACCTATGAGGCTTCCCCTTACTTGCTAGAACGCTTCGAAGATCACTGCAGTTGTATCAATACATGGAATGTAAATATTCGAGCTCAAGAGGGTTGACTGAATGGGAGGCATGGTTCAAGTTCTCTTGTATCCCATACATCCTCTGATTATCGGGGACATATGCAGAGTACATATAGATCATATGCGACATTAGAGAGTTTCCTAGCATTTGGAAAGCCCTCGATGACTTCATATCGCGACCCTTCTCTCGATCTCCTTGGTCTTATAGGCTGATACAGTGTGATGATGCTTTGTTTGTGATACATCCAGCATTGAATAGAAAATTTGCAGTAAGCATTCTCTGACTATATCTAGATCCTATGTCGCTATTAACAAGGAGGGCCCTGTAACGGCACAGAAGGGGAGAGAGGGGAATAGTCGCGCGCGAGGAGACGCGTCGCCGGAATTTGCCGGGGCACGTGATCGCACGGAACAAATCCCCGTCCGCAGCCGATGCATGCCCTTGACCCTCGACCACGACCATCCCTCCGTCCGCCCGGCTGCGAGAGAGGTGTGCGCTGCTCGCGCACCTCACATCGCCTCTGCTCCGTCTCCCCGCCGTCCTCCTTCATCTCACGCGACTGCTGCTCGCGCCGCCACGTCATCGTTTGGGCCGCCACGTCACCGTCCCCGGTCAAGTACGCCGGTGCTCAACAGCGCCAAGGGGCTATACCCCCAGCCCACCGACCACCAACCTCCGCGACCACCAACTGCGCCATGTGCCAGCCGCGCGCAACGCGTGCTCCGACCCACCCCTACCCCTCCCACCTTCCCACTCGACGTGCACAGCCCGCCGATCGCATGCTGTCGCCGGCGTTCCTCGCAGATGCGCCCGAACGTGTCGCCGTCATCATCGCCATGGTGATGATGACGTGACATCTCGTCTGCGATGTGCCCTCTCCGGCGCGCGTTATGTCACGCGGTGCTGGGGTGCCTGCAATTGCGGCAGCCAACACGTCGCACGGGTAGCGGCCTCTCGCAGCGGGTCGGCACGCGCGCGAGCGGGCAGCTGTAGGCGCGCTGGTAGTCGGGGGCAGTGCGGCGCTATCCGACGGGCGAGTACGCGTACCTGGCACTAGCTGGGTACGCGCAGCCCGACGGCAGGTGCGCGCGCGGGAGGAGCGGGGGAGCGGGAGCGTGCCCGCTGGCCGCGCCGCGACCCGTGGCCGGCGCATTTTCGGCATTCGCCGAGGACGCGCGCGGGCGCGCGGTGAGCTCGCGGCCGCACGTGCAGCTGCGAGCGCAGGGTGAGGCGTAGCGTACAGCGTGGCGAGCGAGGCGTGGGAACGCGACGAGCGCGTGCGCGTCGGGACGGCAGGGGGCGGGAGGGGCGTGGGAAAGCGCGGGGTCGGGAGGCGGGCTGCACGTGGGTGCGTGTCGGGCGGCGGGAGGGCGGGACGACGACGGCGAGCGCACTGCTGGCGACGACGAGGGGAGCCCAGCATTGAGCGAGGATGTAGGCGGGCACGGCATTGCCCGAGTAGCTGTAGCTGTAGGAGATTCTTCAGTCAGTTGTTGCATCAGCTGATGCAACAAGGCCTTGAGAGATCAATCCTACGAGTTCAGGCCAGTGATGCATCAGTTTCCCCTAAGGGCTCAGGGGACTGTTGCATCATTCATAGGAACTGACCTCGGTCACCCGGGCGATCGCTAACCTCTGCGCGGCCAAGCTTCCCCGGAAGTACTGGATGTACGCGATGGAATATGCCACCGACATGATCAACCTATCGCCCGCCAGCCGCCAGAAGGGAGAACTGCCTACCAACCGCATGCGCAAGGTCAAGCGCCCTATTGACGTCCACGCCCTGCACCCCTTCGGCTGCCCTGCCTACCCGCTCATCCCAAAGAAGAAGCGGAAGGGCAAGTTCGCCAACCGCGCCCGCCGGTGCATCCTCATAGGCTACGCTTGGTCTGAGGGCACAAAGGCGTACAAGCTCCTTGAGATCGCCACTCGGAAGGTCATCATCTCCCGGCACGTCAAGTTTGACGACGCCTCCCCCTCTCCTGACGAGATGCGTGCGGGCGAAGACGATGTGTCTGCCGAGCAGTGGGAGGACTTTGGCAAGTACTTCCGCCTGCCGCCCAAGGATACTCCTGCTCCAGATGCAGGCAGTGACAGCGAGGACGATGACGACGATGATGCGCCAGCCCAGCCACCTGCAGTCGGGTCAGTGGGAGCACCTCATCCACCCACGCCAGAGCCAGTGGGAGATAATCGTCCGCCCTCACCTGACTCAGATGAGCCACCACCTCCTCCGCGTCCACCGAAGACGCGCATACCACGCCGGTCTCTGCCACCGGCCACACCACCGCCGGCTCCTGCCCCCGCTGCTGGTCCATCACGCCGCCCTGGCCTTCGCAAGCCAGAAGAGCGAACAGCGAACCAGCACAAGGACCAGGGCTACATTAATGCCCGGGAGCGGCAGGAGAACCACCGGAAGGTGTCCGCCCAGCAGCGGAAGCAGCGCGAAGCAAACATCCGCGCGCGCGAGCAGCAACTCGAGGACAATCGCCGACGTCGAGAGCAGCCACCTCAGGCGGAAGCTCCTCTTCCACCTCCCGCACCAGCTCCCAAACCAGAACCCGCACCAGCGCCTACCCAGGGGGGTGGGGATCCCCCGGGGCAACCCGACGAAGAGGGCGAGTCAGTGAACTTTGCTTTTCTCAATGACGAACTCTTCGCGGGCGCAGCATCTGGTGGTCGGTCGAGCAGCGGCGCGCGGAAGATTCCCACCACTTGGAAGCAGGCCATGGCGAGCCCAGAGCGCGACAAGTGGTTGGACGCGCAGTCGGAGGAGTTGAACAGCTTCAAGCTGAACGACGTCTACGAGGAGGTACCCATCCCGGAGGGCGTCAAGCCGATTACCTCCAAGCATGTCTTCTCTTTGAAAGAGGATGCTCAAGGGAACATCGAGCGGTACAAGGTGCGCATCGTGGCGCGCGGCTTCACTCAGCAGGAAGGAGTCGACTATCAGGACACCTTTGCGCCCGTCGCAAGCTTGGAGTCCATCCGCATCATCCTTGCCCTCGCCGTCCGCCTCGGTCTCTACACTGACCAGATGGACGTGAACACCGCCTACCTCAATGGTGAGCTGCTACAAACGCTCTACATGCTTCCCCCAACCGGTGTGGACATCCGGGAGGGCTACTGCTGGCGACTCAAGAAGTCGGTCTACGGCCTCAAGCAGGCCGGTCGCGCGTGGAACCAGACGCTCCACAACAAGCTCGACAAGCTCGGGTTTGTGCGCCTCAACTCGGAGACTTGCCTCTACGTCTTCCGGGACGGCAAGCAGGTCTGCTTCCTAGTTGTCTATGTCGACGACCTCCTCCTCGCCGCTACCTCGCGTCCTTTCATGGACAGCATCAAGAAGAAGCTCACCGCCTCCTTCAAGATGCGCGACTTGGGTCCCGCCAAGTACCTCCTGGGCATCGAGATCATCCGGCACCCGGGCAAGCGCACGATCTCCCTCTCCCAGAGGAAGTACATCGACACTGTGCTTGAGCGTTATGGCATGTCTGACTGCACGGGCGTCAGCACCCCCATGTCCACAAGCACTCGCATCTCCGCAGATGACCCGAACGACAATGAGGTGCACACTCATATGGCCTTGGTCCCCGGGGGTCCCGTCGTCTCCTACCAGAGCGTAGTGGGCTCGCTCATGTACGGGATGATGGGCACCCGACCGGATACCGCCTATGTGGTGGGGGTTCTTGGCCGCTATAGCGCCGCCCCCAAGGCTTGCCATTGGGAACTGGCCAAGCGCGTCCTCCGGTACCTCAAGAAGACGCGAGACTGGTGTCTAGTCTACGACGGTGCTGACGCTGGCATGGACCTCGACTTCCATGGCTACACTGACGCTGACTGGGGCGGATGCAATGACACGTCCAAGTCCACCTCTGGCTTTGTGTTCATCTCGAGCCGGGGCGCCATAGGTTGGTCCAGCAAACGGCAGTCCATGGTCTCTCTCTCGTCTACCGAGTCAGAGTACATCGGTCTAGCTAATGCCGGCCAGCACTTGGCGTGGCTCCGCTCATTCTTTGATGAGTTGGGACGTCCGCAAGCTGGTGCCACCGAGCTCAGGTGCGACAACCGTGCGGCCATCATCCTCAGCCAGGATGCTCAGTTCCGCGCCCGGACCAAGCACATCCAGCGGAAGTATCACTACATCCGCGATGGGCTGGTTGCCACTGGCGAGTGCGTCGTCCTCTGGTACCCCACGGACGAGATGGTTGCGGACATCTTTACCAAGGCACTACCTCATGAGAAGCATCTCAAGTTCTGCCAAGGTATGGGTTTACGGCCAGACTCGAGTGGGAGTGTCAAAAGTAGGGTATAGAGGGGCGAGTCTGCCTCCTCCCATGGGCGGACGGTTTGCCTCGCGTCCACGCTTTTGGTCCGCCTTCCTATTCGGGAAGAACTTTCCCACGCCGCTCCGGGGGCGTCCGTATTTATCCTTACTGTACATCTCTTTTCCCTCAGTCGCTACTCCACTAGCAGGAAGACTGAGGGTATGTTTCTCACTTACTATACTCATACTATTTACTGACTGTACTTTAGTCTTGCGCGTCCTGCGCTTCTTTAGGTATGAATATTAGTCGCTACTCCACTAGCAGGAAGACTGAGGTCTTGCGCGTCCTGCGCTTCTTTAGCTCGTGAAACTCACACCGTGCAGGTCATCGTCAGGCCGTCGAAAAGTGCTACAAGTTGCACCGCGATTTCAGCTTCCGCAACATCATGTGGGATGAGAAGAACAAGCGCGGCATTCTAATCGACTGGGACCTATGTGCGCCGACACCTTCGCCTGCCGACATCGCCGAAGACCCCACGCTCAATCTACTTGCTCAGCTGCCTAGCCGGTCTGGTCGTCCTGATCGCACGGTGCGTGTCACGCGTCTTCGAGCGTCGTCCTTACTGACCTTCCGATCCAGGGAACGTGGCTGTTCATGTCGTCCATGTTGCTGAAGACACCTGGGAAGCTGCATACCGTGCAGGACGATCTCGAGTCCCTGTTCTGGGTCGCCCTCTACATGATCCTCCTATACTTCCCTTGCGGAAGTATAGACGTCGTTCCCATGATCGACAGGATCTTTTACGAGATCGAGGCGGATGATGGGACGGTCAGAGGAGGCTGGAAGAAGCGCGATTTCCTCGATGCCACTGGATCCGATGCAGTGTTCGACCTTCCAGACAGCATCTCTGAACCGCTGGCCATTTGGTTCGGCATGTACCGCGACATGCTCGCCGACTGGGTCAAGCATAATATTCAACTCATGGCTACACGCGATGCGTTGAATACCTTCGAAAGGAAGCACGGGAAGGGCGGGGACCGCTGGGGTCGAAGTGCGCGCCTGCGAAAGGCCCTCGCTGAAACCGAGCGTGCGGAGCCTGATCTTCGCAACTACGAGGAGCTACAGAACCAGTGGAAGGCTATCGTAGAGCAGGGCGAGGAGGAGGGGCTGTTCGTTGAGAACGACCGCCTCAACGACGAAGTCCATCAGCATTCACCGGAGTATGTCCTCAAAATCTACAGGGCCCGGCACGCAGCCGCAACCGAACAGAAGCGGCTCGATAACGCGAGCGCCAACAAGGAGGCCATCGCCGCGCGCAGCCAGGACAGTGGCAGCCAGTCGGGACAAGGCGTCCGTCGGAAGCGCGACAGCGACGAGCCGCAGGCGGGCAGCTCGCGCAGCACGACGCTTCTGGGCTCCGGGCAGTCGGGCGACATGGGCGAGGGCGATACCGAGGATGAGTTTGCCCGCCAGCGTCCTACCAAGCGCCCGCGGAAGCCCACTCAGACCGGCGACGGCGGCAACGAGGGCAAGGGAAGGCGCACCAGGGGATGAGGGCGAGGTTTTTGTGGTGGCGTTCGCCGCTCATCACGGATGAGCTCGACCGCCTTGTGTATATACCATGCTATGTATGATAACGCGCATGTGGACCGGCGCGTAGACGACGTGTTGATCCTAGAAATGCTTATTTATTATCGGAAAACTTGCGTGAAGCTTCAAGATCGTCAGTTGTCCGTAAATCGGTGTATGCTTTCCCACACCGGCGTCTGTTGTGCGATAGTCCCCAGCCCCTGGACAGGTTCAGGCAAAGCAGCGCGAACTATACGAGACTACGGCTTGAGGGCAGACATCTTCGTGGAAATGTCCCTGCCGAAGCCCCTGACACATCCTCGTGGCATTCACGTGAGCTGAAGGTTCCGATTCAAGTCCGACTTCACCTTGTCAATAACCGTCATTTACCAGGTTACAAATCGCTTCTCTCTAGCCCCTTGCGGTCCATTTGGGCGGCGTGATACCTCGTGTCAACACCGCTGAGCCTGCCTTTCGACGAGAAGACCAGTGTTCCGGACCCTCAGGCGTAATTATGCGCGGACGCACCGTGGCTCGCATGAAATACGAAGATTTCGTTGCAAAATTTATCCCGACGGCGGAGTCCGCGACTACAAAAGTCTGCTTCCAACTGGAGGACGCCCTTAGAAGTACGGAAGCATCATGCTCGCCCTTGGTGTGTTCAACGTCCTCGCGCTGGTGGCGGGGTAACCTGACACGCTTTCAGATCAGAGAAATCAGCACAATCTTGACAAGTCATACCATCCTGAACACCTCCGCCCATCCTTCTGAGTCTGAAGCGGACCTTCTCGTATACTCGGGCGCCTATGTTCACCTGCAGGACTGCACGCGATACGCGACTGAATACCACCTGGCGTTCGACATCTTTGACAGCGCGGTGGTCGACGGTTCCTTGGTACCAGGGACCACCGAAAAGGGCAGCGATGTTCTCAAGCAAGTGTTTGCGCATCTCGAAAGCATGCACAATCGCCAGCATCGCCTGTTCTCGCTCTTTCTCTTCGTCAATGCCGAGTACTTTCGCGTCATTCGCATAGACCGGGACGGATGTATTGCTTCGGACAAGAGGCTATGGCAGAATACCGACAAGTTCCATCCTCTGGACGACTTTCTTCATCTATTCGACCACCTTTCTCTCGAGGAGCAGGGGCTAGACACGACCGTGCGCGAGGTTCCGCAGGAGGACACCGTCTTGGAAGCTCGCGCCCGCGCTGCCCTCGAATCATATGTTCCTCCGCACAAACGGGAGGGGCCCATTCTCGGGATGAAGGTGCCGATCGACGCAGAGGCAAAGTCTGGCTGGCGCTCTTTCTACGTTTGGGCGCCTGAACGTGATGCGTGCGGTATCTGCACCCGTGCGACGCTGAGCTGTCCTGCATGGTGCCCAAGAGAGAACAAGGTCTTCTTCCTGAAGGACTCGTGGCGACCTCTGCACGCAGAGCACGAGGCCGACGTCATCAGGCAGCTCAACGAGAACGGCGTACGCTACTCGCCGACACTTGTATGCGGTGGCGATCTACCAGACCAGCAGACTGTCACACATCTATACATCGTTCACAAGCACAACGTCGGTCAAGACACCAAATGCCGTCCGCGCGTCCATCACCGCTTGTTGGAACATTTTTATCGTCCGCTTTGGGAGTTCAAGTCCTCCAAGCATCTTCTGCATATCTTGGACAACGCGTGCACATGTGAGCGACCTTCGATCCAGGCTTCGCTATTTATGCTGACTCTTTCTAGGTCATCGGGACGCTGTCGAGAAGTGCCAAAAGCTTCATCGTGATCTCAGCTTTCGCAATATCATGTGGGACGACGAGACGCAGGAGGGCATTCTCGTCGACTGGGATCGGTGTGCACAGACACCGACGCCGGTTGACATGGCCAAAGACCCTTGTCTCAATCCTCTAGCTGAACTTCCCCGGAAATCGAGCCGCTCTGAACGCACGGTAAGTACTCGTAGTGTTCGTTCGTTCACGGCCTTTACTAACAGTCTGTGTAGGGAACGTGGCCGTTCATGTCGTCTATGTTGCTAAAGACACCTGGGAAGCTGCATACCGTGCAGGATGATCTCGAGTCCCTATTCTGGGTCGCCCTCTACATAATCCTCCTATATTTCCCTTGTGGAGATATAGACGTTGTCCCCATGATCGACAGGATATTCTACGAGATCGAGACGGACGACGGGACAGCCAGAGGAGGCTCGAAGAAGTATGATTTCCTCCTCGCAAGAGGATTCGCTGCTTTCTTCGACCTTCCAGACAGTGTCTCTGAACCGCTTGCCATCTGGCTCAGCATGTATTGCGGCATGCTCAACGACTGGGTCCAGCATCACACCAGTCTCTTGGCTCTACGCGAGCAGTTGACCGCCCTCGAAAAGAAGCATGGGAAGGGCGTGGACCGCTGGGGTCGAAGTGCGCGCCTTCGAAAGGCCCTCGCTGAAATCGAGCGTGCTCGGCCTGATCTTCGCGGCTACGAGGAACTGCAGAACCAGTGGAAGGCTATTGTAGAGCAGGGCGAGGAGGAGGGGTTGTTTATCGAGAACGACCGCTTCAACGACGACGTCCATCAGCATCCGCCGGAATATGTCCTCAAAATCTACAGGGCCCGGCGCGCAGTCGCGACCGAACAGAAGCGGTTCGACAATGCGCGCGCCAACCAGCAGGCTATCGCAGTGCGCAGACAGGGCAGTAGCAAGCAGTTGGCACAAGGCGTCCGCCGGAAGCGCGACAGCGACGAGCCGCAGACGGGCAGCTTGCGTAGCACGATGCGCCTAAGTCTAGGGCAGTCGGTCGGCCTAGGCGAAGGCGATGCTGATGATGCCCGTCGGCGTCCTACCAAGCGCCCGCGTAGACCCGCTCAGAGCGACAGCGGCGGTGAAGCCAAGGGCAAGGAAAGGCGCACCGGGGACTGAGGAACGGACTTCTCTGTGACTGTTGTTGAGGACGAGCTGCTCCATTAGCCTGGTGACCAGCCCCTCTTTGCCTCGTCGAGGAAAACGAGGCAAAGAGGGGCTGGTCACCAGGCTAGTTGTGTATATACCACGTCATGTATGATACCGTCCATGTAAACCAGCAAGTCGATGTGTTTGGTCTCATGAATCTAGATCCGATTTTTAGGAGAACCTGTGTAAACCTCCGTCACTCGTCCCTTGGATAGTGATAAGTTGCATTGCACCGCGACAACCTCATGAGCATTATATTTTCTTATCCACGCCCGGACCAACAAAGGTATCCGCCATCAAATACTCCCCCGCCGCACAGATCCCCGCTGACCACAACAGCAACAGCGACGTGATGCAGAAGAAGCTGATCGTCTGCCCAATCTCGAGCCATGATCCCGTGTCCGATACGTTGAAGAAGAATGCCAGCGTCATGCCTGGAAGTCCAGTGAGCATTGAGGTGAGATGCAGCTTCTTGGACACTTACCATCGGTCAAAGCCAGCGCGACGACGAAGAGTGAGAAGGGCGGGAGGTTGAGGCGATGGTTCAGGACCGCAAAGGTCATGGCGAGCATCACATACGGCACCACGATCTTGAATATCTGCGAAGTCATCATGTTAGCAAGGGGATACAAAGTATACGCGCGAGACCAAACACACCAACAGCGCAGCCATGAAAAACGGGCTGAAGACCGGGATCAAGCGGTAGACGGGCGCGAGATAGAACGAGGAGATGGACGCGACGCTGAGCATGGATCAGCCTGGTTCCCGCAGAGAAAAAAAAACGCCCGACTCACTTCCCCGTCCCGAAGAAACCGACCTGGACAAAGAAGAGGAAGAATAGTGCAATCCGCAAGTCGTCGACGACGAACGAGGAGCGAATTTTGGTCGCCTCGTCGAATTCTGCCTTCGTCCTTGTGATGCCCGACGCAGATGCCTTTCTGGCGGACGTGTCTCGTAGCTTTTCGTCGGACGAGCCCCGCAACGCCGCCTCCACCTCTACCCAAACCCCCAGAGTCGCCGTATATGCTACATAGAAAAGCCCTTCCACGCTGATCGACAGCAGTACGAAGCACGTTCCGAAGCCCATGAAGTACATCAAGATCTTCGAGTCAGGGTAAGCGTGTTTGACGGGCGCGACAAAGGGTATTATGGTTGATAGGGCTGCGAGAGGTTCAGCGGTCAGATGTCGATACGCGGGGGACAATGAAGCAAGAACGCACCGAGGACGATCCACCCCACGACCTGATTCACAAGCGGGAGTCCCTGCTTGGCTTGCAGGCTGCGCACGGAGCTCGCGATCACCAGCATAGAAAGCGCAATGAGGAGCGCCTACAGGGAAGCATGAGTGGCACGGATTGGTGACATAGTGTAAACCCTCACCAGCGCCGAAAACATCTGCTTCGCCCTCAGTCCCGCAGTCGCCTGAACTCTCGCCCAGTAGACCACATACGACGCCGCGAGGATACACACGCCTCCTGCAAGTCTGATGCGCTCGTCAGCACCGGCGCGCACGCACATACTACGACAACTCTGCAACTCACATCGTCCCCAAACTCTCCGTCTTATCCACGCTCAACATCGGAAACACCGCACTCGCCAAGCAGACCAATGGCCAGAGCACCGCAGCGTATCCCATGCTGCTCCGCGCCGTCGCCGACCAGGATGTCGCTGGCCACAAAATCCCGATGATAATGTACCCAAACGTCCAGATGTATCGTTGCGTGTACGCCAGCTGCGAGGCCCGTCAATCCTTTTCTTGCCTACCGGCGTTGTATCATCATCCAACTCACCACCATCGCCATCAAGCTCCCGCCCACCAAGCCCGCATGCCACACCAGATTGCCCGGCCGTGTCTTCGCCTCCGCAGCCAGCCGCCGCAAGACAGGCCGCCCGTCCCTCGCAAATGTGTACCAGAAGTACACGGGGAACAGCACGTAGAGATAGTACGTCCACGGCGAGTGCTGTGCGGCGAAGAAGGCGAAGAAGCCCGCGAGCAGCGCACCAAAAATCGCTTCCAGTGCACCCGAGGACCAATTCCCAGTAGGTCCGGCGGCTTCATTCACAGGAGGGAAGATATACAGCGTCATCAACGCCGCCCAGCCTGTATACGCGAACACAGCAAGCGCGCGAATAAGGAAGCGCTCATAGGTATGCAGGTAGCGCAAGCCTTCGAGCGTGAGCTGGATGAGCTCGGCGGCGGACGCACGGGCTTCGGTGTACGCGGAGGTACGGGCGTTCTTCGTATCGATGTGCTCGTCTGCGCGCTCTGCGATGTATTCGTCTGCGCTGCCTGCGATACTCGCGCCAGAGGGACCTTCGTCGTCCGCACCTGTGCGACCTTCAAATTGAGCGCCCGCGTCGATGAGCGCTTGGATTCGGTGCAACAGCCAGTCGCGGAAGGGCAATTGGATTGGTACCGTGGAGTCTTCGACGGCAGACGCGTCGGTGACGAGCGATTCGAGAGGCGAGAATTCTTGAAACCAAAGCGTGTGCGCCTTCTTGAGGTCTGCGAACATATCAGCACGGGAAATGAGCAGGAAGAGTAAAGCCGCTGACCATGGCTTATCCTGTACTGCTCGAGGAGCATCTAGAAAAAATGCTAAGGCGCGCGCATAGTGGATTCAAGCGCATATATGCGCACCTTCGCATTGACCAAGGCAGCTTCAGCAAGTGTCTTCTCACCGTCCCTCGGCTGCAAGAATCCAGGTCGGAGCGCGTCTACCTCCGGCAGGATCCCAACCGAGTTCACCGGCCACTCCGCGCCCAGCAGTGTTGACATCAACGATGCTATGTCTGCCTGCTCGATATCGCGGCGATACAGGTGCCCGAGCTCCCATGGCAAGGAATACGCATCGTGCGATGAGGGCGTCGAGTCGGGAAGGGGCCCACGGACGCCTTTGCCCCACATGATCAAGGGGGTGCGAGTGCTGTCGGGATCTACAGAGCGTTAAAGGATCTCAGGGAGGTGGGTGTATGCGCACTCACTTCCATCACCGTGGTTCCCGATAACGCTCATGCCGTGGTCGGCGGTGAAGACGAAGGCGGTTTCGCCGTCGTTGGCGTAGAAATCCTCGAGCAGCGCTTCCGCCTCGCGCACGATTCTGTCGACGACAGCGATATTGTGCGCATACTCGCGAGAGAACGGTCGGTAAGAGTGACCGGTGGTGTCTAACCCGAGTAGGTGAAGGAAGAAGACGACCTTTTCGCCGCGAAGGTGAGCGTCTAATTCGGGGTTTCGCGTCGCATTATGGAGCAGCGTCTTGAGTTGATCGAGAACCCACGTATCGAGTGTGGTAGCGTCTGCAAGAACCTCAGGCAAGGAATGGGACGCATACATGCGGTCTAGCGTACCTTTGGTGAAGTCTTCGTCCTCTTCGTCATACGACCATGTATGCACTCGTCCCGGTTCAGCCCCGCGAGCGAACATGGGTAAGATATCTGGTGAACCGAAGGAAAAAGTGACACTGGAGCGGTTGAAGACCGAATCAAAGTCGACCTTGATGAGTAGGTGCGTGGAGTCTGGTAGGAGGGGGAGGTGTACACACAGGATTCGTCTTCCATCCCTATAGCATATTGAGCTTAGATCTCTCCACATAAGCATAGATCGCTCACCTTCGTCACGGCGGAGACATCCTCATACATTCCACCTATCGACAGTCAGAAATGTATCCCCTATAAAATAGTCTCTCGCACCTATGATTGCGACATGTCCTGGTCTGCTTTCTGTTGGCACACGCGTATGCGACACGCCGAACGCGCCTCGCGTCTCGATCACTTCTCGGAGGTATGGCGCGACAACGTCGGTTTCGTTGTACAAGCCGCCAAAGCCATTCTTGAGGTAGAGAAGGTCGGCTCGTAGACCATCGCCTGAAACACCGTTGAAGTCGCTGCGTCCTGCCTCCGAGCGAAAACGCGCTCACCGACGATGAGCATGAGGCGCTTCGCCTCCGGCCGCTGCAAGCCGTAGCTGCGCATGCCATGGTGTACAGGGCTCGTAAAGTAGCAGTCGAAGACAGAGCCAATGAAGACAAGATGGAAGACAAGACCAAGAAGCAGCAGATGCGCGATGCCTTGCCCCATGGCTGGCAAAGGGAATGCGCGTTTTCGGTAAAAACACCCCTGACACGCGACGCGACGCCACTTCTGGAACCGGCGGGCCGTAGATTCCGTCACTTGTTCTCAACCGCCATCACGGTGCAGCGTACTCGACTCCGAGCTGCTCATGCATTCGACACTAACTTAGGGGTCAGATTGACTATCGCTATGCCAAGGCAGCCCTCGTTCTTCGACTTTAGTCGTAATGTGTGCTCGACTTGGATTCCAACGTAACCACAGACATATCGGACAGTGATGCCTCACGGTCTTGTACGGCTTCAGCTTGCGATCAAATCTTGACTCGAAATGCGTGTACACACGTTACACATCGCTAGAGCGCTCTAAGTGCTCCCCGAACGGCATGAATCACTACTGCCTTCCTATCTTCTGCGCCGACGCTCCTTGCACGCCCCAACATCGTTCGAGGTGATCTCAAAGCCCGACGGAAGCATTCATCAATGCAACAATATATCTTTTGAGGTATCCAACACGCGAAACGGTGCACGCGCAAATACCAGATGTATGTAGGTAGCGTGTGACACTCGTGACCCATGTTCGACATTGAGGCACGTGGCGATTTCGTGATTTATCCCTGTCTGGCTCGACTGCCTCGACAACGATGTCACTGATGCAGAGGGAAGCCATCAGCGAGGCTGAAAGAGTATCTGTCTACAAACGAGCCTGTGGTATCTCCCGTGCTTGCACCTTGGACCTGCCCACCAGCCGAACCTTCTAGTTGAACGCATCTCAGCACGCATTGCTCTTTTAACGTGTTTGGTCGTCACCCGTTAAGGATCTCATTCTGCTTTCCGCTTTGAGACCCAGGCCTCAGCCGCATAGCCGTGCGCTCCTCATTTACTTGCGAAAAGAACGGATGGATGGGATTGTTTCGTCGACTAACCTTTCCACGATCGGGCCCTCAGAACGACTCATACCGCCAATCTCGTGGGTCACGAAGCGCTTCAGCGAACGTTCTGGACAGAGGATCCACCCCTTATACAGGAATTCTGCTGATCCCCAAAGTCCGCGAATATAGCGACCGGCTCAGGTGACAGTAACGTGTAGGCACAGTTGAGTTTCCTTCCTATCGAATCGCGCACTTGACGTACTCCGCAGGCAGGCTGCTGTCAATGAACGGCAGCATGGCACCGACTACTTCCACGTCCGGCGTTCATCTTTGCAGCTCAAGAGCCGTTTTCGCTAGCTTCTCGAACGATGAGCACGCAGACAAGGGCGATTGTCTAGTGGCTGGATGGGGATTGCGCATGGGAACGGTGAGTCCCTGCAGTGCTCCTTTTGGCCATCTGGAGTACGGATCCTTCGAATGAGCATACCATCGCAATCCTCTGAGCGTCTGGTACGGCAACAACTGCGGCACATCTCACGGAAAGCCACTCCCAGCAGCGCTATCGATGCCACAAGACCTATGGTGACCAGCATCTCAATGGGCGCGCCAGGGTTCTTCCTCGCAGATGAACCAGCCTATCTCACCGTGCCTCTTATCCTCTGTCACTATGACGGACGCAGGCCCTCTTCGCCCTCGAGATGCGCCGACTGACCTGATGGGCGAGAAGGTTAGCCGTAGGGCGCCATCTGGTCGGTGCGCATTGCACTTACATAAGTGCTGGCCGGAGTCTGAATGGGCCTTGCGGCGGGCCCGCCAGCGTGTCGGGAGACACGCCGCAGCTACTTAATCCCTCCCTGGGGAGATCAACGAGAGTCCGTGCTCCCTGTCCCATATCCCCACCCACTAAAGCATCGCCCTAGCTGACTACGAGATGGTTAGAATGCCGACCCTCGTCTTGCCCGTGGAAGCCCGGGGGCGACTTAAGGTGAGCGACCTTGCGAAATGACATGGACTGCACTGACACGTCCGCATTCACAGAAAGACTTCACGATGACGCTCCCCATTGAGCTCTTATCCTACATCTTCCTCGTCGGGCAATATCTGTCCCTCCAGGAAGAGGCGGACAGCGAAACGAAAAGGCACCCCTTCGAGCTCCTAGTATGCGCTGTGAATCGCCACTGGCGGCAGGCCGCTCTCGGCACAGCGCTTCTCTGGCACAGCATAGATAGCCGGAAGGCGCCTGACATGATCGCGGCGTATCTCAGGCGCTCCCACAGCGCAGGCCTGCACCTCCGCCTCGTCGAGCCCATCGACCCCGCCGCGCTCGCGCTCGTCCTCGCCGAGCGCACGCGGTGGGCGACCGCCTCCATCGGCGCGCTCCTCAGCGCCGAAGAGGGTCTGCTGTGCGCCGCCCTGCGCACCATCGGCGCCTGCCCGGTCCAGCACCTCTCGATAACTTTCGAGACCGTGGACGGCGGGCGGACGCCCACGCTGGGCGACGTGGCGACGCCGCAGATCTTCCTCGAGGCGGCGCCGTCGCCCGCGTTCGTCCGCCTCCGCGGATTCGCGCTCCTCGCGATGCGCCCCCGCCTGGACGGCGTCGTCACGCTCCATCTCGACCTCACGCGGCGGCTGCGGTTTTCGTACGCGCTGCTGAGCTCGTTGCTGACGTCCTCGCCGTTCCTCGCCCACCTGTCCATGCATGGGTACTGCGAGCCGAGCGACTGGCCCGAGGAGCGCCAGACGATCCACCTGCCTGCGCTGCGCTCCTTCCGGCTGAAGTGCATGATGGGGCGCACATACACGGAGCTCCTCACGCGCATCGAGGCTCGCGGCCTCGTCTCGCTCGCCCTCAAGGACGTGCAGAACGACGACCTCGACGGAATATGGGCCATGAACGAGCGTGAGCCCCTCTTCCCCAAGCTCGAGACGCTCTTCTGCGTAGGCTGCGAGTTCTCCGACGCCCTGTACCCGCTCATCATGAGCGCCTTCCCGACGATAAAGGAGTACATCTGCCTCGGCGACACCGTCGGCTGCCCTTACATCTGGCGACACCTGAAGCCACGACATGCGCATTGGCCGAACCTTGAGCGGCTGGCGTTCCTTTTCGACGAGGATGAGCGCAGCTATGTCATGGTCGAGGACCTGAAGGCGTGGCAGGAGACAGGTGAACGACGCACCCTGCAGCTTCGTCTCCATACCGACACAGACATCACGGATTTCCAGGCCTACGCTCATGATTGCGGCGTCGAAGTCGAAAAAGTACCTCGTCTGGGCGCATGGCCGGACGCCTATACTACTGACGAAGAGGATTCTTTGTTCTGGTGACATTGACGGCTTGATTCCGCAGGCGGTTGCGATTCTAGAGTATGAGTATACCAGGAGGGGCTACGCAATGAAACAGATCACATTGACAGAAAAGTAGAATACATAGCGACAGCAAAAGCAAGATACCGACATACATCGTCATCTCAAGCGCCCATCTGGGCGTCCAAAAGGTTAGTGCATTGACGACTCTCCCATACACGAGTCGCCCGCCAGTGCGTGCTTCGAGAGTAAGACGCACGCCGACTACTTCTTGGGCCTCTTCTTGACCTCCTCGTCTTTGCACGCGTGCAGCATGAGCTTGTTCGGGTGCCCGGGCGTGTTCCCCGAGTGGCCCTTCGACCAGTCGTAGGACACCGCGTACGCGAAGATCGTCCCCGTCCGGTTGAACGCTGTACTCGTGATCGGACCCGGCTGGGCATCGAACGCTGTGTTTGATGACCGGTGATTAGCGCGCGACTTCATTGGGTCGAAGAGTGTTCAAAGCTCACATTTCAGGCGCGTGCGTGCATCTTTATCCCAGAAGTGGATGGTCCCGTCGGCGCCTGGAGGAGATGGTTGTCAGAAGGGGAATGGGAGAAAATAGGTAACGAAAAGTGACGTACCGCATGTCGAGAAGGTTCCATGCACTGGGTGGAAGGAGATGTCGTTGACGGCGTAGACGAGCGACTGGTCCTTGGAGTTGGGTTGGCTGTCTCTGCGGTGGCATTTGAAGGAGAAGTTGTTGCTATTGGGAGGGTCAGGATATGGCTCGGGAGGAATAGTGCACGGGCGGCGTACGCAGAGTCCTTTTCTTCGACGTATCTGCCAACGCGTAAGTATGTGGGCAGGTATGATCAGGTGGATATATGCGTACTGGATGGCGACGCGTCCTTCGATGCTGCCTACCGCGAAGCCACTGTTTGCAGACTGTGTGAAGCACGACACGACGCGTGTTTGCCACTTCAACGGGGATTGTATCGACTGACAGATATGTAAGCATTTTCCAGACAGAAGATAGTCTGGTGACGCACCTTATACGGCGTGCTGGGATTGCTAAGGTTGAATATCTGGATGTGGCGCTCCGCCGTACCGACGACCATGAGCGGGAACTGCACATCAAACGTGTACACCCTCTCCGGGCACGTCACACTCGCCACCGGCGTCGACGACCGCAAGTCCCAGTACTATTAGACCCTCATCAGCCTTCTCCCCATTGAAAAGGACAGATGACGCACCTTGATCGTCTTGTCCCAGCTCGCCGTCGCGAGGATCCCCGCCTGCGGCGCGTCTATCCACCGCACGGCCTTGATCGGCATGTCGTGCTGCGCGACCTGCGTCGCCTGCCCCGTCGCCACGTCGAACATGCGCCCCGCGTTGTCCGCGCCGCCCGAGAACACCTTGTTCCCCTCCTGCAAGAGAGAACCAAATCCGATCAGCCCCGACGCGGGCGCGCGACGCGTCAATGACCTGCCTTGTTCCAGCACACGCCCATCACGGGTCCCTGGTGCTGGTAGAGCGCCTTCCCCTGCGACTGCCCGCCCGCGCCGACTTCATAGATGCGCACCTGGCGGTTGGGGGTCAGTGGACGCGTATTGGGAAGGGTAGGAATACGTACGCTATTGTCCCAGCTACCGACTGCAAGATAGTCCGCTTGCGGGGAGAACGCGACGGAGGAGATAGAATCCGAGGGCGGGTCGGGCATCTCAACATCCTTTTCCGCCGAGGAGGACGACGCCGGCGTCGAGAAGAAAGACATGGTGGCGTTCGCTGCTGCTCGTCGCGCCGAACAGTGAGCTCGTCGATATCGCGAGGGAGACTGTCAAAATTCGTGTAGACGCGAGAACAAAGACAAGCCAGGGTCAACGCCACGCTTTGTTCTGCGCGTTGACCGCAAGCTTGTGTCAAACACGGCCAAATATGAGCCCATTTCCATTGTTCTTCCGTCGACAGTCATGGATTTCCTCTTAGAACCAGGAGATAGATTACAACTACAGAACGAAAGTGGGAATACAACGACAACAGGGCCACGCAAAAGATAAACATTACAGTATCAATGGAACCAGCTAGTCTTCTTTGGCGCGATAGAGGTGAGCTTAACCTCGCGCTCACGCTCATCAACACCATACATGGTACGAAGCGCGTCAACTTCCTGACTCTTCTCCTGCATGGCCTCCGTCGTCTGACGAGCGTTCTCCCGCGCGAGCTGGAGGTCAGTCAGTAATGCGAGTGCGTACGAGTTCATCTTATTATTTACCTCCAAAGCTTCGCCGAACGCATTCATCTCGGCCAGCGTCGTCTCGTATTTGACTCTCGCTGCGATGTACTCCTCTTCCGCCTTGTGGTGCGCGGTGACAGCCTTGACGTGGGCGGCGTGGGCCTTAGCTTCGCGCTACAATGCATGTTAATAACGCAAGCGTCAACTATCTACAAGTATACTCACCTTGACGGCCTCCTTCTGCATCCTCTGCAAATCCGCTAGCTCTTGAATGATGACGTTGAGTGCTTTCTTCTCCACTCTAGACTCTTGCTTAATAACCCTAGATAGGTTCTTGACACCCGCAGCTGCAGAATGCATCAGCTTGTCTCCTGTGCGAGCGATACTGACGTACACGCACCCTCTTTCTTCTCAATCTTCTTGTTCTGCTTGGGTGACAACGCCGCGGAAGCGCTGGTGCGACGTCGATGAAGGCTGTCGTCCGGGATAGCTGCTGCGTCAGGCCCGGTCGTACCAGCTCCGCTGATGAACGCCGAGCCATTGACAACGCGGCCGTCCGAGTTGGTGTATAGGCTGCGCCGAGCGACTGAGGACGTCGTCGACGCCGCGTAGCCGACGGAGCCAGCGCGGTTGAGGGAGCGAGTGCGAGAGCCAGGGCGATTGCTGCGTCGGCTAGCGTTGCGGAAGACGGACGAACGACGGCCGGCGGACGACTCGCCCTTGCCGGGCAGATCGGTCGCGGGGAGCCAGCCAGAAGACCCGTTAGGGTGCGCTACGGCGCGATCCTCGTCCTCCTCGTCGATATCCTCGTAGCCATCATCGTTGTCGTCGTCCACGACCGCAGGCCTCGTGCTCCCCTGCTCGGAAGCTGGGGGGACGGTGCCATTCGCGTCGGGCAGGACGCGCGTCTTCTTGTCCGGTGTGCCATTCGCCACGGTCGGCGACCTCGAGCCCTCCCCGGCGAGGATGGAACCGGTGGGCTTCGTCGTGTCCTTCACATCAGATTCCGCCGCTGCCGTCTTATCCTTGTCCTTGCTACCAAACAACATGCTGTCTTTGCTGCTAAAGTTTACGATGGGGGCGTCGAAGTAGACACTTGTTTCGCTTCCGGGAGTGGGAGTGGGCGTGGTCAACATGAGAGGAAGGAGCAAGTGCCTCCTTTATGTATTCCGGCGGCAGTCATGATGATGGCGCGCGTCGGGAAGTCTACTGACGTCACGTAATTATGTCTCGATCGCGCCGGTGATGGCACTAAATCCATCACGTCACTGGCACGTGGTGGCTTGGCGGCCTTTTCCGAACTTCAACATTTGGTTTCTACGTAGGTTGTCAGCTACCCCCACCTCAACGTTATTGGGGGGAGCCTCTCAAGGATTTTTGGTCAATTTATTGCGTCTTTCTGTCGCCTACTACGACGCGCTCCTCCTCAAATGAAGGTCAGATGATACTTCCACCGTCTTCTGGACGATATTGACCTGCTCCACAGGATGACGGCTCTCCTGCTCGCGCTCAAAAACCAATCAAGACCAGATGCGGATACGCCCGAATCATGCAGGCAACATACGCGTCCGCCTGCAAGGTTCTCAGATGGCCCACGTCGCTTTAGTGCATCCGATTATTAGAAGTCTTGACGTCCCGTCCGTTAGCCGCTGCGCAGCTGAACAGGGAAGACATTCCACCTTCCTTTGCACCCCTTGTCATCACTTCTTTGGGTCACCCCGCAAAACACAAAAAATCCTACCGCCATGTCGCTCTCCCCCTACGTCTCCAACTGGCCTGCAGAGCGTGATATACGCACTCATCAATGCATATCCCTTGCGCTGTTGCCCCGGGATTCCACCATAAAGAACGCACCGAGATCCGTAGAAGCACACGAAGTTGGTCCCGAGCGCGTTGCCTCGTCATGCAAAGTGCCGTACCAAGCCGTTCCTTCCCTTCGAACCCGTATGGCGCACTCATGCACCCAACTCTAATCGCATATCTTGCTCTCGTCCTCATCTTGGCTTGAACTCTCTGTCTTATCTAAATTACCGCTAGGCTGCCTCGCTGGCAGTCATATAGCTGTTGACGTCTACCTCTTCCTCAGGACACCTCTATAATGACCATATAGCACGTCTATCGCGCCTATCACGTCGACTTTTCAGTATCGCGTCGACGAACCCCTTCGAGTGCTTATCGCCTTCCCATGACCGTGCGACGTTGCTGCCGCCGACTCGCGCCAGGGTGGCGCGGACGGTCGGGCCAGCCCGCGCGCGGCCGTTCCTGGCTGCGAAGCCGCCGCCTCCGTATATGAGCTGGATGCTGGCGACGATATCTGCTTTTCGCGCTCGCCCTCAGCTATCGTCTCGCTACTTGCGTTTGCCGTTCATCCTGGGCGACTTGCACCTCGCTACCGTCCACAATTAGGACTATTAGCTGTCCACCGTGACCAGATAGGGGTCACGCTCGACATCTCACCCACCACGGATGGAGAGCAACCAGACGGTGACATGCGCGCGCGCCGGGAGCGCCCCTGTTGAGTACCTCCAGTGGGTTATTGCCTACACGGCGGTGCAGTTTGCCTTCTATGGTGCGTCCCCTTGTTCCTCTCCGACGGGGTTACATCGTATACGCATCCACTCCTGGTTCTCACGCTTGGTTTTTCAGGGCTCAATGCGGTGTGCTTTTTGACGTCCGCTTACTGCTTGATGTGGGTGCTTGTCAGCTACTATTTCTTGTGATGCGCACGCTTGACACGCGGGACGTGGTGTACTGAACACTGAAGCTGCCTGCAGCTCACGAGGCGTGCGCGGGTCGCGACCGAGGCTGGGCTTGTTGGCGGCGACGACTGTCATGTTCATCGGCTCGACGGTGTTCGTTGTGCTGGATACCATCCAGAGCATGTATGGTGCGAGGGACGCGTTCGGGACGCTGCAGGAGCACGACTGCTCGCGCCTCACGCGTCTGTCGATCGCGCAGAACGTTGTTCTGAGGATGATGGTAAGGTTCTCGTCAATGCTATTAGGCCTACGACAGGGGCAATACAACTTACCCGGCCATCCCAGTTTATGCTGAGCGATGTCATCGTCGTCTGGCGTGCCTGGGTACTCTGGAGCGCCAACCGCATCGTACGGAGGTGCCTAATTGTATGCTTGACTTTGACCTGCTGTACGTATTGCGCACATATTGTCCCTACAACTCGCTGATCACCTCATAAACAGCATGCCTCCTTGCAGACGCAGCCGTCGTCGCATGGGAGCAGGCAGTCAGCTACTATGCCAATTCCGCCCTCTTTTCTCTCCTGGTCACACTGCCAATCCTCGTCACCAATGTTACGGTGACGACAACCATCGGGGTCAGAGCTATGTCAGTCTTTCGCTCCCAAATACGGGGCACTCGCTCTGATCTTGTTTGCAGAGCTCACTACAGAGCGATGAGAAGTAACATCGGCTCCCGGGAGTATGGACAGAAGGTCATGCGTGCCCTCCTCGTTCTGTTGTGGTCTGGTGCTGCGTACTGCGCGCTTTGTGTAGGTCTCTTGAACTACATCCTCCAAACAATATTGATCAAGTCTATCAGTTCGTCTTCTTCGCATCTGGCGTGACGAGCAATCACGGCAGGCGATGGGGAGAGTTCGTCGGGGCTATTGGCGCTAGCGTCTCCGTGAGCTCTTTTCTCTCCCTTTCCTCCCAGACTGCGACTCATCCTCAATCGCTCACCCCATTCTACTCAGTGCACCTACCCCACCCTCATCATCATCTGGGCCGCCCTGGAACGAGACAACGACACCGAAGTGCAGCTGCAAGTCATGCAGTCCCACGGCGTGCAGTTAACCGTACCCTCCCTATTTTCGAACGGCGGCTACTCTGACCGTCGACGACCCACGATTGGAGACCTGCGCTGGCCGACTGGCGAAATATTATCGACAGACGGACGCAGCCCAAGCCGTCGACGCAGTCCCACTCGCCGGGGCTCGCGATCACGATCAAGAAATGCGCGGCGAACGAATACATCTAGTCATTCAGAGACGACGGACAGTAAAAAGGAAGAGGAAATACAGAAGACAGCCAATACTGAGTACGACGTGGTGTAGGAAGGGTTCGATTTTCGGGTCATGAGCGTCTGTTAGGGACTTCATATGGCAGGGATATAGTATGCACATAGATACTCGATAGAAGGCTCACCACGGTTGAATGACGGACTTGCGACGCCGCTGCTCATTGACAAGCGCGAACCGTGACAGAATTGTGACTCTTTCGGAAATTGCCGTACACTCTAGCAACAGAGACTCAACCTTGCCTAGGAGAAGGTGACAAGACCAAACGACGATGGAAGGTTAGCCCTGAAATCTCGTCAGTGGATAGGGGGATCGTGGCCAAAAACCCCTCAGATGAGGCCTCGTGATCCTGAGATAGCCGTACGGGTTCTTAAGGCTGCACCCACAACCCCGCCACACAAGCGCACCTTTCCTTCGCACTTTCTCCTGCCTGGCACCGAGCAGGACAGTGACCCTTATCTGCGCCAGAGGATAAGTGAGTGGTCCCTATTCCGTCGCCGACGTCTCGCACAGTGCGAGAGCGCATGTACTCACCAGGCGCTTAACAGCAGTGAGGATGCCTCCCCGCGACGACTCTGGGCCTCCAGTGATACCTATGGCTGGCTTCGGTCACAACGCTCAAAGCGAATGGCCGCAGGACCCCCATCGTCACTGGGGTAATATGTGGCTGAAGGCTGGTTGGCTCAACCCTCGACGGCACCAGCGACAGCCACCGGCGCGCGCCGACGCCGGCGCTCCACCCCAAGCTCAAAAGCACCAGCCCGCCGCACAAGAACAAGCTGCAGCGCCACAGTTTACTCCATTCCCAGGCCCGAAGGAGCTGCGAGACATGGGTAACAAGCTGCCTGGCGAAGCCGCGGAGGAGCAGGCGCCAGCCGCAGCGGACCCACCGCCACGCACGACGCCATTCCTCAGCGAAGCAGAGCTGCGAGCTGAGGGCTACGGCTCGGTCCTGTACCGGCCGCCGCCGAACCACCGAGGAGCAGCGCCTCGTCGTCCCATCTTGAAGAACAACAGCCAGGCGGCGGCGCCTAAGCAGCCTGATCTCAAGCCGAACTTTCCGCCCCGCGGCCACATCACGACGACGTACCACCACGCACCATTGCCCGCGAAGCCAAAGTATCGCGATGATCCGACGCCATACCCTGGCACGACGCCTCTGCCAAAGACCACCCATTTGAACGCTCCACCACGCGTCGCGCAGCAGCCCTTTGTGCCCTTCGTGCCGCCTATGCCTGCCAAGAGCGAGAAGAACAGTGTCCATGTACCCAATGATGATCATAGACACCGCGAACATAGACACCGTGACCATCGACACCGAGACCACCGACACCATGGTCACCGACGCCATGGCCATCATAGGGACGGTGGCGATCGTCGCGAAGCAAGGGCTGGGCACCATGGTAAGAGAGATGATGACGACGGTCATCGGAATGGAAGGGACAAGGGCAGGAGGCTCGAGAGACGCCTTCCCGGGCCTGACCAGCGCATCTATTTCTATGATAAGCAAGCACCGCACTACAGCTTCACAAACTTCTCACCTCATTCGGTGAGATACAAGGGCAAGAGGTACCCCACGAGCGAACATCTGTATCATGCATTCAAGGTGAGTCGGAACCCGGACACGAAATGGAGTGACTTGGCTGCTGGTACGAGGTTGGGTGTCTGAGCGAAGAAAGATTAGTTAGGAGAAGGGAGTGAGGTTCGTCATAAGAACTGACACTGCTTTAGTTCATGAAGCACAAGCCGTATCTCGCGGAGCACATTCGCACTTGCTCGTCGGAGCCGCGCCGCGCGCTAATTGAGGCTCGACGCTTTGATTCAGAAAAACGTCGCGACTGGGAGGACAAGAAGATCGAGAAGGTAAGCGCACCACATGTATATCCGCGCTCTTCATGAATCCTCAGCACCTCCACCATCACTGTCGACTGGCGAGCATGGCTGACCATAGATGGCAGATGGAGAAAGCGCTTTGGTACAAGTTCACGCAGCGTCTGGACTTGTGGCAAGAGTTGGTGAACACGGGCGACGCAGAGCTCGTCGAGGTATGTTGTCGTCGGGGTCGTCAAAGATGTCGTCAAAAATCTGACCGAGATTGAAATCTGTAGGACTCGCCCTATGATTGGTTTTGGGGGATCGGGCAAGACCGAAAGGGTAGAAATGAGCTTGGGAAGGCGCTCATGAGGTTGCGCAAGGTATTGGTAGGCCACCCGGCCACCAAGGCGCTGCGTCCCTATGGTTGAGAACCGACTTACTTCCAGTATATGCTCTCTTTTGCTTCAACCTCTTGTATAGTATTACGTGTATCGGCGTGGCCTGGGATGGAATATGCGACTTACCAGATGCGAAAACCAACGAACGTGATACGCCGGAAAACGCCGTGCCTGATTCGTCTCCGCCCGTCAGGCTCCGCGTCCGATAGCGATCTGCGGAGACTGATCAGCCCGAATGCCCAGAGAGGAAGAAAAGCACTTGACTGTCTTTCCTTGGCATCGTCCACCCCGGCAGTTGACATCGTCCTCGACGACCGCGACCTTCGCAAACACGTCTGAAACCCCGGCGTCCATGTCGCCCGTCCGCCACCTCCGACGAGCACGAACGTTGCCCGTTAGCGTGGCGGCGCACGTGTCCTATCAAGGCTCCGCCCGCTCTCTCGCCCGCATGGAGCGCATTGGGAATGCCGGCCCCTTGATCCCCAGACGACGATAAGTACGAAGTTCCGAGGACGGACGCGTTCCCTCGTCGCTGCTTCTTCTCTGCCCGCCACCATGGCTGAGTTCACACTCCGGGACCGCATGAGGAACGTCTCCCTGATCTTCGCGTGAGTGCAGGTGCTTCTCGACGACGCGTCACATGCGGGGTAAACGCTGACGATTCCCTCGACCCTATAGATGCGGGACAGCGCTGTTCTCGGACGGTACGCGAGGGGAACTCGTGGAACGATGAGGGGAATGCTGACGAGTGCGCGTTGCAGGCTACGCGAACAACGTGATCGGTAGTGGTGAGTGATCGCTCGTTGTGAGCTGTCCCGGCACTTACGGTGATCGCAGTCAAGACCTGTACGTGCTCTGAATGTGCGCGCCTGCCCCTGCAGAGGCTCACCTCAGATAGACCTCACGCGCATCTACGGCCCCGACATCCTCGAGCGCCATGACTTCAGCACCATCCTCTCCTCCGTCGCCTTCGCTGGCACGGTCGTCGGCATGCTCGTCTTCGGTGCGTCGCATAATCCCCCCACAAAAGACCCGAGTAGCTGACGGCGCGCCCCACCCTGACAGGCTACCTCTCCGATAAGATGGGACGCAAGTTCGGGATGATGACGGCCACGGGCATCGTCGCGTTCTTCTCCTTCCTCTCGGCGTGCTCGCAGGGCGTGAGCACCGATGGACTGCTTGCCATGCTCTGCGTGATGCGGTGCGTAACCATGCCCTCCCCCCAACGTCGGCTTTCTGACGGCACACACAGATTCTTCATCGGGATTGGCATTGGCGCTGAATACCCGTGTGGCTCGGTGTCAGCGTCTGAGCAGTCGGAAGGCAGTGCCATTGCAAAGGGCACCCAGCACCGATGGTTCACGCTCGCCACGAGTGCGTCACATCACTCTCCTCCTAAATTGTGCACTCACCGGCGCGCAGACTCCATGATTGACTTCGGCTTCGTCATCGGCGCCTTCGTTCCCTTGGTCCTTTACTGGATGTGCGTGATCTGCAAGAACTGATAGAGACCTGCTCACTCATGTTTGCAGCTTCGGCGACAACCATCTCCGCGCCGCATGGAGAGGCTCACTGGCACTCGGTACCGTCCCCGCCGTCCTGGTCTTCCTCTGGCGTCTGAACATGGACGAGCCGGAGCGGTACAAGAAGGACTCCATGAAGCACGCCAAGATCCCGTACTTGTTGATCTTGCGCCGCTACGGCTGGCAGCTCGCCGCCATCTCCTTCACCTGGTTCCTCTACGACTTCATTACGTGAGTCTCCTTTCGCGGACAGCATCTTCCGAGTACTGACCCTCGCAGGTATCCCGTACGTGTTCCGACTCTGCATGGCGACCGTTGAACTGACGGCTGCAGTTTGGCCTGTACTCCTCCACAGTCGTGGACAGCATTACAGGCGGTGCGACGGCGCTGAACGTAGTATTCGGCTGGAGCGTCGTCATCAACGCGTTCTACCTGCCCGGGACCATTAGCGGCGCCTTCATCGTCGACTACCTGGGCCCGAAGAACACCATGGTACGCACAACTCGACCATCTTGCGCATTCAACCCATGACTTACCCTCGCATAGATCTTCGGCCTAATCATGCAAGCCATCATAGGCTTCATCATGAGCGGATGCTACAAGCAGCTCTCCGAGCACATCGCAGCCTTCGCCGTCGTATACGGCATCTTCTTGTCCTTTGGCGAGGTCGGACCCGGCAACTGCCTGGGATTGCTAGCGAGCAAGACGTCCCCGACGGCCATCCGCGGCCACTTCTACGGCATCGCGGCAGCCATTGGGAAAATCGGCGCGTTCGTGGGTACGTGGGCCTTCCCGCCCATAATTGACGCGTTCGGTGGCGCATCAACCGACCGCGGCAACACCGGTCCTTTCTGGATCGGGAGTGGGCTTGCTGTCTTGAGCGCGATTGTCACGTTCTTCTTCATCCGGCCCTTGGAGCACGACGGTATGTTGGAGGAAGATGCCAAGGTACGTCCAATTTGCCTGCGGGAAGAATCGAGGTGGTAATGCTGCTTTAGTTCCGCGAGTATCTCGAGGCGAACGGGTACGACACCTCGCAGATGGGTCTGATCGACACCGTCTCGACTGTGTCTGTCGACCTCGAGAAGGACAAGAAGGAGATAATGTCGTAGGTAGATATGCCTGCAGGGATGTCCTCTATGTTGTCGTATTGTTGCACGTCGCATTGTTATGATCACGTCGCGTAATTATATTATCTTGGGTCTTGCGTGTTCAGTCTGTGGTGGAGGATGGATGAAAGGCAAAGATTACATTGAAATGAGGAGAGCTCAAGGAAGTAGGTGTATGGATGGTGGTGTATGTGGTCACTGCTGCATAGCGTTATCGTCCTTCTTGGCAAGCTCTCCCCTGCGCGATGTCAGTTCGTGGCGAGGGATCAGGGCGATGCTAACGCACCTCAACTGCTTGCTGAAGTCATCGTCGATATCGTCATCATCCCAGTTGTCCTCCCAGAGCTTGTCTCCTCCTGACTTTGCAGCACCGGGCGCAGCGCCGTTCAAGTGCGCCAGATCGGTCTGCGAGTCGTCCCAGTCTGCAGTGGTGTATAAGCACGCGCATACATGAGAGTGTGAGCGTTCATAGAGCTCTAGACCTCATGCTAGGAGCACATCGCGCTAGAACATCGCAAGAAGGATGAGGAGCAGGTAGGATCGTGATCTCACCTTGTACGGGGAACTCCTCGAATTCATCATCCTCTTCCAAGACCCCAAGGTGCGGGTTTGACTCTTGTGGTGAGGGCTTCGTGGGCACAGAATCCGTTCCTTTCGGCGCGGACGCAGATGAAGATGCGGCGGCGGACATGATGATGGTTAGGGACAAGAGACGCGAACCTCTTTCGAAATGACGCGTCGCGTCGAGGATTCGGCATCTGCCGTGTGAGCGGGACGCGTGACGTGGTCACGAAGCTGAACCTTTCAGAAACTCGCTGGAAGTCACCTCACGATAACCTTTGGTACATCGCAATGCGCAAAGTATACTATAAAGCCAAAAAGTACATCCATTCGTCTACCCTGAGAATATACACCCTGGGAAACCTGCATATTCCATTCTTCCCGCGCAAGCTACACGATTTCATGTGGTTCTTCCTTGACGTGGACGAAGTCCGTCCTACCATTCCCCCGAAGACTTTCCTGCCTCGCCCAGCTTTCAATTTGCGCGACCTGTAGTACGCTCTCACGCGGGGTTGCAAAGTTCACGGTCGTGTTCTGCTGCATGACACCGAGTTGAACTTCGACGGCAGGATCGTCGTCGCGTTCGAGGGCCGCCCAGATGACGATGAGTGTCGGGTAAGAGCCCTTCAGAGGGAGTGAGGACAAGGTAAGGCAAGGGGCTGGAGTAGACTGACAGAGATGCTCGCGCCGACTGCTGCGATTATTTCGCCCCAGTGCTGTATACCGTGCTGGGTAATACCAGCAGCAAAGAACGCCAACTAGGTCGAGATGTCAGCCAAAAGGTAGGTTAGTATAAAAGGAAAAGAAGGAAGTGCGTACACAAAGTCCACAGTACATGGTGCCGGAGATGCACAACACCAGCAGGGCCTTGAAGACGCGCTGCGTGTAGTCCCTCGAAGTGATCCCCGACATCATGAATTTGTGGTGAGTCCTGTTCAAAAGGTCAGCGCACGACATCAGATGCCAGAGACCGAACGGTTCACCATGCTCTTATCCCGGTCATAGTGGTGACAACGATGTTCGTGAGGAGGGTGGGCAGGGTCAGGATGAGTGAGTACCAGTACTGATCCTCGTAATATACTGAGATTCGTTCCCATACGATAATGCCGATATCCGCGAGCAAGCCCACTATTCGGGCGTCAGTGAGCGGCTTCGCGGGAAGTCCAAATGCTACTCGCGATAGCTGATCGTCAAGCACGCTATGAGGATGTATCTGGCCTTCTTGATGTGTCGCCAGATCACCCACGCCCGCCACACGACTACCGTGTCGCTCAGCATGAACTAGAAGTAAGACATTAGTAGCTTGACTTCGGCAGGGCAACGACACGAGCGCACCATGATGCGAAAGATCACGTTCTGCGCGATCCAGCAGCGTAAGATGTTCGGATCCTCCTCCGTCGCTCGCCCCGCCATGATATTCACGTAGTCTCGTAGCAGGACGATGTCAATGACGACAAAGGTCGACGCCAGACAGAACATCGCCGTCGTTACGACGAGCAGACCCAGCCGGGCCCGAGAGGTGCGGATCCCTCTCTTTCTGTAGCTACTCAGTATGACGCAGTAAACAGACGACCACTCATAGGCTCACATCAAGATGTAGGCCGCGCTGAAGAACGAGACGGCATGAAGAGCTGTTGATGGTCAATCAGGACGCTCATCGATTGTTCACTTCAGTACGTACCATAGAAAGAATACTCGATAGCTGCGTAGGCGAGCTGATACCGCAGGAAGCTGATGCTGGCATCGTCGAAGACAGCCTCCTCGGAGGACGCCTTGGCCATTGATGCGCTGAAGGTTGTCTGCTTAGCCGTCGGGGCGTCTGTGCCAAGGGAGAAGAGGCGGCTGCACGCTTCAGCTCTTATGCATCTGCTGGTGGATTAGGATGACGAACAGGATAGGCGCCGAATATGATCCTGCGAATTCAGAACGCCTTTAGCCATACCTCCACGCTCATGAGAGTATGGTCCTGGGAGGTCAGGCACGCCAAAAGTGGCTCAGAAGCATTCATCGTAGCAAGGACCCCATGGAACCGGCTCCGAGGCCTCGATGAGCAGCGCGAAGGCTCAGATTGCAGGCGACAGCATACAGATAGAGCTGGCGAGCATGCTATGGCGGGGTCCGGTCCTTCAGCTGCTCGACGATTGCAACAAGGTCGTCGAGCCTATCCGGGAAAGCAGGATCCCACGCACGAAGGTTCTTTCTCTCCGTTGCTGCGGCCACTGAATGAAGATACCCCGCGAAAGAGAGGGCGGCGCGCTGCTCACATGTCAGCAGAGCCAGAAGACGACAATCCGTGAGAGGCCAGATAGCGGACGCGTGGGCGTGAGCGCATTGCACCCGCAGAACTGCTTGGCGCGTGATATAGCGAGTGCATTGCATTATTGGTGACGGGGAGTTCGAGGCAGTCGGTCGCTCCTAATCGTACAGAACGAGATAGGCAGGGCGTATAGCATCATTCGAATATACTACGACCTCGTCATAGTTCAGCTGAGCGCCCGTCTCACCCAAAACCTGTCCGGAAATGTAAGATGTGTACAGAGGAAGAGAGCGTACACATACGGAGTCGTAGCCGACCGGCGGCGCGGTCAGAGACGAGTTGTTGTAGTGCATCTTGTACCCTCTACCGACTACGACCTTCGCCAGGATCATGACCTTGGTTGTCGACCCCCGCTCCAGGTTGCAGGAATAGTCATCGGCCCTAGCTATGCCTTAGTTGATTCGTGAGAGGGAATAACGAACACTAACTTCGAGGATGTCGAGGACGTGTAGATTCCACGGCCGAATCTACGTGCTGCGCATGAGCTTGATGCCTGCACTGAAACGAGTCATCGTACCGTCCCCATCCCGTCCTGCCTTTGTAACACTCGATATCGAAGGAGTCGCAGACGATGCGGCACACTGAGCACGTCGGAGATTTGCAAGGCCAAGTTGAAGTTGACCAGTCTTCACCTAAGCTGCATTCGCGCCTGGTACCGTGCCACCGGCGATTCTCGTTCCCAGGTGGGCGGCCCACAGCAGTGAAGTTTCTTCGTTCCTCTATGCGCTTCCTGATGATCATTGCTGAACGATCTTGTTCATTATTCTTGTGTTCTCTACTCACTGGTATTCTTCATAGCGGCGGACGCTTCCCATTGACGAAACGACGAAGAGGACACGTTTCACGACAGGACAGCGCTTGTCGGGATGTCTCCATGACTGCTCGAACTGTCTGACGACTGGCAATGTCAACGCCATTTTTATGTATCAACGAGAATGGTTCTGATGGACGTACCACTCGAGAAAGAGACGTGGTCAAGAGGGACATTGACGACCCTCAAGCCAGGATATCGAATCCAGTTGTCGCACCAAGGGTTGCAGATCAGTTTGTTCTTTCCGTTGTGACTTCGCCCGCAGTATATGCAAAAGATACGAGGCCTGAGCCATGGGTCAGACGGTGTGGTTCAGAGCGAGCACGAAGGCGCACTCTTTTCTCAGTATATCATGCAGAGATGGGATGGGCAGATCATCGTGAAAAGAAGGTGAAGATGGTGAAAGTTGAGCAAACAGCTCTAGCCGAGGAAGCTGATCAGTAGTGATGCGCATACTGTCTGTTCGAACGAACATACCTCCGATCTCTACGCCTCGTTTCCCGTTCCTTACCAGATCGGAAGGCCGGTTTCCTTGGTGGGAGTTATTGTACATTCTGCTATCTGGATACTATGTCCATCAGGCAACTCATGAGCGAGAAGAAGAATACGGTGAACGATATGAAGACGTACTTAACAAGATGAAAGAGTTGAGCAAGAGCGTGTATCACACGCGGACTCCGTGTCGAGGTCGTCCCCGTGCAGAGTCAGATCAGAGCTGCGTACACGAGGTCAGCATATCAGTCTCTGTCATCGCTGAAAGCGTACGAACTTCGCTCAACCAATCAACAATATCACTGCTGATTAGCCAAGACATGGAAGAGAGATAAACTATAGAACGACGAAGGTTCTCTGCTGAACAATTTTCGTGAAGTGGCTCCGGCGCGAGAAAAGTACGCAAGGCTTGTTGCCTGTCTTGTGAAGTAAGCCCGGGCGTTCGTGACAGTGATCACGGCTCCGCTGCACGGTTCTCGACTGTCACGCGTCCACCTCAGACCACAAGCGAGGATGGGCGACGCAGAGCATACACGGAATCTCCATTATATTGAGCGCAGGGACGCATTTGGACCGCGCCACACAAGTCGGACACGAATGCTGTCAGTGCATGGTGGTCGGGAGCAAGTACAATGGTCGTGGGAATGTAAATTATTGCCTAATCAGGAAGGCCATAACAAACAAACAGCATAGATAAACAATGGACCCATAAGTCATGAAGTCATCAAATCGTACGTAGAATAGATACGTATGGTACAGATATATATATTTAATCGTGTTGATATCTTGACCAGCTCACTTCGAGTCATATACAACCAAATATGCTGGCTTGATCGCTTCGTTGCGGTACACGACGAGCTCATCGTAGTTCAGGCTGCCGCCGACCTCCGCTAACACCTGGAAGCGATCTCTCATGAGCCCTGATTTGCCTTCAGGCAGAAGAAATAGAGCTTACCGAGTCATGACCGGCCGGCGGCTCCGTCAAGTCAGTCTTGTCGCGCAGCATCTTGTACCCGCGCCCAACCACCACCTTCGTCAAGAGGATGGCCTTACAAGTCGACGGCGTCTCGCCGTCGTTCATCGAGTAGTCATTCGCTTTAGACGACGTCGAAGACGTATATAGGCCCTTGCCGAATCTAAGTACGATGTTCAGCAAATCGGTCAATAAACCATCTAACGGCGCGCCTAGCGAGCTCGCACTCACCTCCCCCACCCCGTCCTTCCCTTGAAGAAGCTCAAATCAAACGACGTGCGGATAATGGAGCAAAGCGAGCAGCTCGGTATATCGCACAAGTGATTCTGCCCGTCATCGCCCAGGCGGCACTGCCGCTTCGTCCCATGCCAGCGCCGATTCTCGTTGCCCTTGGTCAAGCCCTGCGCGGTGAAGTGGCCACGGGATTCGACTTCTTCTCTGCGAGGCGGGGTAAGATTCTGGTTGCTCGAGGCAAACAAGCAGAAATGCTAGCGCTCACCTATACTGCTTGTACTGGTTCACGATCTCTCGCGGCGGCTGGATGAAATAGATCTGCCTAACTGCTGGGATCGAGGTGCGATGTCTCCAGGAGTCCTGGAACTGGCGAGCGACTGCGCCGTTGAGCCATTGTATGAGAAAATAGTCATGCGAGTACGTACCGCTCCTGAAGCGATCATGGTCGACGGGGACCTTGAGGACGAGCGGACCCTCGTCGAGCGCTGTGTCTCGGCACGCCCTGCCGCAGTACGCAGATACTCTATCTGTGGGATTCTTGCGACATAAAAGGCAGATGTGTTCCGCGAGGCTGAAGAAAGGCGTCAGTGATGGAGCAATGGAGAACAGGTCAACGAGTTGACGTACTTCCTGTGCTTCAAAGAGCAGTACTTCGAGAGCGTCCCGTCGTTCTTGCGATAGACAGAGTTGCCGCAGTCGACGATCGCGCATGTCGTAGCTGACAGTCTATGTTAGGGCTGGAGTAGAGGACACGCAAGTCGTACTCACCTGACGAACTCGCCGCTGCCGTCGGCTGTGGCGACGAGGGCGGCTTCACAGTAGCAGATATCGCGGCCTTCGCAGCGGCCTCTGCTGCCGCTGAGGCGCAGAGCCTGCCGCAATGCGGAAAGATACGCTTTCCCTCTTTGTACTTCGGACGCGAATGGCAGTACTTCCCAGAGGATTAGCACCTCTTCAGGCAATTCCAATGAACTTACTCACTTCACAAAGCTTCGACGCTGCCGTAGCGCAGCTACGGCCACAAAATTTGTACCCAGTACTTCCATCCTTGAATCTCGGCCGTGTGTGGCAATGCTGCAAACCATTTAGCAGGGAAGAACGTAAGGATTACAAGTGAGATCACTCACGTCGCAAAGGTACGAGGGCTGGTACGTGTCGACGAGGGCAGGCATAGCGTCCAGCGGTATGCAGCAAGTGATTCAGCGGAATGCGAATGATGGCTTAGACGAAGAAGGGTATGCTGAAACTTATAGCGGGTCTCCGCGAAGGCCACGCCTCGCGCGCAAGGGGGCACCTGGAAGCCATGAGGCGCGGACCGTCAGCGATGTGTGGTAAACTTTGCCCGTGGGTCCCCTCTTGTGCATGTCGGCCTCACCTTACTAGGATGCGGCTTGCTCAAGTGGCGATTAGACATATATGAAAGTTAGAGGCGTATACAAGCTCTCTACACGTCCGTCTTCGAGGCTGGTACTGACTGAGCGAGTTCTGTTTTCGATCATCGACCCCATAAGTACAACGTGGGCCCAGAACATCTGTATACGTTTTTCCAAAATGCCTTTGGTGACGTGCTTGAGTATTGCAGACGTTCGAAAACGATATCTGAGTGGACGAAGGCAAGAACGGAGAACGGGACGGCCCGCTGATCACCGAGTCCTTCTCACGGCTCGCAAGTTGAACATGGAACCCAGATCGTTTCTGCTCGTTGTCCTCACCTTCGTGACACTTGTTCCACTCCAGTCCTCTCCAGCGCAGATCCACTCGCACCACCCAAAGTAGCGTCGACTTACTCCCTTGTCCCGGGGGGCTTACGCGCACAAGACACGTGCTGCCCTTATTATACGGAGCCGGTGGGGTCAGCCGGCGCCTCGCCTGAACAACGTGGGGGACGGGATGTGCTGAGTGCTGCGACCTGTCTCGCCATTGCTATCTCGCGTCGCTAGACGCATGGCTCGCTAATTGCAACTTAACTTCGACCACCACAATCGCGCCACTCATCGGCCGAGCTCAAGCTCCCTAACATCGCTCGCGTTCCCCTTCAGCTGTCTCCAGTTACATGTCCACACCTGAACCCATTGATATAGCCCCTCTGGCAATCCCTTCCGACACTCTCGTACGCATCGGGGAAGTCCCTCCAGGGTCCTCTGATAGCCCGCGCCAAGCGACGGTTACGACAGGCGAGGACGGGGCTGTCCAAATCTTCATGCCCCACGGCTGCCAGATCACGTTCACGCCGCGCGACTCGGGCGCCGTACGCACGCTGGCGCCTTCTACGCCAACGACACCATCTAAGTCTGGCTTCGACAGCGCTCTCAGGCCGACTGCTTCGACTTCTTCCCTCTCTTCTCATCTGGGCTCATCATCCCATCGACAACCGGACGAAAGCGGCGAGCAAGACTCGCTTGTGACTTCCACCTCCGTAGCGGAGGCCGACATAGAGGAGATTGAGGCGTCTTCTGACTCTACATCGCCCATGCCTACGGCGCAAGGCATCGCGTCGCCGCCGTATATGACACAGCGGATACCGGCGGATGAGGACTACCATCGCCACGCGGGAACCCGACATCGCAAAAATGCAGGATTAGGCTTCCAGGACAGCCAGGTGCATGTGAGGAGAGGCTCGGACGACATGTCTACGGATGATATGCAGCCGCACAGCTGCCCTCCCACGAGCAGGCCGCGTAACTTCGCGCCGACCACACCTTTGCATGGGAACTACAAGGACCATCGCAGTCGACCTGTGTCCGCGACGTTGCCCCTGCAGTCGACCAACCGCGAGAATGTGTACGCCAGCGCCAGCGCCAGCCCCAAAGCGTACTCAGGCAGCCCGGGCGGGAAGCGGCAGTATACTCGGCCAGCGAGCCTCGCCACAATCCGCTACTCAAGCGCCGAATCGGTCGCGCGCTCGCAGCTTGGCTCTCCCTACATCCAAATCACCCCTCCCGCCGATCGCAGCAGCCAGTTCTCCGTCGCATCCTCCTCGCCCAAAACCATCCTGTTCTACCACAAGCACGATCCGTACTATGGCTTCACGAACTTCTCCGATCATCCGGTGATCTTCGAGGGCAAGACATATCCAACGAGCGAGCACCTCTTCCAGGCGTCGAAGGTCGTACACTGCACCCGTATCGATAAGCACGAACTGACGTTCTTCTCTGCAGTTCCTCGAATACCGCCCACTGCTTGCGGAGCATATCCGCAAGGTGTCGCGCAGGCCGGCCGTCGCGTTCTCTGAGGCGCGTCGCTTCCAGCCTGAAGTCCGGCCAGATTGGCTGCAGGTCAACATACAAATGGTGAGCGCGCAGTCTCAGGAATGATCAGCAACTCACCGCTCGCGCAGATGGACCGAGCCATCTACCACAAGTTCAAGCAGCACCATGATCTTTATGAAGAACTTTTATCAACTGGCGACGCAGAGCTCATTGAGGTGCGTCTTCTGCCCCATCTCTACGTCACGAAACTCACTATCGCGTAGGACTCCGACAAGGATGCCTTCTGGGGCGTCGGCGCCGACCGCAAGGGCCGCAACGAGCTCGGCAAGGCCCTCATGCGCTTGCGCGACAGACTCCGGAGGGAGGAGGAAGAGGAAGCTAGGGCGATTGCTGAGGCCGCCAAGGCAAGTCCGCCGCCCTCTCCCAGAACGGGCGGTTTGAACAACTTATAGGTCGCAAGGTCCGCCGACGCAACATCCCTCCGATATAACTCGCCAATCACATACAACGCTCCCCTCGCGTACAACGAACCTGTCGCGCGTCGAACATCGCAGGGGAGTGACAGCGTCCGGTCGTCGCATCGGTCGGGGAAGGCGGGGCGGCAAGTGCCCGTGCGGTTCTCGTCGGGCTCTGGGGGGAGCGGGGGATATAATACTTGGGAGCGTTCGTCGCATGTTGAACAAGAGGGGGCGAGGCGGAGCAGCAGGCGCGCCAGCGGTGGCGGTGGCGGCGGTCGCGCGCCTGCCCCGACCTCTGGTCCTGTTGAGTGGGTGGTCTACGCTTTCGTCGCTATTGCGGCCCTCGCTATTGGGGTAAATATGTTTGTAACTTAATCGAGCAGTCGCATTGTCTCATGAGCATGTATCTAGGCGTTCAAGTGATCCCGTGGCTTTCCTGTTGCGCTGTCCGAAAAGTGCTTGGTCGAGAAAAGGCATTCCTGAATCAGATACTTATGTGTACGCCAATGTACTGTACACTACGGGACGGGTTCGTATATAACGAGATACGCGGGCTTGATGGCATCGTTCCGATACACGACGAGCTCGTCGTCTTCCACGAAACCATCCGGCTCGGCAAGGATCTAGACGGCCGTTAGACCCCGGGCAGAAGAAGTGGCCTAATTCGTCCCTACTCACCGAGTCGAAGCCATGCGGGGGACGAGTGGCCGTGGGTGCATCCGTGACGCATTTGGCCATATTTCCGGCGGCGACTTTACACAATATGAGCGCTTTGAAGCGTGAGGCGCACGCATTGCTCGAGTATTGATCAGCCCTAGCAGAAATCATCTTAAGCGCTTCATCAGGCAGAAGTAAGACTGGATAAATACTTAGAAGAAGTGGCGGTCGAGTAGATACCCCGACCGAGCCTGTGAAGGGCGAGAGTAAAAACTGTGGCCCGACACAGCATGAATCACAAATTGTGTACATACCTTCCCCAACCGTTCTTCGAATTGGCGAACCCCAGGTCGAAGGAGTTGCGTATGATGTTACACAGCGAGCATGTAGGCTGAGCACACAGATTCTCGTGATTGTAACTGTCACCGAGATTGCACGCACGCCTGGTCCCATGCCATCGATACACCTCATTCCCCATGGCCATACCTGCGTTCTGAAAGCCGCTGCGCGACTCCAGATAATCGCTGGAGCGCATTGTTCAATGACCATAAGAAGATGAACATGACTTCAAGGACTTACCGATACATCCAATAAGACTCGTCCGCGCTCACGGACGTGGCCAGCATGTACACCTTCCGTACTTCCGGGCGACCTGAGTGCATGGAACGTTCCCATGTCTCGTCGAAGTATCCTAAGACTGGATATCTGTCAGAAAGATCAATGCGAGAGATCGCAAGAGCTTACTGCTCAACAATCGCACAGCATGTACGTCGCAATCCATATCCCACAGACGAGGCACATGGGCGAACTTGAGCCAGCACGATTGCGAACAGAATTCACTGGGCTCGTTCTGCATGTTCACCTTGCAGAACGCGCATATGTGGCCGTAGTACCTGTGTGATCACTATAATCCATGGGTATATCAAGAAGAAGAAGCGTACATGTGTTCGAGATCGCCACAGGTAAGAGCAGGAGCATTGATGGACAGTATTTTGGCTGGTTGCTGACACGTTGGCACGGAGCATCTGGGAGCGACTTAAGAGAATTAATGTGAAGCCAAAGTTGCGCAATGTCACGGAGAAACCGCTTACAGTCTTTACGAAACGGAAAATGCTGGCCCTTGCTTTGAGCCAATGGAAAGGGGTATTGTCGTGCTTTCGCTTTGCAGTAGTCGCAGGGGTCGTCCAAGCCAGCACCCCAATGAGTTTTGCACATCTGTATACATGTGTTAATGAGTGAACATCTATGTTGAATTATACGAAAGCGCACAGAGCATTCTTCTGTCAAGCTGACCGGGACGGTGAAGCATCGTGCGCAGTAGAAACCTGGTGGGGCGCCCATCGGCATTCTGTAAACACTCGGACGAGCATGGCAACGCTGTGGAAAATCTCAGTGTGCTGGGGTACCATAAGCTACTGCCACGCGTACCCCACAAAGTGGTGCTCGTTCGGGAACTGCCAAAGCCATTATGCAGAGAAGACGGGACGAGCGAAGGAGCTGACTGCGATGCTGACGCTTTAAGGAGATTGGAGAGCACGTCAAGACCAGAAGGGCCTTGCGTACACCGCATGGCCTTTCAGCAATGCGTGCTTCGTTAGAATTGAGCTTGGAACATGTAGGGAGGGCAGGGAGGGGTTTCCATTGTAGAGGCCATTATCACCGAAACGGAAGGTTGGAGATTCTGTGTGCACTGCATGAGTCGTCCGCAGTAACAGTCTTGCTACGGGTTCTTCGAGAGGTCTTTGTCCCGAAGGGAATTGCTGAGCGCATCGGGGGACACCTAAGGATAAACAACAGCGACTGATAAATTCGAGGAAATCACTCGATATAGGGATGACGAGTATAGGTCGTGCAGCGTTAATAGATCTCCACCTGAATGTGTCAATGGACCTCGCAGAAGCGACGTACGCAGAACTTGTCTTTGTTGACGGTTCGGGAAGAAAGACTCGAACGTGACAACTATACACCGTGACGTGTTACTCTCTCTTGCTGGACCCACGTGGATTGTGCTTGTTCCCAGTCAGCGGTGCGCAGAAGTTCACTGCAGCCTTCGGACAGCCTCGGACACGAGGTGAGCATGTCCGAGAGAGACGATTAACTCAGATTTTCAGAGAATTCGTGACTTACTGTCGTGAACTTCACCTCAGAACAAGGCCTTCCTAATCCGGCACAAAGACTATTTCCCCAATTGTTATAATGTCGATCCAGGTTGGACTGGATCCGCAAGGAATACTGTTGAATATACTGTACATCTAAGATAGATAAGCACGTCAAGAACTGTGACTACTTTCCTTATATCCACCAAGTTAGAGGCGCGTACATTTATACGTACAACCAGCGCCCAAGACCCTCGGCCCACTCTCCCAGCTCGGCAAGCGAGGTACGCTCGAAGGATTGGCGCAGCGGCGGGAGCGGTTGAGTCTCCTCAACCGCCTTGGGGCTGCCAAGTTCAGGACCTGGAGTGACTGGGGGCGTAACAACGCCAGAGTTCTGCCTTGCCTCAGCTTCGAAGTTGCGGTGGTGGGCGTAAGGGGACAGGATGCCGAGGCCGCTGCCACCGACGGAGGTCGAGTAGGGCTCGAAAGCGGCGTCAACGAGGTCCTGGCACAATGCAGCTAGGTTTTCGTCGCTGAAGTCTAACTCGAAGGTCAGCAAAAGCCCCAACCGCGAAGAGATATGAACCCACCATCAGGGACAAGAGTGACCGCGCAGCCACCGCCGCCGGCACCCGTCAACTTGGTGCTCAACCCGTACGGAGCGCTCGCCGTCTTCGCCCTGATATTCTCCAACGTCGGGTGCGACACGCCCAACGACACAAGGTACGAGTGGTTCTCGTTGATCCACGCCGCCAGGGCGTGCAACAGCGCCTCTCGAGGCAGCTCAGCATCCGTCAGGGCCCGTTGCGCCTCATCCACGATATGCTGTATCGACTTCAGCACCCTGCCCACCATCTCTGGCTCGCGCTGCTTCAGTTCCCCGACGCCCGCCACGAGCTTCTTCGTGTCCCGCGGCACGCGCGAGTTGGTGAGCAAGAACTTGAGTCGACGGAAGCCCTGGATCGGGACCATGCCCGCGGGGCGGCCATTCAGGCCGCGCGTGTACGCGAGCGCGCCACCGAAAACGGCGACCGAGTTGTCGACGCCAGACGGGTTGCCGTGCAGGATCTTCTCTGCAACGAAGGCCCAGCGGTTCACCTCGCTGGCGACGTCCGGGGTGATAGCGCGACGGCCCTCATGCGAGATGTGCACGTGGCCCGTCTCTGCGGAAGACGGGGCAGGCGGGGGCGGGATGCTGATGCGGCGGTGGAGCAGGAGAAGCGCGGTGGCAGCGCAGGCGGAGAAGGAAGCGGAGGAGCCAAGGCCGGCCCCGACGGGGAGGGTAGCACGGGCAGAGAAATTGAAGGAGGGGCGGCGGCGGCCGGCGAGGGTCATGTAGATGTAGAGGAAGGCGACGCTGGCGGCCTTGGCGTGGCGGTAGCGGTCGGCGGCCAAAGACTTGAGCGGGCCATTGTAGAGCGCCTCGATGAGCTTGAAGTTCAGGGTCTCGGGAGGTTGCTCTCCCAGACCGACGGGAGTGACAACATCCCAAGGAAGGGACTTGATGTCCCATGCGCCGGCAAAGTTGTCGATGTCGTGTAAGTGCACCGAGACCTTGCCGTCGTGGCGAGGTGAGCAGAGACCATAGCACCGGAGGTCGACTGATGCCGCGATAGCAGTCTGATTGTCGAGTTAGCTATCATCGTACCACGGATGGCTATCGAGAAAACATACCACGCCATGCACGACTGCGTGTTCGCCGAACAAGATGACCTTACCGGGCGAGCTGACAAACCATTCGGTCTCCTCGTCCTCGTCAGCAAGCTTCTCAGCCTCTGCCTCTGCTTCCGGCGAGTCGGGCAGCGGTGTGCGAACAAACTTGTTCTGAGCCGCATTGAGGGATATGGCACCGGCATCGTAGAGCGCGTGCTCTAGGTCATCGAGCAGGTCAGAGGCGTCCTCGATACCGACGCAAAGGCGGATGAGGTCTTCCGGAAGCCCACGCTCCTTGCGCGTCTTCGCATCGATAGATGCATGCCTGAAAATACGTGAGCCAAAGTCGTACGTTGCAAAAGTGAAGAAACACGCACGACATCACACAGGGCATACTGATCAAGCTGTTCACACATCCGAAGCTGACGGAAATGCCCCACAGCCGGGTCCCACCGACGATGCGCTCGCTAAGCTCCTTGCTGCCAGTCTCAAAGCTGAGCACGGCGCCGTTACCGTCGGACAGGCGCTCGTGAACCTCCCTGTTCGGGTGGTTAGGCAGGCCGGGGTAGTTGACCTTGAAGCCGAGGCCATGGAGGTAGTTGGCGACAACGCCAGCGGTGGCTTGCATGCGATCCATGCGAATAGCCAAAGTCTTCACCCCACGGAGGAGCAGGAAGGAGTCAATGGGAGAGAGGGCGTTCCCCACAGAATTGATCGTGAACGCCATTTTCTGGGCACATGTTAGCAGGGCGTGCGCGGTCCAGGCGCCTCTCGCCGTACCTTGGCAATGTCCTCGCGGTTGCAGGTAATGACGCCGGCCATGAGGTCGTGGTGGCCGGAAAGGTACTTGGTGGCGCTGTCGTAGACGATGTCTGCGCCGTGCTCGAGGGGGCGCTGGAGGTACGGGCTCATCATGGTGTTGTCCACGACGACGATGGCGCCAGGAGCCTTCTCTTTGACGTCGCGGGTGACAGTCGCAAGGTCCACGATCTTGATCAAGGGGTTGGTGGGGGATTCGAGCAGGACGAGCGCGGTCTTCGTGGGGTGGATGTGCGGGCGGACGTTCTCTGCGTTCGTGGTGTCGACATGGTGGACGGTGACGCCGACGTGCGTCTTGATGAAGGTGAGGAGACGGTTGGTGCCCCCGTACAAATCGTCGCCGGCGATGACCTCGTCTCCGGGCTTTAGCAGGCGCAAAATGACGTCCAGCGCTGCCATGCCCGACGACACGGCGAACGCATGTTGTGCGGACGAGATTTTCGCAAGATGGTGCTCTAGTCCATTCGTTAGCTTGCTAACTCGTTGTGCACATTGCTACGCACCAAGATGACTCCTCGTCGGGTTACCGCTGCGAGTGTAGTCGTACTGCCCCCCAACGCCCTTGAACGTCGCAGTCTGGTAGATGGGTACGGAGCTGCTGCCGTACTGATCCTTCGCCTCAGGGTTTTCTACTGTCGCGCACATCGTCGAGAACTTGTATGGCTTCCGGGGCCCCAGCGGCGACTCGGGCTCCGGGGTAGGGAGATCGCGCACCCTGCGCAAATCTATTGTCGGTGCCATCCTAGAGTATGGTTTCTGCTGCCGACTTCAGCAGCAAGGGGGATTCAAATTCGAGAGAGGGGATGTGGTGGAGAACAAGATGTGCTTCCGAATGCGACGGGTATAAAGATGACTGTCGATGGCGTGATCCGGGCCGCTCGTCGACGGGTCGTTCGAGTTTGCTTCATCCGACGACGACTGCGATGCCTTACCTACCTCCGAAGAAGGCGCGAGAGCAAAGTACGTCCATCGCATGAGATAGATGCGCACTCACAAACGATCCGATAGAGCAGCGCCAGGTGAATGCGTCGACCACCGCTTTAGCGCCCGAGGTCCTCGCCAAAAGGACAAGGCGCCATCTCGATGAGCTCGAGGTATGCCGGCAGTGACCTCCAATTCTGTACACTCAGCTCGTGGGCAGCAATCGAATTATGCAGAGGCTATTGGGGAGGATGCAGGGGAGACCAGTAGCAAGTCGCGCCATGCCAAAGGGAAAGCCCGCACGCCCATCACCGACCAGCGCAAGGTGAATCTCCTGGGCAGCTCGCCCGCCACGAAGAGGAAGAAGTCGACCATGGCCGTTCGTACTGCCCTGCTCTACCCGACGAACTTCAACGCCCTCCTCGAAAAGTCGGTGCGTGGTATGACGGTGGGCTCGTCAAGGGCATTCTTCTGAAGATTGAACAGAAGATCGAAGCGATGCCCGGTCCCACATATCTCACGGCAACGGCTCCTCCTTCCCCTTACCCTCCGCGACTGATCTGCTCCATCTGTAGCTACTGGGGCCGATACAAGTGCATGAAGTGCGCGATGCCTTACTGCGATCGCAACTGTGCTGGCGTCCATGACGAAACTCGCTGCGAAAAGCGCGTCTTATGAACGCCATTCCTCCCCCTCCACGTCTACGGTCCCTCACTGTCTTCTCCGTGACGAGCGCTGTTGGCGCTTCACCACGATCACTTCGGGACGCGCGCTTCGATGAGGGAGACGACCACCTCGCACGCGCCTTGTCCCTCTACATGGCCTCGTGCATCCTCGGACCTGCGCTCCTTCGACACGCAAGGATCCTTCCTGCGAACTTCATCTGAGTGCACCTATAACTCGATGATCGCCGTTTCGATGTCTGCTCAGCTGGGGTGAATGCTCAACCTCGGTTGTCTGTGCGAATGGGCATCGCTGTCACGGTCATCGTGTGCGATAGCACCCCAAGCTCCCCGTTGTACCTGCCCCTGTATTGGGAAGATTACCACTTGCCTGCGCTTCGCGGTCAGAAGGACTCAGCGTAGATGAATCTGCCTACGTCGGTGCAAATATCATGGTGTGATCGTCCAATCTCGGATGGCCAACGAAGATGTCAGAACGATTGCGGTTGTACTGAGGCTCGGGCTTGTCTCACGACTCGATAGGGATCCCAGTATCGACTTTGACCGCTCTATGACTCCAATCCCTTGCACTCTACTACTACTTTTCATACCGTGTATGGCTTGCAACATATCGTTTCTTCGCCTTCGGGACGCGCTCGTCAACCTTCCACACTGCACTATGGGCGGGAAGCCACGCACATCCCTGCCTTCCGTTGACCCCCACTTTGGTTACGGACCGCGCGGAACCTGATGCTAAATAGCCTTTCGCGCGTGTCTCCATGATAAACTTTTGATCGCGAGACCTGCTCCCGCTGAACTTGTTTCTCTCGTTCTGAGCTCGTTTCTCGACCGTTTGGGCTTCAAAAAACAAACCCGAGACGGGATTCGAACCCGCAACCTCTGCCTGATCCTTCTCCGGAAAGCAACGTCATAACCATTAGACAACTCGGGCGTTATGGAGAGATCTTTGAGGCTACCTTCGTCCTCAAAAATTTTCAAACCAGTCCGAATGCCGACCCTCAAGTAAACCAGCAGGACAGCAGAGAACGACAAACCAAGACCAGCTCATAATATACCCTTGATCCTTGTCTTTCAAACGGTCTAGGACAAGTGCGACGCACGGCGTCAATAAACAATAGGATAGCGAGTGGCAGAATTAGTACATGAGGGTAGCATTGGATGCACCGAATCAGTTGTAGGTAGTGCGCCTCTTCAGCTTCTTCCTCAACCTCCCAAGAGCCTTTCCGAGCTCATTCCTCCCGCGGCCGTCCTTGCCGATACCCCAGAAGGCGTCAACAGGAGAGTCCTGTATACCATCAGTGAGGGTATGTACGACCAGTAAAGATGAGGTTGTACCTCAATCAGCTCCGCACTCCCCGTCGATAGCAGCTCCTCCTGCAAGTCCTTGTGCTGGGTGAACTTGAGGTGCAGCGCTTCGTCCATCTGAAAGACAGGTCAGTCCGGCGTACGCGAGGCAGCAAGGCACGCGCACCTTGTCGATGTTGACCTTGAACCAGTCGCGCCGCTTCTCATTATCAAAGCGACGCGCCTCGGACAAGGCGTCTCTCGGGCGCGGCTGCCTGCGAATATGCTCGGCGAGCTGAGGTTGGTGTTCCATGAACTAAGATGACCATCAGACGACGCTCCTACTGACGCATTGGCTTCTCACCTTGAACGCCTGAAAGAGATGCTCGCTCGTTGGATAGATCGCATCTTTGTACTTCACCGGATGCGGCGAGAAGTTAGTGAACCCATAGTGCGGCTTGTCCCTGTCGTAGAAGAAGATCTGGGGGCGAGGGCGCAGCGACCTAGGCGCTGGACTAGGTGATCCATGGCCACTCTGCGCGGCGTGTGGCGAGGTCTGCGGCGAAGACGAGTCTACGCGCGGTACTGAGGTGGCGAGGAAGGTATCCGGCGCCCTATACTGTGGCGAGAGGCCTGTGGAGACCGAGAGTTGTCCGCGCTGGCTCATGAGTGGCTGATGTTGGTGCAAGTGGTGAACCCTGGCTGGTCCTTGTAGTCTGGCGTCGTTGGGTCGCAAAGCCGCCATCGGAGATGTGTCCGATATCTCATCGCACAGGATGAGCACGAGCATCGTCATCTTCAGCATAGCTCACAATGATAATCAGCGCGTTTGTTCGGCCTGGTATGCTGAATGATATCCGGGTTTTGTCGAGAGCGAAAGGGCGTCGGAGGAAGACGAGAGGCGACCTTTATGAGTGGAGTGATCCATGCCAATGACCTGGCCTCGTGTGAGTCGCGCTTGCGAAGCTCCGAAAGAGGGGTGAGATGAAGGGGCATGACCGGGCGTTTGTACACGAGGCGGCATAGCCGCACCGCATCAGCGCTTCCGACCTTCGACGACGTGCATCGTGTCCTCAAAAGTTTGTTGCACTGAACAATTTCTAGAGAAAGGGAGTTCGACGTACAGATTTCAATAGATCTAGCTGGCAAGGAACAAAGAGCAGACCGGCAAAATCCGAGGACCCTTCAGTGCGCAACACGTGTAAGAGTGATGCCAACGTTTGTTAGCAGACGCCACCATGTTGAAAGTCGTCAGCGAGGACGCCGCTGGCCTGAAGCACACGTCGCGCCTTCCAAGAGTTGACCCTTCTCAATTCTTTCACTGCTCGACTGCGTGATGCCTGGTAGCAAACACGAGGCGACCGTCTTACCGAAACGGGGTCCTTGACCACGCGAAAAACGTACTTGTCTTCCTGACCGACGCGCGGTGATAGACCCTTTCAACCCGCCACATGAATGTCCGCGGGCCATAAATAATATCCAGCCGAAAGCGTCTGCTCCACATCTCCAGCTCCCACTATGGCGAAGACGCCTCAGTACAAGGACTATCCCTTCGCTCACTGCGCAGACCTGCGGCGCCCCAACCTGGGTCGCCTGAAGGGCCTTGCGCGCCAGGATCCAGAGTACGAACAAGGTTGATGGGGAGTAGCTTGCGTGAGTTCGTGTGCTGACGCGCTCGCAGTCTTGCGATTCTTCATGACTGGGTGGCTTCACCCTCACAAGCCCATTCCGGACGTTCTGGACATTTACAAGCTGCCGCAGCCGTCCAGAAGCGTCGCTGCGTATGAGAGATACAGGTAAGGCATTTTCGAAGTGAACCTCGTTTCCACACCGAGTTCGCTCCTAGGGACCGAGTGGCGTCTGAGCTGCGAAATCCGCGCGATCCTTCCTTCGCCAATGAGACGCTCTTATTCCATGGCACTCGTCATACGTGCTTGGGTGATCCCCAGTATGTCTGGCACCTCGCTGTGCGACCGCTTCAGCTGCTATTCATGTGGCGTCGTACGCGCGTCGTTCAAGAGGGATAGATGCGGTACGATGGGTTTCCTTACTATCATTATCTTCAGTTCTAACCCGCGATAAAGGACAACGACATTCCTTCAAGAGGTAATTTCAACCTTATGTCCTCTCTGTAACGCTTCTGACATCCTCAGGTTCGGGACCGGCATCTACGTGAGCTCGTGCTCTTCCAGTACGTCTCAAATCCTTCGATGAGCGGTGCGGCCTCTAATTATCTCGCGCAGAGGCAGACGACTATTTCGACGATGGCGGAAGTGATCCTGGCGTCCGCACGCTGCTGGTCAGCAAGGTCGTCATGGGTAGACCGCTTGAGCTACGCTACAGCGATCCCAGTATTTCCGAGCCTCCGCCAGGACATCACTCTGTAAGTTGATGCAAATTTTTCGTGACGCCGTATCCTGACGAATGTAGGTCGTCGGCCTTCCTGGTGGCAATCTCAACTATCCCGAGACTGTCGTATACCACGAAGATGCTATTCGGCCGGCATATATTATCAAGTACCGATACGACACCGCGACCGCCAACGCGCAGGCGATACCACCCGACACGTGCGCCTGCGCCGCGGAGGTCCCATGGGAGAAGCAAGTGGATTCGTCAGTCGTGTTACGAACTCGCACGTCGCCCTCCTCACCTCCCAGGCAGGCTAGACATGTTGAAGAGCTTCATCCGTGGCGTGGACGACGTGCTCCGCAGCGCTCCTATCCCCGTGCAGCTACGCCTGTCCTCGCAGGACGAGTTGGCGCCGAAGCGCATCGCTCGGACACTGATAGAGGAGGATCAGCCGGTCCATCGCCGCGCGAGCGCTTCGCGCAGCACCACGGTCGTGCGCGACAACCCGGCAGCAAAGTCTACGGGCGGCAAAGAGTACGTTTTCTCTCATACCCAGCAATCCTCTGAGCTAACCTGATGCAGGTCTAGCTTGTTGTCGTTGATCTTCGGCCCTTGGCAGCGCGGACCGTCTCAGGAGACTTCGACCGCTGAGGCACGAACTACCGACTCAGACTCAGACTCGGACGATGACAACGAGGAGGACATGTCTGCCTTGATTTCTCAATTTGCGTTCCTGTCGTAGCATCCTGTGTCACATTCATCTTCGCATGTATTTATGAGCGGTATTTATATGGGCGTTTTTGGTTTGTTGTACTTAGCTCTCTATGTTGGAATATTTATTCGGTGTTCAAGTCTTACCTTCTTATTCCGCATACTAGGTATGCATGCCTTCTACGCTGGCTTGTCGTCTTCCTGAGCCTATGACAGCTGCGACAATCATGATAGGGACTTGGACGCCACTTTGTAAACGCTGGAGCTTTCTGACCTGCGATTGCTCTCGGCGGACACGACGCTGAGCAAGCCGCATATCGATCTTGTCACCACGACACGTGTGTAACACCCTCCGCGCCTCATGCCCGCCGCGTGCCCCTCGTCGTGAAGTCCACCTGTACAGACCCTATAACTGCCACCAGGTACGCCAACCCGACGCTAAGTCCCATCCGCAGCCCTCCTCCATCAGTCGCCTCACCCTCGACACCATGGCTGCACCTCCTCCCTGCGAAGTGCGCTCCGTCTCTTATGCACGCGCCCTGACTCACCTGGTGCGCGCTTCCAGACCTGCTTCGTGCAGCCCGCCATGCCCGGGTCTGCGTACTGCGGGAAGACGTGCGAGGACAAGGATAAGTGCGAGGTATGCATGTTCGATGCGCTTCCGATGGCTTGATCGCTCATACGACGTCCATCAGCTTTGCCATAAGCGCCCGAAATACAAGGGCGGGAAGCAGCCGTCGTCATACTGCAGTAAGACCTGCGCAGACAATGCGAAGGCCTTAAGGTCGCCCACTCCTGCGAAATCGCCTTCGCTGAAGTCAAATCAGTCCTCTAAGTCGAGTGGTCCAGGTAAATGGAGTATATTATTGCCGAGATTATCCTACTTACCCTGGCCGCCCAGCCTGCGCCATCGTCACCTGTAAGCGCACCGCTCACGAGAACGCTGACGGCACCTATGGGCGCTACTGTTCGGTTAGCCACAAGAAGTGCGTCGAGCGCTCGTTGGCCCTTCTTCTGTCTCTGATCTTTTACGCAGGCTAGGGGAAGCGATATGCCTCTACTGTCGCAAGGGAGAGAGGAGGGCCAACTCTGCGTTCTGCAGCCGCACTTGCCGAGACGAGGCGGCCAACAAGGGTCCCATTCTTATGGAGATCCCCTCGGACCATGCCATCTTCGCGAGCGGTGCGAGCTTCTCGTTCATTTTTGCACCACAGGTTTTCTAACTATGCCTCGCCAGTTGCCGACCAGTTCACTGGTTCGTGGAGGCATCCGACGAAGTGTCCCGGCGTGAAGCGCATATACAAGATCATGCCGGATCAGGCAACGTGCGAGCAGTACAACAAATATCGGTGAGTGTTCGGTGGCTTCTAGCGCTAGACAATATAGAGCTCAATTCATTGCTCATCAGCGCGGACGTAGAAACACGCGGCAACTTTGCGGCGCGAGGCATGACTGCGGGCAATGAGCAGCGCCGCTGGCATGGCACGAAGCGCAAGTGCACGCTCGGCGACATGGGTCAGGCGAAGCTATGCGGCGACACGACCTGCTGTCTTTGCAATATTATCAAGACGTCTTTCGACTTGACTGCTTTCGGGAAGAACACGGGCTGGGGCAGGTGGGTGCTACATTAATCTACTTCTATCCGACGTCTGACCGAGTACCTAGATTCGGGCGAGGCATATACACGTCGTCGACGTCGTCTAAGTGAGTACTCGGCCGGTCTGAGGGCTGTAATTAGCTGACTTCCCCAGATCGAACGACTACTCCAAGAACATTGACGCCAGCGCCTTGTCGCCTCTAAAGGCTGTTCTCCTGAACCGTGTCGTCGTAGGCAGGGGGGACAAGACCTACTTCAACCACTCGACATGGACCAGCGCTCCGCCAGGCTTCGACTCCGTGGGTGATGCGATCTCGTCGCGTCATCGAAATTGCTGACAGCGTCCAGGTACTGGCGGAACCCTTCACCATCCCTCTCGCTGGCGCTCTCAACTACGATGAGGTCGTAGTCTACCGTAACGAGGCCATACGCCCGGCGTATCTGGTCTTGTACAAGGCCTGAAATTTCTTCTCATCACCTCGACGCTCGCCGGACGAGACGTCAACAGTTCTCGATTATTCCCACTCGCCTCTGTATTCTATTCGTATCGAAACCACACTTCACATGCTTGTACTTGTAACATTCTCCCTGCAATATATGTCTCTAGTCACTACCAAACGAGGGTAAAAGCTGCAGCCTATTCTGAGCAGACGCCGAACCGGCGGCACGCATAGTCATATCCGCTACAAATGAGGGCATAGAGGGAGGAAAACATAGATAGATAAGATGAACACATACATACATATTTAACGCAATAATTAGTTCGCATCGTGACGGGGTGCACCTCTAAAGACAATTTTGAGGACCTTCACGCACAGTGGCCGAGGTCGCCTGATTTGGTGCCTACTTCTAACGAGGGAATCAGTTTCCTAGCGCGCTCGGGTGAAGAGAAGGACGCACTCGGCGTTCAAAACCTCTGCTGGCGCAACTGCGTTCTCAGCCTCATGAGGGCTTTCCCAAGCTCGTTGCGCCCCTTCCCGTTGGGCCCAACGCCCCAAAAGGCGTCCTGGGCAGAGTCCTGTACCCTGGATCAGCACAGGCGCAGCCGTATGTTTCACACGGCGTACCTCGACAAGCTCCGCCTCTCCCGTAGCAAGCAGCTCCTCGCGCAGAGCCGGATGCTGATCAAACTTGTGCTCCAGCGCAATCTCCATCTGCAACCACTGTTAGCTACGCGACTTCATAGCCGTGACCAACAATGTACCATCTTTACGTTGACCTTGGACCAGTCCTTACGGACCTCACTCTGATAGCGATGCGCTTCCGTAAACGCAGCGCGAGGGCTTGGCGAGCTCGTCCGGATATGCTCGGCTACCTGCGACTTGTGAGGCATAAACTGCGCGTAATCGAGTGAGTCTACGGCGCTGCTCGACTGCCGCTCTAGAGCGTACCTTCAATGCCTGGAATAGGTGCTCGCTCGTGGGGTACACCTTACCCTGATACTTGACGGGGTGGTCGGAGAAATTGGTGAAGCCGTAGTGGGGGTCATGCTTGTGGTAGAAGAGTATACGCTGCGCAGGCGGCTGAGCGAGGTAGACACCCTTGACGTTGCGTGGAGCGTCTCGGCGAGCTTTGGGAGAGGGTTGTCCGCGAGTGGGTGCCGTCGGCGTCTGCCTCTGAGGGCCAGGCGCCTTGCCTTGTCTTGGACAGCACCAGTACGCCGGATTGAGAGCACGGAATGGCGAAGGTCGTGCAGTCCTGCTAGACGCCGCCGCTGCGCGACCTCCGTACTGAGGATTCTGTACGAAGGCGGGCGTGCGACCAGCCGCTGGCGCCCCATGCCCTGCTTGGGCGGCCTTGCCCTTCTGCTGACGCTGGGGCATGCGATGAAGTGGCTAAGAAATGAGTGGTGGCGTTACGGGTCGTGATGAGAAAGGATGGGGCTCGAAAAGTGGGAGCGACTGCTATTTGTACCACTGAGTGCGAAAGTTCGGGCGGTGTCGCCAATGAAGCCGCCGAGATCAAGGTAGTAGCAGTTTGAAGAGTCATTGACCTCGTGTCCTTGTAGCCCCGTCTTCGCCACATGCCAACAAAAATGCGACCGCACCATGAGAGGCAGATCTAAAGTCAGATTACTCACGTGTTTGGCAACTCCGCCGAGTGATCCGACATGTTGATGTTCGCCATCCATTTCCTCGCCATCCTTGCTTTTCGCCTTCTCCTAAAAAGCCCGATATCACTCAGCACACTGGGTTTATGTCTCAATGAATTGCGCAGTACGCGCGCCACGCGTACCTTCATTTTGCTCAAGGAGAACAATGCCGGAGACCCTCGTTGGGAAGGGGCCGGCATAGCACTCATCTTCCAGCCACACACGCAACGGCAGGATTGTGAGGCGTCGTTCTTACGTTTTTGACTTCCCAGAGAGGCTAGAGCAATATACGACAATATCGGACCGTCGCACAACAGATGTGTGTCGCTTTTTTCATTGCCTTCGCCTACGTTATGAGTTAACAAACCCATTACAAGCGCGCAAGTGGACTCTTGGTGCCTTGGGTAATCCAGTCAAGTCCAATATCGAGACTGCATATTCCCACCTGCTTGGAGGAAGGACCTTTAGGCGAGCTAGCGTGGCAGATGTCAAGCTGACAAGATATGGGCGTCGAGCTCCTTATGCTTTTACTTACGAGGATATGTGGGTGAACCTCCAAGGGTACAGAATGAAGTGTTCATGATACTTCATCAGTCCGCAGTCCTCTCCAAATGAGCGCGTTCATAGCTGAGCTTCTCGCCTCCAGGATCGACGCGCCGGCAGGCAATAATATACAATGGGTGCTACGGACGTCACGAACGCTTCCTTCTTCCCAGCTCTTCACTCTCACTTTGAATACATGATGACGTACGCGGGCACGATAGCCTCAGGATGAGGGAAATGAATAGCGGCAACTGACCCCTAGTGAACAATAAGCCAGGCTCGTACTCCGTTATGACTGCGCTCACCTTCTCCAGGGCCAAATTCGCGATCGCAACGCAGGCGATCATCACACGATAAGGCGAGGTCGTACAAGACGTCGCGTCCTTGTCCGCCATAAAGGGATTTCCATAAGTATAAACACCCCTCTCTGGCCTAGTGAGCAGGTGAGTAGCGCGCCCAAGAATCGAAGAAACAACGCTCACATCCCGTCCAATTGTTTGCTCCCAAAAGCAAACGAGCGGAAAGACGACTTGATGGACATGCAGATTCCACAGGACTTGAAGTCGCACAAGACCGGAAGCTTAGTCCCTAGGTCGCAGATGCACTGCTGACTGAAGAAGGTGTGTATGCATGTCTCGTTGGGGCGGCTTGACCTAATCTCCGTCAGCGACATGAACCACCATCGAAGGATCCCTCACTGATAGTCATGATAGCCCCGCATTGTATCTGCGGGCAAGACGACGCGGTAGACCTTCTCCACAGACGGCACAATTCCAGGCCCGCTCCATTCGCCCACGAAGTGCGCCTCGACTGGATATCGACACGATTAGACGTTCATATCTCTTTCATATCTGGGCCATCTACTCACGATTCGAAAACTCTTCGCTACCAGCGTCAACTTCCATGAGTCGCGCTGTGCCAGGGTCCTGCGACCTATTGCATCCCGTGCACAGGTCGCCGACGGCACGGGGGAACTTCAAACACGTCGTGCATGCAAGGGCCTCTCGGCCTTGTACCGCGTCGCTACGACGGAGACTTCATCAGCCGACTGAAGCAGGGCGGACAAACATGCTCACATAGCGTGTTGTTCGCAGCAATATCCGCCAAAGGCAGTTCTCCCCGTCGCCTCGCACGTGCTGAGCGCGCACGCCGACGGGTTCAATCCCTGTTTGCTTGCGCATGTCCGACTGCAGTATGGATACCGCGTTCCGTTCTCCATGAACTTGGGGCGTTTGCCACAGACCTAGAACGCGCGCCGATGAGCAGCGATGACAGGATAAACGGACGTTGCACGCACCTCGCAGAGGTGTGCTGTGGGCATTCCGCTGTGCCGCTGGTTGCGCGAAGTGGCCATCGTCGGAGAGGATGAGAGTTGATTGGGTGTGACGACGGCTCCGGCGACCAACTGTACTTAAGGATGCACGAGATCGCTTTGTGTGGCGAAAACACGAGGCAGCCGCGTTGCATGGCCACCCGACCTCATGTTGTCCTGGAGAACTCCGCATGCAGACCAGGTGTTTGTCAGTGGAATGAACCCCCTTTTGTCCGATAACTAGACCCACCATCGCTCTTTGCCTTCTTTCATCCATACTTTGTTATGGCCGCGTCCGCTCTCGCAACAGGTTTGCCGATAGCGATTTCCGTTTTACAGGCCGCCACGGCAGCTCTCCAGAATCCTTCAAATTCTCGCTCTTCCCTCGACCCCTCAGCACCTCCACCTCCTGCGCCGAGCGCCGTCCCAACGTTATCATCAGCATCTACATCGCACATGCCTCCTGCCCCACCTCCAGCGCCACCTCAGCCACCCATGCGCCAGTCATCCGCCTTGAAGCCCAGCAAGAAGGTCAACGGTTCGAATAACCAGATGCTCTGCGAGGTACGCAATACTAGGCTGCGCTACCCGCGAAGGAAATGACTTAACGAGCTTCAGTACTGTCACTCGAACCCACGTTTCTTCGACGGTGGCAAGCGACATCCCTACTGCAGCAAGAAGTGCGCAGGCGAAGCCAAGAAGAACAACTGCGAGGTGCGCGGTGGCAGTTCCACTGACCTGAGTGGCTTGAACTGACGCTTTCTATGCAGTTCTGCCACCAGCGCCCCAAGTTCAACGATGGCAAGAAGTCCTACCGATATTGTGGCAAGATTTGCGCTGCTGCCGCCGCCGTGCAGGCTGGCGCGCCGAACGAGGACAAGATCTGCTTGATGTGCCGCAAGGCAGAGAAGCAGCCGCGCTCGCACTTCTGCAGCAAGACATGTGTAGAAGAGGCCGAGAAGAAGGGCCCAGCCCTTCTAGAGGTTCCGGTCGGGCATGTTACCTTCATCAGTGGTAAGTCTACCGTAAGCGTGGCTAAGGACGCGACACTCACCTTACGCAGTCGCCGAGCAGTTCAAGCAGTCGTGGAGACACGCGAAGACATGTCCGCCGGTACGGAGGGTCTACAAGATCCTCGCCCCGCACGCCTCGTTGAGGAGCTACAACGCGCACAAGTGAGTGGATATAGCATGTCGATGTAACCTCGTCTGACATTTTGGCCAGAGCCGCCGTCGAAACCCGCGGCAACTTCAAGCAGCAAGGCATGGCAGAGGGCAACGAGTGCCGGCGATGGCATGGCACGACGCGCGAGTGCTTGCTCGGTGACCAGGGTCACACGCAGTTCTGTGGCTCGCCGAACTGCCCACTGTGCAACATCATCAAGACCTCGTTCGCGTTGAGCCACTTCGGGAACAAGACCGGTTGGGGACGGTGAGCATTTTTTGGTCTTGAGGAGTCCTGTCCAAGCTGACACGCATACTAGCTTCGGCAAGGGCATCTACACGTCGTCGACATCGTCCAAGTGAGTTTCTCCCCCGCGAATAATCTAGTACATGTGTCTGACTTACCGCGTACCAGATCGAACGACTACTCGTCCAACAAGACCAGGTCCCCGCTCAAGTCGATCTTGTTGAACAAGGTCATCGTCGGCAAGGGCTTCAAGATGCTGCACGACGAGCCGACTCTGACTTCCCCGCCGGCGGGGTGTGACTCGGTGCGCCATGGCTCCCAAATACTCAAACGTTTTCTGACCCTTCGCTCCAGGTTCTCGCGGAGAAGGGCATGGCCTTGAACTACGACGAGCTCGTCGTCTACCGCGAAGACGCCATTCGCCCTTCGTACCTTGTCATGTACGAGGGGTAGAGGTAGACGAGCATCCAGTGCGCATTGTACATTAGTAGAGACGGCGGGTGGTCGTCCTGGTCAAGTTGAAGCAGTCGATTCGCTATCTCAATTTAAGTAACGCATTTTTACTATTTAATCCATTTTGTAACCTCTCATAGCCACGTGATGGTCACTGTTGAAGTTTGGGGGATGTGACCTACCATTCCATACGCTACCCATGAGAGAGAAAGCTTCGAGAGTAATCCTTATAGCGGCCAAGGATGTTCAGAATGAGTGAATACAAGGAGGCCTTTGCACGTCCATGCCCTCAGAAGATCTACAAGCAAGTATACAGAGATCGTACAGGGGTAAGTAGTACAAGCATCGCGCCCAGCGCTTAGCTGGCGGCCGCCGCGGCCTGCTGAGGGGCAGGGGCGCCGCCCTGAATACCCCGGAGGCCAATGCCCATCGCCTGCATGCGCAAGCCGAGGCCGCGCGTTTTTTCGATGACCGTCTGGTAGACGGGTTGCGCGGGGCGGGAGATGGTGATTTGGTTCTGGTAGGATGTGAGCAAGCTTGAGTAATTTTGCGAGATGAGGTATACTGACCTTCTCCAAGTCGATCTTCGCGTCGGCGCCCATCCGCGTCTCGCGGATGAGGTTGACGATCCATTTCTCGCCCTCGTCGGGGGAAAGGTTGAGACGCTCGGAGAGATCCCTGCAGCGATGTCAGCTATGCACGGATAACATGAGAACTTGACATACCTGATGTCGATGCGCCCGTATATCCTGCAGTACGCCTCACTGATCAACCCACGCGCGCACTCCACGAACTCGTCCTTGAACTCCTGCAGAAAGAAGTCGTTCTGGACGACCTTCTCCGCCACCGTCAGCTCGTCACGCGCCTTGTCGAAGTCAAAGTCGACATAGAGGTCCTTGAGGAAGCGGGTGATGGGGTCGCTGTACTGGTATTCCTCCGTCGTGATGATCTTCGGCAGCTCGCGCAGCGCGGACTTGACGCGTGAGGGTACTGCCTGGTTTCTCCGGCTGGAGGACAGGATGGCGGCGGTGGTAAGGTAGCGCAAGATCCATGGGCAGGACGTCTGGATGGTGTTCAGGTACGCTGGTGCCATGAAGGTCTCCAATAAGAGCGTCCGCCCTTGTGGGTGATTGAAGTACACGAAGAGGGACCAGTGAAGGTGCCATGTCCGCGAGTGCAGCTGGTTGAGCGCAGGGGAGAGGGATCCTTCACCGCCGGAAAGGGCAGCCGAGGCTGTTGCCCTCGAGTCGATCGTGTCGCGGAGGGTGTTGAGTTCCTCGAGCGCTGTTTCCCACTGACCCGTGAGGATGTCGGACGCGAGCTTGCCCCAGTGTGCAGAGATCAGAAGGTCGGGATCGGTGGAGAGGACGCGGAAATGGTAGAGGTAATCTGCTGCACCGCTGTAGTTGCCGTACGAGAACTGGAAGTTTCCGAAGTTGTACAGGGCTGATATTTGGTCAAGGGTAAGCTGGAATGAAGGTGAGCGCTGGTATTGCCGAGATCGAACGCGTCACGTACGTTGTAGTTCTCCTTCAGGTACTGCAAGTTCTGGTTCTTGTCCTGCTTCAAGGATTGCGCCACCTCAGGTTTCTCGATCACGTCGAGAACTGCTTGCGCCTCCAGCTGCAGCCGCTCGTTCATCGACACGGCTTTTTCGCGCTTCTCATTGAATTCTAGTCCCCTCCGTTAGCCAGCGCACGTCCTGATCATCTCGACAATACGCACCTGATGGCGGCTCCTCCCCAGGATGCGACAGCTCGAATAGCGACGCCGCGTAGTCGAACATGTTCGTCCCCTTCGCCAACTCATACTGCGCGAGCTGGACCTGCTCAACGGGGAAGACACCCGTCTCGACGAGGTGCGCGAGGAGGGGGAACGCAAGATGGCGATCAAGGTAAGGAATGATCGTCTTAGACAGATCATAATCCGCCAAGGTCGCAGCTTCGGAGGGAGTTGGGCTCGCCATTTTGTGCTCGACGTCGCCGACGATGTGTAGAAGATGGGGACGGCGGGGGAGCGAAGACGATGAAAATTAGCACAGCCACTCTGACGATTGAGTCGCGGGAAAGAACTGCCAAATCGGTAATTGGTCAACTGTGACAGTGTGTGACGGTACTGCTCGCAGGAATGTCCCCCGTGCTGTGGAGGCGATATAGCAGGCCATAGGTCCTTGATAGTCAAGGAAGTGATATAGTCTGACTATTACAAGGTATTGGTCTTCTCCGGAGCTGCTTTCAACGGCACAACACATAGATAAGGGAGAAACGATCAATCAGGACTTGGAATAGAATAGTAGTGGACAGCGGAACGTAGTGTACAGGTATCTTAGGCTTCTAAGTACAACAGCAAGCAAAGTAAGCATAAGTCAAGGAACAGGTAGGCTTTTTAGATAGAATCGCGACTCGCGATCTAGAGGTCATACATGACCAGGTATGCAGGGCGCACAGCGTCGTTGGTGTAGACCATGATATCGTCATGGGCAAGGAAAAAACCTTTCTTGGCCATGACCTGGGTAAAATGTGCGTTGGAACCATTATAACGTGCTAGGTCCAGATATCACTCACCGAGTCGTATCCGTGAGGGGCGGTCTTCATGAAAGGCCTGTCAACGTGCACGATCTTGGGCTTGCCGACGATGACATCGGTCAGAATCATGGCCTTCGCCGTAGAGTTCTGCACGCGGTTGCTCGAGAACTCGTCCGCACTGCGATTGCAGTTTCTCATTAGTCTGTGTAGAATGCAAACAAGCTGCCTGACTCACGTGTAGGTGGAAGAGGACGTGTAGATCGCGCGACCGAACGCGCCGACGGACAGCTTCTTGCCGTGCGCCTTCAGATCGAAGTCGGTGCGGATGATGTTGCAGAGGCGGCAGGTCAGCGAGGCGCAGGGATACGACTGCTCGCTCTCGCCGATGAGGCACTCGCGGTACGTGCCGTACCAGCGGCGGGTCTCGTTGCCGGCGGGTAGGTTCTGCGACTCGAAGTGGCCGCGGCTCTCGACGAGGGTTCTGTAGGATTTAGTGAGCTAATTGCAGTTCATGAAGAGTTAATGACCGACGCACCGATAGGCATTGTACCTCTCGCGGGCAGCCTTAAACGGAACAATAGCGTAGATCGCCTTGATCGCCGGAGGGGTACCACTCTCGTCATCCCACGATGCGTCAAAGTCCAGCTTGACTGAAATCTCGTCAGCCGAAAATACTTGCAGATTTTCATGAAGACCTCATACCATCATGGAAGGCAACATGATCCTTTGGGACATTGGCGAGCACCATGCCACGTTCACCGGCCTTCTGCTCACAGCGGGTGCCGCAAAAGACGCAGCCCGGGGCTGCGGTGCCGCGCTGGCAGGTCAGGCAAGAATTTGACGCGTGCCTTTGCAGAGGAGGCATTGTAAAAAGAGTGCCGTCGGTTTGAGGGCTCGCACCGCTGGGCGGCGCTGGCTGACCCATTCTGCAAAGAGACACTTAGACCCAACGTCCCTGGACGGCAGATTGGAACTCACCTCATGTGCGCGCGACTGCAGAATGTTCCCTCTGTGCCGTCGGGGGCGATATATACGGCGCGATCGCATCCGCTCAGTGCGCATAGAGCTGCGAAGTCAAGCGTCAGCCGCGACTCGAGGTGCAGGAATAGCCAGGCTACGTACTATTTTGTGGCTGCGCGATTACCGCGGGCAAAGTCTGCGGCTGTGGAGAAGCAACAGTCGACGCCGAATGTCCGCCTGCCAGCCGCGCTTGAATGGCGCAGTGCTTGCCGCAATAGAGGTGCCGCTCGACGCCATCATTGAACTGAGGGCGTTCGTGGCATTGCTGTTAGTCACAACGTCAGCGCAAGAAGTCAACACAGAGGGTCGTCTACTCACGACGCAGAGGACCTGGTAAGAGTCCTGAGAAGAGGAGCGTGAGCTTTGAGAGAAGTCTGGCACTGCTGATACATACGCGAGGGTTGTACTGGGCCTGCATGTTGCAATCCCGAGGGGTGCAGTCGCTGGAGTGCTGAGAGGAGTGAGGGTAGCGGTGGTAGCTGGTTCTAGCAGGAGGTTCAGCGACCCTTTTGTAGGAGCGCGGAAACTTTGAGACACCGTCTCGCCATCTAATTCCAGGACACCAGGCGTTGGATTGTCCTAGTATGGGCACGTTGCTTTCACTCATCGACCATGCCAATCAAGAGCGATGACGACTTTACGAGGAGGCGCTTTCATATCAAGACCGCATCGCGGGGTTATCTTCGACTGGATTTGGTACCGACGCGCGGGTATGAGCAGCGTCTTGACGCCTGCGCGCCTACGGATCAGCTGGCCTGAGTAATCCTGTGCAAAGTATGAGTACGCAATTATCGGGAGGGTCGAGTTCCGTAGCCAAAGAGTTGAATCGGGATCACTAGTACCTGATTGACGAGTACCTAGCAGCAGGACCTAGCTCTACCCCGACAGATACACGCCGCGAAGACGAGGCGGGCTTGGAGTTCCGTATTCCATCTAGGTGCTGTTGAGCACCGACACATACTACAGCAGTACGTTGTGCAGCCACAGCAGCTCCAATTACATTTGGGTAAGTGGTTTCATGGGATAGGAGAGACAGATCGCAACGTGTACTCACTGAGGCCGACGTCGGTATCTGCGCGAAGGTATCCAGGATAGGCAGGTTTTATCGACCGTAGCCTTTGTCTCCTAGCATGCTAAGATGAAGCAGATACATTCAGGAGCAATCCCTTTGTCCGAGGTACAGTCGTTTGAGTGACATCAGATAGGAAGAGTCCGGACGTCCTGACGTGTTAGGGTAGACAGGTAGCTATGTTTACCATACGCCGTCCTATGATCGTACACCCTAGTAGGCGCGCCGCTCAATCCCAGTCATTCGTTCATTGGTCGTATGCTTGGTAGACTTCGGAGTGTGTACTTGGCTTCGTTGAATGACTCGTCATTTGCGACCACCGAGGCGAAGGGGAATGAAAGGTCCACGGGGACAAGGCAGTCCGCAAAGCCCGGTCCTTCTCGAAGTTCTAGCCAAAGCAGAGGGTGCATGGGATCCTATTGTGCGCAAAGATACAAGGTTCGACCGTGCTTGGGAACGGCGAGATGATGGTTCGAAGCAAGGTGATACACGTGCTATCAACTTAGCTGTGTAAATCATGCATTCTATTGGATTGGGAAAGTCTTGTTCAGCAACTCGTTTATAACTTCTAAGTCCGTTCAGCACGCGCATCCCATCCTCTGCACGCGCACCTCCTCACGCGCACTCGGAGGATGCTCTACCTCTGTCCCGCATTTTCCCTTCCTCCTCCTCCCCCCGCACTCAATTCCTGCTTCCTCATACTCGTCCACCTCCCCTCGCCCCCTTCCGAGCTTCCGTCATCTCCCCGAACAGTTCGGTGTATGTCCTTCACAGCAGCAATGGACGCAAGAGAAATGGATTCAATTGTATGGTACACTGTGAGTACAGAAATTACACTTGTTCATTCCAACATTGATCAAGACGCGTAAATCAGACGGCAGACATGAGAAATGAGGCGATCACAGGGACATGAGAGAGAATTGAGATGCATCGTGCCGTACAGAGTGTATCATGAAGGGGGTGGTGCAGGACATCGCCAAGAAGCGCGAAGTGATGAAGAGATCGGGGCGATGTTCATGGGAAGAAGGAGATCGTCAACGAGGTTCATGGAAACGGTACACTGCCTGGGGTGAGCTCCGGACAGAGAGGTATGATGTCAAAGCAATAAATAGCTGCAAGAGCCCGATAGCAAATCCTTGGATCGCCAGACTTCCAGTGATGCACGCCGATCCGCGACGGTCGGCCTGCTAGCGCCCATACACTCGCCGCGCGTATCAGTGCAGGTACTTCTCGTTGAGGGCGTGCACCTCCTTCGCGAGGTAGGGCCAGCTGAGCGTCCGCGCAAGCTCAAAGCGCAGCTTGTGCGGATCGTCGCCCGCCCGCTCTCGCGCCAGCTTGATCTCCCACCCGCACAGGTTGTACAGCAGGCGCATGTTCGGCTGAATGAGCACGGACAGCCTGCGCGACCTCACGATGAGGTACGCGTCGACGAGCGGGATGTTCAGGTGCTTCATCGCGTACGCAATCTGCATAAGCTAGTGAGCCTTCTAAAGCATCCTAGGAAGTCTAGAGAACCTACCACCACCGTCGCACTACGCGAGACCCCGACCCTACAATGGACGAGCACCTGCCCGCCCTCTGCGCGCGCCTTGTCAATCCAGTCGCATATGGGCTCGAGCTGGGGTTCTAGGGTGTCGATGCCGTCGTCGCAGACGCCCTTGATGTCTAACACCTTGATGCGACCTTCGCGCTCTTCAATCCATAGAGAACCTTGATTGCCCTTCCCAGGGAAGACATGGCACGAGCTGCTGCCCTCGCTACCCTCATACTGCCCATGCGCAGGCGGTACGAGCGCGCATTCGCCGACGGAGACGACATGCGTGATTCCGAGTGCATGGAGCATATACGCGTTTGAGGCGTGATTCCTGTAGGTATGTCGTTAGCCTCAACCCTTCACGCACAGCTATACGACTTACAGATTGCCCAGGTACAAGAAGGGCAACACGCGGCTTGGGAAGCTGCCGTCAAACCGGGGGTCGTTGAACCATGCCTGATGGTCCCCACCGAACAGTGAAGGCAGCCATGGACTTGTGCTGGCACGCGGACGCCGTGCACGAGGGGGTGAGGCCACATTCGTTTGCAATGCCTTCTCACCACCCATCGCACTCATCGTGGCTCCGGCACTGCCCAACGATGCCGTTGAACTTGACACGCCGAAGGATGAAGTACCCCCACCGCCAGCGAGCGCAGCTGGAGGGGTGTTGATTTGCGGACCCATGCCCGTCGCGTAGCTTATGCTCTTCGCGCTGGGTCGATGGGTAAGTGGTGGCTGCACGCGGTGTCGTCCAGTTGTATGCCCGCCTCCTTCCAGAAGTCGAGCCTCAACCCGACGCAAGACACCAAGGTCGGAGCTGTAGACGAAGAACGAGCGCTTCTTCTCAACCTACACAGACCCATCAGCTACCCACCCTCGACCAGACCTTATGGAACTTACCTGCAACTCCAGATACGCCTCCGGCAGCGTCAACCCGCGGAACGTCATCAACAAGAACAACGCCGGCACCGAGCTCTCCGTATACCCATCCGCTGAATACAAGAGCACCTTCAACGGCCGCGTCCGATGCGCGTAGTAGTTATACGTGAAGTCCGCATGCGGCAGCTGCCTCGCCCCAGGCGTCGGGCTCGGACTTGGCGCAGGGCTCGTCATCGAACGCATCCGCCCGCCCTGCCCGTGTTGGATGAAGCCCGCTTGGGCCGCGGACGTCGTCGACCAGCGCCGGCTCTTGCTGCCTCCGCTCTCGTCATCTGCCTGGTGTCCGTCGGCTCCCTCGGCTGCACCATCCCGCGCAGCTTCACGCCCATCGCCTCGCACGGCGGCCATAGGCACAGCACCCGGAGCAGCCGGCGGCGTCAGCCAGCGCTCCAGGAATCTCGTCACCGCTGTGAGCGAGCCCACCGTCGTCGTGTTGCTCGGCGGACTGCTCGGAAAGGGCAGGTGAATGATTGCATTCGCGTTGGGCGGCGGACGCGTCGGCAGCGTCCACATCTCCTCCGGGTCCTTGGGGGCGTCTGTGGCGCCCTCTCTTGCGATCTCCGCGCGCTTCGCCGCCACGCATCGCGTCGCCCAAGCACTCTCCAAGCGGCCAAGGTGCTCCTCCGCAGCGCGCAGGTTCCCCGCGGTCGGCCAAGGCGCAAGATCATGACACTCTATGGCAATGTCGTACCCGTAACCGTCGCTTGGCGAATTCGACGGGCCGAAGTTGAAGGGATCACCATCGGCGAGACCGGTATGCAAGGTGTCGGTGATGTTGAGAGGTTCGGTGGTGTCGGTGGGAAGTACTGGGGAGGTCGCCCACTGCGAGAGCGGGAGAGGCTCAACGATGCCAAGGGGTACATCATTCGAGTTGCCGAGGAAGACTTGGCCGACCTTGGGATCGAAATGGGTTTGGGTAGATGAGTTGGACAGTGATAGAGGGTGGGGAGCAGAGTTGGGGCGAGGTGAGGTAGACCGGGATGCTGGACGAGAGGATGGACCTGGGAGACATATCAGTCACTAGTAAACAATGGGTATATGCGCCGCGAGGTGCATATATGCGCGAGATCATTTGTGGCAACATGCTGTTTCCTCCATAACAAGGACAGAAACTCACCGAAGTTCATATGCGGCGGGCTCACAGGCGCCTGACGCCCAGACGGTAGGGACGTCGACATGCCCTCACGGCTGACAGCTTCCTGCGAGTTGTAGCTACGTATGATCGGACGCGGCGTCGACGGTGGCGAAGCAACACGCCCATTCGCAGCCTCGGGCGATCCTATACGCAGCGCGGACGAAGGCCTTGACGTCGGCGGCGGCGATGGAACCGTCGATGCAGGTGAAGCGGTGGACTGCCTATCGAAGGGCGAAGGCGATCCTCCGTTCGTGAGACCAGGCGAAGGTAGCGGCGATGTGATCGTCGGTAGCCTCGGTGCAGGTTGCTGAGGAGGCGGAGTTGGGAAGAAGCTGAGTATCTCCTTCGCCATGGTGAGCTCCCGCATCTCGTCCTTCTCGCGCTGCGCGAAGTCGATCGTGGTGTACCACTTGTTCAGGTCGTCCGTCTCCGATCGCTGTGGGTTCGGCGACGAGTTCTGGGACGATCCGTCGGACGCAGCTGTAGCCGAGTTTACGAAGGAAGGCGTGAGTATGCTCCGCGGCTGCGGGACCACAGTAGCCTCCACAACAGCTGGCGGTATCGCATCCCTTGCCTCCAAATCCGCGTCTGAGACTATCGCGGGCGACTTTGGCAGGTCAGGAGCACCATGCTGAGGGACCAGCGAAGGCGACATCGTCGGCGCGGCCTTGTGCAGGTCCGATGGTAGGAGCCCGTCCTCCGGATAACGTACGACGAGCCACGGAACTTCGGTGTTGAGTTGCTGATCATCAGCGTCCAAGATGAAGACGTTGTATTTGAGAAGCTCGCTTTCATCGTCCTCGGCGGGGTCATCTGAGTGCGCCATTAGTATGCGCCCGCATCCGCAGTAGTCATCATTAAGATGTGGGGACAACAGGTGTAGTGGGGGCAGTGCCGGAAAGCTTAAGCCACCGCGACATGAAGGACGGGGGGATTGGAAGTTGAAGCGGCTTGCCGAAAGCATTGTACCCCACAAGAAGTCGAAGCACACGTACCTGCATCGTGTGAGGGCATAGAACCGTGGCCGCGCAGCCTTTGGACTCGTTTGCGCACTATGGCTTCGCGAAAACGCTCGGCTAGACGCTGCGCATTAGCGGAAGAGCGACCATGAGGGGAGTAGACGACGATGTCGCATAGAGTCGCGTATATGGGAACTTGAATGCCGAAGTTACGAAGGGAGATGCCATCGGGAATGCGGGGAGGGACGAACTCCCAGCCACTATCAAAGGTAGGGCGCAGGAGGTCGCGAGGGTAGAACGTGGATGTGAGGAGCGTTGGCTTCCGAGACTTGCGCTTCATCTTGAGCTCGGGCGTCTGTCTGTAGCATGTTCAGCAGCATACATGCGGCATTTGGTGGTCACTCACCCAGCAGTAGTCTCAACTCCAGAGCTCGATGCTGCGGACACGGGGCTGTCTGGGGCGGGGCGTGTGTGGAGATTGGACGTCTGGATGACGGGGTGCATGTGTGGTTGCTCGTCCAGCGGGATTTTGTCCTTCTCCTCGGGCACGACTTGAATGATCTCGGGAGGGGACACTGGGTCCATGATGTCCACATCCATGTCGCGTTCCTCGTCAGAGTCTGAGTAGGTGCTCTCATCACTCGAATAGTTCTCGTCGCTGTCTTCCCCGTACTCCAGCGCCGGCGTGGGCGGGGCAGATGCTGAGCTCGCGCGCCGCCTCGGCAGGTCCTCGTCGGCGACGACCCAGAGGAGGCCGCGGTATCGCGGCACCGGTGCTGGACCCTTGCGATCTGCGGACGCGAAGAACGTATTCTGCGCGTGGTTCTCGCCCTCGAGACCATGTAGAAAGGGGAAGAGGACGTGGTCTGGCGGGTGGGCGAGCGTGTGCTTGAGATGGAGGGCGGCGAAGTCGGCGAGAGGGAGGAGCGGCGTGCGCGCACCGGGCGCGGTGGGCAGCGAGGAGATGTAGTTATCTGGATACGTGAGCCCGTACGTGGGCGGTTCGTTGTTGGACATCGTGCTTGTCGTCGTCGTCGTCGTCGTGGTCGGCGACAGGAAAGGTTGGTCGCCGTCGTCGCTGTTGTCGAAGAAAGGTTATCAATGGCCGCACTCCCGCCGCCACGGGTCCGGATCGGCTTCGGCACGTGTCAGGCGGGTGGCGCATCAACTTCAACTTCGGCGCGCCGCCTCGCTAAATTCTGGCTTGGTTACGACCGTCATGCACGACTCCGCGATGCTCCATCCTCCACGGAACGTTGCTCGCTGCCGACAACGGCGACCAGGTACTTCGCGTCCTCCATTCCGCCTGCCGTACCAGGCCCAGATCTAGCCAAGATCTGGCTATCCGCTGTTGCCACGGAACCAAAAGCGACCCCAAGGCCATCTACAAGCTCGGAACCATTTGTCAGTCCTAATCACAGACCGCCCAGCGCCTCATCCGATGCCCTCATTCTCTCTGTCTGCCGACTTCCGTGGCCTGACTTCCGTCCCTCAAGGCCGCGAGCGCCTCCGGCGCCTTCCAGTCAGCTCTTCGAGGCCTTTCCTCCACTGTGCACCCTTGACTAATCCCGTTCCCCTCGCTATTATAATTAAGGGTCCGCCCTTGTTTTGCTCGCCAACGCCTCCTGACCCTGTCATGAGACTCGGCCACAGCGTACGCGAGGGCACGCGAGAATGAAGTCTGCTTGTTGATCAGTCAGCGGCGCGTCAAGAAGCGCGTCAGTCCTGTCAGCCTCTCCTGTTTCCCGGTCTGCAGCTTCCTCACCGACGACGCTACGCTCTGTAGCGCGAAGCGTTTCTAGCGCGCTCGCGACACGAGTCTCATCTGGCGCCCACGTCACCTGCTGTCGGAGATGCACCCTACCGTCCGGGGTTAGCGGCGCGGTCAGCTTCGTGTCCCACAGCGGTCGGGCATGGACGTGGTGCTCGGAGGCTTTTGATCAACGCATGTGTGTCCCGCTGCTATGGTAGCCGTCTTTGGAGCCTCCGGAATACTTCCTTCCTTGAGGCGACTGGTCATGAGTTGCGCCTCGATCTATAATTGCGTTTATGGTCTTTCAGGCCAGCTGGATGGCGCCCTAGTCCTTCTCGTTCAGATCTACCGTGATCCCGCGACCAGAAGGAAATCTATAACGACACCATACAAGCTCTCCTCGCTCTAAGGCTATCCACATAGTGTCCTATCTTGCTGAGTAGTGCCATCTCCGTGGAGCGTTTCATGTCCTCAGGACTCCCATGGAGTCCTCAAGAATTACTGTCGGGTTACTCCGTGCTTGCTTCGCGCGGTTGGAGCTGGATGGTCGTTGCCACACCTTGATCCTCGCTTGCTGTCGCCATCCCCTCGGTCCTCCCAAATCATACCGACCTTCGAGACGCAAGCGCGATTGCAGACCTTCGAGACGCAAGCGCGATTGCAGGACAGGACGACAAGAACTCGCCTTCTTCATGACACGATGCATGACATTGACCATCATAGGGCGGATTGGCCTCGTCATATGGCACGCAACATCTGACCACCTCGCTCTACCTGTCTGCATGCACCGTGTGGGCGATCGCTTTCTATCTCTCCCTATCTCAACCCTTCCTTTGTCGCCCTACTGCGCACCTATTTATGTTGACCGCGCACTTACAAAGTTGATTGCTATCCCCAACACGCATCGACCCTTCATTACCTCGTCCCTCCGCCGCTGACCGTGACGGTCGTCCCCAGCTTTGAGCCACTACTCCTGCCTACCGTTCCCCCAGAACGATGTAATCAATCCTCTCTCCCTGATTCATGGCATTGCAGCACCCACATGACCTTTCTTTTGTGGCAACGCCAGTTGCAGAGGTGAGTGCTGAAGATTTATGCACGCAAGGGGAAGAAAACGCTTTTCAAAGCTGTGTATTCCACCTCTCGTTTATCGAAGGGCGAGAAGATCATTGCAACGGAAGCGACTTGTATAAGTTGTGGGTCCACGCATAATTGACCGGCAAATGCCCGAATTTCCGCATGCGGATTACTTAAAGGCTTGCCTATTTAGGAAAGTATTGTGGTCTTAAATTTCTCAAGCTCATATGCCCAGCCGCTGCGAACCTTATGGGCCACCCTCTGATCTTGTCACCATTTTGAGCTGGAATGCAATCAACAGTACAACATTGTGGCATCCCGCGGCTGAAGTCCATCGAGAGCTTGGGTTCGCTCAACCTGCAAGCCGTAAGCAAGCATTGTCGCCTACGAAGGCAAGTACGGCATGCCCTTTGCACTGAAAGCATCCATCGACCGGGAATAAGAGAATGATAGCGGTATGATTACTGCCCTATCTCGCCGGATAGTGACTGTAAGGGCTAACGTACATGTAAGTGCCCCATCTGCCCCGCATAGATTCCGTGGACTTTTCCAAGCCCAAAGGATCCATGCAAGCTACCCCCTGTGCCCTGGTATAGTACTCTGTAGTGCGGTGGTATGTCGTATAGACTGCTGCTAAGTTCCCTTGACAACGGTAAGTATCTGGAGACTAGCGCGCGAGCGGCGAGCGATCAGTGATATTTCGTGAGTATGGAGCCTCCCGAGCGCAGCGGGATAAATCAAGATGGGACGGGGACGGGTCAAGAATGTGGTGAGCGGACCGCGCGCATGGTCCGCTGGCGTCGTCGTGTAGGTAAAGATGGCAGTACTGTCATGACTCGCTGCCGTGCTCGATCATGTTGAGCTGATGGTACAGCAACCTCGACCATTCATCCAGGACCGCCGGCATGCACCCTGCGAGAACCTATCAGCCACTGTCCGAACCTCGCGAGAAGAGATCACTCACAATGCAAGCAGTCCACGCCCGGGCTATCGTGCGCGTCTGGCCGCTGCAGCGATAGCTCGTAAATATCCAGATAATACCACTTCGCGCCTGAATCGCGTGAGGGTATCGCTGCTCGGGTCTCCAAAGCGCCGTCTTCAGCTTCCACGGCCTCCTCGTCCCGTCTGGGAAGCTGCTTCGTCCTCCCCTCCATGAGCTTCTTGATCTCCTCGCGCCAGAACTCGTTGTGCACGGCGAACTGATCCCAGTCCCAGCGCCGGCGGGTAGACTTCATGGCCTCATCGTCCGTGACAGCCATCATGCGCTCGGGAATGTTCTTCTCCTTCTCGCGCGCGTCAGCGCCGTCAGCATAGGGGGCCAGGCGGCGCTCGCAGGAAGGGTGTCCGGGTGCAGTGCTGCGGAAGAAAATGGTGAGGCGGTTCAGGGGGCCAAGGCGGTCAATATGGAGTTGCATCTACGTGACGGTGAGCGGCTGGATTTAGAGGGTCGCAGAGGGAGAAAGCGCACCATAGCCCGGTATAGCTCATGCAGCTTCTGCATCTCGACTTCCTCGTCCGTCCACTTCCTGAGCATGTAAAGGACGCCGCGGGACCACTGGGATACGAGTCAGAAACACCGTAAGCGCGTCGGATCGAGTACGTACGTGCGCGCCAGTGTTCATCACAAGGACGGTATCCTCTGTGACGCTAGCCTCCTCCCCCTCGACCGGCGTGACCAGCTCCTTCACGTACTCGTGCCAGGCGTCGACCTGGGGATGCGGGTGGTCCCAGGCAAAATCGGGCGGCGTGTCCGTGAGCCTCCGAATGTCCGCGTGCGAGATAGAGAGATGATTCTCGATCATGGTAAGGAAGGGGCGCTGCAAGCGCGACTCGGGCACGCCCGCTTGCCTGAGTAGGTACTGCCGCACTGGCGTGTTTGGATGGATAGTGAACTGCACAAAATTCGGCACGTCGTGATGTGGGAGGTGCGGCGCGTCAATTTCGGGAATAATGCCAGCCTGGCGCAACTTCCAGGTCAGTGTATGTGACGCCTCGGCCTTAGCCGACGCCACGTGCTCTGCCTTCACCCCTCGCGGGGGTATTTCCTTTGGAGTTCCTTGAGGTTCTCCTGGTTTCTTATGACTCGTATATATACTCCGTGACTAGTTATGACTACTTACAGCTGTAGGTATAAAAGGGCCCTCCTCCAAGGGAGGAGGGCAAGGTTTTCAATCGAGACTTCGTTACAGAGTAACCTCGTGGGAATCTTCTTCATCATCTCCGTGAGCCGAGCCCGGCCCGCTCTCCGCGTCACCGTACTCGCCTCATATTTTTACTCTCTCGCTCGACGTCCTCGATAGAAACATCGACTTCGACTTCGACAACCAGCAACCAGCAAAGTTTTCACTACCTACCCCTATTCCCCCCGCTAAGGCAACGGACTTGATCAACCCGGCACCCTTCGCGGCTTAATTACCCTTTCTTCCTTGTCGACAATCTCAATGGCGCCAAAAGCTCAACCTCTGCGCGACTCCAGCGGACGTTTCCGCCCTCGCGCAGCGTCGGTTGACACCGGTGAGTCTCAGACCGCGTGGCGTGGTACTGACGACTCCTTCACTAGTGCACTCTCGGACAACGAGTCCGACTCGGGTACGGCGGGCGCTCAAGATGCGCCGCCTGCCACCGCCGATGACCAGGTCATCGAGCATGCGACGGTGCAACACGACGTTGTGCCGTCGTCGGGTGCTTCCGCCACGACGGTGGGGGTATCCCGCCAGGTGTCTGCTCTCGACGGAGCAGACCCTGGAGAGGGCGAGTGGTCGGCCGATGCCGCTGCTCAGTCCCCGACCCACGCGCATGCCGCCGACGGCCTCGTGCCTGAAGCTGGTGCTCAGCCGCGTGCACCGGGTGCTGTGGGCAGTCGCGCTATCGCGCCAGAGTCCACGGAAGTAGATAATACTACGAATAAAATTTTCCCTCAGTATGATGAGAACAGCGAGCACGGGGCTCGCGAGTCCGAAAGCGTGAACGTACCTGAGAGCTCTATCCCCGGAAACAGTAGGGACCGGATGGATAAGGGTAAAGGCCCGGATCTACGCAATTTCGGTAATCTCGACTTCGACGAGGTCGAACACGATCCCGAGATTCAGCGGGACATCCTGGATGCCGCAAATCGAGCTCGGGGATCGCGGGCTCAAGTGCCCAATCAGGGGCCAAGGGTGTCTTTGGCAAATCTGGAACCCCGCGCCGCCGAAAACAAGCAGATCGCCGATCTGTTCGATGCACTCCACCTCAAGACTGTTGAGGCCGCGGACTACGCCGCCCTCAATGCCAAACTGGCGAGGCAGGTCAGCCAGCTCAGTGAGAGGTACGACAATCTCGTCGAACTCCTCACGGATGGGTCTGGCGCCGCACGCTCGCGCGCTGCGAGCGTCGCACGTGAGCGATCGGTGCCGAACGAAGTTCAACCGACACGTGACCTGAGCGCAATCAAGCGCGAGACCGCGGAGGCCTCTGTGCCCCCCGCGGTGCATCGTGAACGTCCTTCGAAGGCTTCTAGTCCCGAAGACAAGCTTCGTCCGAGCTATGTAGCTGGGGGCGAGTCCTACTGGGACAAGTACATGGCTATGATCAGAAGCCGTGTAGTCGGCCTTCCGAGCTCAGACTCGGATGACGACGGACAGTTTGACAGCGCGGGTAAGGCCAGCCGCCTTAAGCCGCAGCCTCCCGAGTCCTACGACGGCCGGGAGGACGATGAGGCCTTCTGGACCTTCGTCATTGATTCTCTTCAGTATGTCACTGATGGTCGAGTGGCAGCCACTCGGCAGGCCGACGTTGTCTCGCGTTGGCTCACTGGCAAGGCCAGAAGGTTCTACAAGCAGAACTACATGCTTAGTGCTTCTCGAAGCGCAAATCTAGACGACTTTTTCAGAGATTTATTCGATCACTGTTTCAGTCTAAACTACAAAGACAAATGTCGTACTCGGTACAAGTCCTGTATCCAAGACAATCGCGATCTCCGCGACTACATGCACGATCTAGAGCGCTTCTGGGTGGTGCTGACTGAGGAGACCAGCCGAAACCGGGTCTTGAAGTTTTGGGAAGGCCTTGACTCCTGGCTCGTGAAGCGCCTGATGGAGGACGGCTTCAGCAAAGAAGTTGATGAGTTAGAGCCTACGTACCGACGTGCTCTGCAGCTCTGGCAGGCTAGCTACGCTGCCCGAGCCCAAGCGAAGGGCAGGCGCCCTGACGACCATGGTGGATCGCCCCCCAACCGCGGAAGCGGCACGGGTGGCGCATCTGCATCGTCCCGACGTTCTGGAGGCGGGAGCTCTTCTGCTCCCTCCTCTAGGCCGCCAGCGAACGCGTCTGCTGCCGCTGGAACGCGCACCTCGAGCTCTAATGAACGCTCGAGGACCACTGGAGGTAAATTCAGCGGACAGGCAAGGGGGTCACAACGTACCTCCGCGCCGAATGGAAGGAGCGCGAACGGTCGCGCCCCTCCTAACCGCAAGCCAGGAAAATCTCCTGAGCTCCTGAAGCGCCTCCGTGAAGAGGGGCGCTGCTTCCGCTGTGAGTCTAAGGACCATATAAGCCGAAACTGTCCCGAAGCGAACCACGTACCTTCGACGTCTTCTGGACCTCCTGGTCTCGCGATTCACTCGGTGGCAATCGAACAGGCACGTCTGCTCGACCAGAGACGTGCTGGCATCACTAACACGACTACATTGTCAGTCAATATGGTTCAGTTCGAACCCTCGCACGACTCACCTGGGTCTAACCCGGACAGTACACGCTGCACGACGTGCTCACCGCCGTGGGCAACACACGTCCTCGCGGACTGTCCGCTTGTCTGTGGCGACGTTCCCGGACGCCCCCACCTCTACGTGCAGCCGCTCTTCGACTACTACACGCGAATTGCGCTGCGCACGAGGCGCGAGCCTCCCAAGTTTTGCTCGGGCGACGACTTGCTCGCCCTCTGCGAGACACCCGAGTATGCCGATTTTATCGGTCGCGCCTGCGACCCTTCATACGTTGGCGACTTGGGGCAGTGGCGGGTGCGTGGTGCGTTCGCGCTGAACGCCGTGCGCGCTTGGCCTGGCGACGGCGAGAAGCTGCGCGATGCGATGTTCCACAACCTCGCGCCGCTCTCGTATCTTTGCGATGGCGCGCCCGTCCGTTTCCTGCCAGTCCAGACCCAGGACGATTGTGTCTCCCTCTTCGAGACTGTTGAGGCCGAAGCTGGGCGTCGCGAACTGGCTCCGCTTCGCATCCCGAATGCGTTCTTCATCCGCGAAGGCTTCTCGATGGAGGACTACGTTGCGCGTCAGATATGCGTCGACTTCGGGATGGACACCTCACAGGCTCGTCGCATGGCGTACCTCTACTCCACGGGCACTACCCTCGGGGATCTCGTGCCCGAGAGCGTCGCTTACGCCCTCAACTGGGCAGTCAGACGCGTAGTCGGCGAGGAGCAGCGTCGCGCTGACCTCTCCCGCTTCTACGCCTTCCGGCCGTACTCTGGGTCGCCGGTCATCCTCGTGTGCGACACGCTCCTGGGCGTGTCGTGGGGTCTTCGTCTCAAGGACATTGACGCCGGTATCAACGTCTGGTACTGGTACATGTATCAGCGCATGCGCTACTTCGTGGGTGGGCATCAGAACACGGCTCACCCGAAGCGCTATATGTCGCGCTGGTTCGAGTCGCCTGCTGATGCCGCAGCGCGTCGAAGCTTCGACGTCTTCACGCAGCCCGACGGCGCGTTCCCCGCGCGTTGGTTTCGCGAGCCCGCGGAGGACCTGATTGAGTCCGGCGTGTTCGCACAGGCGTGGGCAACGATGGTGCGCATGGCGTCCAACGTGCCGGTACGTTTCCCAGCTTCGCGTCTTCCATGGCGTCAGCTGACGGTCTTCGCAGTATCGAAGGGGCGCTCCGCGCCGTTGGCGTCCTCGTCCGCACGCGTTGCGCAACGGACAGCCGTCTTCCCGCGGGGGAGCGGCCGCCGCATCCCGAGGCCCATCGTCCTCGTCGTTCGTGTAAGCGGGCATCCCTGCAAGGCGTTAGTAGACTCTGGTTCGTCAGTAGATCTCGTGAGCTCGGCTCTCGCTACTCAACTGCGCCTTCCGCTCATTGAGCACGATGGCCAGGTGTCCATGACGATGGCAGTGAGCGGGTCGCGCTCGAAATGTAATTTTCATACGTCTGTAGATTTTGAATGGTCAGCTATACACGAGCAGCGCGTCTTTGACGTCTTGAACCTCGCGACTTACGACGTCGTCCTCGGGACTCCGTTCCTGTACCAGCATTCCATCTCGTTCTCCATCAACCCGCCGAAGATCCTCATTGGGAGCGTTGAGGCGCTGCCGCTTGAGGGGCCACACGTCGACGACTTGTTCATGGCGAACGTAGAGCCCGAGCCTGGCTCGGACGAGTTAGAAGCTATTCGGAAGCATCTAGTCGAAATGGCCTTACCTTTGTGCAAGACCATCGCGGAGACTGAGCTCCCGCCCTTGCGTGCGATTAATCACACGATTCCCATCATAGACCCCGACCGTCGGTACCCGTTCCGTCGCTCGAATTGCCCTGCAATCTTTCGTGAGCAATGGAATGAGAAACGCGACGCATATATGCGCTCGGGGCGGTGGGAATTCACCACCGCCACGAACACGGTGCCCATGCTTCTCATCGCGAAGAATCAGCGCGAGAAGACGAAGCTACGTACTGTTGTAGACCTGCGCGAGCGCAACGACAACACGCGCAAGTTGTCGTCCCCGCTCCCCGACCAGAACGCGATCTTGCGTCGCGTCGCCGCTGCGAAATATTGGTCAATTCTCGACGGGAAAGACCACTATGAGCAAATACGTGTCTTACCTGAGTACGAAGACGTTAACATCATGGCGACGCCTGATGGTAACGTGAAGAGCAAGGTTATGCTCCAGGGCGACTGCAATGCTGTCGCGACGTGTCAGGCAATAATGACGCATATTTTTCGCCCTTACCTAGGTGTCTTCATGGACGTGTACCTTGACGATATTGTCATATACACGGACACGCTCGAAGAGCATGTTCGCGCTGTCAAAACCGTGCTTGAGGTGCTGGCGCGCGAGAAGTTCTATCTGGGTGTTAATAAGCTGCACTTCCTCGAGCCTGAAGTGCGCGTACTTGGGCGAATCGTTGATGCGAACGGCATTCGTGTCGATCCTGCCCGCGTTGACGAGGTCGCGAAGTGGCCGGTGCCTACGAACAAGAAGTTAGTTCGCGCATTTTGTGGCGCGGTGGGCTGGCTCGCCGACAATGTCGCCGAGATCGCCGCGCCCCTGGGCATTTTGCACGATTTGTGCGGCGAAACTCACCGATGGGAGTGGGGATTCACGCAGCAGCGCGCGTTTGAGGATTGCAAGCGGCTGGTGAGCGCGAGCAAGCGCGTCTCACGCCGAGGCATCACCCTCGGGCCGGATGGCAAGCCCACTTCGCGCGTTTGGCTTCTGACCGACGGCTCTAAGTCGTCTTTGTCAGGAGTAGTCGTTGAAGGGGAGGATTGGCGTACCGGAACGGTAATCGCGCTCTTCTCCGCGAAGCTGAGCACGACTCAGCAGAATTATCCTGTACATGAGATTGAGATGTTAGCTGGCGTGGAATCAATGCAGCGACATCGCGACTTACTTCAGGGATTCCACTTTACGTGGGTGACTGACCATCGTGGTCTCGTCCATCTTCTGCGGCAGCCAAACCTTTCGGGGCGGCAAGCGCGCTGGCTTGAGAAGTTGGGCGAGTTTGACTTCGAAGTCGTGTACCTGCCGGGCGTGGATAACGTGTTAGCTGATGCACTATCACGCATATACGAGGGCGACGCACCTGGAACACTGCGCTCTCCCTCTGAATATACATCCTTTGATGAGGATGGCTCTGTCGATTACGACGGTATGGACATTACTCGGCCGCTTGTGACCGAGCTTGGCGCCCTGGCAATTGCGCCAGAAGGCGGGGACGACGCAGCTCCACGCCGTGGTCGCGGTCGTCCGAAAGGCTCGACGAAGGCCTTCAACGACTGGGTTCGCCGACTCGCTGCGAAGAAAGGATCCGTCCGCTTGATTGTGGGCGATCACGCGGCGGATGGCGATTCTGATAGACGCGCGACGCGTCTGGAGGGGGGAGACGACCCGGTCGAACCTTTTGCAAGTGACCCGAACGCGTTTGAAGACGAGATGAGTGAGAAGGAAGCAGCGCAGAACGCGCTGCCAGCTCATCACGCGTTTGCTTCCGATCAAGCCACGCGAGGTGATGTCAGCGGAACATCACATTCGGCATCTTCCGAGTACCCCTCGGGTACCCGAGAGAACGCGCACTCGCGCGCTGTCGAAGACAGCCCGTCGTCGCCCGACGTCGGCAGCCCAATCACAGAGGATGCGAATATAGACATACCTAGTGCTGTCCAGATGTCGGAATCCGAACCAGAACACCCGACAGGCGAGACACCAGCCTCAGCAGAGGAAACACGTGTCTCGACCTCGGTCGGCGCGGAAGGTGACGAAGATAATGATATCGCACCTCCTAGCCTCACGGAACCTATCTTGACGGCTATACCCAATCACACACGGGGTGTACGCATTGAAGATTTGATCCGGGATAAGTATCAGGACGATCCGTTCTTTGCCAAGATATTGGAAGAACCCAGTCACTTCCGAAACTTTGAGGTGGTTGACGGACTCATCTTCCTGAAGCAGGACTCTCGTCGTCTGCTGTGCATTCCGAACATCAAGGAAAGTGGTCGCTCCGTGCGAGGACTCATTATTCAGGAAGCACACACCTTACTCGCGCATCTCGGTGCCGCTAAGGTTATCCCCGTGCTCCGTGATCAGGTGTGGTGGAAGACGCTGGTGCCTGATGTGCAGAAGTTCATCGCATCATGCACCACGTGCGCTTGGAATAAGCCCAGCAATCACAAGCCGTACGGGCTATTGAATCCCCTGCCGGTGCCTGGCACGCCTTGGGAAGCTATCGGGATAGACTTCACGGGTCCCTTTCCCGAGAGCGAGAATCACAATGGGACCTTCAATTACCTTCTCGTCGTGATCTGCCTGCTGACCGGCATGGTACATCTTATTCCGACGCGTACTAATGTGACTGCCAAGACTCTGGCATACATTATCTTTGCGGAAGTCTATAAGCTACATGGGCTCCCCAAGTACATAGTCAGTGACCGGGATTCGCTCTTCACGAGCATATTCTGGACTCACCTGCACAAGTTGATCGGAACGGAGCTGCGCATGTCAACTGCATACCATCCGCAGACCGACGGATCAACTGAACGGGCCAATCGGACAGTTGTCCAGATGATACGCGAATGCGTCGAGCCCGCTCAATCGGACTGGGTCCTGAAATTGCCGGCGGTTGAGTTTGCGATCAACTCCGTGCGCTCGGAGAGCACGGGGTATGCACCGTTCTTCCTGAATACTGGTCGCATGCCCCGCGCCATGATCTGGGAGGACGCACCCACGACGGAATATCCCGGGGTGCGGACTTATGCGCGCCGCGTCAAGCAGGCCATCATGCAGGCTCATGACGCAGTGCTCGCCGCGCGTGTCAAGCAGACACGTGATGCCAATCGACGCCGCATCCGCGCGCCTTTTGCCGAGAACGATCTAGTATATGTCTCAACTGCCAACATGAACTTCCCGAAGGGCCGCGTTCGTAAGCTACTTCCCAAGTTCATTGGACCATACCGCATCCTGAAGGATCTAGGCAATGAGGCCTTCCTTCTTGATCTCCCGAAGGAGTTGAAGCAGCGGGGAATACACCCGCGCTTCCACGCGTCTCTATTGAGAATTCATATTCCCAATGATGATCGGCTATTTCCGGGCCGCCTTGAGACTCAGGTGGCCGACTTCGGTGCCTGGGAGAAAGAATGGGCAATTGAGGAGATTGTGGGACATCACGGCAAGGGTGCTGATGCAGTACTCAAGGTGAAGTGGAAGCCAGGCGACATGTCCTGGATCCCGATCAAGAATGTTGCCACCCTCGAGAAGGTCAAGCAGTACCTTGAGGCGCTTGGCGTTGACAAAGCGGGTGATCTCCCGGCTGGATCTGAACCAGACCCCGGGGATATCCAATTGTATGTAGGGAATCTCGAACTCACGATCGAGCCTCGTGTTCCCGATGGCGAGATTCACGACGAATCGGGTAATGGGCTTAGCTGGGATCCCCTTAAAAGGGATGGACAGTCAGTATGCCAAACCAACTCCATTTCCTCTTCCTCTCTCTACATACATACTATGGATACTTCTACCTTACCTCCGCTTCCCAACTCTCCTTCCCCTTCGCCCAACGTCAACCGTGTCGGTACCCGTTCCCACACCAAGGCCAAAACGGCGCCGGCGATCAAAAATGGCAACAAGGCGGACTCGGTCCAACCGATGGATGTCGACCCACCCAGTTCCGAGGCCGCCCCGCCGGCACCCGCGCCCAAGACGATGTCGTCCGTCCTCGACGCCGCCGGCTCTGCCGCCTCCACTCTCATCGACAGCGAGCCGCCTGTCGACACCGCCGCCGCGCTCCGCGCAAAGGAGGCCGCCCGCGCCAAGTACAATGCCGGTATCATCGCCGACCGCATCCGCCAGCAGGAAGCCGCGCGCTCCGACGTCATGAAGCAACCCATCCCGCGCGTCAACGCCGCCGCCGACGCTGGTGCGGATAAGACCGCGCCTCCGTCCGCCGCCGCTGAGACGACGCCCGCCAAGCGCGCCTCCGAGGACGACGGCTTCCTCCTCGGCCGCGCCAAGCCACGTGGCCCGGCCCAATTCGCCCACCGCCGCATCGTTCCCATGACGTGGGAGATCCGCGGACGCCGCCTCGTCATCCCTATCTACGCGCGCAACGACCCTGAAGAATACCTCTTCAGTTACCGCATCCCACTCACCATCCTCGTCGAGTACATGCGCTTCAGCGACGGCATCACTGCTACTGGAATCCGCCACGACGTTGTTGAGGTCCCGTCCGGCTATGCCGAGTTCGTGGAAATCCTCCAGCGCGCCGACTTCGGCAAGCACATGTGCCCGATCGACCTCGCGACCGGCAAAGTCCGACCCATCCCCGACGAGCAGCGCATTGATCGGACCTTCTGGGTGCGTCAGATCCTCGACATCAGCAGCGGAGCGGCCGCGCATCGCTACATGGACGAGGTGGAGGGCAAGGTGCCCGAGCCCACCAACGAGGAGCTCCTCCTTCGTGAGGTGACGGCCATCGAGGCGATGCAGGGGCGCTTGTCGAACGCCCGCCGCCAGCAGGCCTTCGAGGCGAACCGTGCCAAGCGGCGCGAGGGCAAGGGGAACCAGTAGTTACTTACTACTTACTAGAGATCATCAGAACAACGGCTCGAAAGTTACTTACAGAAAAGGTTCGAAATATATACAAAAACAAAGACTCGTTTCTATTCTATACATACGTGCTACTTACTGGTTGCTACTGTACTTACAGAGCGCCTTAGAAGGCGCTGGAGGGGGGTATGTGACGCCTCGGCCTTAGCCGACGCCACGTGCTCTGCCTTCACCCCTCGCGGGGGTATTTCCTTTGGAGTTCCTTGAGGTTCTCCTGGTTTCTTATGACTCGTATATATACTCCGTGACTAGTTATGACTACTTACAGCTGTAGGTATAAAAGGGCCCTCCTCCAAGGGAGGAGGGCAAGGTTTTCAATCGAGACTTCGTTACAGAGTAACCTCGTGGGAATCTTCTTCATCATCTCCGTGAGCCGAGCCCGGCCCGCTCTCCGCGTCACCGTACTCGCCTCAGTGTAACGTGCCACTGGCGCGAGATCGAGTCTGAGGGAACAAGGTGAGACGGACGAACAATGAGTACGGCGCGCGCGCGACGCACCTCCCATCAGAATCATCCCGCCCGGGCTCTTTAGCATGCGAATGGTGAACTCGAGCGCGTCAAAGTCCATGAGCAGCTTCCCCCCTGCCGGGACCCACTCCCAGTTCAGGACGTCGACAAGGCGCCTGGTCTCCAGCTCGTTCCGCTCCGCCTCGGGCAGCTGCTCTGCGGACGGGACCTGGCAGCGCTGCCAGACGTGATCGTACTTGTTCGCGTATGCTTTTTGCAGCTCCGAGGGGGAGCTGAAAGCCGGTGATCGGGCGCGCCAGCGCCCCGTGCCGCACTCCGTATCCCTGCAGAAAGGTGGTGCCTCGTTCTTTGGGGGCGGCGGGGGTGGGGGAGGGGCTTGCACGCGCAGACGCTCTCTCTCCGTTGTCGTAGGTAGTATCTCGTTCTCGAACTCCTGCTCGAGGGGAACTTCATTGGTTGGGATGTACTGAAGCGGCGCGTCGACGTCTTCGTGTGGTGACCGACGTAGTATGTAGAGAGTGCAAATTGCAGCGAGGGCAAAGACAGGAAGGAACGTGCTTCGACGTCGGAAGGTGACCATGGTGGGGGGAGGCAAGTGCCAAACTTCGTCCTCTGGCTTGAAGAATGCGGGTGCGCGCGCTAGACGTCGAGGCCTCGACTTCTAGGAACCTGTAGGTTCTGACGTGCGAACAAGGCGCGCGTCCGCGTCTATAGGAGGTAGGGGCAGCGGGAGGAGATGGTTGTCACAGTTCAAGAACAATGCCCTTCGTTGTAAATTAACTCGGAGAAAACACGGCAACTACCGAGCTTCGGGCGCAGGCAGCAAAGCTCGCTGTTCTTCAAGAGTAACGGGCACGACGGCCGCTTGGAAGACAGCAGCAAGCTATCCAGGTGCATTCGATCCGAAAATTGCATAGTGTACAATGTGCATGAACCAGGTACATATTATCGCGGAGAAAATATGGAGAGAACAAGCGCGCCTTGTCCTCTCAGATCCCCGCGCTCGTCAGAAACCTTTCATAGTCATACTTCACAGGGAAAAACTCCTTCCTGCATGCATTGTGCAGGTACGCCGCCGAGCCGCGCTCAACATACGACACGAACTCGCGAGGTACCTCCTCAGATGAGTCAGGTCCGTCCCAGTGGGCAGCGCGAACGGCGGCGACGTAGATATCCACGTCGCGTCTGTCCCCTCGTCCGGTTGGATTCTCCATGAGTTCTTGACACTGGTCGATGTATCTGCACGCTGGTCAGCCTCTGCTCTATCTCCCAAAGACAGCTATAGACGTACCCCTGATACTGCTCAACCTCTCGCAACGGCACACTTGGCTGCAGATGATGCCTCGCCAACGTCGCGGTGGTCCTATCCGCCGGATAATCCCCCGCATCCCCCGTCTCCGTCGTCGTCACCGACTTCGGGCGCTTCGCCTTCCCCTGCGCCGCCGCCGCATGGCTCTGGCTCGCCAACCGCTGGCTCGACCGCCGCTTCCCCGCATGCGGGCCGTGCGCCTCGAACGGGGAGTGATTCATGTCCTTCGCGGTCTTGCCCGGGAGCTTGAGCGTACTATTCATAGAATACGCGAAGTGCTTGCCGAGGGAGGTGAAGAGGAGCGGGCGGTAGTACTCGATCCAGAAGTCGCCGCGCTCGTTGACGAAGTTGTGGAGGGCTTGCTCGCAGCGGGTGAGGTCGTAGGCGGGCTCGAGGTACTCTTTGTGGTACCAAGAGCGGTAGCCGCCGCGTACAGGTGCCTTCGTGATGACGCGCTCGCTCTGCACGCCTAGGAAGAGGTTGATTGCGGTCTGCTTGTCCGCATCTACGGATGATCAGCATGGTGGCAGAACATCGAGGACGTATACTGACCGAGCAGGGAATTAGTGTAGAAGCGCCGGATATTCTCGATTATGTCCCGAGAGTGCGAATTCCAGTGAGGCATTCGACGGTAAGTTTCGACGCGGTTCACGAGCGCACTGCCAGTATACTGTAACGCGATAGCTGGTCGTAGTCAGTAAAGCTCAGGCTCAACAAGGGATTAATCACTCACTATCACCATGATCGTGATACATCTCTGTCAGCATGTTGACAGCATCCGAGTCGAACGACAGGTTCGGGTTGTCCACGACACCCAGCGCATAGAGCTGATGCCCCAGCGCGCGTTTGCCGAATACGAACTGCGCCGCATTTGTTCGATCGAGACAGTCGACGCAGTTCGTGCGGCAGATCCCATTCTGTAGCGCAATGGACGAGCGCCATGGTTGGAGGTCGAGGCTACAGAGTGTCAGTAAGAGAAAGAGGACATACTTTGGACACGTACTCGATCTGTCCCTTCAACAGGTGTGCATACGGTTCGCTGCCTGAATGGAAGAAGCCGGTCATCTGAATAGACTCCTCCGCGATGTCTTCTAGATAGCTGATCACGTCCTGCGTCTTTCTACGCCCATCAGCCCTTCCATTCCATACGTACAGAACATTGAACAACGCACTCCTTATACGCCCTCGACATATCCCAAGCGCGGTATATCATCTTCTTGTCCCTTGGTAAGAACTGATTGAGGTACTTTACACATTCGGTGTATTCGTCGAGGAGCTTCGACTCGCGAGGGACCGGCTCGCGTCGCTTGATGAGGTTGAGGATCATGACGGGGGCACCATATCGGCGGAAGAGGTCGTCGAAGTGGCGGGCGGCGGCACTGTAGAAGGGGTCGACGACGTTGACTGCAGGCGCATCAGCGCACGTACCAGACAGATTGGCCGAGTCAACTCACTCTCAATCGGCGGCTTCGCCGTCATACTGCTGAGCTCCTGCGTCCAGTAGATGGGTATACTGCCGCGATACTGCACATAGCTGGTGTAGTGTGGATTCGGTTGCCGACAGCGCTGATGCTCGCAGGTGGAGTGCTTTGGTGGAGGGTAGTAGAAGGCCGTTGTCAGAGCCTCGGAAACGATCTGTTCAGTCTCGACCTCGTTCGCGACGTTCCCCTCATCTGTCACACCACGCTTGAGGTAGCGTGCACCGGCGAAGTGCCGCGAGCGGCGTGCAATGAGAGTGACGAAGACGACGCGTCCGAGGACGGTGAGTTCTGCGAGAGATGAGCCTACGTGCGAGATGGGGTGAGAAACGGACGTACGCACTCGCTTGATCTACATGCCCGTGCACAAAGGGAAGTAGCCAATGTGCCTTTGCAGGATCAGCGGCGCCGTTCTGGAAGGGCGCGCTAAGCATATGGAAGTTCCAGGCGAAGCGGTCGTGGAACGGCCAGGGGCTCGTATTGGGGCGTGTTGAGGTCGTGAGGTTGTGCTGCAGCGTAGACGTGAGATCGTACGTATAGCTGTCCGAGGCTGTCAATAAGCATCCTCCATACCCAGTCAAGCACAAGACGTACCTAAAGTAGAAGTTCTTCGTCAGGTCCACCTGCTTGAAGATGTTGATCAGGCGCTGCTCCTCTGCGGGCTTCTCGATCTTGTGGTTGAACGCGACCGGGATCATGTCCGTGTTCTCGCAGTGGTAGATGTAGTGCCCTCCGAGGAGCGCCACGACGGAGCGCTTCGACACGAGCACCATGTACCAGCCCGCGGTGAAGCGGATGAAGCCAGCGATGCCAAAGAAGACGCGCCCGCGCCCAAGACCACCGGAGCTCCGGTTACCGTCGTCGAGCATCTTGAGCATGGCGGTCATCTGCTTGCCGCTGTACTCGGCCTCGTCCTCGACCACGCTCAACTCTTCCTGCGTCGTGCGGTCGATCTTAATGATGCGGTGCCGGGAGTCGGCAGCATTGGAGGCGACGATGTAGAAGCGTAGCCGGTTCTCGTAGAGGATGAACTTGTTGTACGCGGTCGACTTTGTAGACGGTGGCGCGAGGGGAGGTGTTGCATGATTAGGGCGTGCGGGGCGGCGTGAAGGGGAAGAGTTCTCGGTGGATGTTGAGGGCTTGGACGAAGTCGTGGTCTCCGTTGTCATTGACGACGTGAGGGGCGACTCGGAATCCGGCGGCGTCGACATCGTCGATGACGAGGCGCTTGGACCGGTCGACGTTGAGGACAGATTCCGGATTTGGTGTTCATTGTGCGAGTACTTTGGGTGATTTCACACGCGTCTCCTTCCCTCTTGCTCTCATGATGATTGTCTCGTCTTTCGCGTTGTCCATCCACCGTCATGTGCTCAGCATACTCACGGGCGGCAATATTTGTGAATTACCGTGGCCTCTCGTGCACCTCTTGAAGCTCAAGAATCTACCTATGAAGTTGGACCGCTTGAATTGTAACCCTCGCCGACGCATAGCGCAAGCATCTCATGAAGCATTGGCTTGCATATGCTTACTGGTCTCTCAGCGGAAGTGCAGTAGCTGTGAACCGGCCGTTTACGACGCTTCATGTACGCTTCCCAAACCTGAGTCGCCCAGCTTCAGCGACCGGAAGATGCAAATGACTCACCTCGGACTTCCCCGCGTACCGGCGGCGCTCTATCGACACCATCTATAGCGAACAGCCTCGTCGATTGGACTAAATCTCCTTGTGCATCCTCGCCAATTGCTCTAGCGCTCCATGGTCATGGCACGCGACACCTCAAAGCTTCACGCTTAACGACTCAATTCTATCCCGCTCCGACGCTACTGCCCAGCTGCCTCCCGCCACTGACTAGCCGCTCTCCGCATTCTTCCAGTAAATCGCCTCTACCTTCCACTACCGCCGCGAGCCCGTCCACTCTACATCCACCTTCGCCGCTCGCAAGGCTCTCGCCAAGCTGCTGTCCTGCTCCACCTCTCATCTTGCTTCTCCGCGTTCAGACCGATGAGGCCACAGCTCGAACCGCCTCCTTCACGGCCGCTCTGCGATGGGCGGCGGGAATAGTACGACGAACATCACTTCCCGCGGCCAAGGTCGCACGCGAAGGCGCCAAGGCCGAGGATGAAGAGGCGCAGCGGCGAGAACAATGGAAGCCCAGACTGCTGTACACGGTCGCATGCAATCTGTACACGGACCCATACAAGTTGCTATCCGCCGAAGCACTGCGTAGAAGCTGCTCATTGCGCTGCGCATAGCGGGGGAAGACCGCACGCTGTCGGTCGAAGCCATAGCGACACTTGACCTATGGTCTCGTGAGATCCCTACGCATGGTTTTGCTCAGGACTAGTCTGCCCTTGCGACAGTTACTGCGTCCTTATGAATAGCACTCTGTCCTAATCCATAGCACGGTGTTTGGTCTATAGCTCCCATCATCCGGCGTAGGCCAAGGACTCCACAAGCGCGCGAAGCTGTTCCGGAGTACTCTATCCCATCCTCGCGCTCTTCTCCATTCAGAGACAAGGTAGGTTTGTGGCGCACCTACCCACACCACGGGGGCCGCCGCCATGCTAATCTGGCGTGGTATCTTCCAAACCCGTACGTTATCTTCAGGTCCAATGGACGAGCTTCCATGCCGCACAACGTTCGCTTCCCTCCCAGGCGACGCGTAAAAGCCAAAATTCTCACCTTCGCGAACCTGATCTATGGGACCTTTCGGCGGACTTCACCGTCAAGTCCACCACCTTGCGCATATCACTCTTCAATCACAGAAACAGTCCATTGCGTAGCGACAGATGAATGTCGATATAAAGTACATTCGACCACTGATACACTTTTTTGCTATTCGACAGACCAGCCGCGATGAGGGCGATGTCAGCCCTGGCGGATGTCTCATTACAGCGGATGAAGACCACCTCGAAGCAAGCCAATACATATGGTACACAGCGGCTACCGGGTGAGCAACTGGACACCTGATCAGCGTCGCGTCACGGATAGGACGAGACAAGACAACGTACCTTGCAGCGCGGGAGCAGGCAATAAGTAGTAGGCGCTGGTGCACAACCCACGAGCCACGCCCTAGACAGAGAGAAACGACGAGAGAGAAGAGAAGACGAGAGAAACCAAATACAGGAACCTAATCTAATGTGATGACAGATGGGCAAAGGGACGACGAGCGAGGTACGACGAAGACGAGTGCGACGACGAAAGGTGAGAGGTGCGATGATACACGTCCTTCAGCGATTGCGGGTATCCTGCTGCGGACCAAAGCAGAGATGGGACGGCCTGCTCAGTTGAAGCCGTCGAAGTGGCCCTTGAGGATGCGCTCGCCCATCGGGCTCGGCGCACGGCGCGGCTTACTCTCCGAAACCGTGTTCGAGCGGCGGGCCTTGCGCATCTGCGTCGTCGGCGGGACCCTAGTGGTCGCGCTCGACGGAGTGATGGGGCTTGCAGTCGGGCTCGGCGGGCCGCGCGAGGTGGGGGAAAGCATCTCAGCGGTCGGCTGTGCGATCGTAGTCAGCGACACGCATACACCTCGTTGGTAAGCAGGGCGTACCCTTGCGAATGCAGCGGCGCCCCCGATGGAGAGACGCCGAAGTAGCCCAGTGCCGCGCTCCATGTGGTCGCCGGGAATCACCTGCGGGGCACCAAGACGACCGGCGAACTGGGTGCTGGCACGGCGGGCGTGCGCCGTCGCAGGCGGCTCCTGATCGCCCTCCTCTTCTGACCTCGAGTCAGCGATCTGAGACAGACAGTCTTGTTCTGTCGCCACTCACCCTCGAAGACGGGCGTGGCGCCGAAGCGCCTGAATGGGAATGTCGCAGCAGGCTTGGTGGGCGACTGCGCAAGGAAGTAGGACATGATGGGGGATCCTCCCTGCACGCCGATTTTGGGCGACGACATGGAGCCGTTCATGGGCGTTGCGGGCAGCGATGGGGAGCTCGGCGAGCCTCCCGACGAGTACCCGGACGACATGGACGCCGAGCGCGAGCGGCCCCTGGTGTTGATGGGGATGGGGGCCGAGTGCTGGGCGTTATCGCGACCGTTGTTGGACGACATTTTGCTTTGGCGAGCTATGTATTTACTTGTACAAACGCTGGTGATAGATGAGACGAGAGAGCGAGAGGGGGGAAGAGGAAAGTTAGAAAAGAGGAGGTCTCGGCCGGGCGGTGCTATATACCTTGCCATCACGTGTGTCTGCGTGTGTCATCGATCTCCACAAGAGATCTCGCATCTTGGAAGCTGTTGCTGCCGTTACACGACGTGGCGACGGAGGAATCGCCCTCTTCGCGGCGAAGTCGTGTTCGCGAGCGCTCGAGGGTGCTCCAGAGGAGCTCTCGCCCTGCTAGCCGTGGTGCAAGGTGTCCAAGAACGCTCACGGAAGAGAACAACGTTCATGACACCACCGTCCTTCCCGCAGTTTGGTCGGAGGATACCCGAGCGCCTGCGAGCCTCGAGGAGCAGCGGACAGAGCACGCGACAGGCTGGCTTCGGGTCCGCTGGGCGGCTCCTGCTGTTTGGGACCGCTCAGCTGCCCCCGCAAAAGGCTCCTACCCCGCATTCCCCACAGTGGCACTATTCTTGCCCCGCACTCTGATCCAATCATCGTTGCCTCACCTTCATCTCGACATTGACCGTTGCATACCGCCGACCGGCTTGTCCTCCAATCGTACCGTCGTACTTACTGCCTGACCTCCCCGTCCTGTCTTGCTATCTCAGGCTGCGTCGCGTGCGAGAGATAGCGGTCGCCGAACGCCATTTATGTCATACCGACGTCCTCGACGACTGAACTCATCCGCAGCTGACTGTCTCTCCTTCGTCCAGTGACTCTACCTCCGTGCTGATAAGAACGGTCGCTGCAGGCTAATTCAAGCTGTCAAGCCAGGATGTCTCAACGCTTATCTTGACGAAGATGACCGAAAAGCCTTTGCCTTTCCTTGACCTATCGTTGTAAACAGACGGTCTGAGGTCTACCAGGCGATGTCCGCTTTGGCCCTCTATCCACTGCACACTCCCATTGGATTTTCCAGTCTGAAACCCTGAACCCTCGCCGACCCCCCTTGCCTTTCCAGCGTTTGGAGAAAAATTCTGCAAGACGGGAAGAATCGCGTTCCAGACGAAAAGTAGATCTCCAAATTGTAGCTGTTCCCTCACAGAAACGCAAAGAAGGCCTTCGACCAAGTGAGTGCTCGAAATAAACGAGCCCTTACCGCTTCGCCCAACCCGAAGCGACAGCCGTGCCTTCTTCCTCCCACCTTATCTCTCGCGAGCCGATCCCCCTCCCGCGCACATCATGACACGCCCCGCCTCATCGCCCTCGAACAGCCACCCGTTCTACCTTCCACGAAGCCACCCTGGAGTCCTCACCGCACCGCGCCAGTCCCCCGCTCGCCGCGGGCTGCGCTCTGCTCCCACGACAGATGCCCGCACCTTCGAAGCCCTGCCCTCCCGCCCGCGTGATGCAGGGCGCCGAGAGCGGCACAAAAGCGCGTCCGCCCCTGCGTCAAGGGAGGGAGGTAAGCTGAGTAGCTCGCTAGGGTATCGCGCATGCCTGCGAAGAACCTCCGCCAGTCATCTGAGCGCGCTAGCTTCTCCACCCAGGTCCTCAGCTGAGCGAGGGGATCTGTCGGCTGAGCGGTGTGTATCTCGTCTTGAATGGAAGGTCGTTGGCTTACTCAATGGGGGCGGGCCACGAATAGACGCACCTGTGCTCAGGCATTCAATGAACGCCACCCCTGTCTAACCGCCACTGACGAGGGTGGACGGCGGCAAAGGGTCTGCAGCACAACGTCCGCGAGTGCGTCATTCGGTATGTAGAATCTTCCGCGTAATAAGGGACTGAAAATCGTGGTGGGGTCAAATCCAAGGTCTACGACGATTGGTTGGGTCGGTATTGGGACCATTTATCGGCGGCGGCTTTTGGGTCGGCGGAGGGAAATTTGGAAGACAGGTATCCCCGTTGAGAGCGGACCCCATTGACAGTGGTAACTTCGGCGGTCTATGGAGGTGAGGTCGAATACAGGTAGGCGTTGTATACTTAGCGGGAGAAGAACGTCAGCTATTCCAGTTTTGTCATTTTTGTCGAAGTTCAACATGACCATCAAAATCGACACGTGACATTCCCTACTTTGCGGCACCGAGCACTGCTATTGCTGAGGTCGGCGTATACTATGAACGTTTCCCGTATACGGTTCTACTTCTGCAACCCACATACAACTCAATAAATGGCTCGAATGAAGAAAGCGCCACAAGAAGTTCTGCAAGGAGCCGGCCGCAAGGAACTCGCCACAAGGAAGGGTATTAAATGTAGGGCCGTGAACGTTGCTAGGGCTTCTTAAATGGCAATCATTCTACTTATTGAGGTGTCATGCAGCCACTGCCACTGTGGCTCAAGCTTGTTTGCTGAGAAATGCTTGCAATAACAAAACAAAAAGCTTGAGGTAAACACGCTCGCGCTCGTTTAAGCGGGAGTCGAACTCGGGTGTGACATGACGCTCAGCACATGACGTCTGTCGTGACACCTCATTTCTCGTCACGCCAGTATCTGCTGCTCACCGTCGTCGTCGTCGCCGACACGCGCATTCCCCATCCCCTCCTCATCCCACTCCGCCGCGACAAACCCATCAAAATGCCGCCCAAGCAGCAGAAGCAGGGCCCCTCCAACAAGGTCAAGGATGATAAGGTACTTCCAGTCCAATGCGCTGCAAGAAATCGTCTGACTGATCAGACATAATTCCTGTAGACCTTCGGCATGAAAAATGTTCGTATAGTGCACGATGGATCCATCGCAAGGTAGCTCACCTCCGCGCGCAGAAAAACAAGTCCGCCAAGGTCCAGAAGGAGGTGCAGCGCATCCAGCAGCAGGCGGCCTCGGCAGGCAAGTCGCGTGCAGCGCAAGAGAAGGAGAAGGAGAAAGCGCTCCGCGAGAAGGAGAAGCTTGCAGAGGAGAAGCGGCGGAAAGAGGAGGCCGCGCTGCTCAAGCCGGTGCAGACGCAGAAGGTGCCCTTCGGCGTCGATCCGAAGACGGTGCTCTGCGCGTTCTACAAGGCCGGCCACTGCGAGAAGGGGAACAAGTGCAAGTTCAGCCACAACAAGGACGTCGAGCGGAAGGTGGAGAAGAAGAACTTGTACGAGGATACCCGCGGGAAAGAGGAGGACACGATGGACAAGTGGGACGACGACAAGCTGCGGCAAGTCGTCTTGTCCAAGACAGGAAACCCACGAACAACAACAGACGTGCGTGGAGCTTTGGGTCGTGCTTCCTCATTACTGATCGCTCCATCGCCTGCAGATCGTATGCAAATACTTCATTGAAGCGATCGAGTCGTCGAAGTGCGCACATCCCCCATCAAACCCCTGTGCAGTCCTAATTCCATCCCAGATATGGCTGGTTTTGGGAGTGCCCGAACGGCGAGAACTGCAAATACCGACATGCCCTACCTCCCGGCTTCGTTCTCAAGTCGCAGAAGAAAGCCGCTGACGAGGCAGCGAAGGCGAACACCATCAGTATCGAGGAGTTCTTGGAAGTGGAGGTACGTGCTGCGTTCTTCCCCCACCCGCCATATGCTCAACGTGCTCCAGCGGCATAAACTCGGCCCCAACCTCACGCCTGTAACACCGGAGACGTTCGCGCAGTGGAAGAAGACGCGGTTAAGCAAGAAGGAGGCGGAAGAGGAAGCTCGTCGGAAGGCGAAGGACGCTCAGCATGCAGCTGGCAAGAACACTGGCCTTAGTGGTAGGGATCTGGTGCGTGTGCAAGTCCTCAATCATCCGGTCTTCATCTGACGTTCCGCCTAGTTCCAATACAACCCCGAATGGTTCGACGATGCGGACTCGGACGACGACGATGACGATTGGGACTTGGAGAAGTACAGGCGAGAGAAGGAAGAAGAAGATCGTGTGGCGGAGGAGGCACGCATCGCGGAGCTCAACTTGGGAGGTTGAAGGCGCGCTGCCTGCAAGCCCAAACACCCTGTACTTACCATCTTCGTCCTTCAGAGGGTACATAACCCTGCGAGGCGACTACACTATCGTTTGCAATGTATTGTTACGTCGATTACGAACTCCGTCGAAAGCTGCGAAGTAGCCACAGGTGACTTCGAGGCAAGAGGCCTCCACGCATTTTCCACGATCAACCGTGACCCATCGTGACACGTTACATCCGAATTTGTCGCTGCTTCGAGCCTGCCTTGCCTTCGCCGACACCGTCTTCGTCGTGACCGCCATCATGGTCGAGCTGCTGCACAAGGTCCGCATCTATGAGCACCGGTTGTGCAGACACTGCAACTACACCTTCCATGCCCCAGTCTGCGCCCCGCCTGCAGGGGCAGACAGTTCCGCTCTACGCTTTGGACACGAGCTGGAGGTTGAGGACGTTCACTTCATCACGGAGAGCGCAGCGTCGACGCAAAGTTACCTCGCGGATATTGAGCTAGAGATCGAGACGCTGCAGACCACTCTGCGATGGGCACAAAAGGCCCGAGCCGAGCTGAAGCAACTGCACGAACTCCAGCAGGCGTATCTTGCGCCTGTGCGGAAACTACCGACGGACGTCCTATCCATTATATTCGAACACTGTTGTGGGGATGAGATCGATCTGACTAGCTGGTCATGTCCTCCCATCGATCTTAGTGCTGTTTGCAAGCTTTGGAGAGGTGAGTTCGTATGTCCGGACGTCGCCCATCATTACTAGAAGCTCACTAAGCCTTCAGAAACTATGCTCAGTATGCCTGCGATCTGGGCTCGCTATTCGCTGGAGAAAGTGGATCGCTTCACGTCGAGGCCAGGGAGGCTCGCAGCCAGGCTGCAGGCCTTTCTGAAACACTCAAGGGACCTACCTCTAAAGCATTGGGTTTACTACGATGTAAATTCAATGGTCGACGTACAGGATTCAGACGAGGAAGACATTGCACCCCTGGATCTACTTCTCGCACACACACACCGCTGGACTGCGCTCCGCGTTTGGTGCGATTCGCGCTGTCCGCCTTATCTCTTCTCCCGCGCACTTCAAGGACGACCCTTCACACGGCTGACTTCCCTTGAAGGGAGTCCAGATGACCTTCGGAAGATCGACGACGTCTTCATGCTACCCACTTTACGTTGTTTGTGGCTGACTCAAGGCTCATCCTCCAGTGCCATACCGGCCAAACTGCCGTTCTCGCAGCTAACAGAACTGCACACCCACTTGCGCACTGGCTACGCGCTCAGCATATTGCAGCTGTGCTCAAACATCGAAGTCGTTCATCACGCTCCCCCATTTGGCTTCGGTGGAGAGGGGCGGGGGCATGTGCCGAGCGCCGTCGTTGTGCTACCTCGTCTTCGACAGCTCGTCTTGACCATCCAGGAAGAATATGACCTCGTCTTGCTCAATGGTATCGGCGCGCCTGCCCTCCAGAACCTATCGCTGAGATGGTCAGACCCTCTCATGTCTCGGCGGGCCCCAGCCTGTGTCGGCGCCTTCATCGCGCGATCAGCTTGTCGTCTGCGTGAGCTGCGCCTTGACTCCGCCCCTCTGGCAGAGCAAGAGTGCATCAGCTCGTTCGACGACCTCACAACGCTCGTGCTCTCCACGGGTATATCCTGCCCTCCCATACGTCCGAGTTTGCTGGAGGAGCTCAAATCCCAAGACGGGACAGGTGCACCTCGCATGCTTCCGCACCTGCAGAATCTGCGCCTCGGGCATTTTATCATGTTTACCGCCACCGAGCTGGCGGAAGTGGTGCAGGCGCGGCGCTTGATGGGACATCCCTTGAGAGTGGTTACCTTTCACAACGACCAGTACGGAGAAGCTGATTCTGCTTGCTATGAATAGGGGGATTGGTTGGACATGGCTTGCACTACACCTGGATGGTATAAGCTTGCTGTTATGCTGCCATAAACATACGAACCTGCAATACGCGTAAGAATGAAATGGTATTGTTGCTAGAACGATGGCCTGCCAGGAGATAGCCATCAATCGTCGGTGGCTTACTTCCTCAAGAGCTCGCCCGAAGTGGTGAGTACCTGCAAGCCTCACAGTTCGTGGTTCCAGCTAAACTCTTATGCCGCATAAGAATATGCGCACCTGTATTGTGAACCGTGACTCTGTGACACTCTGCACGTGGTGCTTGTCTGTCTTCACTCGAGGGTCGAGTCCTGTCAAAGCCCTTTTTGCTGTTACCACTGTCATGGGCGAGCTACTCCTCGAGAATCGGAAGCTCGAGCACCGGCTCTGTGAGCATTGTGACCACACCTTTTGGGCTCAACTTCATGTGCCACCTCTGGGTGCAAACAATGCTATCCTGCGCAATCGATACCTTCTGGCGGCCACCGACAGCATGCCTGCTCTCGAGCGCAGCAGGGCGTCGACTCAGAAGTGCCTTGCTGACCTTGACCTGGAGATTGAAGGCTTGCAAAAGGCTCTGCAATGGGCTCTGGGGGCCAGGACCGAGGTCAAGCACTTGCTCGATGTCCAGGACGCGTACTTCGCGCCGGTGCGGAAGTTGCCGACCGAGATTCTATTCGAGATCTTCTTCCTGTGCTGCGGGCAGAGTACCAGCCTCGTTGGCGAGAGATGTACTCCGCTCGATCTCAGTGCTGTATGCAAGTTCTGGAGAGGTGCGCAGGAACGTCAGGTCGTCGTATCAGTGTTCGCTTACATCGTTCGTTCGTGTAGATACCATGCTCAGTATTCCAGAAATATGGACCAACTTCGAGCTGTATAGCGACGACCAGCAGTCTGGGCCCGTCAACAGAGATTTGCTCGCGCCCAGACTGAAGGCTTTCCTGGCTCATTCGAGAGATCTTCCTTTGCCGCAGCGCATTGAGTATTTCGCAGACCCGGAGAGCAATCTCGGTAGATGGAACGCCGTGGCTTTCGACATTTTCCTACAATACTCGCATCGCTGGACCTCCCTTCGGATAGTCCCTGGTGTGGCGCGCGCAGAAGCGAGCCCCGACTTCGACGTACTAAGGGGGCGGCCTCTGTCCTGCCTCACTACCCTCGAAGGGAATGTCACGGACATATGCGAGGCGGGTATCGGTGGCCTCTTCATGATCCCGACTCTACGCTGTCTGAAGCTCACGCACAAATCATCGACCGACTTCGCGTGGCCGGAGCTGCCGTGGATGCAGATAGAGGAGCTACGTACAAACTCGTGCGCTCGACATGCGTACAGTGTTCTCTGCCGGTGCCAAAATGTGGAAGTCTACAGCCATAAAACCACGGTCGAAGAACCTCTTTCCAGCGATGGCCTCCTCAATACCGTGCTACCACGCCTCCGACATCTATCGTTGGACGTTGCATGCGAAGCGAGCATAACACTACTTGGCTTCCTTGTGACTCCCGTTCTAGAGGTTCTTTCCTTGGCTTACGCGCCAGGGTTCCTGCTGAACGACCGCCGTCACGTCGAGCGCCTTGTAGCGCGGTCGTCCTGCCGCCTCCGGGAATTGCATCTCAGTGGAGCGCCTGAGGCCGAGCAAGAATGTGTCCTTTCGCTCGGCGATTTGACAATGCTCGACATTGGTAGTGGCATCAGTATATCCAGCCCGCATATCCGGCGCACTCTCCTGGAGGAGCTTGGGGTTCTGGACGGCCACGGGGCGCCGCGCGTACTTCCGCGACTGCAGACTCTGCACTTATGGGCCCTGGCACCTAGGCACGAGCTATTGACTAGTGCGCTGGAGGAGATGGTCCTGGCACGGCGAGCGATGGGGTTCCCTCTCAAAGCAAATCTCGTCTACTTCCACCCTATCACACATGAGATCGTCGACGCGGAGTTCACTTGATGTCGTTCATCACCGAATCTGCCTAATGTGTTGGGCTTCACTAATCGGGGCGGTCAGTAAGCTGTAATCACTTACCCTTCTTCACCAATATCCTACCACTGCACGCAGAATCGACGAACCCCGCGATGTCAGCTTGTGTACTCCTTGAATTCGGGATCCATCCGCATTATAGATACCATCAAATCTTCTCCTATTGTCACCCTTACATGGTTGTTCGTATGAGATACGACGAAGGTCAAGTTCATCCACGTCGGACGCCGAATCGCTGCTTAGACGCATAGCGAGCCCATCGCTGCAGGTCTTCCCGCCCCATGAGGAGGTCTATAGTGTAGTACTTCTGAGCGAGATCCTCATTGGACGCAGCGTGGTGCACGGCAGTATGACAAGGTCTGAACAAAGATTATCAGCGAAAAAGCGAGCAAAGAAGTCGTCGCGACCTTGTCGAAAGTAAGATGATGCATGCGAAGGAACATCATACAAGGGGCACGACAGATGATGGGATTTGGGCTCACCTACACAACCAGGCGACCGCGTTCAGCATGCTCTCCGGATGCCAGCGCTTCTTGACCGCCTTCGCATGCGTACTTCGCGGGACCAGATGGTGGTACGTCAGCGGCACCCGCCGCTCGCACATCTCGCACTCATGCGCGCGGGTTGCCGACCATATCGGCGGAGGCGCACATGCGTCGGACACGTAGTCTGCAATCGCCTTCCGCAAGAGCTCGAGAGCGCCCTCAGTGTCCTCTGCGAGGCCGTAGGATATGAGCGTATCGGCGAAGGAAGCGGGAGTACTGTCGAGTACAAGGTCGTCTATGTCGGGGACTGAGTCTCGCGTTTCGTACGTTGCTTCGCGAAGAGAGGAAGGTAAGCTGGGGAAGGTCTCGTCGGCGAGGTAGGCGGCGAAGTCTTCGAGGTCATCAGAGGCGGTCGAGCCATCCTCGCACAGACGTATTATTCGACGGGCGAGAGCATCCTTGTATAGCGCATACTGTCCCAAATTCAATTCCATAGCGGGGGCTGAAGAGCACCGACACAGTCGAGATACCGAACGCTGAGATGGAAGTTCGAGTTGACCCTCGTGGGAAAGTATTCACGTGAAACATTGTTCAACCAGTCACACACCGTCACACTGGCGCGCTTTTCTAGGCTTCGACAAACGCGAGGGGTAAATTGCTGACGAGAAAAACATCCTTGCTAGCGACGAAACATCCAAAAGACAGTCCAACAAGAAAAACTAGAGTCCGATATCTGCAGTGCACGATGGTGGTAGAGAGGATGGATTATGTACTGTACAACTTGGCTCTACGGCGGGCCGGGGAACTTCTAGTAACTAGATCATTAACGATTCTTACTGCGGTCTAGGGTGTGAGCAGGAACCATTACTGTATAAGATAGGTAGAGAGGGACGATGGACGGCGAAGCACGATGCGTGGCAAAGCACGACGGGCAGCTGAAGCACTCGGACAGTGCGTACGTACGAACGGACAATTAGTTCCCATCCTCGTGCGGCAGCCTGAGCTGGTCCATCGCCATGGCGAGAGGGTCGTTTGACGGCTGGGCGTGTCCCGCAAGGGTGTTCGCGTCGGTGTTAGGCTGCCGGAAGAAGACCTCAGGGCTCGTGCAAGCAGCGACCGCGCGGCGCATGTGGGTGGTCATGAAGGAGAGCCCAACCTGGAAGGCAGCTGCAAGGGAAGACGTGAGCGATGCAGCTATGGTGGCTGTCTATTCTGGCGTACCATTCATCCAGCCGAAGCCCTCACGAGGGACGAGCTTGAAGTCGATGCCCTGGTTGCCGTACTCGGCGTCAACGAGGTGGGAGAGCTTGACAGCGTCGAACTTCTCCGGTACGACGCCGTTGAAGTCGACGAAGGCGGTGGTCATCCTGCGGCTCGGTTAGCGACGACGCAGGGCAAGCGAGAAGAAGGACGGACATGTAAAGGAAGCGGTAGGCGAGGCGTTGGGCATCCTCAAGATAGCCATAACGCTCCAGCCCAACCCAAGCCATGATCTGGTGTGGTGGCCACGCATACCTGCAAATAGTCAGCACAACGCACGCGACGGATGAAGCGGATAACGTACGGATAGTCCCACTGACGGTTAGGCCGGTCGAGCGAGATCTGCCCACGCGACTCCTCCGTCCCCGGCACCACACCACCCAGCACCTCGAACTTCTTCAACGAGTTCGACACCAGCTTCCACCCCTGCTCCTCGCTCGCGCACCCCGCCCACAGCGCCCAGAACGCCGTCACGGTCTCGTACAGGCTCTGCTGCTCCGTCACCGTGTCGTAGTCGAAGTACAGGCTCTTGCTCTCGTTCCACAGGTACTTGTCGATCTGCGCCTTGCGGAACTCGGCGCGCTGGAACCACTCCTCGCTGTTCTGCAGCCGCGACTTGGAGCTCTCACGCTTCGGGTTCGCATACGACTCCTCCGTCGGCGGGAAGGGCGACAGCGCGAAGTCCTCCTCAAGCTCGAGCTCGTCGTCAAAGACCTCCCGGATGGCGGTCCCGATGTCGATCTCGTACTTGTAAAGGAGCGCCTGGAGGTCGATCGTCGCCAGGTTCGCGCAGCGCTTCTCCAGGCGGTACGTCGTGTCGTGCCCCGACTCGCGAACGCCGCGGTCGTGCTGGAAGTACTCGTCGAGCTCAGGCTCCTTCAGCACGCCATCATTGTACTTCTCGGTGAACTCGAGGATGGAGATGCCGTGCTTGTTGGCGTACGGCTCGAGGATGTGCGTGAAGTGAGACGCTTCCGTCTCTGGCGGAATGCCGAGGCCCTCGGGCCTGTAGCGCGTCAAGCCCGTCTTCGGGTCGATGCGAGGTGCCGACATCCAGACGGTGTGATACTCTTTGATGGCAGCCTGAATGGCGCGCTTCAGCCAATCACGGTTGGCGTCCTCGTCCGTACGGTCAAGTTGATTATAGATCTGGAGCGCCATGTCGGTGAGGAAGGGTGGTTGAGCGCGGCAAAGGTAGTAGCTGCGGCTGCCATTGAGAATCTTGTTGTAGTGCTTGATCTCGAAGATGAAGTGATCGACCATGTTCTTCGCCATTTGAACATGGCCGTCGACAAGCAAGCCGAGGGAGATGAAGTACGAGTCCCAGTTGTAAAGCTGGGCGTGGATTCAGCAACGAAGATCGCATCGAGAGAACCTCCGACATACCTCGTTAAAGCGAGCCCCCGGAACAATGAAGGGAATTCCCTTCAGCGTCTTCTCGCCCTTGGCGTCTAACACCTCCTGCATAGCAAGCGCCAACAAACCAGGCTTATCGTTCAAGCTCTTGACGAAAGCGGGGTCATCGGGCTTAGGAGGGAGCACCTGAACATCAAGGCGCATATGCGGCTTCTCGCGCGCAACCTTGCGATAGTACTCAGCCATCTCTGGCTCTCCGTAGGGTACATAGATGCGAGGGTTCATCCGCCCAGTGCGGTTCTTAGGATCCGCCGTGATGATCTCCAGCCCCTCGCCGTCGATTCGCCGAGTGAGGGAATGCCAGAAGGAGTTCTTGATCATGCGTGAAAGGCGGTCGACGGGGTTCTCCGTCAGGCGAGCTTCGTCGAGGACGATGCGCTTGCGGTTGTGGTCCCGCGCGAGCGCGAGCTCTTGCAGCAGGTTCGACAGCATGTACGTGCCCTACATGGTACGTTAGCGATCACATTTCAGCCGAGAACGAAGCACGCACCCGAATGTCAAACGTCTTAAAGCCGTTGCTCGTAGCGGTGCCTAGCGGCATGAGCTTCGGGCCCGCGTCGGTAACGCTGATCTGGAAGTCTCCGTCGGTGTCCTCTTGCTCGAGAATGACACGGATGGTCTCTTCAACGTCGATGAGGAAGCGGCGTGGCGCAGAGGGTTTCTCGTCGTGGGACAGACGGCGGCTCTTTGTGGGGTCGCCGAACATGGGCGCCTTGCGCGCCGCATAGGATTGGATGTGCGACTGTAAAGATTCGCTCAGAAAGGGCCGCGACATGCATGAAAGGAGTACGCACGCCGCTGTACGTCCTGGAGCGCGTGAACTTGTCAGGCCCGCCATAGTACTGCGCGGCGTCGGCATGGGTGCGCGAGGTGTCGTTCTCGTCGACAAAGGTAACGCCGGAGGGGTGGTTGAATCTAGGCGGCATGGTGTATGGAACGCAGAGATGGAAGTCGAGAACAAGAAATGCTTTTGTATGTGACGCGCGCGTTATAATGGTTTGGCTGTGTTGTCGCGTGAGTCACGCGTGTCCCAAAGACGAACCGTAGGAACGTGCCGCTCACCGTCGTTCACGATGAGTTCGGGATGTTTTTGCGCTTCTGCTGTTCTTCGCGCTGAAGGGGATCGTTCACGGGGCTACAACAAGCGCTCTGCTGCCCTTATATTAGCGGCGATATCGGCATGACGCCATTCAATCTGCTCACCTTCCTTTTAGGTCGCCTTCTCTGGCGTTCTCAACAGGTTCTTGAGCGGTGAACGATGCGTTAGCGGAGCGCTTTTCCCGAGCTTCTCACTGTTGAGCACTTTTATAGACGGCGAGCGGCCCCTGAAAACGTACTTCTTCGCGCGAGGCCACAGCCTTCCGTGTAAGGAGACCGGCATATGAATTGTCGCGCCGCCACCGAGGAGTCGCCACATCCCCACAAGTCTCCCTCGGAAATCGAGCGTATGTCGCTTCGGCTCTAGTCATACCCCGCGCATCCCGACACAGCACAGGCCCTCGCGCTCCCCCGATCTCTGTTCTGCTCCGTCGACGCCACCCTAACCCAGTCCCGTGAGTTCATATCTTCATCGCTCCCGCTATATCTCTCGATCAGCCTCTCCGCGGCTTCGCACCCCTTTCACAGGGCCCGCTCATCCCATCACCCACGACGCAGAATGTGATCTGCGTCCGCGTGCTCGTTGACCCAATCGCAGCGCCCACCGCCCTGCACACGTCTCCGAAGGCTCGTTTCCGAAGCGACCGCGTAAACAGGCAGCTCATTCCTCAGGCGCGTTCCCGCAACATGGCAGCTATAATCACCACATGGGAGTTCATTTCGCGAACATGGCACCTATAAAGCCTACTCAATCAAGACTCGACGTAAAGAACCGACCATTCTGCCGTGACTTTCACCATCGTAGGCCCCGATGTATTGTGTTAGTGGGGCCCTGGACAGGCCCGGCCTGACGAACTCCTTCGTCCTTGGTGATTCCCTCCGCCCTTCGTGATACTCTTCGTCCTCGCGGCCTACCTCCTGCACATCCAATCATCGACAAGTACCTCAAGCGCACCTTTTACGGGCCCGGAAATCCCTCTTTGGGACTAGACGCACTCGAGGCCAACTGGCGCCTTCGCTGTGGCCGTACCTCTTGACCTTAGCTCGAGGCGCTTGCCCCGCTCCCCCGCACAATGCGGAGACTCGCTTGCAAGTCTCGTTTATGTTCGTCGCCCCCAGGCTTCCCCGCATCGTCTCCCTTAGCCTTCCCCGGACCGACTACCCCATCCGTCGCTGTTCAAAGTAAGCTAACATCCTCGAGGCGAGCGCCTCTGGCTATCAGCCGATGTCGGCAACAAGGTTATATACGCCTGAGGCGGGATGAAGTACATGGTACACGAGACGGGATACAACATTTTTGTATAACATCTCCGGAATCTGCCCTGCGCCGAGGCTCTATGGGATTAGACAGCGCAATTGTCTGGTAAGGTAAGGAAGTAAGGTACAAGGATATCAACAAACTCGCTCCCTCATCCGTTGTTGTACATACATGTTATTTCTCGAGTACTTATCGGTCCATAAACACGGTCGTGGAAGGATGCAGCGGGCGAAAGAGGCGTCTATGCCATCCTCGACGAGCTCAACCATCATCAGAGCACCATGTCAGGTGAATCCCGTCATTCGACACTGTGACTGCGTGCCCCTTCCTCTCCTGGTATCACGCAAGCCCCCTTCGCGCGACGATGTCGATAGAGTCCGCCGGGATTGTTGAACGCCGCCTGACAGCGCTGGCAGACATACTCGCGCAGGTCGAGGTGCGAGCGGATGTGGTCTATGAGGGGGATTAGTACACAGCTCGAAAGGATAACGGATGGAGTCAACGGGACGACGAGAAGACAGAATGTCAAGATAAAAGGAAAGGAAAGGGGAAATGGTCATGAACTCAGCGACGAAATCAAGGTAGATGAAGAGATCAAGGGAGATGCCCCGTATCACGATCGCGACGAAGAATGGTAAGGTACTCACTTCTTAGATTGTGCCTCTTCGTAAACGTCGATCCACAGTGCGGGCACCGGATATCGGAGTCATTGGGCACCTCCCTACTTCGTCGCTTGCTCGACGCGCGCGCGATCGCGCCAGTGGTGACTTGGGGGCGGGCAACGGGGAGGGCATCGCTCTTGCTTCCGGACGGGGACGCCGTGGACGAGCGCGAACCGTTGCGCGAAGTCGAGGAGGACCCATTACTCGATGCAGTGCGGGATATCGAGTGTATTGCGGACGAGGTGGGAGGTATTGCGGATATTGGATTGCGCGGTGAAGAGGATGAGCTCGGCGCCGTGTCTAGATACGCAGGATGCGATAGGAAAGATTGACCATTGGCGTCAGGAACCCCGGGAGCTGACGCGGATGAACCACGCAACAGGCCGTACATGGTTGCAAAGTCCGTCTGTTGGTATGGAGGCATCATGTTGCGGTTGTCAATCCCGTCGAGGGCGTTCAAGTAGGACATGTCTGTAAGAAAGGTTAGCTACGAGTACGTTTTATCGGCTGATTAAGCACCTATGTCCCCAAGAGTGTCGTTCGACGTTGACCAGGGCAGATACGGCCAAGAGGAACTCGTCCCGTAATCGGAGAGGGGAAGGTCGCTCGAGAAGGGATCACTATTCGTGTATTGCTGAGACGTACTGTTGGGTACGCTAACTGAGCTACCGCTAGACAGGGCAGAACCGAGACTGTAGCCCAGGTACTGATCCTGATTCTCTCCTACAGGCGAAATATCTAGCGAGGTGAGAATGAGCAGACGCCACTAATATTGCAAAAAATAACATACCCTGGGTCTTTCGAGCACGTTCAGTGCTGCTGGGCGCAGCTTTGGGCTCATATATACGATCTCGAGACGAGGCGCGCTCCTGATACGGGCGCCGAGGGGCAACGACTGTAGGCTTCCCTTCCGAGTACACAAAACGTATCCCGTCGTGAGGCCGCTCAGCAGGCACGGTATATCCAGACATGGGTGTTCGACCGAAAGCCGGCGAAAGGGTGTGGGCGCTCTAACCCGTAGCGGCGCCGTTATATACTGCCTCTGTGATGGCGGTTCACGGCGCAGAGCGACGCTCTGTCATCATGGTCATCACGACTCATACGGTAGCTTCGCAGACGGAATTGAAGGATCAAGTTCAGACCCGCCGACGCGCGTCGCGGACGGTTTCCTAGCGCGCCCGAACCGGATGGTCATGCATGTCAAAGGCTGAAGGGCGAGAGTGACGTGTACCCGAGGCAGCGAAGGAGAATAGTGCCCGGCGAGAGTCCCGAGAGCCATACGATGGGCGTTGCCCGCCCGTACGACCCCGCCCGACCAGGAGGCTGACACAATTGAGTCCGTTTGAGCGGCGGTCAGGCGCACGATGACGACGATACGGCGGTTAGCGCTTTAGTCAGCGTCGAGTCAGCCCTTGCTCGCTGCCCGAAGACGAGGAGATAGCATTGAACATGGTCCAGAGAAAAGATGAGTAAGTCGGCGTCGTGCTCATTGGGAAAGTCCAAATGTCGAACGAGAAAGCCAAGTGAAAGTTGACGTTGAAGTTCAACTTGTTTTGCCTCCGGCGCTTTCCGAAGCCAAACGGAGGCAATTCCAATTCCGGATTTAGAGGCCCTCCGATTGGCTAAAGGAGGTCTAAGCGCCCCAAATCCGTTGTGGCTTTCCGAAGAGACCCGCAATCATGGTTGCCCGATTATCTCTGGACGCGAAGACCATCAGGTCCCTGTCCAGCACGGTCAGCAAGACTTCTGTATCTCTTCGAGCCCTGAAGCGTCTATCACGACTCGGGAACAGAATACAGGGCCTCTGATCTCTCATAGCTTACGAGCTTCAACGGCACGGTTGCGTCCCCCCTTCCCCCAGACAGGGCACAACCTAGAAAGGGATCGACTGGGTGGCGTAACAACAGTCAAAAGTCAAGAGTCGAGGGTTTATTACCGGAGAGGGTGCGTACCATCAGTGACCGTTCGAGAATTAGGCGATGAACGTGTGTAGGTATCCCGCGTCTCCTGCACCGCTATACAGCTCGGGATAATCTAGGACATCCGATTGGCTATCATCTCCTAGTTCATGTCTCTTTCCTACTATCCCAATGCATCGTACGGACAGAACACCCCCGGCAGTCCGGCAACTCTTCGTTACCCATCCACCATGCCCAATCAGACGGCCATGAACCCCACCGCGTCCCCCTCCCGCCAGATGCCTCCCCCGGCGCTCTCCCCACGCCAGCTGGCAACACTCGCGCTGGGAACGCCTCGCTCAGGGCGAACGGCCGCGGAGATCAGCACCGACGATCGCTCTTTCACGCGCTTCCGCGCCCCCGCGCACAAGCACGCCCACCACCTCCACTCCATCCCCCCGCGCGAGAAGAGCACCCGCACCCTGATCCTCGATCACATCCTCTGGGTGCACGCCCTCACGCGACTGGCGCAGGCGCGCGCGGAGCTCGGCATGTCCGACCTTTGTCCCCCGCCCCCCGAGTCGTCCTCGCCCGGCCCCTACAACCCGCTGCGCCCAGAGTCGTACGCGCACGCTGCGCAGGAGTCGGATGGGGAGGAAGACTCGCTGGTCACGCTGCGCTCGCGCGTCGGCAACCCGGGCGACCCCCACCTCGACACCGAGGACCAGCGCCTGTACGAGAAGCAGGACCTCGACCTCGCCCGCGGCCTGCGTACGCGCGCCGAAGCCCTTGAGAAGGTCATCGTCGCCACGCTCGACGGCATGCCCCGCGTCAACCCGCACGAGAGCGGCGAGGGCGACTCGCTTGACGGCTTGGGACGCCCGCCAGAGAGCTCGGAATCTGGCAAGAACGAGGCGGCGGCTGGTCTTTCTACCTCGAAGGCGCCGAGTGCAAGCAGCAAGGATACGAAGCAGACGGTGAAGCCTGCACCCCCGCTGCCGAACGGCGTGCGCCTTCGGCTAGCGCTCGGCACGGTTATCAATGACCTCTTCGCCCGCTGCCCCCCGCCTCCGCCTCGTCGTCGCAGAGGAAGCTCACCTTCGGGCGATGGATCAGACGGTCCGTCGCAGGACGGCACTCAAGAAGCCCCCGTCGTGGAAGAGCATACTACAAGGGATGAATGGCCTACCCCGCTGCGATCACTGGCGAAGGCGGCTCACATTGACGATGGGATGCCGCCGCAGGAAGACCCTGCTCTTACTGGCATTCCCGATGCCAACCGGACGCGCGCACTCTACGTCCCAGGTGCTGATCCCGCCACAGCGAACTCGCCGGCGGAGATGCGGTAAGCCTTCATAAGCCCCGTCTCGCTGGGTTCGCAGCTTATATAGCCCTTAGATGTCCCCGTCATCTCCATAATGGTTGCGGGATATGTGTCATTGCGGACGAAGCGACTAGCGCGAAGGGAAAGTGAGTCGTATCTGCGTGGTACTTTCACCCTTCCCATGTCTAATGTCCATCACTCTAGGTCCCATGTAAGCGGCTATCGCGTTGACTCACGAGGTCGCTTCTTCGGGGCGAATCGCCAGGCGCAAGCTTCGCCAATGGCCCGCACCGTCAGTGGACGGTACGCCTTCTATCGACATCACCGTGTGACTTATTGCTCATAGGTCTTTCCCAGGTCGACTCAAGGTAGCTCGCCCGGCGCCACCCGATCCCCAGCAGAACGTCACTCGGCCATACCAAGCAGTTCCGACACGCAGACCTCTCCCTCTGCGTTCAGGGCACCCTCGAGCGCGTTCAGTGGGGTCAGTCAGGGAAACGGTTTGACTGGCTATCTCGACGGGGCCGGCATCGGCACTGGCCTCGCTGGCGCTGGCAGCACTGGCAAGCGCAGCGTGATACGACGAGGCGACGGTCCCAGCAAGAAGACCTCCACCTCCGCTTCGCCCTCCACGGACGACGCGGGCGGCCCCCGTCCTAGCAGCAGGGGCAGCGCCGAACGCGAGCGCGAAGAAGACGAAGCCCGCCGGCGCGCCGCCACGGCCACGACCAGCTTAGCCTCTCTGATCCCGCGGTTCCTGCGCCTGAGCGCCCTCGTCGCGAAGGAGCTTGGTCGCGAAGCCAAGGAGGGCAAGGACGTCGAAGTCGAGCACGGGCCCGGTCACACACCCGGGGAGAATGATGCTGAAGGCGCAGGCGAGGATGGCGCGCCCCGGGAAGCCGGGCCGGGACAGGCCGCGGTGTCCTCGGGGGCGTCGGCGGCCAGCTCGACATCGTCGACGGCGCCATACATCCCGACGGCGCACTGGTACCTGCTGCTTGCGGGCTTGCTGACGCGCGCAGCACTTGAAGGATATCTGAGCACCGGCTGGACGGGGCGCGCGGGTGTGCGTGTGCTGCTCGGCCTCGGCGTCGGTGGTCCGGGATCGGTACCCGCGGGACGCACCCATCGCAGGCGGCCTCGGCGACGCAGCAGCGGCGCGAAGAGTACCTCTCCGGAAGTGGTGCCGCCGCGTCACGCCCTTCGCTCGCCTGCTCCGTCGGCAGCGGCAGCTGAGCAGGCCAATGGATCGGCTGTCAGCCAGTCCGAACTGGAGTCTTCGGATGAAGAGGACGACGAGTTCGCGCCTTATGACCCGGATGAGCTGCCGAGTCTCGAGGAGGCAGTGAGGTTGCTGTTTCCGACGCTGGCGAGGCGGCTGGGCGTGGGCGGGTCAAGGAGCGCGGCGAGTGGGACGGCAGAGGAAGCGTACATCATCGAGATGGAAGAGCGGATGCGCAGGGTAGGTTGATATCGGATTTCTGTACGCGAGCTTGGCTGACGTGTTTCCAGTTCTATACCATCCCACCTTCGACTCCGGACCTGTCGACGCACATGGAGGACCTTGCGTGGCAGTATCCGGCTGAGCCTGTTGAGGTAGAGTATGTCTCTTCCTCAGCTTTCCCTTGTGCTAAATCACCACTTTCCAGCGCGCAGCCGTTCGCTTTTGCGAAAGCGTCTGTCGGTGGCGTGGCAAACCTGAGATCGAGAGCGTGAGTACCTCTGGCGCGTGGACAGGAGGTTGTGCTGACCTCGCAATAGTACCGCAAGCCGACGACCGCGAACTCGTCGAACAACAACTCGACGGGATCCAACGGGACGGACTCTTCTCCTCTGATGCCCATGAACGCGCTGGTTCACTCAAATCCTACCAGCCCTGTTGTCGGTGTCGGCACCAGTCTCCCCTCCACCACTGGATTTCCTGCAGTCGGTGTCCCGTATCAATGGGGTATGTCTCAGGCGAATCAAACACAGGGTCCTCAGCCTTCGGAGGCCAGTGCGGCGGACGACGACGAGATGGTCATGCCGCAGAAGAACGCGCAGCCATCGGTCGAGACGTACTTCGCGCCGGCTTTCTCGACTATCGTGAACACCGACGCCGACCGCCAGCAGCAACAGCCGCAGCAACAAACCCAGCAAGCTCAGCAGCCACAGAACCCTCAAGGTCTCGGGCTGTCGTACTCACAGCCGTACCCTGGGATGTACAACAGCTTGAATGGCTCCCAGCCGTCGACCTCCAGCTACTCCGCCCAACCGGGGTACTCTTCCTACGCGCAGACTTATCAAAGTCTCATGCCTCCCCCGCCGCCGCCGTTCCAGCCCGGACAGCAGGCCTCATATGGGCAGCAGTCGTACGCGTCCTCGTCTACGGGCTTCGCAAACTACGGCTGGGGCAACATGTTCCCCGCCCAAATGGCTGCTCAGGGCGCTCAGCAACAGGGTGAGAAGCGCCAGAGGACGCCCGGCGCCGAGCAGTCGTCGCCTGGGCGCGGCGAGAAACGCGTCCGATTCTGATCCCGGCACGCGCTCGTCAATGTCTTTATCCCGTCTTGAGGGACGTATTTAATGGCTATCTCTGTTTTCCTTCTTCGTCTATCTTTCTCCTTCCTGTCACGCGAATGATTTATCGGTGCTTATTCCTTCTTCATCACTCAATCTGTCCCCCGACATACCCGCTTCGTTCTGCAGTATATAATTCGGGTTCTCTTTTCTTGTGTACTCCTGCGAGCCACCCTCGTGATTTACGCACTCGCTTCGTCGTTCATGACTCGCTACGATGCCTTTTCCTCCATCGCACGCTCTCAAGCATTCCGGCTCACTACCGCTCTCCCTCCTCCATCCCGACTCTGATTGTTACTGTGCACAAGTATGTATCATTAGATGTTCAACTTTGTACTAGTTACCCTGCAACGCCAGCGACCCATCTCTCCACCTCGCTGTCCTCTTGAGACACGATGTCTACCTATATAGCTCTGCGGGGAGAGCGCTCATGGCTATGTCCTCCAGACTAACAGCTCCGCCACCACTACTAGGGCTTTACGCGGTGTGTCTCAGGTTTCGTGGAGAGAATGCCCGTTTTGATCCCGATCTCGATTTGGAAGTTGGCTACCAGATAGCCCCAACCGTACTTGCTCCTTGACTTCGACCATCATGCCGATGTCCAGCAGTTTTCTTACAGGATCTCTCTTTTTGTGGCCACCGTTTTCGGGCTCCTGCGCAACCTCTTGAAGGAGTTTTTGAGGACGTGTCACGCCCAAGCTCTGAAGGTCGCACTGATGTAGTGGAACCATTGACATTGCCTTGTAACGCCAGTTCAGACATGCGATAACGTTCGAGGCATCCATTGAATCTCACATGAACTTGGAGTTTTGTCTTGCGGAACACAGGATACGCTCACAGGCACATCCGTATTGAAGTTACGCATACCATCTATCGGACGCTTAAACGCGGCGTTATCGACTTCCTGTACCTTCATCTCCCCGTCTTCCCCTCTACCCTCACTCTCGATGGTCTCTTTTACGACCAAGATCGAAGACGATTCCCCTCTACTGACTCTTGGTGCCGGTTGGCAGCTGGGCACAGACGACGATATGACTAGGTGTGTGTTCATAACAGCTCGGATTTCCTCAACAGCTCACAGCTCTCATGTGCAGGTTCTCCGGCGGCAGCTTCCTCAACACGTCTGAGACCGGCCGCATGAGCCTCGAGTTCAATGGAACTGGTGTTGAGATATTCGGCACGCGCGGACCACAACATGGCTCTTATCGAGTAACACTGGATGGGACTACCTACACCTACGACGGGAGCTACGGCACGCGTCTCTATAACCAGACAATCTTCTCCAAGATCGATCTGCCCCTTCGACAACATCAGATTGACATAGAAAGTCTAGAAGACGGAAAGATTCTGGACGTGGACTACGTGCGTGGGAGAGGCGGCTTTGTACTAGATGCTGACAATGACTTGTAGCTGATGGTCACGTCGCAACTGGACAACGAAGAGAGCACGATACCCCGCAGAGTCATCGAAAATACAGACAACGCCTTTTTGTACGACCCTGCAAATCAATGGCTCACGAACTCATCGGACGCTTTTTCTGGTGGCTCATCGACGTACGTCCTTAGGTATCTTCCCTTTGCACCCCTATCATTGATGCGCATATCTCCTCTAGATACACGAAATACGTCAACGCGAGCACCACGCTTACCTTCGAAGGCGAGGGCGTCACACTTTATGGACCAGTCGGCCATCCATTCTCGAGCTACCGCCTGAGGTTAGATGGCAAGCTTACGGGACGCTATAACGCATCTCGCTTGTCGGATAACTCACAGGCTATCCTATACCACGCCAACAATCTTGATCCCGGGCGGCACGAGTTGCAGTTCTTGTACAAGGGATTTAAGGGCGTGCATCCTGTGGCTATCGACTACGCAGAGGTGTGGGGTGCCGCTAGTGGAGGTAATGCATCAGGCGGCGATGCTGAACAGGCCGTTTCTACCTCATCGTATGTCGAATATTGGGATTCAAGGTCGTCCGGGTCTAACACCGTATAGAGGCCTCTCTCAAGAAGCGTACGTCGGTATCGGCATCGCTGTTGTCCTTGTTGTGCTTGCCATCGGTGCCGCCACCTTCGCCTTGGTGCGCCGGCGGGTACGGCGGCGTAGGCAGATGAGCATACCCCTACCCGACGGACACGAGACGCGACAGTCCAATCATCTACAGCCATACGGCCTCGTCGCCTCTATTGCTGCCGATGCTTTCACTTATGATAGGAAAGGTTCGAGCGGTTGCATCGTACCTGCAAGTCATACTACCTACGCAGCGCGAACGTCAGGCAGTGACACAACACCACCTAGCTATGATCAGGCTGTATATGCGAGCCCTTCACTACAACATGTTCGCTCGCTTCCCCCATGATGTGGCAACAGGGTTTTCCGAGTACTTGGCCACGGTATCATCGTACTGCCCGAGCATTGATATCCATATATGTATACTTCTGTATCACGGGAAGCAAGGTATTCATGTCCAGGCTTCCGCTCCCAAAATTTTGCCGTCTCAAGCGGAAAGTTGAACATCTTAGCCCTGGCCACGTGCAACACGTGAGTAAAAGTGTGACGCTTCATGTGACACCTCGACGCATCCGTCTCTTGACCTTGACAACCACCTTCATTCCCACAATGGCGAGCTCTCTCCGCCAGGATTGTCATGAAAAGCTCTACACATGCTACCACTGCGAGCGTAGCCTTTCATTGGACCTCAATCCACCTTCTCCGCCCGCGCAGAACGATTTCCTACGCAGTGGACGCCTTCTCTCCGCTGCAGACACTGAGCTCATGAAGCAGGAGGCTGCGAAAACCGACCTGCTCTTGGAGAGTATTGCGCGAGAGATAGGCGACATGCGGGAGATGCTGGCGAGTCTGGAGAATGCCGAGCGCACGCTGCAGGACCTGCAGGCCACCCAGCAGGCGTACCTTGCGCCGATTCGCAGGCTGCCTCCCGAAGTTCTCTCTGAGATATTCAAGCTATACTGTGGGGACCCGTGCATAGATATTACTATGAAGCACTGCCCGCCGCTGCTCCTGAGCTCGGTCTGTAAGTCATGGAGAGGTACGTTGTCGATGAGCATCGTCGCAGCCAAGAATGCGAACACGACTGACACGCGGTTCTACAGATACTGTACTCGGCATGCACCACATATGGGCCAACTTCCGAATCTCTAATGTGTCTTTGCTGACCCTAGAGTCCCTCCTTGGTCGTTTGAGAACGTTTTTGGCGAACGCGGGGAACGTTCCTCTACGGTTCCCTGTCCGCTACGGGACTGGAATTGGATTCACCCGTGCGCATCAGGAAATACTCCGCGAATTTCTCCCTCATTCGCACCGTTGGACTCATCTAATCATCGCGCTACGGCCTCGCAGCTGGGCTGATTTACGACTCAACAAACGGGATTTCCTCGACGAGTTGATGGGGCGGCCGCTATCCTCCCTGACCACTCTCGAAGTCAAGCGGAGCGATTTCACCAGAGGCGATATGAGCTTCTTCAGTGGAGTTCGTACTCTCCGCCGTCTGGTTTTCCAGGAGGACTCGAATGCAGGAGCGGAAGGCGATGGCGGAGAGTCGACCATACCGTGGCATCAGCTGGAAGAACTCTCGACCAACGCGTCAGCCGCATATGCATTGACGCTGCTCCGGCGCTGCCCTCAACTGCGTGTATGGGAGCACAAGGGCGCGGTCTCGTCTATGCCTCTGCCAGCGCCGTCATTACCCACTCCCCTCCCACGCTTGCAGAAGATCGACATCCGCATCTACTCTCTGAGCGACGTGAAGATCCTCGAGAGAATAGAGACCACAGAACTTCGAGACCTCAGTATGGCATGGATGACCTATTCTGGCACCGAGGCCACTGGCACCGGCAACATCACGCGCTGGGCGCACGATCTGCGCCAGCTACGTCTGTCCGATCCGCCTCGCGCGTTGATCATCGAAGACTTCCTGAAGAGACTACGCGCTGTGACGTCGCTGATGCTGCGTGCCTCAGAGGACGCTACGTTGACGCAGTCCTTCCTCGACGCGCTGTCAGCCAGCGGCCCGGCAGCGTCGGAGCGCATGCTGCCGTGCTTGGAAGTGCTCGACCTTTCCGGCCACAGTACTTTCGAAGCGTCAGCTCTGCCTCGGATGATTAAAGCGCGGACGGAAGCGAATTATCCGCCGCTCGAGGTCTTCTGCTCGTTGTCTATGTGCTGAGAGGGTCCTCGAAGCATCTCATTCCCCGAAAGCATGTGGACGAAATTGACTATGGAATTGATTGGATGCATGGCCGAAGTGATTCAATTTTTGTACTACAGTACATTTTATTTCCGCGCCTTGTAGTGAAGTCGAAAGAGCGACTCCGAGTCCATACTTCAACTCATCACATGCTCGTGAGACTGAACCACGTGAGTCTGGGGGTCCGCTTGGCGCGATGCGTGATGCGTAATTCCAACTTGCTCTTTCTTGTCACCCAGAACCTCCGTTGAGAATTCCGTTCGCATTTGTACATGGCCGAGACGCTTCTTTGGCGGTGTCCTATTCGATACACGCTCTGTCGCGCCTGCGAGCACGCATATCATGCCGACCTCGACCTGCCACCATCTGGTCCAGAAAACATCATACTCCGCACTGGCCGCATACCATCATCCGCGGAAGCAGAGCACGTACGGCAGAGTATCGCGCAATTGGATGAATGCCTCGAGGAAATAGATGACGAAGTGGATGACCTCGAGGCTCTAATTGCCCAGCTTCGCGACGGCCAGCGGGCGCTGAAAGGCCTTAGGAGAGTCCAGCGCGCGTACCTTGCACCCGTCCGCAAACTACCTCCAGAGATCCTCTCGATCGTCTTCAAGATGTGCTACGGTGACGAGTCAATAGATCTCTCGCGAGAGCGATGCGAGCCTATCATCCTGAGCGCCGTATGCAAGACTTGGAGAGGTAAGTCCAGCTTTTTGGGTTGCGCCTAGCAACGAAGTCAACCAACATTCAAGACGTTAGTTCTGACTGTACCCCGCAGATACCATGGCTGGTCTGCATTCAGCGTGGACCGCATTCGAGTTCGGGCCTGCGTGCGAAGTTGAACACAGCATCGTTCTTGCTCGGCTTCGCACCTTTCTCAACAATTCCGGAAATCTGCCTTTGCGACACTGCATTCGTTTCGAGATGACTTACGCCACGGTACTTGATCTTCAGAAACTTCAGCTACTGGATCTCCTCATCGAACATTCGCACCGCTGGACCGATGCCACATTTCGTTCATTCGGAGAAACTCAGCAGGAGATAGTTGCGATGCTGGCGAACCGTCCTCTGACGCGCTTGACGAAGCTAGAGGGGGACGTCGACCTCCTCGCCGCATGCAACGCAATCGGCATCTTCAGAGGGGCATCAACTTTGCGAAGCGTCACTCTATGGGGCATGTGTTACCATAAAACCATCCCGGACCTGCCTTGGGAGCACATAGAGGAGTTGTCCACAAAGACGCCCGGCGCATATGCCTTGGCCTTCATACATCGCTGCCCTAATCTCGTACGCTGGTCCTATCGCGACGGTTCCAAGTACGAGAGAGGACAGCCACCCGCCTCCCCCACCGTTCTCCCTCGCCTTCGGTTCTTATCCGTACACATTGAGGAGGAAGCAGACGCCATAGTCCTCGCCAGCATCACCGCGCCTGCTCTTCTAGAGTGTAGACTCGTATGCAAGGCGAAGGGCTTCTCAACCAATATGGACCTTGGATTCGCGACTTTCCTGACTCGCTCCGCATGCCGTCTCGAACGCCTCTTCCTGGACCGCCCACCGCACAACGTCCTCGATCATCTGTATACAGACGCGCTGCAAGGACTGACCACACTCCGCGTGGTGGCGCATAAGGAAGCGCCTGTGACGAAAGCCTTCATTGAGGGCCTTTCTGGTAGCACGCCCGACCCTTGCCTGCTTCCGCAGCTGGAGAATTTGGAGTTAGGCGGAGAACCGGCGGAAATCCTGGGAGACGCGTTGGTGGAAATGGCGAAGGCACGTCGTAGGATGGGGCGCCCTCTGAAGCGCTTGTTTTTCGATGCGGGGCCTTTAGGCTTGTCGGCCCGGGCCTTTGGGTGGAATGCGGGGGTTGAGAAGCGTATGAAGGAGGTGGTCGACTGTGTTGAAGTGCGCTGGAGGGATTTGAGGGAATCGTTCTACGCCTTTTAGCGCCGATGGTAAGCCCATCGTCCCGTCGCCCTCTTGGTTGTAGCTATAACACCCTTGCTAGATGAACCTCAGCATGTCCCTATTACCAGATGGATAGCAAGAAAAAGGCCGAGTCGAATGTATATTTCTACTTCCATAATTGGGTTCGCCGACAATCGGAATCATAGTTCCTTTACCAAGATCGCTCTCTGTCTCTCAACTCTGGTGTGTTTAACAACCATATCCATTCTGAAGCGTGAGCCTAGATCTATATGTCAGACATACGGGGCGTCTCTCTTGTCTTGAGCTTCCGCAGTGGGTCCAGCGGCCAGGCACTGCGCCATAACAATTGGTCCGACGACATGGGGAAGGAAGATCGAGATATGATATCTCCGGTGCCACACACCCGGAGAAGCCGATGAGATGCGAGTCGGAACGCGCGCCATCTGCGCGTCGCTGGCTTGTCTCTGCCCGCCAACACGACCACCGTGGCTCGCTAACACGGCACTGTGGCTGCAGGCACTTTGGCCCCCCGCCTTCCTCTCACCTCCGAGGGGCTCACTGATGAGCCCCCCGCTCCAATACGTGCGCCGATCGAGATGAGCGACGCGACGCACCAGGCTGACCACCTACCAGACGTCGGAGCATGAGATTTGCGCTGCTCTTGCGGGACTGACGTTGCTCTGGTACGACACGTTATGCACTATATTTGAAGAGGTGCGTTGCCTGCCAAACCTTGCTATGCTTGTTAACGAGTAATTGCTGTCTAGGTCGAACTGGTCTGGCGCGGACGCTGGGTACATGCTGGACTGTCTGGGGTACGACGACAGCAGGCTCACGCACAGCACAGGGCGCAGGCAACTACCTGTACTTTTACGTGCGCTATGCTCCATTCGTAACCAGCATCGTGTCCTTTCGCAGTATGTGAACAGCGCCCACTTCGATCACCCAACTCAACACCAATATAGCGATGTTTTGGACGAATACAGCGGCGCAATGCAAGCTGTACAACCAGATTTACACTGGTCCGTCCCTCGTATGGACCTTCATGCTTCCTCGACGTCTGACGATCGCCTTGAGCAGTCCTTGCATGTGCGACCTTCAATGTATGCGAAGGTGAGCGGTCTCATCCCCTCGTACATCACTGGCGGCTGATTTCCCCCTTCAATCGCCCAGCCATCCTTCTCCTTCGCACTTACGCCCTTTACGGCGCGACTCGCACCATGCTCGTAACATGCCTGCTCATCTTCGGCCTCACTGTCCTTCCCGGGACCATCATCGACATGTGGCAGCTCTCGAAACTGCAGTGTACGTGCTGCCTTCTCAAACCTCCCGCACATGCGTCCCCAGCGGTACATCCACATATCCCCGCTCGTCGGCTAATCACCAGCCGTTCCTTCCAGTGTACGACGGAGGAGAGCCGCGGAAGGGCTGCGTCGGTACTTCCAGCCCAATTCTCGGGATCGCATACCTTCTCTTAACGGTCTGCGAGCTCGGTGCGTGCCAAAAATCGCATCTATTCATCATCTCTTCTCACGGATCGTAGCTATTGTTATCCTTACGGGTTTCAAGGCGGTGCAACATCGTGAGTTCTGATGCTGATGCTTCCCAGGCGCACCTGATTAGCGTTCCCGAAGTCCGTGTCATGCGCCCCGGACGAGAAGCGTGGATCATTCAGCTATATCGACAAGGTATGCCGACCTCATCATTGTCGTCGTCTTCCAGTTCTGACAGCCCGGTAGGATTCGCCTTCTCAGCAATGACTTTAGGTGCGGGGTCCCCTCGTCTGCCAGGCGAACTCACTCGAGCCCACGACAGCTGTCTCCATAATTCAAAACCTCTCGATTCTGATGATACCCGTAAGTTTCCTGACACTCAAGTCGGCGCTCGATCCTTACAACATTTCCAGGCGCATGCCAACTGGCTCTCCTTGCAAGTGGTATTTCCCTTTGAACTGCGCAGACGGTGCTGATGAAGTTATGCACTCACAGCGCCCAGCATGACCTTCACGCCGTCTTTTGCAGCCGCCTGCTCTTGCTCATCTTTGCGCAGAAGCGGGAGGCTACGCAATATTCCGACCGCAGCGCCACCTCCGCACCCATTCTCACCACGCAGGCCCTGACCTTCTACGACTCAGAGGCTGATTTCGAGCCGGACCGCATTGACTTAGATGTATATCGGACACGGTCGTCAAGGCGGTGGGCCTCAGACCAGTAGATACAGGCCGTCTGAGCGTTCGTGGTCACATATATCAGGTACTATACCCAGGACGTTTTCAATTCTGGATCAAGGAGTGTATTACTAGTCCGCCGCCATACGCGACGCCTCTGTAAATATGTCTACGCACATAGATAATCAGGATGTTACGAGCAGTGTCGCGGTGAATAAAAAGGAAGAAGAAGAAGTATGAATACAATGAAAAGCCCCAAGGTGAGTCCAATATGATAGCCGTATGTAGAAAAGTCGCTTCGTCAATGATCACCCTTTGCACCGTAACTGGACTTCCCGAGGCCGCTTGGAGGCAGCCCAGCTCGGCTAGCCGGACGCGAGCCAGAGGCTACGCTATGGTCGTCGCGCACCGTATCCTCCGAGCCTGAGCTTCGCACCGAGCTGTAGCTGCCGAATCGGTCGTGGCCATAGCCAGGCTTCTTCCCGCTGACCATAGTATCCGTATCGCTGAACGACACCACACTCCGCATTGGTACATGCCCGTCATTCTTCGGCGTGAAGGGGTCGTCGTAGGATCCATGCGCGCGGTGCGCGTCACCGTCGTCGTGGGTGGAGTGGTGTGCGCCTGCGCCGATGGCCTGGCTCACCTGGCTGCCGTCGAATTGCTGCGAGAGGACCCTATACTTCTTCTTGCCCCGCTTCACGCGCAGCACCTGCGCGGCGAGGCATGCGGCGAGGACGAGGGCGAACGCGCCGGCGCCGACCGCAAGGATGATGAAGCCAATCCGCTCGTGCTTCATGTCCTCAAGCTCCTTCTCCGCCTTCTCGTACTTCTCTTCGAGGTCCTCGAGGTCCTCCTTGCAGTCGTCGCGCCGTGCGTGAGGCTGCCGACGTGCGAGGGCTTCGCGGTGCATAGGGTTAAGATCAGGATCGCTTGCATTCGGTGGGATTGCGGAGAGGGCGGATCGCGGAAGGACGACGAAGTCCGTGCCGAGATCGCAAACGTATTCTTGCCAATTCCTCAACGCTCCCTACGGCGATGTCAGTCCGATCAGGTCTTGCAGGAATGGCCCGAAGACGTACTCCGGGCTGACCCTGCAGGTCGCTCAGCCGCGTCATGCAGTTCCACAGATCGGCAGACAGCAATTGCTGCTCATCGCGCGGGAGACTGGCTGCGCCACAGAGCTGTTTGGCCTTTAGCGCGTGTCTTCAGACTAGAATTGCGCGCCGCTTACCTGCTGCAAGGTGGCCAGAAGCAAGATCGAGAGTCTTGAGGGGCGCATTTCATACGCTCGACTTGACGGGGAGGATGGGGGCCGAAATGGATACAAGGAAGATGACGGAGAGTTGAACACGCCTGCCACAATATATAGGACGCCTTGCGGCGCAGCAAGCTTCCTCCAAACGCCCCGCTTGTGACAAGGCCAGGCCACGCTGATGTCGCGGAGTACAATTGTGCGAAACACGCAGATCTGATAGGTTAGAGTACTGGAATTAGACGATGCAGCCCTTGGAGGCGTCCCGTGGGCGTGCTCCCCACCGAGCTACCGCATACACGTGCTGGCAGCCTTCCGCGGGCAATTCACGTCCGACTGAGAGGCAATGATATCGCTCACGTTTGTTTAAAACGCTCACACACTCGGGCGCTCAACGTCGCTTGGGGTGGTCCTGCGCATAGAAAGTTGTGGATAAATTTGGCATTGCGCGCTAACTACCCGGTTATCTGCTACCCAGTGAGGCAGTTTGCTTCACTCACCTCAAGTTACTACTACAGAGTCGCCTTCGTCACCTGCTCCATCTGCTTCCTCTTCGCCGCCGCCAGCTCCGCCTCCTTCAGCGGCTTCAGCCTCCACTTGGGCGCGGGCGGGTCCCAGATGCCAAACTCCCGCTTCATGTCCTCGATGTTCTGATCCCATCGCTTCTCCCAGTACACAGTGATGAGGCTTCTAGCGCTGCTCCCGCAACGCAGCGCCCAGGGCATGAACTCGGTCATGAGCCGCCGCCGGCGCTCGCCAGTGGTGCGCAGGGGGCCGAGCGCAGCCCCGAGCCCGGTCATGGGGATGCCGAGGTTGGCAAACTCGAAGGCCTTGACGGCGACTTCGTATTCGACGCTGACGGGCATGTTGACGATGGCGTGGTAGAAATCGTGGCACTCCCGGTAGCGCTGCATCACGTATGCGAGCTCGGGGTCCTCAATGTATTGGACCTGCGTAGGTTACTTAGCAGTGCAAACAACGTATGTGAGGATAGTATTCACCGGAGCGCGAGTGTCTGGGGTCACGCCACATCGGTGAAGCCAGGTCACATACGACTTGCCGAACGAGCCCTCCGGCATCTTGTCCAGCGCCTCCATGTCCACTGTGTTGGTGTTGATACGCGGTCGCTCCTTCAGGATCTGTCGTCCTTCCTCGCTCTTCAGCATGATGTCCCGAAGGCGCGGGAGGCTAGGCCCCGCCGTCGTCTCAGCAAGGGTCGCGACCATGTCTACGGTCGAATGAGTTCCCCCACATCCCAAGTCTGCTCAAAGCACGCACCTCCCCTCCTTGGGTTCGCTAGAGCTACCAACCCAGAACCCACAGCCAGGAACGCGTTCTCAAACCAGTTCAACTTGATGAATTCCGGGTACGGCTTAGTCGACACCGTCCGGCGCGCCGCCGCGACAGAGGGGAGGCTGCGCTTCAGGCATCTTGACGCAGTTGCGATCGCATTGCGCTGGGCTGTCGCCGTCAAGGACATGGTGGTTGGAAGCAAGCTATTAACGGACGTGTATTCACGGAACGCGCATTGGCGTCGAGGGCGGCGGAGGCCCGCGTCTGGAATCGGGGATGACGTGACGCGCATCGTCACATCAGGTGATGGGCTGAGAAAGACCAGCCACGCATGTTCAACTTGAGGAAGTCGCAATCGAAGGCTTGGGACATGATGCTTCATGTACAGGGTATCTTCCATTCGGATATACAACGCTCATCAACAAGATATAGTACAGTATGCTACATCGGGGTGTAGCCATGTCGCGAGGCGAAGGTACGGTTACAAGACAGCGAGATGCGATGCAAGTAAGCGATACAAAAAGCACGCGACGACGAGGGATCAAGGAGTGTGTAAGAGATTGCCGCTCGACGCCCGAAGGTGGACTCAATCTCGAGAGATAAGTTAATAAGTTAGGCAAGGGGAAGGGAAAGCAGGAAGCAGCCAACGAGAAAAGTCCGTGGATAAGGAAGGTTGTGGGATGCTCGCCAACATGACGAGAGTCGGAGCCGGCAAGGAAGTAAGGAGCAGTCCCGCCACTAGTTCATAGTGCAGGAAGCAAGGTTGCTCGACGCAACCCCTTGAGCCTGGAACGCCCTGCGCAAGCACGCCTCGAATGCGCCTGCCCCGGCAGCGGCGCGCAGCATATGCACCGGCGTCAGCTCGCCACAACCGCGGCTTTCGCACCTGAGAGGAAAGTTCCGTGCATGCTGAACGACCCGCGCGAGACACTCGTTGCACAACGCGTGTCCACACCGGGGCACTTGCACACGCACGTAGCGCCCGCACTTGCCGCAAGAGGGCGCCTGCTCGGTCCTCGGGCCAGCATCGTTGGACCGCGGGTCAAAGACGGCAACGTCATCACCATCGACGAGCCCCAAGGTCTCCTCCGCGCCGAAGCGCTCCGCCAGCCATACAGCAGCTTCGTTCCTCGACAACATCGGGTTCAGCGCCGCGCAAAGCTCCAGCCTGCTGTACCACTTGACGATGTTCTGACCGCGCTCGAGTGGGCGGTAGTCGGGCGGCAAGGAAACATGCACGAGGACGAGGTCGGCCATGGGGAAGTGGATATTGTACAAGGGATTGCCGGTCATGTCATCCGTAGAGGTCGCCTCGGACACGTCCGCCCTCAGTCCAGCGCGAGAAAAGGCCATGCGCAGCTCGTTCGCCCCTCGCTCGTAGTCCTCGGCCGTGAAGGGCAAGCGCCGAACGCAGGCAGCGTCCGCGAGCGCGATCATGTCGGCGGGGGTCTTGTTGCCGGGCACGTCTGGAATGCGGAGCACATATACGTAGCAGTTGCGAGATATCTGCACAGGCGGGATGACGGACGCACGAATCGGCCTGCGCGTCTCCGCCCATACCGAGTGGTTGTTGAGATCCTCGAACTTCTGTGAGAGGGCTCGCGGATCGAGGTACATGGCCTCCCAGGTGAAGGTCGGAGGCTGCCACTCGACGGTGCAGTGCGTCTTCTCGCAGACGATGCTGAGCCGAGTTACAGGCCCGGAGGGCTTGAACTGCAGCGTTCGCCCGCAGAACTGGACCGGCCCCGAAGGGGAACCCTTCGAGCGAGCGACGAGTGCTTCCGCGGCCGAGTTCTCCACAAGAAGGTACGCCTGCGCAGACGTACCCTCGCCGTCCACCTTTAAAGAGTGCCCAATCAACACGAAGAAACTGTCCGAAGGTACGTTCATCGCCTGCAGAACGCAGGCAACGGTCTCCAAAGGAGCTGTCGCAGGCAGGCCCTTGACGGCTATGCACTGCGTCTCGGTTGGGGACAAGACGCGCTGGACGGTGATCCCTGGGCCGAAGGTGACGATGAAGCCGTCGATGAGGCGCTTGTGGTTCTCTGCCTTCGAGTCGAGCGGCGGCTCGAGATGCGGCTTCGGCTCCGGCGACGGAGTTGCTGGCAGGAGATTCTCGAGCCTCACAGTTGCCGCAGAGGACGTGGACGCGTTCAGAACGCTGGGGCCCGCCGGGGCGAGAGATGCTTGCTGTGAATGCGGCAGCGCCTGGGGATTCGACCGAGACTGCCGAGCACGCAGTGGGGTGGGTCTGACGGTGACGTCGCTCTGCGTAGAAATCCTCGGTTTGAACTCTGGCGCCGCAGGATTCAGGCCGGCCAGATTGGCCGCCGTTATCGGCAGCCCAAGGTCAACGGAGGAGAGTGGAGACTGCAGAGCGGAGGAGTCGGTCTCGATAGCTGACGAGGATTCCGTCTCGGGCGCGGGGGAGCTGGACTCGAGGGCTGAGGAGCTTGACTGTGCGGTGCATGGAGGGCTGGTGCTTCCACGGCGTTCGGCAGCCTGGGCGATCTTCCGCAACGCGGTCGATCGCTCGTCTGTGCGGGGAACACCATTTTGCCCCTCTTCCGAGGCGTACGACCGAGGATGGAACGGCGGCGCGGCAGGGGAGCACTCGGACGCGCGCGAGCTGAACGAGTCGGACCGCCGCACGGTCGTCGGTGGCCTAAGGACAAACGCAGTACGCGTCTGGTTCTCCATCCCCGCCTCCGCGGGCTCGACGTATCTCTGTCGGGGCGCACGGGAGTCAGAACACGCGAAGTCAAGAAACGGGCCGTACTCGCCTGCACGGGGCGAATGTGCCGGTAGCGGCAGATCCGCCAGCTGGTGCACTGTCCATCCCGGTAGTATTGGTAGCAAACGCCTTTCGGGGGATTAGCGTGGTCTCGCGGCATTGCGGGGAAGGACAAGGAGTACAGGCGGACAGGAAAAACCGGGATAGGGAGAGTAGCGAAGGGAGCCAGGCGGCGGAGGAGCCCTACGAATGCGTAGGGTACTTATACGGTGTTCGCTACTCGGGCGGTCATAGCAGAATTTGGCGATAGCCGATATGGCATACAGGAAGGAAGGTCCTCCACGGTCGATTGTTGTTCATTGCCTTCTTTCATCCCTTTGAGCCTGCCGGCCTGGACGTGGAAGCAGCTGGCGTGACAAATCTTTGAGAGATTCCCTTTAAGAAAGAGATATATTCAGCAGGCGACTAATACGATGGCCGCGGACGCACCTAGCAAGGGTCTCCGAAGCCTCACGTTCGAGCGGTCTGTCCCCAAGAAAACCTCTGCATCCTGGACCCGTCAACGCACTCGCAGCGTCAAGCAGTTCACACAAGTCCGAGAGAGCCATGTATCGCGGTCAAAGGACTTCCTGATATTCGCATACAGTCGGAAAGGACGAGGAGAACAATGGAAGGGTTATTCCCGCGGCGCGACTGGCCAGAGTTGTTGACTCTTGTTTGTCGGCTCCATTGAGTATAAAAGGACGCTTGAGCGCCGTACTTCCTGGCTTCCTGCTTGTCCCCATACAGCCCGCACGGCCCCGTCCTCGGCGAGAAGCTCGTGGTCGCCAGCTAAAAGTATATCTTCAAGCTTACACCTACTCGCCCCTCCACGCGTATTCCATGTCCTGGCACGCGTACTTCCCGTCCTCGCATCTCGCCTGCCTTGGGTAGCGCAGCACGATCCCGACTCCATCCGCGACCCCATTCAGGCGGTACCACAGCCATCCACGACGTACCGCACCCCCGATTACCGTACCCGCAAATCCGCACCTAGCCAGCTTGTAATGCATGCCTTCTTTCCGAACCCTTTATCAGATTGTCCGTGCTTAGCCTCGAGAACCACGAAGACAGCGTCCCGAAGCGCAGGTGAGTCTCGCCGGTATCGACGCCGCCACCTTCGGCCTTCCCCGTCACGGCCCCCCATCCCCCCCTCTTCAGCCCCGTCGAGCACATCCCCAAGTGTGCATTCATTGCCATCGATAGCAGCGAGCAAGCATCAGGAGGCGGTCCCAGCATCATTCCGACCGGTCCCCAATATCCTCATTATCGTGCGGCGAGGCCCTCAGGATCGTTCCGGACGGTCCTCATCATCATTCCAGGCGACGCCGCGGGCCCCATCGGCGATGGAAGCTGTCATTTGCGCGGGCCATGATTGGTGGAGCCGTGGTTGCGATTGCTCGCGCTGGGGCAGCCGGCAGCAGGACCAGGGCACCTGATAGCAGAACAAAGCAAGACGTGGGAACGGGCGGGCAGCGTGGCCGCCAGGTGGTCGCCGTCAATCGCCGGTGCGTGGCACTTCGCAGCGCAATTGCAGCAGAACTAACCGCGTATCTGCCTCCAGAAGCGAGCAGGAGCAAGTTCAGGAGCCAAGGAACGCCATTTTGAAGAGTCTGAGGGAAAGGAGGGACGCGATCGGGCTGGAGAGAGCAAGCAAGAAAAGGTCGAGATTGCCGCCGAAGAAGTCCCCGTGCCCACCCTGCATCATTCGCGACTTGTCATGATGGGACGCGTGGTAATCTTCGATATAAGGGCGCGTAGCAATGTCTTGTTTCTCGTCCACCACCATCCCAGACTCTCTGCGTGCGACTCGCCCTCGCCCGCCGTCGCGCACAGCCAGTAGCGCGCGACTTCTCTGCACAAAACTTGCATACTCCGCCCAGCCCGGTCACCATGTCTGGCCTGATCTTCTACGACTTCGGAGAGAGCTTCAGCTTCTCTAGAGATTTCACTGACAGTGCGTTATCCATCGCTGCATTCGCTGACCTTCGTTGCTGACGCGCCTCTAGTCCCGCCCCCTCCCAACCCCGCTACCTTCCACCACGTCGACGTCCCCATCATCGAGCGCAACTACAGCAGCGAGGACGACTCGAACGTCATCCGCAACCCCACCTTCACTGCGGATGGTCAGCCGTCCTGGTTGGCCTCCATGAATGTAGATCAGCCCCTCGCATATACCCCGGTGGAGGACCCCCTCGGCGTCCCGTATGTGCTTCGCCACTCTGTGTATCTTGGCCAAGCTGACCTGACATCATCAGACCCAACGTCCTCCGCGACCGCCATCGCACCGGCCGCCCGCGCAGCAACTCTGCGCGCCAGCCGGCGCATGCTATGGCCTACCACCCCTACTCGCCGCCCTCGTCCCCTGAGCTGCCCGCCGATGTCCCCCTGCCATCCGAGCGACACTCGTGGCCGCCGAGGGCAGGGCGCGCTACGCGCGGGCTCGTCCCGTATCCGCCGAGCGACGCGTCTAGCCGAGACTCGTCGCCGGAGCGTCCAAGTTGGCGGGCTCGTGGCGCTGCTGTGTTTGGCCCTACTAGGCACGCGGTCGCGGCGCGCCGGGCGCGTCTGCTGTCCCGATGGGGTCTGCACCAAGCACGTACCCCGCCCCGAGCGCATATACCTCGCCCACCCCATCCGCTGCGCCCAGCACGTCTACCGCCCCCACTCCGTCTACCCCGCCCAGCACCTCGACCGCGCCCCCCGCCCTCGCCGCGCCCGCCACCCCCACTATTCCCCGCCGGCGCCGCAAGCGCTCGAGCAAGAAGCCCGCGTCCGACCTCGATGTCGTGATCGCGGGCATGAGCGCGCTCGGTGTGGGCGACTCGGACGCCGATGTCGACGACCTGGTGCGGAGCATGCGCACAATGCGGCTGAAGACGAGGCGTGCGAGGCGGCGGGTGGCGAATTAGGGGTTCGTCGAGGCCAGGAGGGGATGATGTGGGATCAGCGGGTGGTCGACGCGGGCGATGTCGTGGGACCAGCTGGGCGTCGTCGCGTATCGTCATCCTTGGTCTTGCGTCACGGGACCGCGACTGGTCACATGCCTAGCCTCCCACCCCTGTCGAGCCGGTCTTGAAGGCACCGTTTCTTCACCGCTGGTCGACGCTATCACAATTGCCGGTGTTGGACAGTAGCCGGTTCTGGTCACCTATCACAGTATCCGGCTCCCGACCCTCGGGGCCTATCGCCCTCCCGCACGCGGCATTCAGCACTCCTGAACACGGCATCCAGCATTCCTAAAACATCGCCTATCTCCTCTATCTTTACGACGCGCCCCTTTCCTCTTCTTGCCATCTTGTCCTCTTCTTCTTGTCCATGCCTTCCTCTTCATCTCCGGTCCTCTGGGGCCTGCTCCTGTGGACCAATTTCACTCTTCCTCTGCCTGTCACCTATTCATCCTCTCGCCGTTTACCCTCTATTCCTCTTGACCACTTCCCCTGCTGTGACCTATATTTTCTGTCGCTGTTAAGAAAACCCCGTCGAAGTGCTTTGTATATTCTGTACTACTATCTCCTCACCTGTTTATACTTTCTTCCGAATTCGGGATCTCTATCCAGGTTCTCTGCCCTCGACGCTCTTCATTCCTCATCAAGGTCCTCAGGCCTCCTCGACGTGTTCTTTATCCCCTATCCCTACCGCACGTCCATATGCACCGTCTCAGGCAGTTGCTGGACGTGTGACGTACACGATCCTCGAAAAGCTACATGCGGCTCTGTACTTTTACCTGGTCTCTTACTCTCGCCGCCATTCTTCGTATCTGCAGTACGTACTGTTCCTCTGGTTCTTGGTTCTTTGGTGTAACAATGGAAAAACCGTTGGAGGGCGGCAGCGACGTTGGCGCTTTGCTCCTCCACTATACTCAATTGCTTTGGCGTGAACTCGGTGTCTTTGGAATTGTCGGTCCGTTGATGCTCTGCGAAAAGCGTGTGTCTTCCACTCAAGAAGCCGATGCGTGCACTGGAGTGTAGCCTCGCGCGCTGGATGTCGCCTGGTACACTGGGTATTGGCATTGCAGCCCCGCTTCAGATAGTGAACTTCAGGTCGACGCGCGATAGTCTCGAGGTCCGGAGAGGTCCCCGCGGCTGTCGCAAGCCGTGCAATGCGCCTCTGTCGGTCGCAGAGGCACGACCGTGTTTGTGGCGCTCGTGTCCATTGTGGTCCACGGAGTTATGCTCGGCTATCTCCGGTGTGCGTCACCGCTTGGACGTATTGATCCCTCTCTTCCTGGACCACCATGTCGAGTTGCAGTGAAGGCTATGAACACGAAGACGGCTCAGAACGAGACTGTACTACTATTCCTATACACGAACCTCTTCGTTGACCAACGTGGCGAACTCCAGTAGGACACCTCTATCTCATTTCCAGATTCTCGGGCCCCGAGGGCCCCGACGGGAGCTTTTTGGGCGCAGCGCTGGTGGCTGTCGGCAGCTCGTCGGCGTGGTTGATTTTCAGGGGCTTCGAGGGGGCCGGTGAGGGTAGGTGAGACTGTCTCCGCGGGGGTTTTTCACGCCCGTCGCCCCCGGCCAGGCTCTCGAAAGGCGCAATCATCCTGCAGCGGAAGCGGGCCCAGCCTCACCAGATGTCTTCCTCGACGATGACGCTTGTAGAGCAATACACAATAGACGTGGGGAAGTCCTCCTCGCTCTTTTCAATCAAGTTCTTAGCCCTCGATCCGTCCCAACCGTACGGCTCCCTGTCTTGCCTCCTAATCCGGCGCCCGGTTTATCCCAGGTCGCCAAGTCGCAGATGAGGAGTCAGGACGAATTCGCGTGTGGAACGCGCTCATATATAGGTCGTCAGGGAGCCAGGGGCCGGAGCGAGGACCGTTCCCGCCTCGACGTCCATCCCCCCTCCCCCTCGTCCTCCGCCACCGTGCGTTTGTCCTTCGCCACAGCGCGCTAACGACAAGCTGGCGTCCAACATGCCAACGTCGGGCTTCACCCTCACCGATGGGGAAGTCCAGCAGATGAACCACATGAGCGCGGGGGCGGCGATGGGGAGCTTCTTCCTGTATGTGGTCCTCCGACGCGTAGCGTTCGCTTGCTCACCCTTTGGTTCAGGTGCTCGATGATCCTGGTGGTATCCGCTTTGGTGAGTAGTGAATTGGATGTTTTCTTGTGTACAATTTAATGGACCTCAAGGTATACCGATGCCCTCCTGCACGACCAGCACTCAACCGCATCAGTTTCCGGTAAGCATCGCACTTTTGCTTCGCAGAAATATTCTGACACCGCGTGGCGGTTCATAGGTTATTGCTATGGACAATGGTGATGTGCGGATCGGCCCTCAGACGCTAGCAAAAGGTTCGCGCTCACCTCACCCCCAGGGAACTCCTCTACGACATCTCATACACCGTTTGCGTCCTCCTCAAGGAGGACGACAACCGGGGAGCTTGCACGGCTTCGGTGTTTGGGATCTTCATGTTCGTCGGGTAAGCATCGCCTGAATTTCACTGATATTCCACTGGCTCATCTCGACGCCTGCTAGCATTACAAACTACCTCGTCACCTGCGTGGCGCTCAATCTATGCCTCGTCCTCGTCTTCGGCGTCAACGTGCTGAAGCTGGAGAAATGGTACATCATGGGCTCGTTCGCAGTAGGAATATTTGTGCCCATCGTGCCGGCGGCCTTGGGGAAGTTTGGGTGGGTGCTAGTCGTCATGGTCAATCACTGGCAGATGCTTACGTGCTTCTAGCTGGGATCCTCTCCTGTCCGTCTGCTGGGTTACTGTCGAAGACCCCAATTCAAGGTGCGCAAGCTGATCCTCCGCCTCCTGACTTGTTGTTGAACCTCGAGTGCAGGATCGTGATGTTCGTGATGGCGCTCTACTTGTGGCAGCTCCTCAGCTGCTTGCTGGCGACCATCTTCGTGGGCATCGTGAGTGCGCGCCACCGCCCGCTTTACTCAAGCTAACGACCTTCTAGACCCTCGTGACGCTCTACATGCAGGGCAGGAAGCGCGAGCGGTCGCTCAACAGCGGCACTCGCGTCGGGCAGGTCACGCTGAAGGAGCAGGTCTCTTCCGGCGGTGAGAGCTCGGAGAACGGCACGAAGACGGGGTCGAAGACGAAGACGGGCACGACGACCAAGACGAAGCAGCAGAAGAGCGCGAGTACGCGGACGTTCCGCGACCAGTTCATATCGGTCGCTATTCGCGTGTCTGCGTACCCTATCGCTCGTGAGTTGAGGCCATCGACCGCGCCACTCCTGGCTCATAACCCGAACAGTGATCGTCGTCAACGCTTTTATCGCTTGTGCGTTCGAACTTAGCACTTGTGCTCCAGCTAGACTGACGGCCTGCTCTAGTCGCCGACCTTACCATCTCTGTACACGGCGACGTTGACTCTCGCGGGCTCTACGCAATCTATGTCATCTGTGCGTTCATCCTCCTTCTAGTCGACATCCTCACCCTGACCTGTCCCTTCAGATTACTTCCTCTGTACGTTCTTGAGCTCGCCACACCATGGACATCACTTACGTTGACCCCTCTAGATGGCGCAAGAGGAGGGATCTTCGCCGCTATCGCGCTCTTCGTCGATCCATCGCTTACCCGCGGCGTGTCCATCATGTACAAGTACTGGCGCAACGGTGGTCACATCGACACCAGCATGCCCGTCAGCTCTGGTCAGCGCTCAGATACGCAGTTCGCCGGCGCCACGAGCACCCTCCACGGCGGCGTCCTCGTCACCGTGGAGCTGCAGGAGTTCGGGAACAGCACCGAGCACCTACCCAAGGTATCCGGCGCCGGCGAGGCGGACTACGATCGCGAGGAAGAAGAGGAAGAGGTCATGGACGATAAGCCGGACGTCGAGGCCATCGACGGCACGCGCTTTTCTTGGAAGAGCCCCAAGGAAGATGTGGAGGCGCCTGCCATGACCGAAGGCCGTCCTGCGACGCGCTTCGCCAAGAAGGAGAATAAGCGGGCGATAGCTCGTCAGCGGAAGCTTGAGGCCCAGGCAGCGTTCGAGCAAGCCACGGCACAGCTTTAGGTTCGTTCCTTCTCTTCATTCCTTATTGCAGTCGCTCATAGACGCCCAGATTGTACTCTATACCTATTGTATACGTAACATTATTTCTCGTAACGCGCGTCGGAGGGCACAGGGGAATCTGGGCAGGAGCAGCACACCACGCTGTCGGTTTTGGACTTCAGGCTTCTTTCTTACTTATTGATCTGTTACAGCACGCGAGTGCAGCACCTACTTCACTTGTTGATTCGCCCTCGTTTAGCGCGCGCGCAATTGTAGCAATTATGGGATCCGTTCATGGTGTAGAGAGTTGCCATTCCTCTTCGCCTGCGCCGCCTGGGCGGTGACGCTGTGCTCCATGCCCTGCGAACTCCCGCAGCGCCCGCGAACGCGTCGGACGTCCGGCTCCTGTTCTAAGGGCAGTAAGCACCCCAACTCGTGCATCCCATGAGGCGCACCGTCGCGGATAGGCACGTATCTGCGCTGCTGAGGCGCGTGGCTGACGGCCACTGCTGCGACGTCACTGGTCCTCTGCGCTTCACTGTTCATATAGCGGTAAGAGGTAAGCCAGAAGCACCGTGGTGCGATGCCTTCGCTGATGGCTCGACCCAGATCCAAGGTGTTGACGGTCGGGCTTCCTGATGGCGTTCATAATGAATCTTCGAGCGCAGTCACATTGCCTGTCGACTGTATCGACCATTGACTAGGTCTGTTTTGGACGAAAAGCTTGAAGTCAGCAGGCTGATCCTCGACAGACATATAACGGTTATCGCCGCCAACAAGACATGGTGTATGTCACTTCTGCGATGGCTTCAAGAGATCCGCTATGCCACCGCCCAGCGATTGTCCCGTGTACAAGCAGTATACGCAATATATGAGGTAGGTATCCCAACTGTGGCTACATTCCCATGCACTTTGTGCTCATTGCCGCCGAGGTAACTTCCAGAACCCTGAGGATCATGGAGATATCGCTGTCAGCCAAGTTCAACAACCACGGCAGTCGAGGGATAGCGTGACAAAATTGGAGAGGGGTGAGCGTCGCGATTACCACATATTCGCGTCCCCTATGCGCTCTTTGACCGCGCCTGCTGCGCCTCGCACCGATACCGAGGGACCGGAATGACAGCTCCCAAGCGCGAGGCCGTCCCAGCCCTCCGACGGTGGCCTTCATTAGCAACTGCGTCTATTTACCATGGCGTTGGCGATCCTCCGTGCTCAGCTCAAGCACCGGCAGTTTCCCTCGCTGATGCGGACCGGTCATACACAAACGCGCTAACTCATCAACCTGACCCAAGTATCCAATCCTACCTACCACCACGAGGAGAGGACATCGGTCCAGATAGCTGGGACACGTCGACTGTGGTTGATAACTTCAGGCGCCACACCGTCCGATGGTTCTCTATCTTGGGTACAGTGACTTTTTACTACCTCGCGAACATCACACCTGACTCTGCGGAAGTCCTCAAGAGGAAGCAGGGCACGTTCCAGGGTTGTATCGCGGAACCCGCGGGTCCCGGAGGAAAGTTACGGTGGGTCCGCCGTCTTCATCACCGAATCTTCGTTTCGCTCATGACTATACGATCGGCGCTATTTACGCAGCTCAATCTACACACGAACGAGCCTCCCCTGCGCCGCCGCGTTGCAAGTGAATGCCCGCCCCACTATCGCTATCACACGCGAAGCACGCGCACTGCCTGACGTCGGTCGGTGGCACCACTTCGGACGCACGCATCTATATAGCCACTACCAAGGTACCCTAGGACCCTGCATCCCCCTGAGCCGTCTGAATAGATCGCTCACACAGATAATGCCGAGCCATATCGCCAGTACTTCCAGTCAATGCTCGTCCTCCAGCTCCTCCAGTGGACGCTCCGTCCACTTCGACGCAACGGCGGACAAGGGCCGGCATGCTAAGCGCCCGGCGTCTGTCGACAAGCATGCGTCGTCCTTGAAGCCGGTCACACCCACCAAGAACCGCGGGTCCCCTGCGAAGTCGGCGCTGAAGAACGGCAGCACGTCGTCGCTCGTACAGGCGCCGCAACCCTCGGAGGCGAGGTCCTCGAGCTCTTCATCTCCGTCTGAAGCGTTGGACGCTAAGACGCGACCGGGACAGCCCTCACCCATTATCTTCGACGGCTGCAGCCACGACTGCTTGGGCCTGCACCACAGCTTCTCAAATCTGGCGCCGTACCCGGTCGAGTACGACGGCAAGGTCTATCCGACCAGCGAGCATCTTTTCCAGACCTTCAAGGTGAGAACACCATGTTAGGCGCCGTGCCGAAAATATTCACCTCTCCCTATCAGTTTCTCCGCCGCTACCCCCAGCTTGCTGAGCACATACGTACGGTCTCACCCAACGGCAAGGACGCCTTCTGGGAAGCCCGCCATTATCAGCCCTACGTCCGCCAAGACTGGATGTCCGGCGTCAACGTCACCAAGGTCAGCCGTCTCCCTCTCTCTTTCGCTCGGCGCCTGCGTCTTTACTCACACACAACCCCCAGATGGAGCTCACCCTCTATCTCAAGTTTACGCAACACCCCGCGCTCGCGACCGAGCTGCTCGCGACCGGTACTCGGGAGCTTGTCGAGGTGCGCCGGCGCTGCGTCATGCCCGTGCATGCGGCTACTAACTCGGCTATCCTCATTAGACCTCGCCGAATAACGGGTTCTGGGGCATCGGTACGGACGGGCAGGGCCGGAATGAGCTGGGCAAGGCGCTCATGCGTGTGCGCTCCCGATTGAGGGAAGAGCGTAGTCGTAATACGCAGACCCAGTGCGCGGTATGTTGTATCCTACCCTGGTAGATCATCCATCCTGAACCTTTTGTAGACGTGCCGCGTCCGGTTGCAGACGTCGAAGTCTGGCTACTGCGCCTCCTGCGAGAGGATCGAGCTTTGCCAGGTGGGTTCTCCTAGTTCATCGTCAACAATAATTGCTGATGTCCTCTAGACCTGCCACATCGCTCCTCAGAAGGACGGCAAACCCTACTGTTCCTCTCAGTGTGCGAAGAGGGTTCTCTGCAGCGTACGTAGCGTTTATTGCCTGCAGCTGCTCAGATCGTTGACCGCTGTTCTTAGTTCTGCCACTCTCGTCCTCAACGCATGAGCAACGCGCCGTACTGTTCACGGGAATGCGCGACTCGCGTCCTCTGTCGTCAGTGCGGGAAGCAACCCCGAGTCGCCGGTCGCAAGTACTGCTCTCGCGAGTGCGAGCGCGCTCGGCGGAACACAACGGCGTAGCGGGCCACGACAGACACTTTTCTCTGCCCTCCGCCCCGAGACAGTATACATATTCACTACGCCATTCCGACAAGTTGCTTCACGCACGCACGCGGAGTCCGGACAGGCCTCCATCCTGATGCGAACTGAAGCACTACTCCTTGTGTCGCGCGCCGACGTGAATGTTTCTTCCTTCACCTCCCCTCCCTCGACCGCCCATACCATAGACGTAGCGTCGCCCTTGGACTTGCTACCCCGGACTGCACCGTGCTTTCGAAAATATCTCCTCGACCTCATCGCTCGCATGTATATATTATATATGTATCTCTATGTCTCCTTGTTGTGTTCTCCACCTACTGTACTATAGTGCGGAACTTGTACCATAGAAGAATCGCTCGGACTCTGAACCTGTTGTACCGATATCACCTTGCTTTCGATCCCGCTGCAATTATCTATCTCAATCAGCATCCCCAAGACCTTCTGAAGGGCTCGGGAAGGATTCAGAAGAAATGTTTGAGAAGATATAAGCGAGGCAAATCCGCAACGAGGACTGCAAGGCCGAGTCAGTCGCCGTGAACAATGAAAGTCGAACATGAGTCGACGTCACCCCACGTGCATAACGGTTCCGTCACACGTGACCTGAATGTTCAACTCCTACGTACTGAGAAAACTCGAACTAAACCGCTCAGTGGAGCGATGCCTGCGGGCAGATAAAGGATATTGTATGCCTGAATCAACTGTCTCGGCTCACGCCATTCGGATATAACCTACTCAGACGATGCTGCAGACAGAAGCCATGACAACGAGATATTGGCATTGGGATTTGGCGGGTGCGTGTTAGGAAATTGATCTACAGGCCTTATGCTCACACTCCACCTGGAATTTCCGGAAGATACAGGCAGCTACAAACGCCACGCCTGGAACATCGCCCAAAAAACCTCGAGCTAGAGTCCAACACAAAACAAGGGCGCCCGGCGTCAATGCCTCCCGTTGCGACTCTCGCATCGAAGCCCTGCATGATCCTCGTCGAAGTTGCGGTTGTTACTACCCTGCGAGTGATAGACATCGACCTTGTAGGTGACAGACGTGACGAGAAGAAAGACGCTGACACCCCAAGTAGACGTTGACGTGAGAAATAATCGCGACGTCGAGCCCTTTGTACGTCCGCGGGTTGGGAGAGGCGTTTGGACGAGGACAGAACCAGTCTCCGCGGTGGAAGGGTGGTCGAAAAGCCAGCAGCCTCCCTCCTCGGACGTCGAAGCCCGAGCCTGAAGCAAAGCAGACTGCAGATCCATCGAAGGCGGCCGGGAGAAGTGTCCTCAAACTTTGCAAGCTTCAAGTCGAGCGGGAGAACCTGTAAGTTGAGGTTGAGCGGGAGTACCTGCCTCAAAAGTCAACAAAGCCCACGTGCTCGAGGCGGATGCGCACGCGAGCGAGGAGGCTCCAAACACTGCTCCAAGAAAAGAACCCACGCGAGTGCTAAAAAGGAAGCGAGGAAGCAACCCCATATGGCAGGATTTAGGGCCACGGCCGCAGCTGCAGAATTTCTGATGCGTCCGTGAGTGAGGTGTGCGTGAATGCGTAAGTCCGCCCGTATGCGTGGGTGAAAGCAAGCCTGCTATTCAGTCTCGTCTGTCTTGTCTACGTCCATGCACAAGGCACTTACGCAAGATCATCTCAAACGCTTGTTTCGAGTGATGGACGTCCGCTGTCGACAGGTCTGCTTCTGGTCGGCAGGTGGTCGTCGATCTTGGCTGTCCAAAAGGGGAGGTCCAACCGTATCGCAAGTCGTCTGAGGCCAAACCGGGACGGGTCGGTGCGGGGCGTAGGAGGGCAGGCGCGCCGTAAGCTACGCGAGAACTCGAAGAGAACTAGCAGCGGGTTCTTGCGGTAGTTCGTAGCCACCTGAGAGCACGACTACACCTACTTCGAGATAAGGTGGTGCTCGCCGCTGAAGGCGGGGTTGCATATGGCGACGAAGACGGAGTCTGGAAAGTAGGTCGAAGACGGAACCGCACGGAGCGCCATCGTAGCAACCAGCAGTAGGGAAAGATGTATCGATGAGCTACGGGCATGGGGAACAATGAGCTCACCGCCGTTCGGAAGTGCAGTACTCGGTACCGGATCGCAGAGGCGTGCGAGAACAACGTCAGCGAATCTGCGCAGTTACTCGAGTCGGTGATATAGGAATCGCCTGTTTGTGATGCAGAATCAGCGCCTCTCCGATGCCCTCCCTCGCAGATGGCGACGGCGAGAGAGGGAAGAGAAGTGCAGCCGGGTGGTGCGATAAGCGACGCTGCGCAGCAGAAGGGCAACGTGAAGGTGCTGAGAGGGACACGATTCTTGGAGCGGGGTGAAGGCGTGCGCCACCGCCGTTGGTTATCCCGTCATGGCTCTGTTAATCACGGGCTCGACGTGCCGCTCATCATCGTCGACGCGCATGGGATGGATGACGCCGTGCTAGCAGCGCTTGAATCACGGCCGATTCGCTAGCTGGGACCGGGGAGGCTCACAGCGAAGATCAGCCAGCGTCTTAGCGGAGCGGGAAAGGTGGCAGGCGACTTGACGACGGGGAGAGCTAGTGAGGACGCAGCGCGGATGAATTGCAGGAAAGTAAAAAGAAGTCCGCGAGCAGTACTTCTGTTACGCCCGCCGCCGGCCACCGCATCAGGGCGTCTTCTGTGAGTAGCTGTCAGGATGCATGGCCTGGGAAGCAGCTGGGGATCCCCAATGGTACGAGGGCGGCACCTGACCACGTTCCACGCCCACAGGAAGGCAGGACTGTACGCTCTGTTCCTGTGCCCATGTCACCCGGATCCTGAGGACGCCTTGGCAGCCGTCCGCGCGTTGCCTGAACCTTGCACCCGATGGTCGTAGCGCGGGCCCATGCTGACTGGAGAAGGGGGAGCGCGGTGCACAGGCTGCTGACTGCGGCGTGCCCAAAAAAGGAAGAAAAGGCGTCGTGATGTCATCCCAGATTTTGGGGCCACTGAGGCAGGAAGAACGGGCGAAAATCCTCCAGAGTCGCAATTTCTGGGTGCTAGCGCTCTCCTTCTCCAAGGATACGGCGACACAGCAGCCCTTCTTCCGAGGAGATGGAGATGGGGAGGAGCAGGCCCGGGCGCGGAACATTCTCACCCGTTCCGGCGTATTGTGCCGGGCTAGATCAGATCGTAGATCTGGGGTATGCCCCGCGCGCTCATCATATAAAGCCCGACATGCTGCTCCTCCGCAGTTACTGCTCCCCCTTTGACTCCTGCTCCTTGTCCTCGACCATCACCACCGACAAAAGCTTTTCATCCGATCCACGGCCACTACACCCCTATGCTCGCGGTCCAGCCACCCGCAGACGCGCCGTCGCTGCGCACACAGAAATCACTCAACTTGTCCCTCTCGAAGCTCAAGCTCTTCAACAAGAGCGAAAAGAGCCTGCCCAGGACACCAGGAGGAGCAGAGTCGACCACCACCGCGACCGCAGGCCGGCGATCGCATAGGTACGTCGTCCGCACGTCGCGCTCCATTCATCAGGCTCACACCACACTCAGGGACATGACCATACCACCCGTCCCCTCGCTTCCGTATGTCGCACACTCATACAACGCGCTATACACTCCCTGACCACGTTTGCACAGACCTCCCGCCGCGCCCCTCGTCCGGCGCATCTCTACCACGCTCCGATCCGGCTCTAGAACCGAGGCTGAGTCGGAGCCAGAAGACCCACACGCCGTTGCGCGCCGCAATGCTGCGCTGCGCGAGCGCGGGCTGCTGCCCAAGGATCTAAGCGCCCGCGAGAAGGAGCTAGATGTCGTCTCGCCCATTGTTCCAAGCCCGGATGCGGACAACAGTGAGGTCTCGCAGGCACGGCTGATCGAGCTGGCGTGGCGGGCTCGGCAGGCTGAGCAGCACACCTCATCATCCGATAGGCCACCCTCCCCCTCTAGCGAGGGCTCTTGTCTCGACCGGACGACGTCCAACGAATGGGAGGGCGGATCCCCAGGGAGCAGCACGGGTCACAGCGACATGTCGCATGCGGCCCCGTCACTCACGCATACGGTCTCTTCATATGCGCCATCGGACACAATAGAGTCCCCCCTGGACGACGCATTCCGGACCGTCGCGCACCGCATACCGGCTGCCATCAACGAGTACGACGTCCTTGTTCTCGAGGACGGTATTTCTGGCAAACCGCCCCTGCCACCCCGGAAAACCCGCACATCCTCGCCCCCTTCCGCTTACGCGCCCCCTTCCTCATCATCGCCTCCCGCCCGCTCCTCGCCGCTCTCGTCCGCGAAGGCGCCGCCATCGTCCTTCGCCCGGCACGCGCCGTCGTCATCGACACCACCATCATCCTTCCCTCGGCAGGCAGGCACTGCGCCCCCTTCATCTTACAATGCACCCCCTTCGTCCTTTACCCCCTCGCACCCCACTCGGCAAAAGCTCCTCTCCTCTACCTCGCTATCAAACCTCCGGCGCTCGGTCGTCGGCTCCCTTTCCCGTGCGCAGCGGGCAGTGCGCGGTGCTCCTAGTGGTGACGAGACCCGCCGGCGCACGGAGTCCCTCGGCTCGCAGGCCGAGTGGGCGAATGTGATGGGGGGCGGGTATGCGTCGCCGAATGGGAAGGGGTACGCGTCGACATCGGGCACCGCCTCGCAATACAACGGCGTACAGTACGATAGCGGCAGCGCGCCTGTCCGCCGCCCAAGCAAGGCCTCGGTCGCGCCAAGTCGGCGGTCGAACAGGAGTGGGAGCCTGACGACGGAGGCGCCGCGCGTCGCGGTGAACCCGGTCATGCACTCGCACGCGACGGTTATGGACAGCGCGGCGGCGATCGAGGACGAGGAGTCGAGGAAGGTGACGGAGGCGGCGTTCTGCTACTAGATGTGAAGGCCGGCAAGCCCGCCTAGCGAGCCGTGCAGCTTAGTCAGCACACCGCCACCGCTTTGACCGGCTCAGTTGGTACTCGGTCAACGGCCATCGCGCTGGCACACTGCGACGCGTACAAGGCCTCTAGCGCCTCGGAATCTACGCCGCTAGGTCTCTATAGTATACAGATTGCTTAAATTTATTTTTTCTGCTGCTTACCGAAGCTGTGAACCAATATCCAACTGCGTGCATCCAGGACGTGCGCGAAACCTTCAAGTTCCAGTGTTCCTGCATCTCGTGCTACAATCAGGGCTCTCGAAGGGCTATGAGCAGTAGGTAGTGGTAGTAGGAGAGATATTGTATAGATATAACTAAGTGATGGGCATCAGATATCATCTACTTCGGACTCGTACAGTAGATCAATCTCCTCGCCCTCTTCCTCTCGCACGCTGTGGTCCACAACCTCTGTAGAAGCAATCGAAATGCTCGGCATGTCTTGCAGAACCGCTTCGGGCCCTACTATAAGTGTGTGACCCTTTCCTTTGGGAATTGTGCGCTCGGATTCCGGTACTACACCGCCTGGGAAGAGTGCAAGAAGCTTGCGAAGCTCCGCGACTTTGTCGACGTTCTTCGGGATCTTTGTGTTGGGCTCGACCTTCGCGAGCAGCCGATGGCGCCAGTAATTCAGCTGATCAATGAGTGCATCTTTCCGTACCCCAACGAACTTCTCCGCATCCGTGATGAGGACAGTATTATCGAGCTTGATCTGCCGTTCCAACGCCTTCGCATTCGACTGCTCCTCGGAGGCCTGATGCCGTCGGGCCTCCTCCTCGTCATGGACGACCTGCGCATGCTGGAGCTGCCTCTGGGGCCGCGATGCCTGCAATAGGCGGGCCTCACCACGTACAAACTTGTGATCCTCGGCGATAAATTCCTGGTCAACAAACTGCTGCGTGTCGTTGCGCCGGAACATATCCTTTGCCTCGAATTGGTGAAGCGTCTGGTTGGGGCGTGCACTGGCGTTCACCCGGACACCCCCGAGCGCACTCTCGTTCGCGTCGTTCGTGGCGGGCATCCAGAATTCATCTTGTTCCTCCGTCGTGAGCTGGCTGATATCACCGCTAGGGTCGAACTCGGCCGTGAATCGCTCCCACGTCTCAAGCGCGCCCTTCAAGAACTCTACAAGGAGCTCCTGCAGGTGAGGCATAGCGGGGCGCAGTGACACGATGGCATCGAAAACACCTGGCCTCTCCCACTCTTCGCCATCGAAGGTTGCGGTCGTGTACCCAGCATCATCTCCGAGAATGATGCTCGGATCGTTGATCAACTTCTCGATGAAGTTTCTCAAGCGGATGTGAAGCGGGCCGAGCGTCAACGCGTTCAGGTTGGACATGCCAGGACCGCGGATCTGGCGTACGTAGGGGCAGGAGACACAGAGGCCGTAGAGGGCTAGCACAGCCATTTCGGTGAGCGTTGTACTGCAGTGCAGAGCCCGAAAGAAGTTCTTTTCGATGTTGGTGAAGCCGGGTTTCTCCTTCTTGTAATAGACTCCATTCCTCATGAAGTCCCTGTACAGGTCCAGGTGAACGAGTATCTCGCACGACGCAGCGCAATGGGACTGGAAGCGTGTGTTGCTGACGTCGGGGAAGCGACGTGCAGTGACCGCAGGACCCAGCTCCTTGTCGAAGTACCAGATGTAGCGATCGTGTTGACCTTTCTTACTATCCTTGTTGTTGCAGATCATGCCGGCGAGAGTCGTTGCCTTCACAGCGCCGCAGCCAGAGATGGACAACGCACGCAGCTCCGCCGGGGTCAGCTGCTCGCCGTCCTTCACTCCCGCGAGAACCGCGGCGTTATCTTTGTTCGCGAGAAGGACGGGCGGCGCGACCTCGGGGTGATTTGGGTAATAGGTACGCATGCGCGTGTCGCCGCCCTTGACACTGTTCAACTCCTTGTGCATGCAACACCCAGAGAACAGGAAGAGCGACAGCCTCTTCTTCTCGCTGGCACCTAGCCGCTCATACTCCTGCTCCCCCACCTCCTCTGCCGCGCTGCGCATAAAGGCGCTCTCCTTCTCTGCTCGGACCACATCGCTGAGGGCATCCCACGCGGCCTGACCACCAACTTCGAGGAGGACTGCACGCGCATGCGGTATGATAACGCAGAACGCGTTCTCGGGGCTCATCTGCCTGAGCTTGTCGTAGCCGAGCGAGATCTTTGTCAACTCGAGCTTCCACATAAGGAGGAGCTTGTTGTCCTTCTTCACGTCGTTCGCGTGGTCGCCGTTCGTCCCACGCAGGCGAGTGGCGAAGGCGGTAAGGCTCATCTCGAGGCCTTTGCGTTTGGCGAAAGGTGAGCGATTGAAGATCTCGCAGATTTGCTGCAATTTCTTCAAGAGACCGCGGACCTGCTCCTCACTGGAGTGGTTGAGGGATGCGTCGACACCGAGGCTTCGTAGTACATGTGTATCCGACAACGTGCCGGTGGCCGTCACCGGCTTCAACGCTACGAAGCGCGAGTCATACTCCTGCCTTCGATGAGATGTCGAGTCTCCACTGGCAGTAAGGCCTGATTGGATATTGGTAAGTCGTCTCAAGCATGTCTGTTAGCTCGCGTACTCACTCGTGTTCCTCATGATTTCGTAACCGAGCTGTATCTTCGCTGCAATGCCTCCCTCCGCGATGATGCGAGAAACGGTGCGTGCACTCATCCTCGGGATTGCGTTCAGTCGTCGTATGCCCACCAGTCGCCCCAGCTCCTGGATGACACCGCCCACCGCATGCTCGGCACAGCCCGAGAGGACGAGCTTCAGTGCTATGGCGCGGGCCGCGGGCGTGAATGCTCCCTTCGACCTGACACGGTTTTGGAAGTCGGCAGTGACCACGGAGTCCCTCAGATAGTACGTGCGCTTCGATCGCGCACTCCCGCCCCTGCGCAGAACCTGCATAGACAGGGCGCGGTTTGACTTCTTGGTATCGAAAAGCTCCTTCAGCCGTGCTGCCAAGCGGTCGTCCTGCTCGCCTAGGAGACGCTGAATGCGTGTGTTCTCCATCTGCTCCGCTGTAAGCCCCTCGCGCGTCTTCTGTAGCTCCCACCACATCTCTCCGCTTGCTCGTGATGCGACATGAAGCTCCTCGATATGTCGCCTCTCCCCCTGCTCTGCGGCCTCCTGCAACGCGCTGATCCTTCCTTCTAGCTTCTCCACTTTATCCTCAGTCGTGTAGAGCTTGCGTCGTGTCCTGCGTGCGACGCGCTCCCAGTCATCTGCGTCATATTTCTTGCGTTTGCGAGTCGAAGGTATGCTATTGTCCGTGTCGCCTCCAGTGTTCTGGTGCACTGAATCTTGCAAAGTGACCTTCGATCTAGCCATCTGAGGTGTGGCGCGACGTGTACTGGAGGTGGCATTGGATAAGGAGGGGGTTGGGGCGACATTCTCGCTGTCTTGTCGCTCGGTTCGTGCGCGGGCGAGAACTTCAAGCTGAGCCTGGCTTCTCTTCTTCCTGCGTCGAGTTGGCTTATTTCCAGCAGCCATAGATATTGAACGAATGTATTGGCGATATTATAGCATGACTTAAAGTGAACGCGGGACAGTGGGCGAGAGGAGGGAGCACCAGGGGCCACAGCGCTGTCGAAACCGGGAGCACGAGCCGAATGAGCCGATGTCTTCACGTGACGCGGCCTCAGAAATTGGCCCGCGAACGCGCTGCATGTTTTCGACGCGACGACGGCCTGCATCGCGCGTTTCTCCTGCAAAAAAGCGTGTAAGCATTTATTCCCTACAGAACGTACAGGATCATTAGGCTCTGCCATGCATAGCCGTGTTTACTCAGAGCTTAGCTACATTGTACACCTCCCAAACTCACTAAATTTTCTGTACGTTCTGCTGCTGTCTATCGAGTACACTCATCGAACCCTTTGAAACATCTTATTTCGACAATGTCTTGTTTATGGGAGCGAGCGCGCGCTCCCGGAGATAAGTTCGCTACGAATGGCAGGTCATCGCACGTGACGCTGCACGATTTCTCTGGGGGGATTGCCGGACCTCAATCTACTAGATGGCGAATGCGCTACTGGACGGCGGCGCTTTGCTACTGGACGACAGCGTTGTGCTGTTAGGCACCGGGGACATGCCTATCGCTGTCGGCGAGCCGCCTATCGTCGTCGGCATGCCTCTTCATTTGCGCTGGCACGCCCCTCCCCTCCATTCTTCTCCCTTCATCGGATTGGCCCATCGGGTCATCTAGCCCTTGTTGTCTTCACCTCGCACATACCACTCTTCCCTCGTTGGCCGACGCAATTTCCTGCACAGCCTGCATATCCCCTTCCATCCACTAAACATCCACCCTCTTCTCCTTTACGAACTTCCTCTTCCACTACACAACCCTTGTCTTCATGAACTTCTTCACTCACGACCATCCTCCTCCCTCACTCATGAACTTCCTTTCCGCACATTACACTTCCCCCCTCCCCCTCACATGTACTCATCCTAATTGTACTTTCTGGTTCATGTTCTCGGGCATGTGCTGACATTGGACAGTTGCTTTGTGCTTTGCTGTACGCACGCAGTCTATAGACTGGATATGTACCACTGTGGAATTCATACATCGTGCATTTGTTGCAGTTTATCTTCTCAGTCAGCACAAGACAGACCTTCTGCCGAGAGCGTCGCTTGAGAGGCTTCGCGCCGAGTGAGGTGAGTAGGTTTGTTACTCCCTCGGTCAGGTCCCTCCGCGTCCGCGTCCGGCGGGTCTCGTCAGCGAAACATGGTAGGAATCCCAAGTGTTCATTTACGTGGCTTTGCGGCATGCAGACCTACAGTAGACGGAAACGAGTGTCAAGGATAGCGAGGTGAACGTTAACACGGGCAGCGGCTTCCGAGTACAATGGGATGCAGCCTTCGAATCGGAAGACAGTCACAATGGAGTGCGAGGCGAAAAGAACAACAGTGCACGTGATGTCACGGCGTTCGCCGGACGTAACGTGCTGGAGGGGTTTGTTCACACGATCCAACCTTGTCCTCGCCCTTGTTCTGCAGTACCTTCGACGAAGGCCGACTTGGGCCCTCGATGAAGGACAATCTTTTCATACGGCTGTCGCGCTGATACAAGAGCTTGATCGGCGTGTTATATCATCAGCGTCTTGGGCTTAGCATTGGCCTTCATATCTGCTCGACATGTGCTTTCCGACTGCGCTGCTATCCTTGTGTGGGTAGGCCCGTCCTCGCCGCCGGTCACTGTCAAGCATATGAAGAACCGTCTTCACACGTATGAAGGATCATCTCTATGGGCGACAGGGACTGCTCTTGGACTGAATGAGGCGCTGGTAGCTAGAGCGCCGCATGCTACAGCCCTCCACTGATCCACTGGCGAAGACACTACGATCCTGTCGGGCAGCCTGGGTCCTTTAGGCCGTGTATCCATGCGCTTCATCGTCCACTGAGCAGTCAGCCGGTATGATCATCCCTGCGTCGCTCAGCTCTGCAGTCCTCGCGTCAGCCGCACCGCTGCCAGTGCGCAGAGAAGCGATTCAATAATTTGGTCCTCCAGCCAAATGATCTTCTGCTCGAGAATATGCGGGCCGGACTGTATAGAACTTTTTCTGTGATAGGCGACCTACCTTCGCCTTGTGTATACGACCGCTCTCGCGCGGACCGCGGCACACGTCCCATTCAACGGTTCGTCTACAATACTATCCGTGTGATCACTGGCGGGCATACTGAAATTTGTCGGTAGCGTTGCCGCCGCTGGGTGCTCCCTTTCCCACGTAGAAATCTTTACACGATTTTTCGGCCATCTGTCCAAGAAGAGCAATCCTGGTCGTTCCTCTTGAGGAGCGACCGCAGGTCAGACGACCTCCCTATGGTCGCGTCGTTGGCCATACGAGGCGCATGATTATGTGCGACCGTCCTTGGTTGCTGATCGTGGCAGGGACCCGAAGGTCATGCGCCGTCTCGATATTTTCATGCTGAACGTGCAGTCAGGTGAGCTTTCGAGCTGAAAGCACGGAGGCGACGGTGCTTCCCGCATTTTGCTAACCAAGGACATCATGAATTGTTAACTTTCAGCTCCATCCAAAAGCGCAGGAAGTATGGCGGGCGTCGATGGCAAGGTAAGAACAGGTATAGCGAACTGCGAGCTTACAAACACCCGCAGAACCCAGTGGAGTATCGGTCCAGCTGATGTGCGCCTAGTTGCTCCCGGTCGATGTGCTGCTCATCGTGTCTGCACCATCTTAGGCTCGTCCCTCTGCGCATCTCGATACATAAGGGGACTTGCGCGAAGATATACAAGATGGAGGAGCGATTAATGTCTCTTTGGACCGACGCACTCGGAACTTGACGCGTTGTAGATCAGCTTAGCTCTGTTGGACCCTGGATCAAGAATACGCGCTTATGCCAGTCGACGGATGAAAGGATGGCTTTGCTGGCCAACGGGTATGCTCACTACCTGTTCTTCATCGCCGTCCTTCTCTCCCCCCCCTTTGACCACTTGCCTCTACCCGTTCGGAACGGAGAACAGTGCCAGTGGCACCTCCCGACGTATGACGATCCGTGTCAATGACGGACGCCCTCAATCTGGTTCCGCGAAACGATGTATGATTGCCGAGGAGCGGAAATTAGGTCGCTATCAGGTCTCGGTCGATCCATGACCCTCCTCCTTCTCAAGCTTCTTCTAGTTCACGCCAGGACTCCGATTTTCTGAACATGAGGCGACAGAACGCATCCACGGACATCATCCTTACATCCTCAGGATATATCTTTTGCCTCGCCATTACAGTCGTTTCCTGCGACGGAGACATTCAAAGGGGATAACTCTGCTAACGTCGATATCTCTTCGAGTTGTCTTCGTCTGTACGCTGTTTTCGGAAGGGTAACTATGAATGCGCACAGTCCGAGACGCGGTGGCGCAAACCGGTTCGAACTTGAACATTTGTATGCGAGTGTTTGATTTGCTTCGGAAGTTACCGAAGGCACTCAATGTCCGCTCTTCGCTTGCTCCTTCGCTGAATCTTCCACTCTCTGCGTCGAGAAATATGGCTACAACATCAGAAGAAAGACAGCGGGTGCCCGACTTTTCCGACGCAGAAAGTGGATGACCTCGCAGCAAAAGACGGAGGCATCAGATGCCAAGGGGAATTGCAATGATGCGCAGGCCCGTATTCAAAGGCGGGACAGGCGTTGGAGAGTTCAACCAAAGTTCAATCAATTGGGAGCCCAGCCAGGGCGCGCCGACGCTCGGCATCGACGGCCGTTCAGTCAACTGAAGAGACGTCTCAGAAAAATGGTCGACAGCTCCCAGATAAGCATCAGGGACTAGTATGAAGGGGGACGCGACGGTCGTCCGTGGGAAATCATTCTCGATACCGTTGCATCAACCGTGACCGATAGGTATAAGGGGAAGCGGCGCTCGTTGCGTTCCAGCTTTTCCCCTTCCGTTATCCCTCTTCTCCCGGTCATGGCGTCCGAGGCTGAAAAATACAGCTGGGACTCGAGCTCGTACATGGCCCGCGCGGCTCCCCCAAGGGGCGTGCGGGGTATGTACTCCCGCCCCGTAGTTCAGGTGCCTTGCGAATGCTTCGCGATCCGCGTGCGGGGAAGGTATTGATTGCGTGCAGGTGGTTATGCTCGGATTCGTGTGCTTTATGTGCCCGGGTGCGTGCTCTCTTCATTATGAGTGTGATACTTTCTGACTATGACGTCCAGGCCTGTTTAACGCCCTCAATGGACTGGGGGCGGGCGGGCAGCTAGATGCAAGAACGAGCGCGAGCGCGAACGCCGCGTTGTATCTTGCTTTTGCCGTCTCTGCGTTCTTTGCGGGGTACGTTGAAGTATCCGCTACCTATCCCCCTCTCACCCTTCCCCACTCAGTACTGTCAATAACACGATCGGGCCACGGTATACCCTCTTCCTCGGTACTATCGGCTATTCCCTATACATTGGGGCCTATCTGTACGTCGTACGGACAATCCCCCTTGCTTGAACTTACAAAGCTTAGGGCCATGAACATCCATCAAGATGCGAGCAAGTTCGTCATCGCTGCAGGAGGCGTCCTGGGCATCTGCGCCGGCATGCTATGGACAGCGCAAGGCTCTCTCATGCTGTCCTACCCCCAGGAGCACCAGAAGGGCCGCTTCATCGGCATATTCTGGGCCATCTTCAACCTGGGCGGCATAGTCGGCGCGGCGGTGTCACTGGGTGTCAACTACAACTCACGGGTCAGTCCGCATGCACCGAAGTCATGCCTCGGCTAACTCGCTTTGTAGGCGGGTGCTGGTGCGTGTTGTGCTGGACGCTGGCGGCGTAACGTACTGACTCAGTCATGCGCTCCCAGTCAATAATTCGACCTATGTGAGCGCTGCGCCCATTTACGTGTCGAAGCCGCTCTGATCATCATGTAGATCACCTTCCTAGTGCTGACCGGCATTGGCGTGCTCATACCGCTGCTCATGGTCGACCCACGCAGCATGGTGCGCAGCGACGGCTCGCGACTGGCCAACCCGCGACATCCTAGTTGGAAGAATGAGTTTTATGGGCTGTACATCACCGTGAAGACGGACCCGATGATCCTCATGCTCTTCCCGATGTTTTTCGTCTCGAACTGGTTCTATACTTGGCGTGCGTGGGCGTATTCGTCAGGTTGGGAGCGCTCAGCTAACGCTTACGGCAGAATTCAATGACTACAACGCCGCTATCTTCAACATCCGGGCGCGGTCGCTCAACAACCTTGTCTATTGGGTCGCCCAAGTCATTGGCTCTGTTTCGATAGGCATCCTTCTTGACCAGCACCGCCTACCCCGTCGACTACGCGCCTTCGCCGGCTGGACGATCCTTTTCTGCATGATCTTCGTCGTCCATATCTGGGCGTACTTCTATCAGAGGTGCGTTATCATCTCACTTTCGCAGATACCTTTTCTTACTCGTTCAGGACGTACACCCGCGAAGCACGGCCCTCTTACGACATTTACGACTCGAAATACGTCGGCTATATCCTCTGCTACGTCTTCATGGGTATCTTCGACGCGATGTGGCAGACGACGACCTACTGGCTCATCGGCGCCATGTCAAACGACGCAGCGAAGCTCGCGCATTTCGCCGGCTTCTACAAGTCGCTCCAGTCCGCCGGCGCGGCGGCGGGGTGGTATGCCGACTATAAGCGGGTACCGTACATGCACCTGTTTTTGTCGGAGTGGTGCCTGCTCGTTGCCGGGCTGGTGTTCGCGCTACCTATGGTGCACCTGCGCGTCAAGGACCACACAACGTTGCAAGACGAGACACTGTATGTGACCGTAGCTCTACGCAGTCCATCCTAGTGCTGACAATTATCCGTAGTGCCCGAATGGACGATAGCGGTCGGATTGCCAGCGTTGACGAGGCGTACAGTCTAAGGGATGCATCATGAAACCTACCCGCCCTTCACGATCCACACTAGTACCACCCTCCAGCCTAAGGAATTCGCCCCTCTGCGCGAGCCAGTCTTTGCTATCTGTTCGCTCTTTACCTGACCAAGCTCACATGTAATATTGTAAATTATTGGACCTGTAGTAACAATGGCTGATCGGATTGTTTTGGGATGGACGAGCGCGCGTTGATAGCGGCAGTCAGCCGAAGACAAAAAGAGCATGAATAAGGGGAATAAATACGGAACAGATATCGATACAAAGGCGATTAGCGTGCGATAGAGCAGGTATAGCACCAGGACGTGAGAAACATTATCTAGACTCCTCGTAAGACGGCAGCACATCGTCGTGCTCGCCTGAAGGACCAGCAATGTTCCCCGCACAACCCTCTACACGCCACGCCCACTCGTTTCCGGGCTTCCACATGAATATATCGCCCCCAAAATTGACCTCCACATCGCACGCGCCCTCCACCCCGACCGCCGCGAACACGTCGTAGTTGTGCTTCGGCATGAAGATGCCAGAGAACGCGGGCGGGAGGGGTATGCCGTTGTACGTGAAGAACAGGCGCCCGCCTGCGAGCTCGTAGCCACAGCCAATGACATCGCCCGGACGGAGGCGCGTGAGGATGCCGCCAGTGTCGTAGTCGCGCCCGCCGTCGGGGTCTTCGAAGAATTTGCGGAAGTCGTCGAGGTGGAGAGCGGCGGAGAGGCGGTTCCACCCAGGGTGTCGCCATTCAGGATAGGGGCGGCAGGCGGTTCCTATACGTTGCATGAGCGTCACGACTAAGACGGACTTCCTTGACAGATTGCTCACCAATCGTCACAATTCCATCCATTTGGTAGACCTTGATCTCGAAATAGGCGCCCTCCTTTCCAGGGGCGTTGTACATGCCCGCCACAATAGGCAGATCACTGAGCAGGCAGGTGCTACGACAAGGCTTCTGCGTCTGGATGCGGATGACGGGGACACCACCTTTGTTCTCGTCCGGTCGTGTTATTCGACCAACAAATCGTGGCGTCCTCGGTGGCTCTATACCCCATGCACGACAACCGAGCGTCTGCATTGCCTCCAGCGCGGCAACTGGGATAAGGCGCGGAGCGTCGGGAAGATGGTCAGCGCAGAAAGCTTCAGCGCTCTGGTACTCTTCGTCTGGAGCGTCATTATACAAGCCATCTGCATGCTGGATGAAGCTTATAAGCAAGCCCCAGGCGCATGATGAGGAAGGGCCACGAACCGAGATTTCTGGCGCTGGGGCCCAAGCCGGTGGCGGGGCATCTGCGGCGCGCTCCTTGCCCTTCAGACGCTTGATAAAGTGCATGGTAGTGTTATGAGGTGCGTCGAGCCCTGTTGATGATTTTTTTGGTCAAGGGAAGAGGTTGTCTGCAGCGATGGCGTCTATAAGTTGCGAGGCTTCCTGATAGTTGGTGTGGCGAGCTAGTCCGGTGTACAGGGGCCTTTGAAGTATGAGAGCAGCGTAGAGGACGATCTTCGCAGATATTGATCACTCTGAAGAAACTGGATTGCGTGGTGAAGGATCGAGATGAGGGGAGGCTGTAGGTGACGAGCTCACGTGCCGGCACTGGCCGAAAGCTGTTGATGTGGACCGGGCCGCCAACCGGCCGCTGGTGCCGCCGGGGTTTGCCGTCAGCAGCGACTTGGCGCTTGTTGCCTCTCAGGCGCCCTTCGTGCTGATTTCAGTGGGAGCCATCACCTTTCTGAGTCGTAGTATAGCATCGGTATACCGTACAGCGTCCCATAATGACTTGAGAATATATTCCGATTGGTCGGGAATCTTTCCTTACACCTCTGGACCTACTAGTCAGTAAAGCGGCAGTATCAGCTTTCCAGAAGGCCCTTCAATGACTCTTGTGGCGGTCTGAAGGTGACTCACCCCGGCCATAAAGCGATGAGTAGAGTCAGAGGCGAGGTTGACGTAGGCGCTTCCAACGTCGCTGAGTTTTGGGATCAACATGTAATTGATGGGAACATGCAATGAGCCGCCTAAATGCGCAGGCCAGTCACCTTTATCTGCTCAATATCCCCCGGTTGGCTTTCTCTCGTCGTCCGGCCTCTCGGAATTGCTTCACCTGGACGAGGGAGATGCTGCGCTACCTATAGGTCTTTGTCCGGTGTCGAACGACCCTTCCAAGCGTCCACGATCGTTGACTCGACCTCTCGCTTCCGCTCAACTTCTCGACAGCATTGGGATGAAGCGCGTACGATACCTCCGCGGTGCGCCCCTACGCCACCACATCTATAAAAGCTTCACTAATGACCTCCTCCTACCCCACCAAAAATCCCTTCTACTCATCTATCCTTCTCGTCCTACAATGTCCAAGCCGTGCAACACCTGCGGTCAGTCGTTCACCTCGACCCACGCCTTGGAGGAGCACATTCTTAAGGCCCCCAACCACCCGAAGTGCGCGACCTGCAAGAAATCCTTTCGTGATGAGAAAGGTCTTGAACAGGTGGGCTGGCTCAACCCCGTCATGCGCGTCGCGCCCTGAGGACGTTCCATCCACAGCACATCCAGAAAGAACACCAGGCCCTGTTTTGCGGGGTCTGCGCGGCTCGCTTTCCGAGCCGCCAAGCACTTGCGGACCACATCGCTCGCGCTCATCCCAATCCGACTCGCAGGACCGGTTCAACGCCTCCAGTGAGTATCTGATGAATTGTTGGACCTGGTCTGACCGCGCCTACAGGGCTACACTGTCAGTATTCGAACTTGGATCACCTAAGGTCATAAGAACTAACAATTCTTCGCAGTCGAGCCCGTCTTTCCCAGCATACGCACCCTCCTCGTACGGTCCCTCCACTTCTTCGACGACGCCAGTCGGTTCATTCCCTTCTCCGGTAGGTACTCCCATAGGTCCCCCGCGGCCGGCAGGCCAGCAGTCGCTTCAACATGACCACGGTTCGTATGTTCCCGCCTTGGGACTCGTTTGTCCCAAGTGTCAGAATACTTTGGCGAGACCCGGTTCCCCGGCCGCGTGCGTGTCCTTATATTTTCCCATCGGTTTCCCGCGCTGAACACTTGATCATTTCAGTCGGAAGATCAAGGTTTGTCCCTACTGCAAGCACAACATTTGAAGCTCAACGCGCGCAAGCATTCGTCAGGGTCAAGTAAAGCGAGGGAAGTTGCCCTCCATCAACATACTGCGGTTTCAACCGCCTCGATTCCGTTTTTCGATTTCTCCTTCGCCTCTCCCACTCTTCACCCAGTCCACTCTCCCGCTCGCCCAATCTCCACTCTGATCTCCCCATCCCCCACTCCGTACGGCTTTGGTACGAAAACAAGGTCAAGGACTCGAACGATGCGTCGTTGTATGATTAGTAGACGTCTAGACACCATTCCAGACTTTGATCATCGCCTCGCATCCAAAATGTATACTATGTATGATGTTGTATCTGTATCAAAGGCCCAAATGTACCTATAGGACGTCAAACGTCAATAGAATCCCTTGCTCTCTAATGCGCCCTGACGCGACTCACAAAGAAGAGCAAAAGGAAGCCCGCGCGCTGCTCAAGTCCATGAGCCGCCTCCACCTCACCTCCCGGCCGTCTTCTGCGCCGTCCGACCCACAATAGGCATCGGGCGCTTCGAGAAGACGATCTTCCGCTTGACCACCGCGATGATCTCCCAACTGACGTTGTCCTGCGCGGAGGTATCGTCTGCAGACGTGTCGAGATCCATCGCGTCATCGTTGTCGCCTCCGGCCTCGCCACCGCTCAGCGCGCTCCGTCGAGACGCGGGCGCGCTTTTCCGCTGCATGACGGCAAATGGCTTCGGCATTTGGGCGACCTTGCCTTCGAGGAGGTGATGTCCGATGAAGAGGGTGGCACGCGTCTGAGTGGCAGGCGTCAGCATCGGCGCGTTTTCTTATAAGACAGTGGATCGTGCGGTCAAGAGTACCACGACAGCCGGAGAGGAAAAGGAAACCGATACTCACCCCATTCTCGTCAATCCCAAAGCGCCCTATAAGGCGTCCGTCGCGCTCGCGTGCTTCGCGACTCTCGACTTCGAGCGCGCCCTGAAGCTCAACGAGAACGACTTCATTGTGTGAGATGCGCGCCAGGCCAGATGGCAGAGGCGAGTATTCCGAGGAAGAGCCAATGGTGATAGGAATAGTCATTATGGTGCAGATTATGAGGAGAATGCGCGCGAGGAAGTCACAGTGCCGGCAGTTAAGTAGCCAAGATAAGTGTCTCGAGCTGTCACGGAGAACTCGCAAGTGAGAAGTGAGGGCTGGGATTCAGAAGCCAGAGACGCCTTCGCTTCGTAGTCGGGCGTTGAAATCAAGTGGTTGAGCCGGCTGTCAACGTTCGTGACAAGAGCTTTGTTTGGTGACATTTGGAATGATAATTGTTCCCTTTTGGGATGTGAGTTCATGTAACATCCACCCTGAGGGCTGAAGCTGGCATACGCTCATCATGATCCAGCTGCTTACGTCGGACATGAAGGAGAACCGTCTCTGAACTATAGCACTGTCAAAATGACGACGCAGGCTATTCCGCCAAGCCCTCACAAAGAATCAAGGCGAGATAGAATCAGGCGAGTGGGAGTCGAACCCACCATTGATTGATCTAGTCTTTCGGGGCGTGGGTTCGAATCCCACTCTCGTCAAACATTTTGCTCTCCGCTATGAAGAGCTCGAAAGGGCCTCTCAATCGCTGCAGAACAGCGAAAAGTAGAGACGAAACGGTGGAGAATTGACGAAGTTCGATGTTCAACTCAAGACCTGCCTTTTTGGGTGTTTTTCGGCATATACCGAATTATTCTCACGATTTACTTACGTCCGCGCTGCTCATGATGGACGAGGCTATACCAGCCGTACGTTGAGCACAAGAAACGAGACCCATAGCCACCAATCAAGGCGATGGACTTTCCAAAGCCTGTCATGACAGCGCACTGCTACTGTCTCTGGACAACTCCCATGCGTCAAGCGTCAGACTGCCCAGAGTCAGAGCTGTATCCCTCGGGTGTCGCAGTCTGCTCTTCCCGATAGCCATGACCCTCGACGTCGTCTCCCTCGTCAGTCTCGTAGTCTCCTTCCGCGCCGTCCCCAGCAGCTTCTTCGAATGCGTCCTCGAATTCTTCCTCGTCCACATCCTCGCCATCGCGCTCGATCTGGAAGTTGTACTCGTCTGGCATGTCATCCTCCGTGGCATGACCTTCGTGGTCAGTAACGTGGTCATCGTAGTCAGTAGCGTGACCTTCGTGGTCGGTGGCATGGCCCTCATGGTCGGTAGCCTGGCCGTCTTCATTCTGAGCGTGGTCGAACGGCGTTGGCGAAGCCACTGCGCTCTGAGATGGCGACGCTGGCGTGCTCTGAAGAGGGGATCCCGGCGTTCCTTGCGACTGCATGGGTGATCCGGGTGTACTCTGAATAGCAGAGCCAGGTGTGCCGCCGCGAAGCTCATCCTCGACCTCCTGCATGTCCACGTCCTGCGTCTGTATATCGCGAGACGAATGCTGATGGGTGTCGGGCGCTTGGTAGGAGGTCTGCCGCTCGTAGGGCACCTCCCGAGGATGGCTCATGATCGCTGCGTACGCGCTCTCGGCGATCTTGGGCGTTGGAACGGCCAGCTCCGTGGTATGCTGGGCAAACCCGATGTCCGGAGACTGACTTTGCGAGGGCTTCCTCACAAATGGCGACGGGTCGTCCAAGATGTCCTCCATCCGCACGCGCTTCGGAGCTATCCCCGCGACCGTCGGCGTCGCATCCTGGTCACCCTCAGGGTACGCCGTCGCATGGCGCAGCGGGCTCGGCTGCACGCTGGTCGACGCGCGCGCCTGCTGCGCCACCTTCTGCGCACGCCTCCTCGCCGCATCCGCTTCCCGCCTCGCGCGCTTCTTCTCCGCCGCCGCCGCCTCCCGCGCCGCCTCCTTCTGGAACTCCGCCAGCGCGGCCGCGCCCTCGATCTCCTCCTGCTTGTCCAGCGCGCGCTGCTCGGCCATGAACTCGTCGTACCGCTCGCTCGCGGGGCGCCACGCGCGGCCCGCGTTCGGCGCCGCGACGAGGGGCGCGTGGCGCGTGAAGAGCAGCGTGTCGACGTCGTCGGGTGGCGGGTACTTGAAGTCGGGGCCAGGGTTGAGGCGCACGCGTGCAGGGCCGTAGAGTGAGACACTGGCATAGTAGCCAAGTGTGCCGTCGTCGTGCGCGTTCAGGCGGTGCTCTTTCTGCCCTTCGCGTGGTGGGCGCCGCCGGGGGCCGCGCCGCTCGCTTGCAGCAGCGCGTAGCGGGAGGAAGTCGTATATATCCTCAAAGGCAACGCCCTGACTCTCCCCGTTGACGAAAAACGCGATATGCGCGCCATGCAGGCGAGGCAAAGGTCGCATAGGCGGTGGTCCGGGCACACGCGAACCACCCGGAGCACGCCCTGCACGTTTGTCGGGTGCGCGCTCGTTAGCCTGTTTGGTCGGCTTCGACGCAGCGGCGGCTTTGGCAGCCGCGAACGGATCCATGAGCGCGGACATCTCCGGGCTGGGTTTGTACTCGAGCGCCTCGAAAACCTCCTGACCTTTGTAGTCGATGGGGATGCGCACGCGCTTCAGGTGCGCTGGGTCGTGCTCGTCGTTGGGATCTGCGGGTCGACGAGGCGGCAGCGAGATGTACATGCCGATGATATCCCCCGTTTTAAACGGCTTGCCATACGGACGCGGGCGTGCCACCGTGACTTTGTCGCCCGTTTTGTCGCGGTAGGCGTAGCTGTAGCCGTCTAGACCGATTGGCCCGTTCAGGAGCGTCTCCCGGCGTGACCACCCAAGGCGAACATGCGCCCCATTATCGCCGCCGCCACGTATGACTTCGACCTCCATATACCACTTTCCCTCTCGCATAGGCGCCGTGCAGCGTGCCGTGCGGAAGCCGCCAAAGCCCTCAAGCACCAGACCATCCTGCGAGATGCCAATATATGGGCTACGGTCCTCAAATGCGGCGCGGAAAATGGGCGGCCGATAGGCGATGGTGCGCAGTGGTAGTAAGTGATTCGTGGGATGGATACCTGCGGGGGTATACCTGAATCCAATGTGGTTCATTGGTATGAACTCGGTTCGGTAGAGGTCAGAATCTGGTATGGGCACGAAAGTGGGCCCTCGAGCATATTCCAATCTCGGACGACCCGAGAGGTCAGACTTGATTGAGATGACGCTGAAAGCTTCCATGTTAGTCAAGGCAGAGAGTGCATGTGTGAGAGCCCTCAGACAGAAAATAGTCATTCTTGGCCGGGAAACAGCCCCTTTCACAGAAATTTAAGGGAGGAGATGGAATGTGAACATACTCCGTTTCCTCTGGCGTTCCCGGGGTGCCAGGCGCCTGGGGCGGCGGAGGAGGCGGCGCTCCTCTTTTGCGTTTCTTATGACTGTTGGAAGGTGCATTTGCTGGCGTATCTGGGGGTGTGTAACCCGCTCCAGGGGGTGGTGAAGGTTCGGCAATCATGGTCGGGAACAAGGCAACTTGTCACGCCCTTATTGTCACGCCCAATCTGAGGCAAATACAGCCAAGCAAGCGCCCACAATCGATGTAAATTCAGGCGATCCCGTGCTCCAATGGTCTGCCCATCGCCGCGACTCTCGTCCGCGCTCTCAAGACGCAACTCCTCAGGACAGTCCCGCGTCGAATGTAGAATGTAATTTTAACGCATTCGAAGCATATGTTGAGAAATTGCTGTTTGGTCTTTTGTCGCTGATACAACGTGAAGGCAATTGAGGAAATGATAGAAGTCTAAGAGTCTGATCGCGTGCACTGGAACTCGAGTTCCAGGGTAAAACCCGCCCCGGAAAACCACCCCAAGGCACCCAGTTCGAGTTCCAGTCTGAACTTCCCTGGTAATTTTTTGGCAGAAGTTCCAGGGTCTGAACTCCGAGTTCCGGTGCACCCGATCAGACTCCAAGACCAATAAGCAAGTATGGGGAAGACAAGTAACTGACGCGGGGAAGGCAAACGGCAAGTGGTAAAAAGTGCCAGAGTTCTCACAGTCCCTTCTGCCTGGTTCGAACAGGCGACATTCAGATCGCGATTTTTAACCAATTACAGTCTGACGCTCTTCCAACTGAGCTAAGAAGGGTTGGTGGTTATGCAATTCACCAAGACCATATTGGCGCGCGCAAATGCAGTACAAGAGCACGACGAACTTGCTATACGATATACAGTATGTACGGCGACAGCAATCACCTATTCATCACTGAATGACTTTGATATAAAGACGACCGAGAGGGTTCTACGAGTATGGACACAGGTAGATGACATACGGATCTCAGCCACACCCACAATCGCACTCAAAGTCATACCACTGGTACTCCTCCTCCGTGGGTGTCCCTGTGTTCGATACTTGGCTCGGTGCTACTGCAGGCCGATCCGGAGGTGTGAGGGCCTTCAAAACGGGCCTCCTCGATAGCAAAGCATCAACGTTGCCCCAGCTCCTTATCCTTCGATCCTGCTCCTTCTGGTCCAGGCCTCCTCGAGGACGGTACCCTGTTTTGTACTGGACATCGAGCGTTGCGCAATGGAATAGGGCGCGCAGGTAACGGACGACGGACTCCTCGTCGTCGATCGCGCCGTAAGTGATACGTAGGAGGAGAGGTGTATGCGAGCGTTCGACATGCTCCGCGTCGCGCTCCGAGGGTAGCTCAGACTGCGATGGCTCAGTCTGCGATGGCTCAGTCCGTAGAGGCACAGTCTGAGGGACACGGGCCGCATCAAGCGGCAGTTCGAGGACTCGCAGGTGCGGGCAGTTGCGTGCGAAGGGGACGAGGGCGGCCAGCGTGCACGCCGTGCCCTCCGCGTAGTTCGGCGTCACATTCAAGACAAGCTCCTGCAGCGCGGGCCACGCCACCGCCATCTCCTCGCAGTCCGCATCCGTAAGCCGCGTGCCGTGCAGCCCAGCGAGCCGGACGTGCGTCAGGTGGCGGAACGCCGTGAGCGGGGCGATGTGGTCGAAGGTCAGCGGCCACTCCTGGAAGTCCTCGCGCTCGTCCGAGTCGTCGTCCCTCTCGATGCTGACGCGCCGCAAGACCGCCGCATCGCACCAGTTCTCGATGTACGTCGTGAGGCTCGCGAGCGCGCCAGAGCTGTCGCCGGGGCCGCCGCATATGCCGATGGCCTCCATCTCCCGAAAGGGCGCGTCGTCGGGGTTCTCCTCCTTGGACTCGAGGATGTCCATGACGTCGCCGAAGGAGACGCCGTGCAGGTGTAGGCGCCTCAGCGCGGGGAAGCGGTAGTCGCCGTATCGCGGTGGATGGTCCTCCCACTCGTACGAGGGGCTGTCCTCAGAGCTGAGGTACACATCGAGGTCGGTGAGTCCCGGACACTCGGACAACTTCTCGAATACTTGAGGGAACCATGGCGTGGCGAGCTTCAAGGAGAAATTCGTGAGACGCTGGCACTGCTTGAGCTCGTCGACCAGGTCGCAGAGCCCATATATGTTCGCGTCGTCATCGTCAATTTCCTGGTTATCCCCTCGCCTGTTCACTCGGTAATCTTGGTTGTCCAAGTCCAATGTCGTCAACGACGCGCGGCAACACCGAGCGACGCAGGCCGCGGTGGACGACATATCCTTGTACGTTGACGAGATATGCAGTTCGCGCAGTGTTGGTGGTACGAGCACCTGAATAAAATCGCTCTCGCAGTCGAAGGGGGAATATTCGAAGCAGTCATCGATGTTCAGGATGCGGAGAGCGGGAAAGAGGGCTTGCGGGGGCGGACAGTCGACGATCGCCCACTGAGTCGCATTATCGACGTAGTCAAGGGAGAGGGTCTGGACGAGGCGGGACTTTCGCAGGACTGGCTCCCAGTCAACAGCCGTGAGTCGACGCGAGAGATGCTACGAAGGCGGTGAGCATGACAGCCTGACATGCCTGCGGCGGGGCGGACACTCACAACGCAGTGGGGCATGCTCATGCCGTACTCGTCGCGAGGCTCTGCTTGCGAGAGTGAGACACTGTGAGAGCGTCACTGAACGTACAGACGCACCCGTCCAGGCATCCTTCGGCAGGAGCCTGAGCAAACTCTCTAGACCACCGATATGTCTCCAGACCGCTGCGTCCGCAACGGCGTGCCAGTGCTTGCACACACGAGCGAGGCGCGCTCGGTCCTTGCGGCTGAGAGCCTTGTCAGAGCAGATGATTTCCTGAATCTCGGGGGGAATGCGCAGAGCGGCTGGTGTGTGCATCTGTGGGGTTCGCTGTCCTGTAGCAGACGAAGGCAAGGTCCTGTATGAGAAGACGCGGGTTTGGATGTCGGTTTACATTCCATGGAGGGAGGGGCTGGATCATTCTCGAAGACTGGTAAGTATGGAGGTGCCGCTGATGATGGCGGTTGGAGATAAACCCTGTCGCGGTCTCGTGGTACTGCCAAACGCGTCACGTCGTTCTCGCCACGTGTATTCAAAATATATATACAAAAAAGCACGCTTATGTCTACTGCGGACCTTATGAAAGCTCGGCCTGAATCATCTTAGTATCCCCAACTCCCTCCAGTATCATCTACGTCTCGGCTCATCTCTTCGACTACCGCTTCCCAGTTCACACCGATCCCAGGACGATACGTTCGCTCCTGCTTACGCTCATTCCACTGCATCTCCACATCGACGCCCGCCAATCTGAATGGCGCGACCAGCTCTTCCACGTTATCGGATGGCGGGGTCGAGAGATACGCTTTGACGGAGCGTAGAGCCGGCTGGTCATTGTGTAGGTTCAGCGCTCGCGCTCGCAAGAACTGCAACAGCCACTGCATGTCCACACGAAGGCCATCGAACTCAGCTGACCGCAAGAGAGGGCAAGCCATAGCGTGGCCCTCCTGCAGCAAGGGCTCGAGCACCGATGGCCTCGGCGTCCACCGGCACTCAGCGTCGGTACGGCGTCGGTTGAATACTAGCTCCTCCAAGTGCGGTAGATAGGGCAGGCATTCAAGTACAATTTCAGCCTCGTACGCCGTGATACACAACTTCCGGACTGGCATGCCTGAACGGCGCAGGAAGAGCGCTAGTGCCGTCGACTGAGGCCCATCGCGCAAGATATAGCAAATCATCGATAGGGACAGCGTGCTGAGACTCGGGGCAGAGATGCGATCGAAGAGCGCCTTGGATATCGCTGGGTAGCATGCCAAGTCGAGTGTCGCAAGATCGGGAAGGACGGTCGGCGAGCCTCTGTAAGGAGCCTCCTCCTCCCCGAGACCCCCAAAGCCCTCACGGTCGTTCGGCGTGAGCCTGAGACGCAGGTGCCGCAGGTGCACGCATGCGTCGACGAGGTGTTGTAGGCCATCGCGCAGCGCCTCACTCGTGTACTCAGCACACAGATGCAGGGAGACCATGTTTCGGAGCGAGAGCACACTGAGCGCCTTCAGCTGATCGCTACTGCGGTACAGCAGCGTGACGTGCTGCAGACCTTGGGCACCGGATAAGAAGACAGGCCGGGTACGCCCATCCGTACCAGGATGCACTGACCCGCCAAGCTCGCAGAACGCAAAGGACCGCAGCTGGGGTAAGTCGAGACGCAGAGGAAGCAGCTCCGCCATTTCCCCCGTCGTAGCGGTGACCGTCAGATCCCTCCAACGACGACTATGAGGGAGGATGGCGCGCAACACGGATGTCACGGTAGACGTGAGTCGGCGTCCCCCTTCCATGAAGATGGGCAGATACTCGGCACGGATGGAGATGCCCCGGGGCCACGTGCCCGAGCGCACGAGCCACGTCTCGACAGCCCGAAGCCGCTGCTCGACGGCCTCCCTGGCCTGCTCAGACATCTCCGTGTCGAACGGCGTGCACACAACGTGAAAGGACGCCCAGAGCTCGGGCGTGCTCAGCGCCACCGCCCGCCAGCCGCGGCAGACGCGGGTCAGCAGGATCGGCGGCTCGTCCGGCGAGAGGAGCGCGTTGTGCGTGGCCGGGAGCGTGCAGCGGAAGATGTGCTGCAGGACTTCGAGGGGCAGAGATCGCAGGGGCGACAGAGTACCTCTGTGGAGATGGATACGGCCTCGGACGTCCTTCAGCTTCGCGGATTTCTGCGTAAGCGCCACCTGCAGGGCATGGACTTCGCCCTCGAGGGCATCCTCTTCAGCGCGCCAGCCTTGAATGAGGGACAGCGTGCATTGGCGCTCATTGTTGGTGGGCGCGCGATTGGAGGACAGCAGTTCTGAGAAGGAAAAGGCAGCCATGGTCGTGGCAGTCAAGAGCGCCATGGCAGTTGAAAGAGGGTTCGGAACAAATAACGACAGAGCGGAGAGCACTGACACACGCACGCAAACAGGAGTTCGACAGCCAAGGGGACTGGTGACAGGATTCAATTGAGTCCTCCGTCTATCGTTCAAGCCTATCTGATCAGATACACCAAGTCTCTACTTACTACGCAATGAGGGCCGCCGTGTCTACCCACGCCTGCGTCCACTCTTCCGCCACCTCGCGCGGGATCGCGTCGGGGTTGTAGTCCATGTTGAAGACGAGCTTGCCTCTGAAGGTCTGCAGCCGGCAGATGCTAGTAAGAGAAGTCAGTATATCAGTACCAGGTGCCGTAAGGCGAGCTACGAATGCACTCACGGAGCGCCGTCTCGCTTGTTCACCGACATCATGTAGCGCGAGACGGTGAACGCGCCAGGGCAGGCGGTCGGGATCTGTTTGTTAGCATCACCGTCCGCCATGAAGAGGGGGTTCGTTTGCGGTGGCATGCTGTCCGATAGCCCCTCTCAGCAGATGCACACAATAAGAGCAATCAAACGACGACGTACGTCCCAGCAGCCAGCACCGGCCCAATCAGCATGTCCATCAGCTCCTGCTCAATCGCAAGCAAAGCAGGCAGCGTCTTCCCATATACATACGTAGGCTTCACCCGCTCGGTCAGGGCGAGCAAGCGTGCTTTGACCTCATCTTTGGCCGCGCTCTCCGGAAGGTAAGCGTCTTTGACGGGGATGGCGAGCGGGTACATGTTCATGGCGAAGAAGGGGTAGACAGCGTCGCCGTTGTAGGGTGGGCGCAGGCGGTTGCGGCAGTTGATGGCGAGCCAGTAGACGTGGGAGGCGGTGTCGGGGGTCGAGGGGGTGGGAGGGTTGTTGCGGGCGAGGACGATGGAGAGGGCGGCGTTTGCTGGAGGAAAGGGGAATGTCAGTCAACAGTTCCACTTTGTATGGGGTGAGGACGAGGAGATGGACAGAGCATGGTGTTCGTTGGACACTCACCAACATGATTGGGCGTATAGCCGCGTGCTTTGCAGGCGGCAAGGATGCGTGCACTGGTCTCCTGGTCGACCACGCGCGATGCGACACGAGTGGACGTGCGCTTTGGCTTATCAGGCGGAACATAGGTCGCTGCGTACGTGACGGTGTGTGCACGCTTGAGCAAGTCGTGAGCGACAGCCCGTTTGATAGAAGAAGCAGACTCACTTCAGCCAGCCGGACGATCTCGCCCAAGACAGCATCCAATGTTCCCTTCCGTGCCTTCTCGTCCGCAGCGGCTTCGGTATCCGACATGACCTCCTCGTACCCCGGCAGGAGGTTCTCTACCTCCTTGCCCCACGCGATCTCAGGCGCGCGCCCCTCTGCACGCAACACCTCCGCGAGGTGGGTGAGGAAGCGCCCGCTCACGATTTTGCCGCCCGTCCCGTCGAACAAGGCGTGGTTCACCACGATCACCAGCCCGTACTCCCGCTGGCTCGCTCCCGGTACAACGTGCACGAAGCACCCCAGACCCGAGCCCTCAGCGGGGTTCGGGCGGGAGCTGACCTGGAAGCGTGCTTCCTCGAGGCTGCCGTTAGCGCCCTCGTGAATGTTGACGGTCCCCCGCGCCCAGGCGTCAGCTTCCTCGGCAGTGGGGACGCGGTAGGTCATGGTGATGTCGGTGCCGGGGCCCTTGCTGATGGCGGCGGCGAGCGGTGGGATCTGGTACCGCAGGGCGAGCCATGCCTTGCGCGCGCTTGTGAGGAAATCGGCGGGGGCGACGTCCTTCTCGAGCGAGAGCTGGAGGCATGCGTGCATGGTGAAGTCCCCGTTGTTCATGGCAGCGACGCAGTACTCGAAGAGCTCGACGTTGCTCGCGATGCGGGAGTAGCTTTTGGGATCATCCGCGGACTGCGTCCATCGTTTCCAGGTTAGTTTGGACATCCTTGAGGTGGGGAAAAGGCTGGGAGACGAGGAAAACGCGGAGAAGGTGGGGAAAGCGAGCCAAGAGCTCTGGGAAAAGCGGGCGCTCTGCTGCAGGCAAGAGGACCCTGCAGCAGCATGGTGTTGATGGCGGCCATGAGAGAAGTTGCAGCCAGATCAAACATCGGCAAGGCGCCGAGTGGGTGCAAGCGAGCCGCAAGCACTGCAATAGACCGGGAAATCGTACTTGTGGGCCGAGTGGTGCAGTTTCCTGAGGATGAAGGTTCGCCTTAACCAGTGTCTTAGGCTTGAGGTGGACACCACACTTGACTCAACGGGCCTGATGCGTCGAGTCAGAACGGGCTGGAAAGTTAGCCATGTGGCCGAGTTGGCGCATTGTGAGAACCCGAAATACAGTAGACCGCATATAAAATCGAGTTTGAGAGTGCCTCTTGTCTGCCGTATGTGTTCGCGAGTTTCGAGAGCCAGTGTAACGGCTGAAGAGCGGAGATACAGCGAACAAATAAAGCGGCTAGAAAGGAACAAATACAGAGCACGTGCGGGGTCGGGCTTTGGCGGACCGCCAGCGAGCGCTAAACACGGATTACTCCTTGCACTTAACAGCCATGTCGTCTCCTTCCAAACCACTCAATATCGGCAGCCCAGGTCGTCGCAGCGATCAGCAGACGCCTGTAGGCACCCCCAACATGCGCGTTCTCCGCGAGCAGTACGGAGGCACGCCGCCCTTACCCAATGTCCCTCCGCGAACAGGGTCCATCTCCGCATCCCCAGCGAATCGCCCGATAAACCTTCTGCCTCCATCCGACAGCCAGGGAGGCTCGCGCCGTGGGTCCCAGGTCGTAGGAGGCATATCGGCCGGCGCGCGCAGCTTCGGAGACCGGTCCACGGGGAGCGGTACTTCTACACCTTCAGGCCACGTACCGGAGATCGAGGACCTCCCAGTCGAGGAGAAGGCGAAGGTCCTGCGGCGCCACCTCGTTTCGCGCGAAGAGCGCCTGCGCGGCGCGGACTCTGAAGCCCCCTCCGGCTCAGCCACCCCTACCCTCAAGAAGCCATCGCACAGCTCACTCCGCTCGAGCGGCCAGGACACGTCGTCGGATCATCATCAGGAGGAGTCGGACGCGTTCCCCATCTCGTACGAGACCCCGGGTGCGGACATAACGTGAGTCTTGGCACGTCGGGTGTTAGCAGCGATTGATGCGGGCTGCAGGCATAGCATCTACAAGTGGCATCACAAGGCCGCGAGGCCAAGGGAGCGCGCTATCTCCTTCACCGGACCATCCACGAGCAACACCGTCGATCCCACCTTTGAACACATCCACGAGCCTGGCGGCTTCCGGCGGAATTTCCTGAAGCTCAAGGCGAGCGAGCAGGGCGTCGACCATCCCACCTTCGTCAACAACTTCATCGACTTCTTGTTCATCTTTGGACACTTTGTGCGTGGTCCGTCCTTCAGTGAAGCATGATACTGACAATGTGACAGGCTGGTGAAGATCTCGAGGAGGAAGAGGAGGTCAAGTCGGAGGACGAGGACGTAGAGCAGCAGTTCACTGTACCCGTCGACGGCCATGTTCCCTCCACTGGCTTCGACGCCGACGAGAACACGCCCCTCGTGAGGAAACCTCGGGGAGCAACCCGCTCAGCATCAAGACGTAGACGAACGGCGACCAGCACTGGCCCTCACGGCAATGCGACGGTGACGCAGGCAGTCATGATGGCATGTTCATATACTTCTGCTCCCTCCTCTCTTCTGACTTCTCTGTATAGCTGTTGAAAGCTTTCATTGGCACCGGTATCTTGTTCTTGGGTCGAGGCTTCTACAATGGTGGTCTACTGTTCTCTGCTGGGCTCTTCGTCGCTATCGCAATGGTGTCCTTATACACGTTCCTCCTTCTCGTGCATACGAAATACGAAGTATCCGGTAGTTTCGGAGGTGCGTCGACGTCGTACGCACATCAAGATCTTTCCACTGACCTGTTCACCCAGACATCGGCGGCAAGCTCTACGGCAACTGGATGCGCTACCTCATCCTTGGCTCCATCGTTATCTCGCAACTGGGCTTCGTCTCCGCGTACATCATCTTCGTTGCGCAGAACCTGCAAGCCTTCGTCATGGGCGTCACCAAGTGCGCGACGCACCTTCCCATGGCGGCCACGATCGGCATCCAGGTCCTGGTCTTCCTTCCGTTGGTCCTCATTCGTGACCTAGCGAAGCTCAGCACGACTGCTCTGGTGGCGGATGCGTTCATTTTGTTCGGCCTCATCTACATCTTCGGGACGGAGATCAGCATCGTCGCGGAACGTGGTGTCGCGCAGGTGCAGGCGTTCAACTACAACAGCTTCTCTCTGTTCGTTGGGTACGTGCCCAAGTGCTCTCAGACCTTCTCAACATCATTGACGGATGTACAGGACGGCCGTGTTCTCCTTTGAGGGTATCGGTCTGGTCATTCCTATCACGGACGCAATGAAGGAGCCTCGCAAGTTCCCCAAGGCGATCACGGGTGTCATGTTCTTCCTCACCGGTGCGTCAGTCCTGTTTTTATCATCATCCGTGGCTTACTTGCCGTCCAGTCCTCTTCGGCGGTGCCGGTGCGCTCGGCTATCTCACCTTCGGCTCTGAGATTCAGACCAACGTCCTGGTCAACTTCGACACCTCGAGCAAGATCGTGCAGACGGTGCGTCCATCATCCCATTTGCATCACTTCACCTACTGACGCACCTATCTGCAGGTACAATTCCTCTACGCCATGGCCATCCTTCTCTCCGTCCCGCTCCAAATCTTCCCCGCTACGCGTATCCTCGAGAATGGTCTCTTCGTCCGCTCCGGCAAGCAGAATAACTTTGTCAAGTGGCAGAAGAACTTCCTCCGGTTCTTCGTTGTGTTCTTCTGCGCCCTGATCTCGTGGCTCGGGGCGAACGACCTCGACAAGTTTGTCGCGTTCATCGGGTGCTTTGCTTGGTGAGTTTGTACATTGTGTCGTGTCCATAATGGAAGGGTCTGACGATCACCTTTAGTGTGCCACTGTGCTACGTCTACCCGGCGATGCTTCATTACAAGGCTGCTGCGTTCACCCGGAAACAGAAGATTGCGGATATCGCGATGATGGTCTTTGGGATCATCGCGTGCGTGTTCACGACGGCGCAGACGTTGAAGGTATGCGATTTCGTCATGCTGTCCACCATGCTCAATGCTAATACCTTGCCACAGTTGATGTTCACTCCGGAACCCGAGGGCGCGCCCATCTACAAGTGCTAGACGATATAGACCCACTCCGCATCTAGGGACGATTGCTTGCATTTCGAGGTAGAGGTACGCGTGCGCTTCTGAGTATGGAAATCGGACCGCGGAATCATTGCATCACTACCTTCGCTTAGTATATCTATTCATCATCTAGCATACACACGTCTTGCATCGGCACTGTAGTCCATTACATGGTCAGTGCGGTCTCTTCCAAGGGCACCGCAGACCCCGGCATATGCATGTATTTCACAATTGCAACAGCAGCAGCAGTCACCTTGGAGATAGCACAGCATTGCAATACATCTCATTAGTTTATGTTACTGGTTGTGAACGACAGTTGAAGTTGCTGGACAGGGTCCTTTGAACGGATGTTGCCCTTCCCGACGCAAAATGCAAAGAATGGACAAAACCATTGTTGCCGATTAGGCGATCCCTTTGTGACATGCATAGCTCGTCCGAGGGTAATGTTCGGCTCCAGAGACTCCATATCTTGAGATGGTCGTAGCTATCGCATATTCTGAGGGCATCCACAAGCATCTAATCGCCTCCTCCAATCTGAACTGTGACATTCTCTCCGTCGGAACGTGACGAACACGTGTAGAACATGAACTGTGTGTGACGCGGGGACAATGAGATTGTCTCGGACCGTGACAGATGCCTCATGGCTAGCGCGCAGGCGGCCCGCAATGACCTCGTTCTTGCACTCTTGATAGACGCTCGATGGTCCGGTGTGTGTTCGCGGCCACTTTGCGCTGCGTTGTATAAATCACCCCTCCGCGTTCCTCGTCCTTCACCCTTCTCTTCCCCTCTGCTTACGCCATTGCGCTCTTTGTATCGAACTAGACGATCATCAAGGACCTAGGAACACGCCTATCTACTATCGCATACGATGAACACCTCCGCCACCGCCTCTGACAACGCGCGCCCTGTGGTCGGCACGCGCCAGCGCAAGCTCTCGATACGCCCGAGCACGCTCAATGTCCGTAGGCAGGGTATGTACGGTACAGAAGAGACGGTGGCGGAGCTGGACTCGCTCATCAGTGGATCATCTCGCGGCACGGCGCAGGAGCCGTCCCCCGTATACCCCACCCCCACCAGTATCCGCTCGCCCAGTGGCACATCGCGGCACGCGCGTCTGCCCAGCGGGTCCTCCACGTCTGTGATCGGCGCTCCTGGTCGCGCGTCAAACGTAGATGCGGAGAGAAGGCCGCGTCAGACGCAGAGCCTCACCCCCGCGCAGGAGCTCGCGCGAGAGTATCGGCAGAGCCTGGCGCGATCACCCTCTCCCCCGCGCCACACAAGACATCTAAGCGCCCAGGTGCCCGGCCCGAAAGGAAGCCGCCGCATGGATTCAAATGGGAACCGGCTCAGCAAGTACGACGATGCATACTTTGCGACGAAGACCAAGGTCGACGAAGCGTCCATCGCGGGCGTGAAGAGCTTGCTCATGCAAGATACGCAATCGGACAAACGCTCGAGCGTCCTATCGTCCAGGACGCGATCGATGTACGAGACGGCATCGAGCGCTGGGGGGAGCTGGGTCATGCCCACACCCCCGAGTAGTCACTTCGATAGCGCCGTCGAGCTCAAAAGCCCGCCGCGCGCTACTTCAATGGCTTCGCCACCCTCCTCTGCGCTGCTCGAGCGCCGTCGCAGCAAGCCACTTCCCCCCATCATATGCGATAAGCCCGTGTCCGCCTCGCCCGTCTCATCGGCGACGGCGCCTAATTCCGCGTCTACGATCACCGCCAATCTCTTGACGCCGAAGATTCGTTCGACGGAGTCGCGAGCCGCGGATATGCAAGAGCTGGTGCGTGGTCCGGTTCTTTATAAGCGAGCAAGTCACTAACGCGTAATTTCAGGCCGAAATTGCGGCGCGCATAGTCGTGCAGCAAGGCAAGGGCCCGAATGACCGCGTACGCTGTCCAATTCCCGGCTGCCGAGACGTCCTCGAAAACGCCAAGAAGCTGGCTCTTCACCTTCACATTCACGAGCTTGATGAAAGGTGCGCTCTTCCTTCGAATTACCCACGAATATGGGCTGATAATTCGCAGAATATACGACCCCAACGCTCACGCTGTTCGTGACTTGTCTCTGTACGCCTCCACTGGCGGCCTCCCCGTCCCATACACTGTCCGGTCATCTAATACGTCTCCTCTCAAAGGTGCGTCCGGTTTTTAATGCGCTCAATCCTCCTCTTGACCGTGTATCATCAGAGACATTTTCGCATATCATGAACGCCCTGAAGCCTTGATCGGCATGCTCTCATGTTTGCTTTCCATGGTCACTGGATGGCCACGATGTCGTATGACTAACGACGCATGCCTCTATGTATCGATACGTGCTCTTTATCTCACTCCTTACACACCTACTCCTCCTTTATATCACGCTCTCTAATGCTTTACCTCTCATACTGACATTGTAGCCTGGAATCTCTCAAAGCACCTATGTATTCCCCTCTCACATATGCGTCCTTTTCTTTTCCTTTGATGGGTTCTCGTAGCATCTCTTCCTGCAGCATTAGGTACCCTAGTAGCGTCGCGCCGTGTCATCGGCAGCAGCAGTAATCCCAAAATGGTCCTCGGGTGTATAGCATCTCAAACGTGACTGCACGGTGTGACGGACACTATGCGCCCTTTACGTGATCAAACTGTACCCATCAGAGACAAATGATACAATACACATCTTGTCTCTTACGCTCATGTCTCGCGCAATACCCAGCGAATGCAACGAAAATATACAGCTCTGCAATCGCTGCAACCACTCGTACAGCATCTCGTTCCAGATCCCGGACAAGGCCAGCCTGCGCACCGGATGCCTTCCAACGACAATTGGAGCCAGGCTGATTTGCGACGCTATAGCGGAGGCGGACGATCACATAGAGGAGATTGGTCACGAATTGGAACGCCTGAACGAGTCTTTGAAACGTCTGGACACTCTCAAAAGGTCGCTCGAATACTCTCAGGACGTTCGACGTGCGCTTGTGGCGCCCGTACGGAGGTTACCAACAGAGATCCTGGCTGAAATATTTAAAGCTTGCTGCGGAGACGCAATCTGTATCGCAATTGAGAGGTGCGCCCCGCTTGAATTGGGCTCTGTGTGCAAGGTCTGGCGAGGTACGTCTTTTTCGGTCCAGCAATCACTGTTCAGCGTCTCGAAGAGCTCACAAATTACTTAGATACTATCGTTGGTATGCCTACCCTATGGGCAGGTTTCTTCTTCTCTTACGACCTCCACCGCTGCTACGCCCCGCCTGCGTCTCTTGTGACCCGGCTAAAAACTTTCTTGGAGAACTCGGGTGATGTACCTCTACGACATTGCATTGGAGAACAAGGGTGGTCTCTCGAGTCTCTTAGCGGGGACCTATTTGAGGCCATTCTGCAGCACTCCCACCGATGGACATGCCTTTGGGTCTGCCCTCCTCCCCGCACCTCCATTGTGAACCGGGACTCCCTCTTCAGCCAACTCGAGGGACGATCTCTCTCTCGTTTGACTTCTCTCCAAGGGTCCCATAATGATCTCTGCGAGGGGAATGAGAGTAATCTATTCCATATACCGACCCTGCGCTCCCTTCTCATCTTATTCGAAAGAGGATCGGACGCACGCATCATGCCTAACCTCCCCTGGGAGCAGCTCGAGTGCCTATACATCGACGGGCCACCGCACTACTCCTACGATATCCTTCGTCGGTGTCCGAACGTGGTTGAATGGAATTACAGCAACAAATGGTGTTGTACGTCCCCCGCGACGATACCCGAGACAGCCATCAGGCTTTCCCACCTGCGCAAGCTCTCTGTCGACATCACCCAGGAAACCGCTGATGCTGCTCTTCTCGGTCGCTTGGAGGCTCCCTCTGTGGAAAGCCTCGCGCTTGATTGGGACATATCACCACAATCTCTACTATCTGAAAGCTACCTCGGGCGCCTCGTAGAGCGTTTTTCGCGCCGCTTGCGCTGCCTTCGTCTGATCGGGTTTCAGCCTATTGGGAGATCGTGTCTCTCATCGCTGCCAGACCTGCACACCCTCGAAATTGGCTATTTCTTCCCTTCGTTCAACCAAGACTGGCTCGACGATCTCAGCGCCGTTGATGATGCAGGAAGCCCGCGCATCCTCCCGCGCTTGCAGATTATGAAGATAGAGGACCCGCTCTCTTTCCCACCGGCGGCGTTGGTGGAGATGCTGGAAGCGCGCAGGGCGATGGGTCATGGACTGGAACGGCTAATGCTCCATCGGGACGTTGTGGAAGACAGTTCCGAGTGGAACGACGATGTCACAGCTCGGCTGAGATCACTGGTACCTTCTTTCGAGATTTTCATCTAGTATCCCACCGACGTTACAGACCAAATAATACTCGTACTCAATTCTCTACGGCTACATCGTACACATCATGCAATAAAAAGGAGCGCAGCTCGAAAGCGGGATACAAGTACAAACAGCGAGTTTGACACGGAGAGTTGGTACGCAGAGTCCCCTTCCGTGCTTACGGCGGAAGACCCTTCTGCGCCGCGTCGTCGCGACATGCGCGGCTACAGAAGTCGTCATTGCCGTGCTGGGGGTACTTGCGGCACATGATGCAGGCAGTCGCCTGGCCGGTCTGCACAGCCTCTCTGCAGGGTGCGTCAGTGGAAGGACAGAAGAGAAGAAGGTCGAACTCACTCCCTGTGACGCGCCGAACAGTATTCCCCCGTGTCGCCATTGCTGTCGACGAAGACCGGCTGATTGCAGCCAGCCAGCGCGCACTCTGCCGGGAAGGTGGCCGGCGCGATGCTACCGTGAGGCTGCGCATTCTGGTTGGCAGCGGCGGACGTGCCGTTGCCGCCGTTGAACGCGGCTGAGGCACCCTTCGCGAGCGCTGTCGCCGCCGTGAGCGCTAGCATGAGTGGCGCCTGCTGAGCCGGAGGGAGCTGCTGGATGACGAGCTCTGCACGGAAGGTCAGTTTCGCTTCGGTGGGTCAGATATGTAGACGCACTAGCGACTTGCAACGGGTCCAGCCCGTTGTTGTTCATCACAGATCCTAGGTTGCCGACGTTGTTGCTCAAGACGTTGAGGATGTTGGCGAGAGGCCCACTGAGAGGGCCCTTTCCTCCGGTCGAGCGCTTCACTGCTTGGCCAGTCTTCGCTGCTTGGGCCGCGCAGCGCTTCCCACAAAAGTCGAAGCCAGGGTACTTGTCTTTCTTGCGGCAGAACTGCGTAATCGAAGTTAGCCTACGCTCACATCGTCGACGAGGAGCATTTACTCACGTCGCAGAGCGAGGCCGCCTGCTTCGCGCATGTCTTCGAGCAGTGAGGGAAGCCGTTGTAGCAGGGCTTCTGGTGGCAATACTTTGGATATGTTAAAGACAGATCAACCAAGAAATCAACGTGAATGACTCACGCTGCACATCGCTTGCGCGCCACCCTGCTTGCCGGTGGACGCGGGAGCTGCCTTCGCGGCGCCGGGAGTCTGCTTCGGCGCCGGCGCGGTGGCCTGACGCTTGGGCTGCGCTGACGCAGTTTGCGGCGCCTTGCTCGGCGGCAGCGTCGCAGACTTGCCGTTCGGAGCAGCAGGCTTGGGCGCCGGAGGCGGTCCCTGCCTAGTCGCCGGAGGTGGCCCCTGCTTTGTGGCAGTCTGCTTCGTCGAGATCGACTGAGGCGCGCCCTGCATCGTCGCGGGTGGAGGATGGGTGGGTGGCTTGGGGGCCGGCATGCCACCCGGCATCGACGGCGACGACGACTTGTTCTGCGAGATCGGGCTCAAGGGCTGGGACTGCGGAGAGGGGAACTGAACGGTGGACGCCATCGCTGATGGCTAGATGATGGTGATCGAAAGTGGGGGTGGTGGCTGAGGTAGTGAGCAAGTCGACACCCGCGGGCTTTTATGATGGAGAACATACCAGCCCCCTCGTGGCAGTCATGCCGCCGCCACGCTATGTGCGGGAGGCGGAGTCCTCCACAAACGAGGCAAGGCACCCTCGTACACGAGGCGTTGAAAGGCGTGTTTGTCGACCTCGTCGCTATCAACACCGCCCTCCGTAAGAATCGAAGGTCTATCGCATGTATCTGGAACAAAAGTCGCGTACTAGGTTACAGAACAAACACGACGCAAACATTGTCGGTCACCAGCGTAGCAGATGGTCCGTGGATCTGAAGCGATCAGGTTTTTGTGACGACAAACGGAGGTATGCAGGCGATTAGGCCGACAGGCCGACAGCGGCAAACATGAGGAGAAGGGGCCAAAGCCAGGGAAAGTCCGATACGAGGGGCGAAGTAAAAAAACAAGTTCCGAATAGTCTATCGTCGTCTCCGGCAAATGCCGCCCTACTGAGGCTTCACGGTGTATGTCGCGCAGCCGTCCGTGATATGGCCGCCGTACGTCCACTGCAAGTCGTCAGCATCAGCCTAGACCGCAGACGCGCGACAGCATGCAATGTACTCACCGAACCCTGAGAGACACAAGCGTGAAGAGGGCGTCGCATCCGGCTCTTGCACTCCTTCTCGGTGGGGACGAACGAGCAGGTCGCCTTATTCTCGATCTCGAGGACAACCTGGTTCTTGACATAGAACGCACGCTGAGAGTACGAGTCGACGGTGTGCGGACCGAAGGCCATGTCGGCGGCTTTCGCGCAGAAGGCATCGATGGTTGAGAAGACGGTGTTCATGTCGATGGTGGCGACATTGCCCTTGTAACACTGGACGTGCAAGTCGGACTGAGTGGCAGCGGCAAGGACGACGGCGACGTTCAAGAGCGCAGCAGCGAGGGTGCGACAGAGTATCATGTCGTAGAGCGCTTTTAGGAGTTCTGAGATTAATCAGTATTGTGTCAATGTGACAACGGAGGCTAATTACCTTGCAAGGTGGGAGATGGAGATGATGGTGAGCTGAGACGGCAAGCGAGCATTATAAAGGCCTCTTCCGAGCCCGACGTCAAGGGACTGCATTCGGAGCGGAAAGATCGACGCCGCACAAGCGTCGAACGAGGAGACAGAGTCTGTACATTGCGCGTCTATGGGTAAGCCTCCTCGCGCCTTCTGTCAAGCTAAGGCTTGATAGCCACCGCCCATGCGGCTAGCATTGCCCGCAACGTTAAGTCCATCGCGGCGAGAGCGTCGGGTCAAAAGAGGTCGAGCGCTCAGAAGCAGATGAAGCATCGTCACTTCGGGGGACGGGCAGGGGCGACGGGGGAGGGAGAGCGGAAAGGAACGTACTCGAAGCGGCGCTGATGTAGGCATGACGGTTCCCGGATGTGAGACGCATGGTGCGCCAGCGGGACTACTTATGCACCGATCCTTTCGGGGAGCATCGAGCACTCTTCAACAACGGGAAGACGATGGGCATTGGAATTATACGTGGGCTGTACGTCTTCGCGGGGTTGTCGCGGCGCCCTCTACCAGCGCTCGGTCCCTGACCAGATTTGAATTGATCAGCGCTTGCAGAAGTTCAGCAAGTCAGACTAATGAAAGATATGGGTCAACAGTCAAGCGCCCGTGCTCTCGACAAGATGATGGTTCGGAACAAGAGAGGGATTTTCAGAAATTGAACCAGCGTGACTGTAGCCCAATTGGTGCGCACGTGGGCCGTCACGTCACTGTTCCTCCTTACCATCAACCGCCATGAGCAAGACTATAACTGAGGAGGAGATCGAGATTCCCGAGGCGCCCCCCGTCATTCCGCAGGCGCCACGCCCTCCGAAGAAGCCTCGACCAGCGAGAAAGCAGGTCAAGCCCGGAGACATCGACCGCAAAGAGACCGTACAGACGGGAAAGGAATACAGTGCGTGCTAACTCACACTTTCCTTTACAGATGCTGACTTCACAATAGATATATGGTACAACAAATGGGCGGGAGGTGACCGGGAGGACAGCTACTCGAAGTGCGTGACACGGCCGTGCTCCTGGGACGGCTGCTAATTCGCATTCAGTAAGACCAAAGCGCAGGCGCGCTGCCATATCAAGACCGACTCCGGCTTGACGCGCGCAAATACAACCGGCATGAAGTACCATTGCCTCTTCTTCGCGCGAGGGAACTGTCCGTACGGCTGGGAGTGCGAGTACTTGCATTCGCTCCCCGATCCCAGTCAAGCACCGCCAGACAGCGCGAAAGACTGCTTCGCGCGGGACAAGTTCGCCGACTATCGCGACGATATGGGTGGTGTAGGCTCCTTCAACCGGCAGAACCGCACGCTATATGTTGGCCGTATCAAGGAGACGGGAACTGGACCCGAGACCGAACAGGTTGTCATTCGACACTTCAGGGAGTGGGGTGATATTGAGCGAGGCGCGTATACATATCTGCCCTCGAGCGACCTTGCTGACATGGCGTGCCTCCTTCCCTGTAGTTCGTGTGCTGCAGTATCGCTCTGTCGCGTTCGTGACGTACGTGCACGAAGTGCACGCCCAGTTTGCGAAGGAGGCAATGGCATGCCAGTCTCTGGATAACGACGAGATTCTCAACGTGCGCTGGGCGACCGAAGACCCCAATCCGGTCACCAAAGTCATCGAGAAGCGCCGCTTGGAGGACATGGGCCAGGAAGCCATCCGTGAACGCATGGACCCTCGCATCGTCGATGCCATGCGCGCCGTACGTGCGTTGGAAGATGGCGACGTTCTCGAAGAGGACAGCGACCCTGCACCGGATGCGAAGCGGCGGCGGATAGAGTATACTCAGGACGAAGAGCAGGAAGGAGACGAGGACCACGAGCCGTCACCTCCGCCACAAGCACAGTCCGAGGCGCCGCCACAGGCTCATGGGCTCTTGACCGCGGATGCTATGGAGGGGCTGAAGTACTTCGCGGAGATCAGGAAACGGAATGGAGCGACACTTGCTGTACCCAAGCCGAAAGCAGCGCCGCCGCCGAAGACGGGGATGGGGCTTGTCGGTTACGGGAGCGATGAGGACTCTGACTGAGCAGTACCGTACGATGCTGTATTCATCTACTGTGTCAGTGGCTTGTCTCATGGGATGTGCGCAGACTTGTTGCAGTACCTTTCGTGTGCCGAATGTGCATCCCAGGGAATCATGACGCCGACTGCCATGTATCGATTTGCTTGTTCCTGTGAGTCACTGATGTCTGTGACGGTGCGCCTAGGCCTGTGCGCTGCCGTCATGTCTTCCGACCTGCTTTGAACCACCATGGCCGCCCCGACGGTGCTTTTCACAGAATTACTGTCATCCAATCGAACACCCACCGACGATGAACGACAGGAGGCCGTGTCGCTTCTCCAGATCTGGTCCACCGAAGCTGCGGTCCTAGCGGCTAAAGTTCAGGCCCTGCAAGCGGAGCTGGCGCAGGAATCGGTGAAGCTGAAAGAGATTCAAGAGCGCATACGTCTTCATAGCAGCATCGTGTCCCCTCTGCGCTCCGTGCCAGCAGAGATTCTGCAGCACATATTCCGGTACACGCTCCCAGAGTCTCACAACGCGCTGCTCTCGCCGGACGAAGCACCAATCATTCTCACTCGCGTCTGCCGCGTCTGGAGAGTGGTGGCACTCAGCACTCCCGAGCTCTGGTCGTCGATCCACATCGTCTGCACGCCGTTTGACAAGGACATGCCCCAACGTTCCAGGGAGATTGTCGAGCTACGACTTCGTGCGGTTGAATCATGGCTCGCGCGCTCGGGCACGTGTCTCCTTGACATCTCTATCCGTGCGGAGACAGAGGTGATGGATATCGAGTTCATGCCCTTCTCGGAGGGGTACAGGTACTCTTCTACCGTCCTGTCTGCCCTGCGCGCCATCATCCCACATAGCCGGCGCTGGAGCCAGTTGTCCATCGTCGCCACGATGGGGGAGCTAAAGGAGCTTCTTCCTCTTCGTCTTGATCTCCCGGAGCTGCAATCCTTCGTCTTCCGTGAACTCGGTCGGCCAGTGTATCCTGGCACTGATGGTCGGTTCCAGCCATTCTTTCTGTCTAGCGCCCAGAAATTGCAACGTGCCTCATTGATCTTTCCTCATAGCGAGCAGCTGAGGTCGCTGGCCATGCTCCCCTCGCGAGATATAGTCGATCTCCGCATTCACACTCAGGTCGCAGACGTCACTCTCCTTCTGCTTCTGCACCGTACCATCCGTCATTGTGCCAGGCTGCAGCGGCTGCACGTTCACCTCGTTAGCCGCACGGGCTCTATTGCGCTGCCAAGCCCGACGAGCCCGCCTGCATGCCTTGCGGACTTGGTTACAGTCGAGCTGCGATGCTACTCAGAAATGGCCGCGTCCATCCTCAATTGCATCTCTGCCCCGTGCCTCGATTATCTCGCTCTCCAGATGAACCATGTCCGCCCTCCCGAATCGAGAGCGCTTATGGAGTTCCTTGCGCGCTCGCATGCGCCGCTCAGGAAGCTGCGGGTCAAGACGGACGGCGCCTACTTTGTCAATGACTGTCTACCATATATGCCCGCATTGGAGGACCTCGCGATACTCCGTAATCATGGAGACAGGAATACGTTGTGGGGACAGGAACAGGAGGTGTTCGTGTCCGTGCTGCACCACCACTGGCCTTTGGTGTGTCCGCTGCTACAGACGATTGAACTTGATCGCTGCGCGGGCGTGGATGACGAGTGGCTTTCACGCTTCTTGCGCGCACGCACGGACCGCGGATCTTCTCGAGGGGAGTGCGCCTTACGTTCAGTGAAAGTGCGCTTCCTGGAGCCGCAGCCCAGTCTGCGTGAGGTGGCTGAGACCACCCCATTCACGGTGGAAGGTGTCGAAGTCCACGTGCGGTGGGACGAATGGCGGCCGGCGCGGACATATTCCCCGGGGCTCGGTGCCAGCGAGGAGGAGATTGTCAATGTATGTGAAGAGGACAGAGCCTGACGTATTCGAGATGATAGTACGATTTTGCTAGAGCCCACCATATCGCGCAGTTCTTCGTAATGTACTTGTTTATGTATGTTGATTTTTCAACTACCGGTGTGATCTACGAACATACTACCCATGTTGCTCTCCCGGATGCCAAATCAATCTGTATCCCGTCTGCGGGGCGATATTCTCGCTCATGTGTGCAGATCTCGGCTCAATGCATGATATGGCGACACGCCGCTTCTTCCGACAGCTCCAGTATCGAGGCCTTACCAAGACGTTCACCAGAGTGGCAGATGTATCCTTGCTGAGTGGCTCTTGGTAGCCTCCGGCGGCTAGGGGAAACCTACGTTTTCCTCCAGACCCCCTTCCCTTGCGCTCCGCGACGATCATGTGGGAGACGCTCAGTGGGGGAAACCTACGGTCTCCCCCACACCCCCTTCCCTTTTGTCAATCATCTAGTTACTTCGACTGTCAAGGTCAAAAGATGAGGCGAAGAAGTTGGATCGATGACTGCGCGCAAGCGCGGGTCATCGTATCCAATCTTCGGAGCCACATCGCGCTTCCTTCCGTCTTTCGTAGTGGTGTTCAGGAGCCAACAGTGGCATCTGTGCTTCCGCTGTAATTCAGTAGTTGCCACGCGGCATACACGTGACATGTTGAACTACATGTTCAACTATCTAGTTAGATTCGAAGTAGAGGAAGCTTAGGCTTCGCCGGCTCTAGCCTTGACCTTGCCTTGCACCTGAGATCGTGGGCTGAGCTTGCGCACTGAACCCTCGTTGCACGCGTATGGCGCTCGTGACTTTACGGTTGTTGTCCAAGAGCACCGCACAAAATGATGGGGCGGGAGAGACCTTGCAAGGCAAGGTGATGACTTCGCAGAGATAGTAGATATCATTTACGATCATCAGAGACACAGGGATCTCATAGGTGACGACTATGGTCTCGAGGACTGGATATGGTATTTACAGCGCCGTGACGATCGTCAGCAGAGAAATATGATACGGTACGAATGGAACTAAGTCCTATAGAGTACTAGATGTCAATGTAAAGAGCGTGGGGAGGAGAATGACTGTAGCTATGCACTCAGGTTAGGTCAAGCAGAATTAAGCAGATAAACATCGAGTGTCAAGAAAGCGGTTCGAAGTTCGGTGCATCTATCAAGCAACATTGACAACCATGCCCACCGCTGCAACGTAGACGGGCGCAATGGATGACTGGCGCTTCAATTTAGACGCATTGCCCTCCAACGAGAGTGGCACTGTGCTGTCTACCGAGCTAAGCGTCTTCTTCCCGCTCCATGACTTGGGGCGGGAAATGAAGAACCTCCGCGTCCGGGTCCGCCCTATGTTCGGCAGCGCGCTCGCTTGCGAGGCGGCGTTGGCGCTCGAGTGCGCGACAGCGGTCTTTGGCGGCAAATTGGTTGGCGGGGCTACGACCGCGGGCTCCAATGGTGCAATGGCCGCAGGCTCCGACAGCGCAATAACGGCAGGCTCCGATGCGGCTCTGCGGATGATTGACGTCGTTCTGCGATTGTGGCTAGCAGCACGCATTGAACTAGCCCGAGCAGAAGACCGCCGCCGCTGCGCATCCTCGCCGCGATGAACGAGGCTGGCTTCGTCGGCGAAGCTGATCGAGAGCTGGCGGCGCATGGTACTGGCTGGGACTGTGCCAGAGACGCCAGCAGGGACGTTGCTCGAGGTGCTGGCCTCAGGCTGGATTGGAGCAGGGGAAGATGGGGAGAGCGACACGGAGGACCGACGAGGATCCCAGCAGAAGTAGGATGCATTGAAGGAGGATGGTCCGTGTAAGGAGCGTGGGCGGGTCGGCATCTCAGATGAACGAGGGTACGACAGAGAGTGCGTAGGGCGCGGCGGTACGTAAGAGGAGGGGGGGCCGCTCCAGCTGGTGCGCATCTCGGCGAGAGTCAGGCGCCGATCGGTGGGTGCTGGGCAGCGTTCGGTGGGCGGTCTGAAAGATGTCGGCGGTGGCGGAGGGCTCGACGTCCGAGCTCGCATCTCTGCGAGACTGAGGCGAGGCTCAAGCTGTACCGACGGACGCGGACTAGGCGAAATCGAAGAATGCGACTCGGGCTGCGCTGCGGAGCGCGGCTCAAATTGCGCGGACATCCGCCGCGAGGTGCGGAAAAGGGCTACTGGTACGCGATCGGGGTCGTCCACAAGGGTCGCATCGGTACTGCAAGTCTGCGACGACGAGTGACTGCCGATGGAGGTGCGCCTAGGGCCGCGAGCTGTAGAGGTCGCTTCCTACATAAATCATTCAGGACAATGGATGGCGAAGTGTCGCGCTCTTTCGCACCTGTTCCTTCCTACGAGATACTATCGAGCGCGCAAGGGTGCTGACCCTGCGCTTCAAAGTAGAAACCAGGGTCGTTGTGGTTGACGACGGGGCCACATCAGAGGCGAAGTGCCCAGGAGTTGGCATAATATACATGATGGCGCTCCTTGGGGATGGGGGTTGCGAGGCTGGAGAACCAGTAGATATATGTACGCAGGGGAAGCGAGTTTAGAAGTGCCACGCGGAACAGAATAAAGCGTCGGTGGTGTCTGGGAGGATTTTGCCGGTACCATAGGATGTCACAGGACTAGCGGGAGTCGGGACCTTGTCGAAACCGTCGCTTGAGCGACTGAAGTTCCCATTCATGCTGTCGTTTAGGCGCGATGATATCCGTCATTAGAGGAGCAGAAGTTTGGCCATGGGTCTTGTATGTCAGCCACAGATGCAACTGAAGGTGTGAGAAGAGGTTCAATGCCTTCTTTATGGGGAGCCCAGGAGAAGAATTGGTACCCGTCCGCAGGTTCGGAAGTCAAGGCGCTAGACAGGTAGAGAGGAAGTGGAAGTGAGCCTGTCAAGATCTGGTGATCGCAGCCGAAGTGGCGTTGCCACAAAAGAGCAACTGAACATAGGTATCTTCATAGTGTCATTGAGCTAACCTTCCTAGTAAATTGTGCAAGTTGATATATACCTGAGCGCCAAGTCGTCAATATCACCCTTCATGAGGGCGACTGCTGGGAGGGATCAAGTCCTCAACTGAAAGTCGTTGACCGGTAGGTGGCCATGGGCAATAGCAAGAGCAGGAAAATGCAGACAGTCAGCCAGCCTACGCAGGCGCTAGATATATTGTAGAGTATGATGGAGGAGGATATCGTGCGTCGTGATGAAAGTTCGAGACAAGTTCGCTACGATCACATGTTTATACGTCCCTTGTTCTGAACCACCATGTCTGCATTGCTATCCGCCTGGAATATCGGGCGGACGCAATTGCTCTTGCGAAATCACCAAGACATATCTTCTCGATGTCGCCGTTGGTTGTCAACGACGACCCTGCACCCGTCCATAAGCGGCTTTGCAACACGCCTATGCGAGAAGCAGCCTGTATTCGCGGTTCCCCCGAGCAAGATCAAGGTCCTGTCGCAGCCCAAGGACTTCTACGCCCTCCTACTGGTGCGCTGGAACGTGATCAGCGAACATGCGCTTTCTACTGACGCGTCAGACCAGAACATGATCCAACACGCGGAGAGACGCGTTTTCCTCTCATCTCTGTACATTGGTTCGGAGGAAAAGGAACTTGTGCGTGTGCTGCCCAGCTCTCTGTCTGAACGCTCAACAACTGCTAGCTAGCCAGTCTGAAAGATGCGCTGCACAAGAAACCTCTACTTCACGTTTACCTCCAGCTCGACCTCAATAGGTCGACGCGCCCAGGAGCTTCAACTGCACAGCTCCTTCAACCTTTGCTAGAGCAGTACCCAGAAAGGGTCCACGTATCGCTCTTCAGGAGTCCGCACCTTCGCGGAGTACTCGCTAAGGTGGTTCCCCCAAGGTTCAACGAAGGATGGGGGACATGGCACGCTAAGGTCTACGGCGCAGACGACGACGTGATGATTAGCGGGTGCGTTGTCATGCCTCCAACTGCTTCCAACCCACTCACCCGACGCGTTCTATAGAGCTAATTTGAACAAGTCCTACTTCACCAACCGTCAAGACCGCTACATCCACTTCTCCGCCCAGCCGCACGTCGCGGAGTACTGCTTCGACTTCCTCCAGACCGTCTCCTCCTTCTCCTTCAAGCTCCTGCCGCGCTCCTCTACTATCCGCACCTCCGAGCACCCGCACTCGATCGGCGACTCACTCCTCTGGCCGGACGCATCCACGCACCCTCACCATATCCACCACAAAGCCCAGCTCGCATTGACGACCCTTCAAGAGACATATCGTCACCGACCGGTCGCAAGCGACGACAGCACGCCGCAGGTCCTGATCTTCCCTGTCATTCAGGCGGGGCAGTTTGGCGTGCGCGAGGAGGAGAATGCGCTAGCGCTACTATTCAAGCATCTGCATACATATGGTGGCGAATCAGGCCAGCGGCCGCTTGTCGACTTGACGAGCGGGTACTTTGGTCTGTATAGGCCATATCAGGAGCTCATTCTGGCTAGCAAGAACGTCGACGCCAGCATTATCGCTGCAAGTCCAAAAGTAGGTCCCGCGTGGGGTGCGCAGGACGGTTTCTGACAGTACAATTCAGGCAAACGGATTCTATGGGTCGAGGGGTATATCGGGTCGGATACCAGAGGGCTACACGCTCTTAGAGCAGCGGTTCATGCGTGCTGTTCGTCAGGCTGGTCGGCAAGCGGACGTCCGGCTCCACGAATGGCATAGAGAAGGGTGGACATACCACGCTAAAGGTACGACTCCTTGCATGGTTGTTAAGCTAGTACATCGACCTAAGACGGCGACAGGAATCTGGGTATCTCCCAGCCCTACCGAGCCACCGGTCCTCACCCTCTTCGGATCCACAAACCTCAACTCCCGCTCGGCCCACATCGACACGGAATTGTCTTTTATCATGGTCATTCCGTCTGACGGCGACGCGAGCGCGTCCCAGCGGCCAACAGAGTCGGCGCCAAATAGGCAGCCCGATGCGCTCATGGACCTGCGGCGCCGCCTCGCAGAGGAGGTGCGCAACCTCCGTGCGCATGCTGGCCCGTGGCAAGGCGACAAGCGACACGTTCGTATCGGCACGAAGGCTATTGTCGGCGTCGTCGGCGGCATGTTGTAGCTTCCTTTGTGTAGCATGCTGTAACTCCGTGCCGTCGCCTGGTCATTCCACTTGCTCGTATAGCACCCCCTCCATCGCAATCATGGACAACCACCACTCAGATTACGCCACTCCTCACCGTGTAGCATAGGTATACATACTAGAAATACAGGGCAGATGAGAGTCCCGACACGTCGCGCTCTATGCGTCCGAACGTCGACTAGACTGGAGTACCACGTCAGCTACTGAAGTAGCTCGTTGTCGAACAGCTCTGCGGAGACTTGCTGCTGCCACATGCTCGCGTAGAGCCCGCCACGCCGCAAGAGTTCTTCGTGCGTGCCCTGCTCTACGACTTGGCCGTCCTTCAAGACGATGATGAGGTCTGGTGGGGGATGAGCGTGGAGACTGGAATGAAAGGATAGAGGTACCAACCAGCCTCGACGACTGTCCGCAACCGATGCGCGATGAACACGCTCGTCCGCGTCTTGTCAAGCAGTGTGCTGTTGATATTCCGCATTAGCTCTGCCTCCGTGTGTGCGTCTAGCGCTGAAGTCTGCAGTCATATCAGCAACAACGATGGGCACCAGATAACAACACCCCCCACTCACTGCCTCGTCAAAGAACAAGATCGGCGGGTCCTTCAGCATCACCCGCGCCACAGCCAGCCGCTGCTTCTCCCCACCGCTGATCATCAGCCCGCGCTCGCCGACCTTCGTCGCGTACCCGTGCGGCAGCTGCATGATCCGCTCATGCACGTTCGCCTTCCTTGCCGCCTCTACCACCTCCTCGTCCGTCGCGTCCAGCCGGCCGTAGCGCACGTTGTGCAGCACGTCCGCGTGGAACAAGGGCGTGTCCTGGGGCACTGCGCCGATCGCTTTCCTTAGGCTGTCTAAGTGCACGTCCCGGATCTCCTGCCCGTCGATGAAGATGCGCCCCGCGTCGGGCTCGTAGAACCGGTACAGCAGGCGGAAGATGGTGCTCTTCCCGCAGCCGGACGGCCCGACGAATGCGACCTTCTTCCCGCCCGGGATCGTGAAGGAGAGCCCGCGGAAGATGGGCCTTGCGGGGTCGTACGCGAAGTGCACGTTGTCGAAGCGGATCTCGCCTTTCGTGAGGTGCAGCGGCTTCGCGTTAGGGTTGGCGGGCGGCGGCGGGTGGTCCTCGCGGAGGCGGAAGAGGACCTCCATGTCGAGGAGGTTCTGGCGCATCTCGCGGTAGATGGTGCCGAGGAAGTTGAGCGGGAGGGAGAGCTGGTAGATGAGCTGGTTGACCATGACGAGGTCGCCGACGGTCATTTGGTCTGCGGGGGGTGTTAGGTGGGGCAGTCAGGGGTTAGGGAGGGGGACGTACGGCTGAGGACACCATCCGCGGCGAGCCACATTGCCATGGTCAGCGCGCCGGAGAAGATGACGTTCTGGCCCGAGTTCAAGAAGGCGAGGGACGTCGTAATCTTGATGGACGACTTTTCGTAGTCCGCCAGATGCTTGTCGTACATTGCGACTTCGTGCTTCTCGTTGTTGAAGTTCTGAGTTCTATGTCAGCGCAGGTCTGCCATCGACACGAATCCAGTCTACCTTGACAGCTTCGTAGTTGATCAGCGAGTCCACGGCGACGGAGGCGGCCTTGTTGTCCGCCTTGTTCGCGTCTCGGCGGAACCGCGTCCTCCAAGAAGTCGTCCGAATCGTGAACCAGGTGTAAGCGCCCAAGGCAGCTGCCGTGATGATGGCGAAGTCCCAGCCGAACTTGTAGGTCTGGGATGGTGCTTCAATCACTATTGAGGTCGACGAGGGGTGAGGAATGAGTTGCTACTCACCAGTATACCGCACACCATGGAGATCTCGAGTGCCGTCGGTGCTATACGGAATAGGATCGCCTGCAGCAGGAAGGTGATGCCCCTGGCGTGCGTCAGTACCATCCCGGTCGCACCATCGCGGTCCACTCACTTCGTCCCACGGTCGATGGCGCGCGTGAGCCCGCCCGTCTGCCGCGCGAGGTGAAAGCGCATGTCCATATTGAGCAGGTGCTCGAACGTCTCCCGCGCGAGCTTGCGCACCGCGCGCTGCCCGATGTGCGCGAACACAGCGTTCAGCAGCTCGCCAAAGACGTTAGCGCCGATGCGCGCGGCGCCATCTGGGTGACAAAGTCAGTGATCGGTGGCGTGCTTGCGGCGGTACGCGCGATGGGCTCACAGCCGACTATGAGGGTGCCCGCGACGGCCCAGACGGTGGTCTCCACGGGGAGGTCGACGTTGAGGGTGTCCACGATCTCCTTGAAGATTAGGGGGACTTGCACGTTGAGGAGCTGCGCGGGGGAGGTCAGAGAGGCGGTTCAGAGGCGGAGTGGTCAGCACGCACCTTGCCCCCAATGAGCAAGCCAAAGCCCAGAACCACGATCCCTCGCGTCTTCCAGTCTCCCTTCGGCCATACGTGCTGTATGAGCTGCTTGACGATCTTCCAGTCCGTCCTTCTCTGCTCAGCCGCTGAAGGATGATCGCCGGGAGCTGGTTTGGGTACGGCTACTGGTGTCGTTGGTTTCGCGCCTTCCGATGGCGGCGCTGGTGCAGGAGTCTTTTCCCCGGGAGGTGGCTGCTTCCCAGCAAGATGCTGGTACGTCCTGAACCCAGAATCAGGACGGTGGCGAGGAGGGAACGCGCGGGGTATCTGACACGCGCGTCGGATCGGCGACGCGCGCAGTGAGCTGGATATTGGCAGGCTCCTGAGGCCTGCCTTGAGAAGGGACATGGGGGTCCTTGTCAAGTCGTGCTAGAGCCAATGGGTGAGCATGAGCATGAGGTAGGCGCCGAAGTCGCAAGGACATTGATGCGCCGAGTACTAAAGATGACGTGCTTCGGCAGAGTTATCTAATCGCGATTAGATGCCGTCCGTGCGTCTGACCAGCGCTGCGAGCCCGCTCAGCCAGGACCGTCGTGAAGGCAGACGCTGTCGTACGTCAGGCTACTTCCTCCTTCATCCACGCGCCAGCCCCTCAGCGAGACGCCGTCGGTACCGACGCGTCGGACGCGCCCTCCTACACGCGCCGCCTGCCCTGCAACCACGCGAATGGCAGGCGGCGGACGCGCGTCGCCCCCGTCGTAGCGCGTACCTACGTAGATCCAATGAGAATGCGAATCCATTTCGTTGTCCGTGCTACGAGCACACGTCGTGGGCCACAGCGACAACGACCGCCGATCGCGTTCCGCCCGCCGTCCCATCGCGCACGATCTCCCCCGCCGTCAAGTCCCCCTCCCTCGATTCCTCTTCAACTCAACAAATTTCCATTCGCATGCCTAGCCTACGATACTATCTACACCTATCGCCCTACTACCGACTACTACCCGCCTCACCGCTTCCTGCCGTCGGAGCAAGGGGATCTCCCACCCTGCCGCTCCCTCGCTCCCGACCGGCTCCCACCCCTTCACCCCCTACCTTCCCCTCCCCACCTTAACTCCCCCTCGATGTTTACGGCCCCCTCCCCCTTCTCGCTCCACACCTCACCTCCCCTTCGCTTTTCACATGTACCGCCCCCGCCCCCACTCCCTACCTTCCCCGCCCCCTCTCCCTACTCCTCGCTCCCCCACCTCCCTTTGTCAAAGGACCCAGCCGCCCTGACTTCGTGAGACAGATGAGTATGGGGGGCGGGAGAAAGACGTGACGCGGGGAGATTCTTGCTCCCCTTTCTCCCCTCCCCCTTCGCCCCGAATCTCGTCCCCCTTCATCATTAATCTCCTCCCCCCTTCGTCCTGCATCTCCTCCCCCTCCTCCCCCTTCGTCTTCGTGGCGCGATAGATTTCGCACCGTCGTGATCTGTGTGTCATTAGTGCGAGAAAAGGAAGAAGCGAGGAGGGAACGAAGGGGGGGGGGAATGAGAAAGAGGCAGGGGAGGGGAGGGGAGGGGGAGAGCGGGAGGGGGAGGGGGAGAACGAACGAAAGGGAGGGAGACGGTGAGAGATGGGGAGTTGGAAGGAAAGAAGGGGCGAAGGGAGGAAGAGGCGAGGTGAGGTGAGGTAGAGGACATGGGAATGAAGGGGAGGCGAAGGGAATGGGGGGAGGCGAAGGGGAGCGGGGAAGGAAGGAGCGACGCGAAGGCGAGGGGGTAGAACAAAAGGAAGGGGGTGGGAGGGGGCGAGGCGAGGCGAAGGGGAGGGGCGAAGCGAAATGGAAGGGGAAGGGAAATGAGGAGGGGAGGGACGCGAAGGAGGGGATGCGAAAGATAGCTAATGAGCAAAGAGGAAGAAGGAGGAAGGGGGGAGGGGGGAAGGAGGTATAGAACAAGACGAGAAGGAGAGATGTGGGGGACGGAAGAGGCGATAGGCGGGAGACTCACTGGAGATGATGTAAAGTGCTCGTCTTGACGAAGCACATCTTGGCCGATGTGGGTGGGGCGTGGTAAGGTGCGATGGGCTCGGATGGCGCGGAAGGGGGCGCATGGGGTGGGCGGCGCGAAAGAGGGCGCCTGAAGACGTCGTCGTCGAAAACCTGCGAGGGGATGGGCATCGAGACGAAGGTCATAAGTAGGAAGACAAAGCGCACCTTGTTCGTCGCCCCCACGTCGAAGGGGGAGGGTGGGAGGGTCGAGGACATCGCTTACAGGTTGCTAACATCTGGCTCAACTCGTTGTACACCTCCCACGTCAGAAAGCGCGAGAGCGGGATTAGGGTTAACGACGCGCCGCGCCGCATACCGGCATAGTCTCCCCCTCCTTCGTTCGTGGGGGCGGGTAAGCGGGGGGCATAGTCTTCCCTGTCGTGAAGACGGCGTTCGTGACGAGGGCGTGGGGACGGCCGGCGTGAGAGCGGGGAGGCGGGGGCATCCGGCGTGAGGGTGCGTGCGCGCCAGCATAGTCTCCCCCTTCTCCAGACGTGGGGACAACTTGAATGGGGGTGAAAGCGCGTGCGGTATGGTCCCCCTATCACGACGCCGTTCCCGCAGAGTCCGGATAGGGAGGTGCGTGGGCTGGGAGCCAGCGAGTCAAGGTCAGTTGCGACGCGTACGGACGACGTGGACGATGCTTACTGCCTCCATTCCATGCCTTCGCGAGCATCTCACTTGCGCCGGAAACGCGCCCTCGCTCCCCATCGCGCCGGCGACGTTTCCCCGACTCCTCGCATCTACCGTGGCCTTCCGGTGCTCGTCCCCGCATCCCACGAGCGTCTACCGACACTATCCACTCCTCAAAAAATCCCTCTCACGCATGGCATAGTTTCGCATCGACAGCGTTCCCCGATCCGTCGGCGGCGTTTTCGCAACAACTCTCCGCGTGCTCGCGCCTCTTCGCGGCCGCGAGCGCCTGTCGCCCCGTGCGCGTGCACTCGCCCTCGTCATCTACAGCACCACGAAGCGGTCAGCAAGAGCCCCACCTTGCGAGAACGGCACGTACCTCGACAGCCGCTCGTTCCTCAGAAGCCGCGCGTTCCTTTGAAGCCGCGCGTTCCCCAATAGCCGCATCCCTCATCCGTGGGACCGCGCGCATGCCTCCGGCGGTTCGGGGGTTACACAAAAACGCTGTATAGTGCGTCAGTCGGCGATTCCTGAATGAGGTGGAAATTCGAGCGAAATCCTCGAGTTGAGGGGGCGTGGCCTCGCCTGGTTCAAGCGGGCGTGGTCTCTCCCCATTCTAGGAGGCGCATACTCGCCCGATTTAAGGAGCACAAACTCACCTCAATGACCCCGAGAACCTGACCAGGTAGGTCAAGGGTGCCCTATAGAGCACCGTGATGGTCTTTGAGGGCGTCCAGAACCTGAAGGTGGACATGAAGCGGTTAGCGACGTCTCAACCGACAGAGGGAAGTACGTACTGTGAAATCACATACCTCATCCCAGGGGCCCCGCGCATGCCTCCGGTGGTTTGAGGGGGTCGCGAATTGCCGCTGAATAAAGAGTCAGTAAGCGATCCTCGTAGCTTTACTTTACTCGTACCCCAATGACCCCGAGAACCTGGTTAAGAATGTCGAGTTGAGTTTCCTGGCCTGCGCGTCTGAGATCTGTTTATGTGCACACACGCGCTGTCAGCCAAAGATTGGGATGGTAAGGGGAGACATATTCCTCACCTTAGGAAACCCGCGCAGGCCTCCGGCGGTCTGGGGTCATGCAAAATCGACGGATAAGGCTGTATATCCCGTCGTCGCATCGCACTTGCAGCGAGCGCCTCTCGCATGCTTCGTGACCACTGCTTCAGCGGCATCCGTGGAGGGGTTGGGGTGAAGGGTCATCTTCAATGGGTGGAGGATTTCAACGGCCGCGCACGCGGGCTCTTGACGATCGCGTAGGATTGCTGGGTAGACGCAGATCTAGGCAAAGATCGGGTCAGTAAATGAACTATCGTGAGGCTTGATGTCGACGCACCTGTGATCATCGAGCTCTCCTCCAGTCAATCCCATCGCCGGAGCAGTCGCCCAAAAGACGTCGATGCGCTGCGCACTCGACGACGTCGGTTCGTCCTGCAAATCAGTAAGGACGAGACGAAGGACTGCACAGACATAGACTTACCTCTGAAACAGCGAACGAGCGAGCATAAGTAGCCAAGCCAGCGTCGCCCGTCTGCGCACTGGCGAAATTGCGGGCGTGGTGGTGGTGGGAAGTAAGAGAGGTTAGTAGTGACACGTGTGGTGACGAACTGAATAGACTTACGGAATGCGTGACGGCGGCCATCGCTGGCTTGTTGGTCGACGAGGTAAAGCGCATCAGTAGGCAGTGATATACGATAGGCTTGCGTCGTCGGGGGAAGGAAGCGGGTGGCAAGAGTGGGCAAGATTAATGCAGAGCGAGTCGATTGACTTACCGACCCAGTAGTCGCCTTGCCGACGTCTTCGAAGTCTTCAGTAAAAGGTGGATAGAATGCAAATGAGGGAGAAACATATTGAGGAGGTTGTCGATGGAGAGGTCAACCGTCAGCAGCGAGCCAGAAAGCAGAGAAAGTGAACAAACTTACAATACTGTGAAGCGCTCAAATACTATCTCTCGGGGGTCCCTGTACAAGGACAGGTCAGCAAGGCGCTCGGTGGTAGCGTAGGGAAGCGCGGGCTACCTTGCAGCGTTAGGAACTCAAGCCGAATGCTAGGAATATCAGGATCAGCAGAGGGTTGCGATTCGAGAATGCCCTCTTACCTGTGCCAGTGGGGTCGCTCGACTAGAGCGTAAAACCAGGAGAATAGAATATAGAGCACCCATTACGAAGCCGTTATTGAGAATGAAGCAACGCTGAGAGACGACGAAACGAAATAGTGACTCAAGGGCGATGCAATGCAGACCCGGTAAAGTCGTGGACATGCGCTTCGTCAAGAGAATCAGAAGGAGCGCATAAGACGAGAAAGTAGTGAGAGTGAGGAGAGAGGTTGAGTAGTGAAGGAAGGAGAGAGTACAGTAGAAGAGAGGAGATGGAGGCAGAGGAGGGAGGGGAAGTGAGGAATGCAATCGACTCACCACGCTCTTTATACCAATCCGAGGGGCGCACGGACTCTGTCATCCTCGCCGGGCTTTCCCCTTGATGCCCCACCGCCGCGCTAAGCAGTTTCGCTCCATTGTCAGCCGGATATTCCTTGCCGCCTCGCCCTTGTCCTGCTCAGCCCCAGCGGCCCATATTCCGAGCTTCTCTTCGAAATCCAGGAGTCCGCGCTCAGGAGTCGCCGTGTTTCGATCATTACACATGATCAGACCCTGAGTGATCGATGCTTAGAAAACGGCTCCGCGCCAGTGGAAGTTCTGAGGCGAGGCAAGGCGGTAGGAGCGGAGGTAGCAAACAAAGTATCCGGATGTTGGGGAGGGGAAGGACGACAGGGGGGTTAATCGTCCGAGTTGAGTGGATAGGGGCTGGGTGAACTCGAGCCCTCAGACGCCGAGGTGAATGCGGTGCTGCCCAGCAAAGTCGGGAGCGCGTCACCCGGCGTATAACGCGATTTACGAGAGATGACTGGCGAGGCAGGGTGCCAGACCTCTTGAGAAAGGTCGCCATATCGTCCCCACTCACATGGTGTGCGCCTCTTGTTTTTGAGAGACGGTGAACAGAAACGTTAGGCAGCGTCGTGACGGTCGAAAGTGAGTTTGCCGCATAAGGCAGGCTTTCAGCCACCCGCGAGAACGAGCGCGAAAAGCCCGGCCGACTTTGTCTCACGGGCCGCTGAGGCGTCCGGTGTACCTAAGCTACTCGTCGACTCAATGTGAACGACGTGCGCCGTGCAATAATACAGGCATGGTGCAAAGTACGCTATTTTGCGGCATTAGCTCGAATTCCAAAGTTCAGCTGGAGCCGCTTACCTGCATCAAAGTTCCGCCGATGTGTGTTTCCCCGAAGCTCCGTGTCTCTTTGATTTGGAGCTCAAATGTTATAGTCGAGCGGTGGAAGAATGGTGTCGGGGCGGAATCTGGCTGCATGTCAATAAAGCGTACATCCCATTGTCCTAGGGCGCTCGGCAATAGCGGGGACGATGCTTCTATGGACGGGATTACTTACCGTCGACCTCAGGGCGCGCGCCACGGTGAGACTGCGAAGCGGTCTGCCGTGAGCCGAACGGGGAACTCACGCGCTGCTGAGCTGGTTCCGTTCCCTCGTTCGAAGTCAGGACTCGTCTGACCCTCATCACAGTCACATTAAGCTTTACTCACGTTCCTTACAGGTCAGGAGTGCTGCTCAGGCGGCAGGCCAACATTGGCACTTCCGACCCGCACGTCTGATTCCCGCCGGCTCGGTACCTAGGCCGCTGGGGTCTATGACACCAGCTCGGGGCAAAGTCTTTGTGACTTCTGTGAGGGTGAGTACCTGCTTGTACCTTCCTCATTCTGGTCCCTGGCTTGTCTTCCTCTCGCGGTGCGGTCTTCGTCCCTGCGGTGGCTTATCTGATCTCATCTCAACGCGAGGGAAACTGCGCGAGTCGGTGGATTTTGCTGATCTCATGGTGTATCTGGTACGGATGGGTGTCGATATGGTCATAGGAGTGGTATGTATGCGTATCTAGGGTGTTGGTGTCGTAGGTGGCCGGGGGATGGTGGTGGACGCATGAGGCAAGAGTCGTGTCTGACGTCCCGCGCCGGATTCGAACGCAGCGGCTCACCGGCGCGGCTCCCGGTGGCTGCTGATGTCGCCGCCAACGCGATGAGCGTCTTGCTTCTGACCGTCGTGCGCGACGCCGCACCTTCGGGGATGGATTCAGGGTGTCCAGTATGCTGTCTGCTATGCTTCTCTAGCCACAGACGCATGATCCACACAGGCTTCATCTTCGTATCTGCCTTTCTTATGGCTCACGAGTTGCTCATCAGCTGAGCTCATCCTCATCGTTCGTCAAAGCTCAACAGACTCGCATCCTACTCTCCAATACGCTTCTACACTTTGTAGACTACAGGGCAATACTCTGTAACACTACTGGATATCTGGATCACATGTTCTTCCATGAGTTACGAGTCTCGAGTCTCTGCGAGCAGCCTACATACTCGAGCTTGCTGTAAGAAACTCCACCGCTGGAAAATTCAGCCGAGCGCCCCACGGCGTAGAGCGCCCGAACAGGAAGGTCCTGTAGGCGGACACAAATGCTGAGTTGATGGGTTCTTTCTCAGGGTCCTGCGCCACTGACAGGGATCACGGCACTTGCCATATGTTTTGTCACATTGTCACCTCCGTCATTTTACTTTCTGTCCTCCGTCTACCTGCTTCCTACCTCCGTCCACCTCCGTACTCACCATCTCTGCTTCTTTCTACCCTCTACTACGCTTTGCTCATCCATGGCACTCTCGACAACAACCTGTAAGCATAGTCAGCATCTGCCTTTGGGCAAGTTCAGCAAGAGGACAAGGACGACACCTTTGTGCTCACAAGCACAGAGTGCCTGCGAGCACTGACCCCGAGGAAGCATAGGGCAAGAGCGGACCAGGGACGAGGATGGCGAGGACGAGCGAGCGAGCAGGATGAGCACAAAGCCGGTGGCGAGCCGGAGAGGACAGCGAGGAGCCTAACAGAGTCAGATGGGACCACGGTGCGTGCTTACTCACCTGTGAAGCAGCACACGCTGATTGCCACATAAATGTGGCGCTTTTCCCCGTGCGAGTGAAGGACGGCAACCTATGACAGACACGATGAGCTCACAATAGTCTCACACATGCTCGGTGGACAATGACAGCGCCTTCAGCAACCTCAATGACCCCGAGCACAAGATGTGTAGTCTATCAAACAATTGAATTTCTATTTACTCACAAATCGTATAGACTACACTCTGTACTCCGCGGAATCGGTCAACTCCATGGCTGAGCTCGGCAGCTCAAGCTCGCACGACTGCGGCGGGCCGAATTCCCGCAACGCGGCGGACGATCTGGGGATCAGCGACGTAAGGTGCGTGTCGAGTCCCTGCGAGCGAGCCACGCTAACTGTCCGATAGACAGCATGGTCGGGCATGGGCACCGCTTTCAGCAACCTCAATGACGAGATCCGAGGTCGTCGAGTCGCAAGCTTGAGGCGAGCGCAACGTCGACGAGAACAGACCTGAAGATCAGGTCATCGCGCGCTCGAAGTCGCGGAAGCCCGAGCGCAGACGCGTCGCGTGGTGAGTTCGAGCTCACCAGGGGACGCGTCCGAGTCCGGACCGCCGCGAGGCCGAGTGCGCGCCGTCCGACAAGCGAGAGGGCAGCGAAGGTGAGCCTAAGCTCATCACGATGCCCTTGAGCTGATCCCCGCTTTACCAGCCCGGCTGCAACATCCCCGAACTCACGGTGACCTCCCCGAGTCCCCGACAACCTCCCAGAGCCCCCGGCGATCTCTCCAAGTCCCCGACAACTTTCCCGAGTTCAGTACGACCTCTCCGGGCTCAAGTCGATGTCTCCGCGCTCACTACGACTTCCCAGCCGCCGCACGACCTCCCCACCCCCACCTCGTTCAATGCCAGCCACCGCAGCCTCCCAAACCCCATGCAACACCTCCGAGGACTGCACGAGCATCTTGAGGAGGGGCCGCCACCTCCACCTCGTCCATCGCACCTTCGCTCCGCCCTTCCCAACCCGACGGCGGGGGAGCCCGCGTTCACGCATGCAAAAGTCTAACCGAGCGGCTCACCCAGGTACTTACACCTTCAAGCTGTCAATCGCGTTAGCTAACTTGTTTACAGGAGCAAACTCACCGTGTCGCCGTCACAACCTCAAGGACATGCCGAGGCGAACCCCATCAACGAGATGAGCAGCCCACAAACACGCCGTAATTACCGCCTCTCGCGCCTGTCGAGGGCAGATCGGCGGTGCACTCGTGCAGCAATAAGCTCGCGCATCGCGCCCCCTCTGGAATGGTTCGGTAAGTGACCACGCCTTCGCGAGCACAGAAGCTAATCTGCCCGCAGCCCACCCTGCCTCGCCTCCTCGCCCTTCCGCTTCCTCCCCCTCGCCTCCTGCCTGCTCTCGCTCCCACCCCACGCACGGGGCTCGGGAGGGAGGGAAGGGGGGAGGAGAGGGGGAGGGAGGGGAAGGGAAAGGAGGAGAGGAAGGGGAGGGAGAAGGAGGGGGGAGGGTTACTCACCAGAGCGGATCCAGCCCCGTCGCAGCGTCAAAACCCCAGAGCTTAACCGCTCGCTGCGCTCGCGGGAGTGCGCTGGCGCGCAGAGGGGGGATGGACCTCTGGCCCGCGCGAAAAAACGGTGTTTTCGGGGATTGCCGAACGGGCTCGAGGAGGGCGGGAGGGGGTCGGGTAGTGCCGTAGGGTAGGGCAATGCGAAGCGCGTGTGATCAAACCCAGCCGGACGGCCCGACGAACGCGACCTTCTTCCCGCCCGGGATCGTGAAGGAGAGGCCGCGGAAGATAGGCCTTGCGGGGTCGTACGCGAAGTGCACGTTGTCGAAGCGGATTTCACCTTTGGTTAGGTGCAAGGGTTTCGCGTTGGGGTTGGCGGGCGGCGGCGGGTGATCCTCGCGGAGGCGGAAGAGGACCTCCATGTCGAGGAGGTTCTGGCGCATCTCGCGGTAGATGGTGCCGAGGAAGTTGAGCGGGAGGGAAAGCTGGTAGATGAGCTGGTTGACCATGACGAGGTCACCGACGGTCATTTGGTCTGCGGGGGGTGGGGCGTCAGAGAGGGCAGTCAGGGTGAGGCAGAGGACATACGGCTGAGGACACCATCCGCGGCGAGCCACATTGCCATGGTCAGCGCGCCGGAGAAGATGACGTTCTGGCCCGAGTTCAGGAAGGCGAGGGACGTCGTAATCTTGATCGACGACTTTTCGTAGTCCGCCAGATGCTTGTCGTACATTGCGACTTCGTGCTTCTCGTTGTTGAAGTTCTGAAGTCCTATGTCAGCGCGGGTCTGCCATCAACACGAACCCAGTCTACCTTGACGGCTTCGTAGTTGATCAGCGAGTCCACAGCGACGGAGGCGGCCTTGTTGTCCGCCTTGTTCGCATCTCGGCGGAACCGCGTCCTCCAAGAAGTCGTCCGAATCGTGAACCAAGTATAAGCGCCCAAGGCAGCTGCCGTGATTATGGCGAAGTCCCAGCCAAACTTGTAGGTCTGGGATGGTGCTTCAATCACTATTGAGGTCGACGAGGGGTGAGGAATGAGTCGCTACTCACCAGTATACCGCACACCATGGAGATCTCGAGAGCTGTCGGCGCTATACGGAATAGGATCGCCTGCAGCAGGAAGGTGATGCCCCTGCGACGCGTCAGTACCGTCCCAGTCGCACCATCGCGGTCCTCTCACTTCGTCCCACGGTCGATGGCGCGCGTGAGCCCGCCCGTCTGCCGCGCGAGGTGGAAGCGCATGTCCATATTGAGCAGGTGCTCGAACGTCTCCCGCGCGAGCTTGCGCACCGCGCGCTGCCCGATGTGCGCGAAAACGGCATTCAGCAGCTCGCCGAAGACGTTCGCGCCGATGCGCGCCGCGCCATCTGGGTGACAAAGTCAGTGATCGGTGGCGTGCTTGCGGCGGTACGCGCGATGGGCTCACAGCCGACTATGAGGGTGCCCGCAACGGCCCAGACGGTAGTCTCCACGGGGAGGTCGACGTTGAGGGTGTCCACGATGTCCTTGAAGATGAGGGGGACTTGCACGTTGAGGAGCTGGGGGATGGAGTCAGCAGAGGGCGTCTGACGCGATGTCGTCGAGGACGCACCTTGCCGCCGATGAGCAGGCCAAAGCCCAGGACCACGATCCCTCGCGTCTTCCAGTCCCCCTTCGGCCAGACGTGCTGGACGAGCTGCTTGACGATCTTCCAGTCCGTTCTTCTCTGCTCGGCAGCGGAGACATCGTCGCTGCGATGCGGAGTTGGTTTGGCGGCAGGGACCGGCGCTTTCGCAACCTCCGGTGCGGCAGGGGTTGGCGCTGGCTTTCCTGAGGACGGAGGCTGTTTATCTGCAAGATGCTGATACCTCCTAGGCTTGGGGAAGGAGAGGAACGCGCGCGGTGCTCGATGCGCACATCTGAAGGTTGACGCGCGGATGGCGGGCAGACTTCTGAGTCCCGCCCTCAGTAAGGACATCGCAAAAGTGGTGGTCCAGGAAAAGGGCAGTCAGTCAATGCATGAGCATGAAGTAGGCGCCGAAGGCGCAAGGATATATCAGCAGGCTCAACGCGTGCGGAGGTACATGGCTGACGTCAGCAAACCCCACGCCACAGCGCTCACTATGTGCAACCCAGAATATGACCTCTCAAGTGGCATAAAGCACTTCTACGATAGCATCCACGCAGATTGTAAGCAAGTGAGATTCTCCTGCTATTGTACGATGCGATACGGTGCATTATGGCACGAACTTTCAACTTTAGCGCTCGCACGTGATTCAGTCTTCATCGAATTTGTGGCGATTGCGACTTTCGCTCAAGATATCGGCGTGTATAGCGACAGAGGAGGTCTGTCAAGTAAGGGATGGAAGAATATGACGAGTGAAATTGCTGTAGAGGTGTCGTACTTACTGAGCATATCCTTGTCAAGCCATTGCAGTTGGTTTTCTAAACAATGATCTTTATGCCGAAGGGCGACGCGCCTCGGCAGAGTAATCTAATCTCGATTAGATAACCTCCGATGATCCCCGCGTGTAATGGTGGAAATTCGCCTACTGTTCCTTGACCGCTACTGTGACGTGGACTGACAAACTCAGCTCGATGCATCCTCTTGCTAGTCCACGAAGCTTACCTAAGCCTCAAAGTCGGTGGGATACATTATGATAACTGCGGCAAGAATGGATATCTACTACTACGAGAGCTCTTCGTATGACAGCCTATCCTGGCACTCAGCGCGCAACTTGAGAAACTTGAAAATCGAAGCGGTAAGGTCCGCCCCTCTCCAGGGCCTGCAGTTCAACGTGAGCAACCAATCGTTGTGGCGTTACGCATCCCAACTCACCCTTCGATAGGCAGGTCTGCCGGGAATATCAGAATACGCGCATCTCACAAAAAATCATCGAACTCACCGCTTTTGCACTCTGTCAATGTAGGCGTCGATGCTGGGAGTCGACCATCCGCTCTCGCGGAACCATTCCAGGGGGTAGAACATCATATAATCCGCGACGGTCGGACCCTCGCCGCCCGCGAACCACTCGTTCTCGCTGAGGTGCTTGTCAATCTGCGGTAGCGATCAGTATGTTTGTAACACCCAACACATAGGACCAGCCTTACCAGAGCAATGCGCATCCTGATCGGCGGTTCGTAGAACCTCTGCGCCGCCTTCTCAAGGACATCGCTAAAAGCGGGTCGCTCCTCTTCGGGGGTCTGTCCCGGGATGATGAACGTGCAGTACGCGTGATTCACAACCAGGTGCATCAGCGATCCCTCCGCCGAATGAGAGTCTGGTAGACGAACTAGCGTTCAGCACTCGACTTCTCAAGAAGACTCAACGCACAATACAACTTGTCCGTCAGCGCCTTCCCCTCCGTCGGCAGGGTTATCTTGCCTTGACCGTATTTCCTGATGACGCATTCCATGATCGCACCGCTCTCCGGAAGTGTCAGGTCGCCGTCGGTGATGATAGGGGAACTCCCAAAGGGGTGGACGTCCTTGAGAGACTGGGGTGCGCCGAAGCCATCGCGCTCGTACCTCTTGACATCGTAGGGCACTTCAAGCTCTTCCTAAGAGAAGGTACGTCGTACACGCGCGCTGCGAGCGTTTCGAGTACTTACAAGAAGCCAGAGAATGCGCTGGGAGCGCGAATTGGCCAGGTGGTGAACGGTGAGGACCATGGCTTGTGATGCGCGTACGCGGTGAGTCTGTCGTGCATACAGTAGCCAGACCCTCTCCCATATATAGGGGAAAGAGACAGATATTCGAGACTCGTCATCCAAAGTCACCCGGCGAACAAGGACATCCACCAGCCGGGGCGCTTGCGCAATGGCTGCCGCCATACAGCAGGTAGGCTCTTCCTCCGCTAACATGTACAGTAAGCTTCTCTTCGCGCGACCTCAGCTCACCTGTCAGCACAGAATCGACCTATCACTCCGCGTGCGACCGGGGTACATAGACGCTGACAGAGAATCGGACTTGGGCAGACCCCATCACAGGCCCAGAGCTTGGGTCATCGTAACCTTAGGCGAATGCTCGAAGGTCGCACATGGAAGATTCTGCGCGCGGATTGCCTTCCTCGGCATGCACGAGCACGCGCAAGACAAGACGGGGACAATAACGCCAGGATGGTAGGAGGGCGAAGGGGTGTGGTGTAAAATCAGGACTCCGAATCTGTACGCGGTGCTACATTAATAAAGCTCTTTCGCTCATATTTGCCTTCTCCCGCTCATGCTCGTCTACGAAGAAGGTCTCGCAATTATCTCGCCACCGTTTGGTAATCGTACAGGTAAGGTCCGCCCCTTGCTATGGCCTGAACAAGGTTAGTCCACGATGTACGCCCACGTCAGATAGCTACTTACCCTTCGATAAGCAGGCCTCGTTTGCGCTCGGTCAATGTACGCGTCGATGTGTGGCGTCGACGATCCGCTCTGGCGCAGCAATTCCAGCGGGAAAATCATCATGTAGTCCGCAACGGTCGGCCCCTCGCCACCTGCGAACCACTTGTTCTTGCTCAAGTGCTCGTCGATCTGTGGCACAGCGGCGGCAGCGGTAAGCGTGACATCAACAGGCGGCACAGAGAATGAGACTTTCCAGAGCAACGCGTATCTTTATCGGCGGCTCGTACAGCGTCTGTGCGACCTTTCCTAGGACGTCGGTCACGACTGGGCGCTCCTCCTCTGGCGTCTGCCCCGGGATTATACGCGTGCAGAAGACCTTGTTAACGATTAGCGGCATCAGTGATGCCTCCGCGGAATGGGAGTCTGCATGTAGGTGAGTGTCCGCTTCGAAAAATTCGAGGACCGTTTGAACATGTGCTTGAGGAGGGCTGCGCTTTCTTTCGTGCAATTCTCAAGAAGGAATGCAACTCACAGTACAGCTCATCCGCCAGCGCCTTACCCTCAGTAGGCAGGGTAATCCTCCCCTGCCCGTATTTCCTGATAATATAGTCGATGATGGCGCCGCTTTCCGGAAGTGTCAAGTCTCCGTCCGTGATGATAGGAGACTTTCCGAGGGGGTGGACGGCCTTGAGAGATGAAGGTGCGCCCCAGCCGACGCGCTCGTAGATCTTCACTTCGTATGGTACCTCGAGCTCTTCCTATGGACAAGTAGGTGAGTCGCTTCAATGGTACACTATGACTCTACTGACAAGAAGCCACAGAATGCGCTGCGAGCGCGACGCGACTAGGTGGTGGACAGTGAGAACCATGGTGGACAGCTTTTAGGAGTGATATTGCTGACCTAGTAAAGAGAGAAAAAAACTGGCGCCTTTATATAGGGGAAAGAGACAGACATTTGAAACCCGTTATCCAGAGTCATCCCGCCACATCCGCCAGCCGGGCGCTTGCGCAATGGTTGCCGCTATACAACGCTCTATCGTCCTCCACTCAACACGGAATGTCTACCGTTGGTCCCCTTCACCCACAACACCATCTACCACACTCAGCTCGCGTGCCACTCGGACCTCGCGCGAACCACAGAAAGTCGAACTTACATCACGTGGCCGTGGGCGAATGCTCGGCAACGCGGATGGACACCTTCGTGACCGACCACCATGACGCGGCGAGGACGGCAGCGCGCACGACAGTGAGAAGGTAAACTGCTGGCTCCTTACTGGGCCCTTCCGGGTACGACAGGTTACAAGAGAAAGAGCACATCACCGTCTCCGCTTCAGGGATCTTTCGAGCTCCTCATCAAGCTTTCGCTCCACGTAGGACGCTCACATCGCTGAAGTTGCTTCTCATGTTCTTCCGAGGACCGTCTTCTACCTGGACCACCACTCGACAGCATGGGGCTTTTCTGCTTGGCGTTGTACACACTCAGTCATATTACGGCGGCGTCAACAACAAACGTATTCGCTCCTCCCTTACCCGCTCAGATGCAGAAATATAACAACCATCGCTGACCAACTATCTTACGCGGCTCTCCCTAAGTCTGGCCACATTGCTGCCTCAGCGCCGGGTCTATCCCCACCTCGGAAAGTCGGTGAGGCACATGAAGGCCGCCCCAGCTCAGTCAGGCCGCACTTGCCTCTGACGACAATCCCCCGAAGCTCGCCAGAAGCCAGTACATGGGGTTCTCTTGACCAACTGCCGCGTCTCCCATCCCTCCGGCGGACCGAGATTACGAACTGACAGTGTAGCATCGTTACTTCTTCCCAACCCGAGCCCTATGACGAAGATCCCTTCCGAAGCCCAAAGCTCGTACATACACGGGCTCACCGACTCCGAGATGACTTACCGAACCCGAGGCATTTCGAAGGTGTCTTTTATAAGGACCTCATCTCACCGTGCTCTTCATCCAATCGACCAAGCTCCCACTTCACCATGACCACCCCGCCCACCACCAAAACTACCACTACCTCCCGCGGGTACAAGTACACCTACCTCTTCTCCCCAACCCAACCGGGAAAGCCCACGCTCTTCCTCATCCACGGCTTCCCGTCGACCGCGCACGACTGGCGTTTCCAGATCCCGTACTTCACAGCGAGGGGTTATGGGATCATCGCCCCGGACATGCTCGCTTACGGCGAGACGGACAAACCCGTAGAGCCAGAGGCGTACGCTGGGTCGAAGCTCGCTAGGGATATGGTGGACATTGTCGAGCATGAGAAAGCAGGGAGGGTAATCGCGGTGGGCCATGATTGGTGAGTTCGGCTCAAACGGTTGGCGTAGTGGGACGAGGGGCGTTGGCGGGCTTGGAATGACCTCCTCGCCGCAATACGGAATACATGCTAAGGCGCGCACCCAGGGGCTCGCTGCCGACGTCCTATCTCGCTGCGCTCCATCAAGAGCGTTTCGCAGGATTCGTGCTCCTTGCTGTCGGCTTCCAGCTCATGAGAGGCTTCAATTTCGAGACGGTGACGGCGTATCTGAAGCAGATTTTTGGGACTGAGATCTACGGGTGAGTGACGTTCCTTCGTCATAAGTATTTTTTTTTCTCTTTAGATGATGCATCAACATGTATAATTTGTCCCAGCGTCTAACCCACGTCTGCAGGTACTGGAACTTCTTCAACAAGGAAGACGCGGCCGGCATCGTCGAAAAGAACGTGAGCTCCGACTTCTCAAGCGCAAAGTCTCTTTCATACTTCCCACTAACCGACCTCCCAGCTCGACTCCCTCCTCGACCTCCTCTACGTCAAGGATCACGAGCTCTGGAAGACGGTTCTGAACCCTCTCCGTGCCATCGACACGTTCATCTCCGAAGGCAAGCGGACGCCCGCGGCAGAGTATCTTACAGAGGAGGTGCGTTGTACCGTCGTCGCATTCTTTCATGTTTACTCATCGAAGCTCACAGGACCGCTCCATCCTGCACACCTCGCTCGCCAAGGGTGGCCTCACCGCGCCGCTGAACTACTACAAGGTCACCTACCGCGGGTTGCACGACACCGACAACCTTGGCCCCCTCACCGACGTCAGGGTCAAGAAACCCGTTCTCTATATCGGTGGGACAAGGGACTACGTCTGCCGCATCGAGATGCAGGAGCCAGATCTGAAGAAGTACTGCGAGGACGCGCGGATCGAGGTGCTGGAGACGGGGCATTGGGTGCATATGGAGGCGGCGGAGCGGGTGAATGCGACGATTGAGGCATGGGCGGGGGAGAAGGGGTTGGTGGGGGTGTAGACGAGGCGTCATTATAGTGAGGAAGAGAAAAAAATATGAACATGCGCGTCATGGCCATCTAAATTTTGTACTAATAGTACTAGTAGGCGATATGATCAGCGCGCATACAACATCGTCACAGTCGACAGGCGCATCATCAAGTACATGGCCGACAACGAACAGCGTCGATGGGAAAACCGACAACGTGCTTCATCGAAGAGAGCCGACAACATGCGCCATCGAGTCCAGGGCCGACAACATGCTCCCCCGACGTTGCCTGCTCCGCGGACGCCGAGGCAAAGTCCGGCAGGCAAAGGGCACTGCTCCGCGCGCGTTGACTGCAGGTACGATATTCGCGTCACTTTCGCCATACGTCGATGCCTGAACACGGACGAAGGACCTGCACATTAAAGGCCGAAGAAGGCCTTGATGCATGGCCGACGAAGAGCCTGCACAAACATTGTCGTTGATGGACCTGCACATCCACGATGAGTGCACGTACGGCATCCACAGCGAAGCGTCCATCAGGTGTTCATATAGACACACGGCACGGCCTCCACGATGAGTGCACGAACGATATCCACGATCGAGTGCACGGCCTCCACGGGCGCCTATCGCGCTGATCAGCGACGAATAGGCGCCTGACGAAAGGGGAAGTCAATCCAGGTCCCCGCGGCCGGCGACTTCCTTCTTGCTTCTTGCACTGGATTGACCGAATTAGCCCTAGTTCAGGACCGACGAGAATGCCTGCCTGGCCATTGGACGCCGAAGAGTTGGCGGGGCGGTGTAGATCAAGAGGTTTCCTATACAGAGGCCGCGATACTAGCCATATACGGCCTGCGCTGCTAGTACGGTTGTCGGTACGAGTATGCGTGGTGTACGGTCGGTGACCAGTGCAGATACTGAAGATAGAAGATCGTGCAGATGCGTGCGTATTCATTAGATGAGAGCGTACTCGTATCGATCTGGCCAGGCCGAGTGTCGGCTGTGGAGAAGGAGAGCGAGATCGTGGGCGGAGGGTTAAAGGTATAGAAGGCTTGTGCGCGATTCGTGAAGGCGGTGATTCCCGAAGTCCAGGGAGATCAGCTGAGGGTCAAGAACAAGGATACTTCCCGAACTAGAGCGATAGATTCCTTTATTAAGGGTGGGCATGAAAACACTGGCGGTGTCTTCTCTATCTTCCGTGGCGGCGGCGCGAAGGATGGTAGGCCGTAAGTCGAGGGCGGGCAGTGGCTGAAGGTGTAGAGCGCACCCTCCTTCGCGACGAAGAGGCACTGCTGCTGCACGTCGGGGTACAGACGTATACGTACTCCAGATCACCATTGACGTCCCTTCGCCCGCTGTATTGACGCGCTGACTCGTTGGTCGCCTCCACACGCATACGAGGCTGCGCAGAAGGAAGCGCATGGTACTGCCGACGCATTCAATGGGGGTGCGCTAGCAGCGAGTCCGTGAGAGAGAACGCGATTGCAACGAGGCGTCTACAGCTCTGGATGAGTGCAGGAGCCAAAGAAGGAAGTTGGGATTATCGCTGTGATTATGCGCGTGGGCGGCACGTGGTTATCAAAATGCCCCCGGCAGCGCTTGGTGTCTTGGCGAGTTGGCTCGAAACTCCTTGCTCCCGACCACCATCTCCGCTCGACCATGGCTTTCGCACTCAGGTGAGTGTAGCGACAACTCGCACCGTGCAACGCTGAAAAAACGCCCAATGGCGCCCGGCGCTTAGCAGAGAAACCCATGTCATCATGCTGTAGAGCGTCCGCGCACTGCCTCACTGATGTTACCACGAGTTATGATAAATGAAACGCGCTTTAAAGGGCTTGGCCGGGAGGAGGAGAGGCGCCTTGCACCCCTCATCATGCTCAGCTCCCCGAGTGCCCACGAACCCATCTCTATTACCGTGAACGATGCCGATGGTCAGGCATTGAAGTTACCGGGGGAGGACGACACGGGGTGAGCAGCGCCGCGATGCGTGGCGCCGGATCCTTACCCCCCTCATCCAGCGTCTTCTCCTTCGATGGTGTCAATGGCGCCTCACCTATCTCTAGCCATGCGCCGTCCTCATCACCCATGAGCGCGAATTGGGCCCCAGGAGGTGCGTGTTATGTCCTTATGGCGCCGCACATGTACTGACGGCCCCCTTCTACAGCCTTCCGCGAGGCGCCTGGCTCTCCCAATAGTCCCTTCAGCGACCCTCCCTCCCCTTTCTCTGGCTATGAGCACTACTCTGGGCCCTCGTCGCCATATAACGAGCAGTCACCGGGCTCCTCGCACCAGTCCTCCCCGATCGTGACCCGCATGGGCGCCATGGACCTTACCGAGGAGACTTCCTTCGACTTCTCTACGATGTCTCCCAATGAATACGGATTCTCATCCCCCACCTCATCCACTACCGACATGTCGCGCGGCCGATCGTCGTCACGATCGACTGAGTCTCAAGGACAGCGCCGCGACATCAGCCAGCTCGGCATCCCTGACATGCAATACGCATCCGACTTCATGTCAGATGGAGGGCTCATGCCAGAAGGATCGTCCAGCGAGCTTTTTGGGCAAACAGACCCTCTCAACGACCCCGTCTTCTCGTCTTGGGGGACGGAAGCTCCTCAACCATCTTCATGGGGGACCGACGATGTTCAGTCGTCCTGGGGCACCGAAGCCGCCCAGCCATCCCTCACCGTCGATACCGCCGCCACGAACTTTGCGGCTCAGGATAACAGCGCCACACAATCGCGCCACCGACGCGGGCTGTCCGCGTCCTCGAACGATCCCTTCATCAGCGGGTACTCCCCCACATCACACACCTCGTCACCCTCGGGCGAGGGCGCGCTAGGCTATCCTGGCGAGGGTATGCCAGGATATGCCGGTGAAGGCATGCCGGGCTACGCGGGCCCGCCCTCACCAGTACCCTCCGAGCCGCATCTGAGCGCAGCCCTATCAAGCCGGAGATCGAGCTATTCAGAGTCGCACAACGGCCATAGTGTGGCGGCGGCGAACCGCGGCCGCTCGCACTCGCGTACCTCGTCCTCCGCGTCCTCCTCGCGCAGGCCCAGCCCGTACTCGCGGCCAGACTCCGTCTCGTCGTCGCAGTTCCTTGCGGTGCCCGACCACCACACGCTCCAGCGGCGGCATAGTCTGCACAACGGGCGGGTGCGGCCCATGGACGATCGCCCGCTCAGCGACGCGCACGCGACGCTGCAGAGGCATATTAGCGCGCCCGTGCCGAGGAGCAGGGAGCCGAGTCCTGCGCGGCCGGGGCATAGGCCGTGTGTGAGTGCGGATCAGTTTATGGGGGGGCGGGCTCGCCGCGCTCGATGGGAGCAATGGCTTTACGAGCAATAACAATTTTGGCGCGAGCAATAACTTCGCATCGTCGGGCACTACGTTTGGACCCTTCGCCCAGGGCCGCCCCTCGTCGCCCTACCTCCTCCCGCAGACCGTCTCGCCCAACGAGCTGCACAATCGGGATGCGAGTCCCGCACGGTTCGGCCATAGACCAAGTGTTTCCGAGGACATACGTGCGAGTGGCTCCTCCACCCTGGCGCCGCCGACGACGGTGTCGCCGCAGGACCTCTTCCTCCGCGAGCCCAGCCCCGCGCGCTTCGGGCACCGTGGCTCGATGTCGGAGGACAGGCGGTACGCGGGCGCGAGCAGCCTCGCGCCGCCAGGGCAGGAGGCGCCGTATCAGGAGCCGTCGCCGTTTCGCGTTGGGCCCTCCTCGTCCTTCCGCGGCGGGCAGGAGGCGCTCTACTCGAACGAGGGGTCCTCCTCCTCGTCCTTCCTCTCGCCAACGACCCCGGAAGACCTGCAGCTCGGCGAGTCCGACATCGTGAAGAAGAAGGTCGCGTCGGCGGCGATTCTGCAGGCGAGCGGCGGGCGAAGGAAGAAGGCTGCTGACTTCAAGTGTACGTGGGAGCAGTGCAATGCGACGTTCACGGCGAAGCATAATCTGACGAGTGAGTACTTCCCTTTCGCTTGTGGGCTATGTCTTGCACGCGTGTTGCTATGTCTCGGAGTGTCTATGCCAGTGGCGAGCTATGTTCCCAACGGTAGCGGCCATATTCTTTGACAGTGGCTAACGCACGCTGCAGACCATATGAACTCGCACAAGGGGGTGAAGCCACACAAGTGCAGGTACTGCGGCAACGGGTTCACGACCTCGGGCACCGCGCGGAGGCACGAGAACCAGTGCAGCCAGAACCCCGGGAAGCAGGCCGGCGGGGCTGTCTCGTCTTCCTAGGACGCATAGAACCCTGTCCTTCGCGGATAGAATATGGGCTTCGTTCTCGTATAGGACACTTTCTCCGGTCCGCCTTCTCAGCTCTCCCGACTACGCTACTATCCGTTTCGCTAATACCGCCGTTTACTTGGCCTATTTTCTCTACGCTATGTATACCTCTCACGACGTCTTGATACCGTTTTACTTATTCCTTCGTTATTCGCTCCTTGGGCTGCACTTTGTTTCCACTTGCGGTTTTCTTCTCTTCCTTCCACTTTGTGGCCTACCACAGTCGCGCCTCGTCCCCCCCCGCGCACTCAGCCACCCCATAATCACATCACCTCTAACGACCCCGCCACGCATCGCCCCCGCGATTGTACCAATAGCATTATACGCACTCGTTTCTTCTGGATAGCCTTAGTGATTCGTTGGATGGCTTGTTTATGGACGCTGTCTCGCTTTCATCGCCTCCATCTCGTTCTCATCGCCTCTATACCGTCCTCATTGCCTCACGAGCCACTGGTGTATCTTACAACACTCGCAATAGCAGCTCTGCTTCCACATCCGAGGACCCAACAGCGCGACAGCGTGAACGGGACTGCCTTTGGTTGGGTCACGGTGAGTCATCGGCCCTGTGACCAACTGTAACAGGTTGTCACAGGAGGCGGACGTACGGTGGCGCGCAAGTCGACTGCCGACTCAACGCCGCGGACAATTTTTCTCCTTCCTGCGCGATCACCATTTGCCTGCTGGGCCCTCTGCACGGTACTCCTGAACAGGTGCGTATATGATTTTCCGCTCATGTACACATTCTGAGCTCACGAACGAATCTCAATAGAAATATTGACACTACACGATGCATCCGGCTCTCCAAACCACCGAGATTATCCTCGAGATCCTGTCCTACCTCGACAAGTGTACTCTCACCTTTGTCGCGCAGACGTGTTCGACCCTTCTTGGTCCGGCCGCCAGTCTCCTGTGGCATACTTGCAAGTCACTTCGCCCGCTCATCGCGCTGCTGCCGGTAGAGAGCTGTCAATATGACGAGGGATCCAAAATTTATGTGCGTACTCATGTTCAGTATTGCACGACGGTAGCTGACGCCCAGATGCAGCATCTGGTGAGGGAGCTCTCTGCCGCCGACGTCGCACGCGTGCGGTACTATGGGGCCTTCGTCAAGGAGGTTGACCTCTGGCGCGACCATATGAGCATCAGCGCGCAGGATCTTGCCGTGGTGCTTGCCGCCCTTGGCGGAGACCCGCTGCTCCCCAAGGTGCAGAAGCTAGATTACGAAGGACCGTCACCATTTGCGCCCCTTGTGCTCTCCATCGTCGGCCCATGCGTCGAAAATCTCGACCTCACGTACAACATCAACGACACGGTGCCGGCGCGTGACGAGAACGCGTCAGTCGAGATCGCAATGATTCTGGCACTGAAGGCTCGCCGGCCGGACGCCGTCAGGACACTCGCCATTTGCTCACCGGGTCCCATTCTGCACAATCATATCATTCAAGCGATGGCCGGATGGCACAGCCTGGAGAAAATCGAGCTCGTCGGTCCGTCCGTGGACCGCTGCGGGCTGGCAGTCATGGCTGCCCTGCCACACCTGAGTTCGCTACAGTTCTCCTTCGACATGGAAGCACCCGAACCGTATGTTTCCAAGCCCCCCGGGCCAAGCGAGGCTCTCAAAAAACTCCATATGATGGTCTGGGACTCGCGTGCGGGGCGCGCCCTTGCCATGCTCCGGCCCACTTCGTTGATCTCCCTCAACGTCGAGGGCGTCCTGAAGGCCGACGATATCCGTACCTTCTCCGCGTACATGCGCCGGTACTGCGGTATCGAACTGCTGGAGACCTTCGCGGTCCGCTCTACACTTGATCTCATGCACGGAGGGAGACTGATCAGCGTCAGACCGCTCGTCCTCGACGATATCCAGATGCTCCTCTCCTTCACGAACCTGGCAGACGTGCACATCCAGTTCTGCGACGTCCGGCTGAGGGACGCCGATATTGACTGCATCGCGCGGGCGTGGCCTCGGCTGCGCCGAATGTGTCTGTACCCCTCTCGAATGAACTTGGCTGAACGACCCGTCTGCACGCTCAACAGCCTACTCTCCTTCGCGGAGCACTGCCCGCACCTCGAAGAACTCCAGGTTCTTGTTGATGCAACTGCCATCGTCGTCCCCGACAAAGCCAGCATCCCGTTCCCTCGTGCGCACGATGCCCTGCGCGCGCTGAACGTGATGCACTCGCCCATAGCATCCGGCAAGCAGGTCGCATCCTTTCTCACCCGCTTCTTCCCCTTTTTAGACCCTGAGAGACTTCTAAGCTATAGCGGGAATGAGAGGATGGAAGCGCGTTGGACCTCGGTGAGGCTGATGATACCGGTCTTGTTGGACGCTCGCATCGTTGGGATACATGGCGGCTGCAAGGCCTAGAATATGGGTCGTCGTATTGCTGGGTACTATATATCGTCACTTGCATCCAAGTTGGTACCAAATAGTTGCCTTTTATCTCTGACTTGATCTACCGCATATGTCCTTGACTCTTCTAAATTGCTTGATACCGATACACGTACACGTACGTTTTCGCCCGGCTAGCCCTAGTAGTTTGTACGTTCGCTTGATTTGGACGCTTCCATCGCCTATATCAATCAATGTATTCACAGCAGTCGGAACAGCAGCTTGTTTTCGTGTCTGAGCAAGCGCCAGCGAATCAATTCGAGACTGCGTCGACTTGTGGGTCCATTGGCCCGAATAGGAAGGTGATTGTTTGCCGCGGAACGTTTTCTCCTGTGCTCGTGTTGTTCGCATTGACATCTGAGGTTTGACCAGCACCTTCATGTCCGTACGCGGGGATCTCCAGCTGCAGATGAAGTCGAAACGGCCGCTCACATTGCAGACACAGCTGCAAAGGCTGTAAGCTGTGGCGGTAGTTCGTCCGGGAGAGGTCGGTCACAAAGGCACTTCTTCATCGGGTAAAGGGCGCTAACAATGCTCATAAGGCGATGTCAATCAAGATCCGGCTCTAGTACCCTCAACCTTATACCCCGTGAGAAGCAGACGCTGCAGTGTTGGTGTCGTCCGCCTGCAGAGTTCACCGCGGACCTTCCAAATGACGTGTCATGACAGAGCGTCGAACTTCCGAATTTATGCCACTGCCGGGAGAGTCAGGTTGCTTGCGTGGAACACAGCCAGAATTTGGAAGGCATGAGGAACGCAGTGTGCTCTCCCATCGGCGGCTAAGGTCGGTTAGTATACACCGCGTGCGAGTTCAGGGCGAGTGCCCTGGGATCTGTAGCGGAGGATGATGCTTGGCCATTTACGCGGATGCCTTCCGCAAGCGGAAGCCTGGCGGCATCGTGTCGCAAAGAAGGCTCCGGCACTCAAACGCATACCGCATCTGCGTCACTGATCGTGTCTCCTTGCGAAACGGCGCCTGCGACCGTGGAGGGCCCGAGCAACGCTGTTGACCATCACATCAGGCTGTGTCGTATGTAAGCGCCTGTGCCACTGATATATATGCATGTGCTCAATCTTCTCTCTTACCATCGCTTTCCCCTGACCTTCTCAGCCGTCTGTCTGCTCCCACTTACGATCCCCCTGCGCCGTTCCTCATGGCCCATTACGTCGCTCCCGAAACACCTTACGAGCAGCATCTCGCCATCAATATCCGCACGGCGACACCGCCATGCAACGATACCGAGTGCGCAAGCTATTGATGCTGAGACGTATGCGACATTTCTAACGTGTCTAACGTGTCCCTAGGAGCGCGTGGTATGGCAAACCGACGCAGCCGGGTCCGCTCTCCCCGATCACAGATGCCGACTCTTCTACCAGCGACGGTGAGTGCGCTCTCATGAATTCCCTGATGTCCTCCAACCCCCAGCCGCAGGTCCCACTTACAGCCCCGTCGACAGCTTAGCACCTGCTATGCCGAACGTGTCGTTCGCCCCGGCCCCCGACTGGCTTTCACCACATTCCCTAGATCCACGCCTGCCAGGTCCCTCGGCGCGTCGAAATCGAAGCGTCAGTGACCCTCCCCCATGCTCTCCCCAGGACAATTATCCTCCAATGGGTCGCGCACGAGCGTCGACCGTCACAAATCGTATACCGTTCCCCGAACCCCAAATTCCTGGCTCGAGCTTACGCTCTGACGCTCACAACGCTCCCTACCTCCCGAATCCTTCGTATCCCACCATGGGGCCTTCGCCGTACCCATCGCTTCGCCAACAACCTCAACAAAGTATGGCCTACGCTAACCTGGGCGGCCTGTACTACCCTCCCGATGACGACTTGACGCCGACGAACTTGTACCCCGAGTCGTCCGCAATGCCGTCGCGGACTGGGGTGTCCTCGAGCGCGTATGGAATCCTCCCTTCAAATGATGCAATGACGCCCACCTTCGACAATTACGCTCATTACCCCAACGTCGCTACGCCCTCGCCCATGCCGCCGTGGAACATGGACGTGCCCGCGCCGTCGGTTGTTCCGCCCTCAAGCGAGCTCGACGTCGACGGCGTCGCGCAGACGACCACATGGTTCTCCAGATTCGACCTCAGCTCGCGATCATCGAGCGCAAGCTCCATGAGACAGCCCGCACCGAGCGCGCATGGATATAATGTGGGTGTACTCAAACACAAGCTATCGCTGCACATGGCTCACCTCAGGCTCTATAGGACTCGGCTGCGTATGCTGGCGGCGCGTCATCCAGCTCGGGCCTCGTCGAGGGGCCAAGCCGCACGGCGACCAAGGTCGAGCGTGGGCAGATCGGGACGGAGGCGATGACGCGTAAATCCGACCAGCGGCGGAAGCACGACGCCAAGTTTCATTGCCCAAAGCCGGGCTGTTTGAAGTCGTTCACACGAAGCCACAATTTGCGCAGTGAGTCACCCGCCTTATAATTGCAGCAATTTACTGACCGAGGGGCGCGCCACCCCAACCCCCAGATCACCTCCGTTCGCACGAGCAGAAGAAGGCCTTCCCCTGCCCTATGTGCGCCCTGCGTTTCAACAACCCAGGCGTGCGCGACTACCACAAGAAACGCTGTCGGGGTGCTGCCTCGCGCGAGATAGATTAGAAGGAGGTCTGGCTTCCATACCCTGCATTGTGTGATACCCTCATAAATCAGTGACTCACTTACTCGCTCGTCCTTCCCGTCCGCCCATCGCTGCATGTCCTCTGTCACCGGTCAGTTATCTGACCCCCAGGCGCGCCATGCTCGAGGGCTCTGGTGCCTCAAATGTAGCAATCAAGGACCTCAAACTTGACGACTGTCGCCTAGCGCGGCCTCAACCGATCCGCTCCGCCTCCGTTGTCTTTCGAGATCCATCCGTTGGACCGTCCTTCAGGTCTTTCATCCAAAGCTGTAGAAACCCGGGGGTTGCAGTACTACTGATAATAACCACGATGGACTTTCGCAACAGCCTCAGCGGCGTCGGACCGCTCTCCGCGACCAAGAGCCCGGCGCTATCGTCGTCTACGTAAGCGTTTGTCGCCCAGCCATACAGGATGTCCACACCTCGGGCGCTCGTCCATCTTCTGGAATTGCGGTGAGAAGCGCTCGCGTCCTTTGCATACAGCATGCACGTGAAGCTGATTATCGTGTAGATCGCATGAGGCGGCCAGCATAATTAGCCCTAGTACAGCTAGCTGCGAGTACAGCCATCCATCAGTTCAAGGTGCCGCTGAACGGAACGTCCGGGATGCGCTGACGTTACTGTAGGATCGATTCGCGATCGGCTTCAGCCCGACCAAATCTTACTTGGTTTCCCCTCGTGGGACACGGTGTACTGCAATGGTATTATTTGGGAGATCACCAGGTCTCAGAAGACCAACACGCGTGTGCACTGTATATAAGCCTTGAAGGAGCGCCTCTTTCATCCTACCTCCCGTTCTGCCGTTTCCCCTCCTCTCACGGACCCTAGTCCGCACTCTCGCTTGGCCAGCGTCTCCGATAACTTATTCTTCACATTAATCTCGTTCCGTTCGTCTTACCTTAATGCTCGGACCACCCTACTCATCCTATGGACTTGGCGGCCAGCCATATAATATGTGAGCAGAACATCTTTCTCCCCTCCCTTCACGGCGCCTGATCCTGGAAAATCAGGTCCCCAAATCCCGACGTGCAGCGTCATGCGAGCGCTCATCGCTCGCAGTCGCATCCGGCGTCTGCTAGCTACCCTCCGTGGTCGTGCTGCCAATCAGGTCCTTACGCAGGTAATCCTAGTACACCCCTGATACCGTTCATTCACTGATCCTCGCGTGTCAGGCCCTGGCGTAGCCTCAGGCGCCTCATCTCATTCATCAAGTACCAATCTGCCGCCGAATGATAGAGATGCACTGCACTTCCGTGAATCTTGCACTAGACTCCCGCCGGCACACGATTACTATATGCAGGGCGATTTTGTCCCCCCGCCTCCACCTGCCTCCTATCGCCCTATCCCCTCTTCTCCCGAGACCAGCGGCTTCCATCCCCTGGCGAGTACAGCGGGTGCTGGACATGCGCATGGTCAATACAGCATGCCACAGATCGACGCGTCCGCGAGCTTGTCATCGGCAGCCTACCCATGGTCTCCCCCCTACGAAAACACCTCTACTGCGACGGCAGGACCGCCAGTAGCTCAGAACCCCCTTGCACCCGCGGTCCCGTTCCCCGATCCGCTATCGCCCGCCATGCACTTGAACAGCAGCCCGCCCCCGACTTCGCTGCTCCCCTCGGTTCTCTCGAGTCCGTACGCAGGCCAGGATTTGCTCAGCGAGTGGTCCGACGGCGCGCCCTCCTTCGCGATAGACCACGACGGCCAGAGCGTGGGTAGCGCGTACCAGTCGTACGCGCGGCCCATCGCGAAGTCCGAGGTCGCGACACCTGCTATGCGTGGTGCGGCCGACCGCCGCCGGAAGAAGCCACACAGGTTCTTCTGCACGGTCTGCCCGGCGGGCTTCACAGCCAAGCACAACTTGCAGGGTACGCTTCCTTGCTTCTCACGCTCGACACGGATCTTGACCTTCCATTTCTGAACAGCTCACGAGCGTTCCCACATCGGGAAGAAGGGCTTCGCCTGCAACAAGTGCGGCCTCGCGTTCGACAACCCCGGCGTGCTCAAGCGTCACAGCGACCGGTGCACTGGATACGCCGCCCGTTAATGGAATATTTATCTATCCGTACGCACGATATAATTACCAGAAGACATTGAGAACAAGTGTAGCATAGAGAATCGGGCGCTAATCCTTCGTCCTTCTGTCTATCCAGACAAAAAGCCCCACTAATGGCGGACAGCCCTGACCTACCGACCACTTACAATATTTAGAATGACTATCTAGCGCGCATCATTGACGCGACTACCTTACATTATCTTCCTACTTCCATCTAACGCATTATTCTGTGCTGGACCGGAATATAGATGCTTTTTGTCTCCTTCCGAAGTTGGACTGGACCGTTGTGGGTCCACTCTCGGCTGTTGCCGTTCGCTTTTGACGTCAAAGGCGGTCATAAAACCGAACTTGGCTCTTTCGAGATGGACTTCTGCCCAAAAGGATGTCTAGGCAAGGTATCAAGCTCTTGCGCGCCCTCTCAAGACACTCTTGATGACAATGCCTATTACCTCTACCCGCGCGTATTCCGTCAAAATCCGCCAACGGACTCCGAAGAACTCGTCGCTGTCGAGACTCGGATGCTCACCGACAATGCACCGTCACTGCTGTGCCTCGCAACCGCAATTATCCCGTTGCTCTGAGCGGGGCGGGGCGGGGCTGGATGCTTGGTGCAGGCAACGATCGTGCCATGGGCGTCACCGTATAAAAAGGCGGCCGTCGTTGGCGCAGCACAATTACTCCCCGCGTCCGACTACTGCGTCCCTTCGAAGCGCAGTTCAATATGACCGCCTTACTTCGTCTTGCCTCTGTCGCTGTGCTTGCTGGCCTTGCGCAAGCTCGATTTGTCCACCACACCACCGCGAAGGTTAGTTCACGATCGAATTCTGGCGTCGATGCGCTTCAGGGCAGTCGTGCGGGCACGGCTACGACTTGTGAGCCCTTTCCAGAATCTGCAAACGTCTTTTCCTGATGAACTTTGCGTAGATGGTGGTAACTGGAGCGGCGGCGCGTACGTCTAATTGAGCCTTGAGCCGTGCCTTGGCGCTCATTCCACTTCCCTCCCAGATGTTCGTTCGCCGATTATGACCAGGGAAGTTTCGACGGAGTGGCCATCGGCTCGAGCGAGTGGTTCGGAAGCGCATCATGCGGCGCATGCCTGTCTGTGACTGGCGCGAGCGGGACAGCCACCGTCATGGTCGTCGACAAGGTACGCCAACCAACCATATAATTTCCGGCTACATGATTCAGAAGCTGACCTACTGTTCCAGTGCCCCGAATGCGAAGCGGGTCACCTTGACCTATTTCAAGACGTTGCCAGCAAAATCGACGTTGATGATGCCACGAAGGGCATCTTCGATATCACCTGGTACATACGTTCTATCTTCGGCAAGTGCTTTATTCTGACGTTTGTTAGGGAGCAAGTCGACTGCCCTGTCTCCGGAAACATGCAATTCAAGAACAAAGAAGGGACCAGCGGATACTACTTTGCTCTCCAGGTCCGTCTACACTTCTCGCTCTGCCCTGCGGACACCCGAGCTTACGCCTACATAGGTCCGCAACGTCGTCGAGCCCGTCGACAGCCTCGAGGTCTCGACTGACGGTGGCTCGTCCTGGACCTCGGTCGCCCGCGAGGACTACAACTACTTTACCAGCTGTACGTGATCTCAGGTTGGCCCATGGTCGATTGCAGCTGCTTGCTAACGCAGAAACCTTTATCAACAGATAGCGGCTTCGGCGACCAAGTAGACGTCCGCGTCACCTCCATGACGGGCAAGCAGATTGTCCAGTCGGGCATTGCCGTGTCTAGCGGGTCCGTCGTCGAGGGCGGGTCGCAGTTCTGATCTGATCCCTGCGGCCTGCACTGCGCTGGCGCAGCCGACGTCCTCCGAAGCCCTAACTTTACGCTCACGAATTCCCAAACTCTGGAAGATTCCGAATACTATGCTTGGCCACCGCCAGTGACGGACGGGGTTCGCAAAGGGTCGGTATGTCTGCATCGCCTCCACTGTCGTACTAGCGTCTCGGGGCATCACGGTCGGCGCTCAGCCCGATGATTCTTGTTCGCAGTCTGCCCGGGCTGGCGGGCGAGGGGGCCAGTAGCATGTGCGCCACCGCGTATGTGGTTCGCACGCACCAGATACGGAGGCCGCGCCGCTGCGTACGGACGGCGCTGGAGGGCCCGCGTATAGTCCATCTGTATTCAATTTTGGCTCAAGGGGTAGACTCGAATGTATGGCTTGCACGCGACAACAGTGAGTATGCAGAACAGTATAATACGTGTTGAACCGTAAGCTCCACCAAGGCGTTTGAGCCTTAGGCGTTAGGGGGAGCGATCGCCAAGTAACCTCACCACCGACGAGCAGAGGGACGCTCTTGCCTATCTGATTCAGGAGACCGCGACCGAGAGTGCCGATGTCGTCGAGTTTCGGAATGCGAGCGGTGCGAGGAGGAGTATGCATGTCGAGAGGATGGAGACCGCCTGCGATGACTCGAGCGGTTGCGCGAAGGCGAAGGCAATTGTTGGAGTCGCGATTGTTCCGCGCGAGCACCTTCCCCTTTCCCTTCCCCAGAACGCCTTTGCTCTTCATTACGAGTCCCGGGATCGTGGTGTCCGCCACCTCGGTCATCACTGGCAGGTGTAAACACACGCACGTCATCGTCTGCCTCTAGCTTGACCTGCCTGGCCGATTCGGAAGCAGGAGGGAGTGCCCTCTCCTTCTCCTTGCGGTGCTTGTACATGAGCTTGTCAAGGCATCTCCGGCAGAGAACGACCTTGACGAGCGCGGACTTCGTCTGTCCCTCCTCCGCGTAGACGAACGGGAGCTCGACCGGCGTGAGCTTCACTCCGCTGTCTGGACGGTCATGATGCGAGCATCGTGTGTTTCCGCAAGTCTCCTCGCCGGCCCCTGAGAGTACCTCGTTCTCGGTGCGCCACCGCAAGGCAAACTGCAGGACGTCGACGTCAGCAACCCGAGTAAGGTCAGGTTCAGGGGTTTACTAACATTGCCCGACTTGTAGTGCTTCAAGTCGCACAGCGCGTATTCCTTATAGAGGCTGTCATAGTACTTCCGAGCCAGCTGGTCGTCCCATGACTTGCTAGCGTCACTCTCTTCGTCTGGTCGAAGAAACCTGAATTTGCCGTTTTCGTAAATTTCCGCTGACACCCAGAAGACTTACTCACTTGTGCGCAGATTTCAGTATCTCAAACTCGGACTTTCCCCTCTGTGGAGACGGTGGCGGCCGTCTTGGGTAAAACGACATGACAGTACGAGGAGAACTGTTTGCGCTTGTTGATTATGGGCGCTTATTGGCGGCCGGCAATTTCCGGGCACGCGTCGTGTCGCGTTCTTCTCTTGCCTCTTACACCCGTGACATGTTCGGCCTTCGTGCTTCTAGGAACATACCAAATGTCTTGAAGCATCAGGCGTGCGCAAGGACACTCCTTGCGCGACTCTATAGTACAGAGGTCCCATCTGGAACGGGCGCTGTAGCAGCTACAGTCACGCCAGTGGAAAAGATTGTTCTGGACAGTATCAAGGTGCTAACAATCATCTTGTTCAATTTCGCATGAACCTGATCCCATTATTCAGGCTACAGGACCTTTACCTCACTCTAAGTATATGTCACTGTGTTTGGGACACCCTGTTCATGGGTACTATACGTCCTCCGCGAACCCAGTCTTCGGAAAAGCTGGCGACTTCATCACAAGCCCTGAAATTAGCCAAGTCTTCGGAGAGGTCAGTCCTCCCTGAGTCCTCGAAGGAGTCTACTGATAAACGCAGCTCATAGGCATCTGGTACCTCACGAGGTTTAGCGCTCACCCAAAGCCTGCGTTGCGACTAGTCGAGCTAGGTCCTGGGCGTGGTACGCTGATGGAAGACATACTGCGCGTATTCAGGCAGCTCTTGTCTAAGCTGCCTGTACCTCCGGAGATATCCGTACACCTCGTCGAAACCTCGCAACCGATGCGCAAGCTGCAAAAGTCGAAGTTGTCGGCCTTCGGGCACGACGTGCATTGGTACGACTCCATAGACGATGTCCCACAGGACGTCGATGGGAAGACGTTTACCATGGTCCTCGCCCATGAGTTCTTTGACGCCTTGCCTATCGATATATACCAAGTTCGTAACCACGCTCGCGCAGTCGATAGAGAACGCAAGAGCTGATCGCACCTTCAGAAAATGGACGAAGAAAACTTCCTAGAGAAGCTCGTAACCTCTACCGAGGACGCATCAGGTACAGAGCGTCTTCGGGCAGTCCCCTCGACCATGACTCCCAAGGCCGCGCTCTTGAACACCGCCGTCCAAACCTACTCGGCGCCCAAAAAAACCGGCTTCGCGGACCCCTTGGACGCCCTCGCGCGCCGCCTCGCTGCCCTGCCCGCCGGCGCCTCCGCGGAGATCTGCTGGCCTGCGTGGGACATCGCGGCGAGCATCTCGAAGCTGCTGAGGGGCGGCGGAGCGGGCTTGGTTATCGACTATGGCGGGGAGCGTATGTTTGGGGATAGCTTTAGGGTGAGGGTCAAGTTCGGCGTGGATGCGAGGCTCGAGGAGGTTGACGGGCAATTTTGCAGGCTTTCAAGCAACACAAGATCGTATCGCCGTACGAGACTCCGGGTCAGTGCGACCTGACGGCGAATGTCGACTTCAAATTCCTACGCCACGCTTTCGAGAGCGTGAATCACAAGTCTGGTGCGTCCGCCGATATCACCGTCATACTTCTTTTTGCACATTTGTCTTTCTCTCTACCTCTCCATCTTCACCCACTCGCCCACTCGCCCACTCACCCACCTCCCCGCAGACTCGGACAACGACCGCCCCTCGCCCCCCATCCGCACGCACATGCTCCTAACGCAGGCCGCCTTCCTCCAGGGCATGGGCGTCGACGTCCGGCTGCAGAAGCTGCTTGACGCCGCGCGCCGCGAGGGCGGCGAGGCGGGCAAGGAGAAGGAGAAGCGCCTGCGGCAGGGCGTGGAGAGGCTGATCGGGACGGGCGTGGAGAGGCTTATCGGGACGGGCGTGGAAAGGCCCATCGGGACCAGCATGGAGCAGCCCGCTGGGAAGAACAACGTCGAAGCTACGAACCCAGAAAATGGCATTGAAGGACGCGGTAGCGGGATGGGCAAGGAGTACAAGGTGCTGGGGATAACGACGGGCGAGGGCGAAGATGTCTGGCCGTTCATCTAGGCAGTGCAGGCATACGCGTGGACTACGGATACCTACGACTGCTGGTCAGGAGGGAAGTTATTAGCTGGTTGACGACGAGATAGAGAATGCAAACTAACTCAGTTAGATCACTTCGGCTTCACCGTAACCCCGCCGTGGATGCCTGTCATACGTGCGTCCAGCAGGATAGGTATCAACTCCAGCACGTCCAGCCACAACCTCTCGCGTGTTGCATCGTTCATACGCGTCTTCAGCCCGACTTTTGGTCTGGCGTTCGGGAAGAACCGCGTCAAGAACGAAGCCACCCTTGCTGGTGAGGAGATGGGGGAATCCTCGACATGCAACACGCTCAGGCGTTCGTGTGCGCGAGGAAAGGGGATGTTGGAGGGATTGGGGACTGTTATCCTCGTAGCATCGACGGATAGAAGGAGATAGGTGAGATCGGGGCAGTAGCGTGCGAAGGCGAGCATGCTGGATAATGCGACAGGAACATCCGTGGATCCTTCGCTTAGTAGGGTCAGGGATTGCAAGCGAGGCCATGCTTGAGCGAGTATGGCCATGTCGTCGTCCGAGAAAGCGATCGTCTGGAAGATAATCCTGACGTGCACCAGGCTTTTGTTAAAGAAGAAAGGGATGATGTGCTGGATCCGCAGAGCCTCGCGCCAGTAAGCGTCCGGTTCCTGCTCAGGATGGGGATGTAGAACGTGTTGAGCAAGAGTCATGTCTTGAAGCGAAGCGGGTACGCCAGCTTCGCGTATGCGCATACCGATGTCCTGAAAGGCTGATGCAGCTACTCCACAAATTGCCTCGAGTGTAGACAAAGAGATAGGGCGAATGATGGAAATCATCTCTGCCACAGATAACCCGTAGAGGCGCAGCGAGCGGAGTGTATAGTTGGAGGTGCACGCCGATCGTGATGCTACACAGGGACGGTCAAGTCCAGAGACTGCTGGCATCTCCAAGTTCTTCAGATGCGGCAGGGCCGCAATCATCATAAACATGGGCGGATCGACACAGTGCGTTTCGAGTGTCAAATCCTCAAGCTCGTCCCAGCCGGTCAGGATCGGGCGCAGGAACTCGGGAAGTGGCATACTGATGAAGATGAGGAGGGTAGTTATGGGAGCTCGAGGTTGCCTCTCCTTGATAGCGAGGATGGCGTCCCTATCATCACTGTAGTCGATATCTTCAGGTCGCACAGTCCAGAGGCCCATGTCGAGATCGCAGCCGAAGTTGTAGTACAGCTTCATATCGGTGACAGACGTCACTAGAATGGAGGGCAGGTAGGGAGTGAATTCTGACGGTCCTTCGTATTCGAATACTCGAAGGTTTGGGAATAGAGTTTGTTCTCGCAGGGCAATGTGCACCTGCTGCAAATCGTTGGCAGAGAGGTCTGCATCACTTTTCCAGAGCTTCATTGACAGCACGAATTTTGCATAGTAGCGCACGCGATACACATCCTCATCATCGAGGGGTCTTACGACTCGGAATTGCTGTGCGATGGCCTGTCAGATGCGAGCATCGATTGAGATACAGAAATGTGTACTTACCTCGCGTCTGGGAATATTCTAATGAGAAACCCGGTTTCTACGTTTTGCCTTCCTTATAAGGCAATTCTGCAGAAACCCGCTGAACTTCTTTACACGAGGCTGGGTTTCTGCCGGCGTCTCTCCGGCCGCACGCCCGGGAGACGGTGATGCGCCATCAATCCCGCCTGAGGCTGCCGAAGCCGCCGAACTCGTGGCTCCTCCTTCGTACCGCCTGTCTCTAGCTGAGTGGCCCGGTGCAGGGGTGTAAAATATCAGGCTACTGAATCCAATACAACTTGGTCAGCCCCCTTAGCTAGCAGGACTGTCACTGACACGTAGACCATTGTGTCCACTGGTGGACGCAATGGTCATGTGACTACAATGTGAAGACGACCTTTCACCCTCAGACAGTACCCTCCAGAGGGCCCATAAGGCCTATGCTGTATCAGATTACGACTGGATACACTCATGTGTGCCATCATGCCTCAGGTGCAACCGTGATATCTTATAGAAGTACTCAGTGAAGGCCTGCGATGTCGAGTTCGTCTGCCTCTCGGAGTTGGCCGTTAGCCTCGTGCTGAAGTGCCGAGCGCGGCATCAAGGAACTCGCCGGCGCGTCGCCGGGATGCTCGCCGATAGAAACCGGTTTTCTAGATAAGGTTTCTACGGTTGGGTTTCTCATTAGAATATTCCCGCGTCTGGGGTATCTCTCCGGGCTTATATATATTTTACCGCAGGGAAGGAGCCTGACGATGGGGCCGAACCCCGTGAGATGCTTCCACAGATAGCTGAGGGCAGGGTCCAGAAATCTCGTGCAGGTTCTTCGATAACGGCGAGATCAACGCGATGAAGATGAGAGAAGATGTTAAGAAGAAGCTCTACAGTCTGGAGAGCCGCATGCATCTCGGCGGGCGAGCCTGAGGGAAGGATGCTGAATGCTAAACCGTGTTGGATGCGACAAGCAGGCCCGCCGTCTGAGCGCCACCAAGTGTCGGCTATCGCCGCTATCGCGCGTACATAGTTCAACTTTGAGGGCCGCGTTCCTGCTGCCGTCGGTCTTATGCAAATGGGCGTCAAGAGGATCTGGGAAGCAATTGTAATGATACCTGATTTTTTTCAGCTGAGACTTGTCCTTCCGACAATGCCATACGCTCGCACACACAGAGGGTCACACAGGGGTCAAGCACGTGAGTCCGGCGACAGCCGGTACTTCGTGGCGCCCTGGTGGCGTCGGGACATGCGCCTTGCCTTCAGCTCATCGAGGCATCGCGCGACGCGCGTGCTGTCCTACAAACATAGACTATCGCGCTCCCTCTTTCTTTCGAGTCACTCCTGTCCTTAAAGATGCACGCAGCGCTGCAGACGACGGAGCTTGTGCTTGATATCCTCTCTCACCTCGAGCATGTCGACCTCGCCGCTGTCGCGAGGACATGCTCGAGATTATCAGGGCCGGCCCTCAGCCAGATTTGGAAGCATATTTGTGGCTTGGAACACATCCTTGATCTCCTACCGGGAGGCAAAATTAGCCTGGAGAAGACGCCAGTCCACCAATATGTGAGTCAACTACGAGTTCTCAAATTTGATACTCAGGCCATCGTGTAGCATGTTGCTGGGTCCACCGAGAATTCGGACGTGGAACGGGTCAAATACTATGCAGGCTTCGTCAGATCATGGGCACTCAGGCCTTCCATCGATGATATCTCGACCCAGGATCTGCAGAAAGTGCTCGCTGGCCTGCGCGGGCAAACTTTGTTCCCAAACCTCCGGAAGTTCACATATCTAGGACCATCTCCTTGTGCTCCGCTCCTACTCTCCGTCATAGGACCGTCAGTCACGAGCCTTCAGTTATGGTACAGCTTTGGAGCGGAGCTAGGCGTGAACGCCAGACCTGAAGACGTCGACTACAGTGCTGAGAGGGATCTCCTCCTTGCAATCAAGGAAAGAAAACCCCGAGCTCCTGTCACAACACTATCTCTCTCCGTGGATCTTCCCTGTACTGAATTTGTTCGTTCGGTCCTGACCGACTGGGACGAACTGGAAGACCTTTCACTCTATACAGACTGCGTAGACCCGCCCATGATCATGACCTTCCCCGCCCTACCGCGGCTCAAGAAGCTCATGCTGTATATTGCAGTCAATGGCTTCCATCGCTCGCCCCTCGCTGTGCAACCGTCGTTCGCCAGCGCTAGTGCACTGTCATCGCTGTATCTCTGTGGGGAGTCCGTAAAGGACGCCTTGTCCATCCTTCGTCCTATCTCATTGTCCGAACTCATCCTCGACGGGAAGCTAGCCGCTTCAGACTTCCGCGACATTTGCGCGCACATGCGTAAAATCGGCATACCCTCATCATTACAGAAAATGACCTTCCGGCAGTCCCGTCCGAACGAAGATGATGAGGCGTATGCCCGAGAGGCCCTACTCATGCAGCATATACAACCCCTGTTCTTCTACCAAAACCTTACAGAGGTCATGCTTGTCTTCGTCATCACTTCCCTGACGGATGATGATATAGGCCTCCTCGCGTGCTCCTGGCCCCACCTGCGCTCCCTATGCATAGAAACGACGGGCACGACGCGGCCTCTCATCACACTCTCCGGTATCCTTGCCTTCGCGCAGTACTGCCCCTATCTTGAATTCCTCAGGCTACCGGTGGACGCGACCAAGATATGCGTACCCGATTCTGCCAACGTACCCTTCCCTCGCGCACATCGTCGCCTACGCACTTTATACATCGACGAGTCCCCTATATTCTCTCCGGGGATGGTGGCTTCCTTCTTGACGAGATTCTTTCCTGGCATCAGACCAGAAGGCCTCACAACTGGCAAAGGGCCTGCATCTAACAAACGAGCGAAAATGTGGACAGACGTGCGAACATTAATCCCCCTCTTCCTGGATGCACGGATGACCGGTATTCACGGAGGGATGAACCCGATGTAGCAGTTGCGTACGTTGCGTGCTCAGCCTTGGAATTGGTGCCTTCAGGCTGACATATTTTGTGACAGGACCATAGCGGTGACCATCACGTTCAAAATCTGCTCCACTGAGCGGGCATCGTTCTCATGTGCTCTCACTATTGTATACTGTGTGTTCTTCATTCCTGACTCCGTCATGATCAACCACTGCGACAGAATAAGATGTACACTCCCTTGCTTCGTCGGTTCGTTACCGCTTGTGATACGTATTTCAACCTACCCTTAAGCTTCCTCCATCCCCATCCCGAGATCGTCTCCTATGCATAGTCCACGCGTACACACGAAAATCCAGATTTACATATACATAAGAATTACAGACAGGATTGTATTCCTTCCGATGGTTCATTCTCTTTCATCTACTTCCCTTTCACCTCTTCTCGCGCGTACGCCCTTCACGCCCCCCACCAGCGCGTAGATCGTGATATCACGAGCATTGAGCGCGCACCTCACACCTTGACCGGCGTGTAGCTGATCTCGGCCCGCACGTAGTTGTTGTACAGCTCGCCGGTGGTGAGCAGCGTGTCGATGTCCGTGTCCTTGTTCTCCGGAATCAGGAAGGAGGCGAGGGGCTAGGGGCGATGTCGGTTAGGTTGATCGAGAGCAAAGAAAATGGATAGAAAAGGCAAGAAATGGATGAAGAAGGAAGGACGTACATGGTGGAACTCGAGAAAGACGGCAGCTGCGAAAGAAATTCGTATGTTATTAGCGAGCGAATGAAGTCGAGTTTGAAGGCGAGGAAGGACGCACTGTGCGGCGGGTATCCGTCCCCGGCGTTCACGTCGCCCGAGCCTCCGTGGATCTTCTTGCGCGTGCCGGACTTCTCTGGGTTGCTCCAGCAATTGGAGTAGAACATGGTGCCATGTTCTACGATGGAGGTCAGCATTCACGCCCACAGCGTCCTTCGCAACGATGGTAACTATACGCACGGTTCGAGTCCAAGCGGACCTTGAGCCCCGATTTCGCAGAGCTCAAGATCGCCAACGGCGAATGCGGGCTCGTTGCGCCGACCAGCGAGGATACAAGGTCCTTCTCGGGCGTGAACTCACTCGCAGGGATATGCGAGGGAATGGGCGCCACCGCATCCTTCTTGAACAGGTAGTAGTCGTCTGCGCAAAACGTGTTAGCATGCAGCATCTCCCTCGCGAGCCCAACTCGCTATAGCCAATCACGTCACCATATCCCGTAGGCGGGTACCCCTCGCCAATGAGCTTGCCCGTGTGCGCATGCGGCGTCCCCGCCGCGCTCGCGAACGTCCCCAGCGCCAGCGCGTCCGCGTCGCGCTCCGCAAAGTGGTCCGCGGCGAGGAACAGGTTGTGCCCGCGCACGTCGAGCTCGCCGAGCGACGCGTCGAGGTTGAAGCCCCAGTGCTGCGTGAGGTTGACGGGCGTGACGAGCGGGGTGGGCGTGTCCGCGAGCTTGGCGCGGTAGAGGAGGAGCACGGAGCCGAGGGGCTGCTCGGCGGTGGGGGATGAGGAGGCAGCGGCGGGCGGGATGAGCGCGACGAGGGCCTCGAGGTGGAGCGCGCCGGGGTAGTTCTGATCGCCGGCTGGGGAGTCGTGTGCGAAGAAGGCGAAGGCGCCGGAGGGCGCGCCGAGGGCGGCGACTTCGGCAGCGGAGAAGAGGGCAGGCTTGGAGGAGGCGGGGAGCTGCGTCCACGGGACGTCACCGAAGCCTATGGGGCCGCCGTGGAGGGAAACGCGGGGGCTTTCTGGGTGCGGGGTAAGGGAGGATGAGATGATGAGGAGGGCGGGGACGCACCATTCGGGATCGGGGTGAACTCGCCCTTGATGCCTTTACGCTCGAACTGGAGGGGCTTGACCGGGAGGCGGTTCGTGTAGCGCCCGATGACGGAATTGATGTACCGGCGCGTCTTGTGGTCCTCAGGTTTCTCTGGGCCAACAAGGATGTCGTGCGTCTGCAGGGATGCTATAGACATGGATATCCCTCAGTTAGGATAGGGAACGCACCTTCCCATCCGCCTGCACGAAGATGCGATGGATGGTGAGGCCGAAGGGGATGATCTACCGGATCGTCAGCTCTGATGCATCATCGATCTACGATCCGCACACCTCCAGCGCCAACGACGGCCCCAGCGAGGGTAGGGTCAGAGTTACGGGCGTGAATTCGGCCATGGTGGCGGGTAGTTAGCTAGAAGAGGGTGGGCGGAGGGGGGAGTAAATGCCCCGCACGCGCTTTATATCACATCCCGCTGCGAATCCGGGCCGCTGTCCAAACGAAGGATCAATGGAGGTTCATCGGAGGCACATGCTAGCGCCCCTCTCCGAGAAGGCCAGAAGAGAGCTGGATTGCGAATGAGGTGACCTCAATGGAGAGGCTCGGCGCGAGATGCGGGGTCCAAGGTAGTCCGGAAAGCGAGGAGACGCCGTCAATTTCACGCACTCTTTGCTGTTCTAAGAGACTATTCGAAAGACTGGCAAGAATATGTATAGCAAGTTCAGGAAACAGAAGATCAGCGCTCCCACGAAGGCGACGGTATCGCTCCAGGGCCTGGCTGTGGAAGACCATGACTATCAAGACACTTGAACCTCACGCACGTTGTGCGCACGTGTGGTCTCAATCGGCCCGACCGACCGCTACCCCGCACAGTCGACGACCCGAACGGTCCCCGTCATCGCGCGCGATTCTCGCGTCTTTCCCGTCCTCCCTGTTCCCGACCACCATCCTCCTCGCGCCGTCGGACACGCCGTTGCCTCCCGTCGTCTCTTTTGCCCTTATCTCACATCGCCGTCGTCGCCGTTCCCAGTGCCCATCGCGTCTTGGTCTCCATCCCGATTCACACCGTCTTGCTCGCCTAGATCGCCATCCCGTCCATCATCTCGACTGACCGTCTCTACGACCATGTCAGCTTCAGAGGTCCTCCCCGACGAACCGACCCTCGCCTCCGCCGCACAGCTCGTCGTCTACGACGCGCAAGGGCGGGAAGTCAAGTTTGGATCGATCTATGCGGAGAATAAGACGGTCGTGGTGTTCATCCGTACGTGTCTCCGCTCTGTTGACGCACGCATCTCCCACTTCCCGCGCATATATTCCATTTCCCGCCCATGTAGTCCACTTGAACGCGCATATATGCACTTTGATGTGCATGCAAACAAATCCCGGCGCATATATGCACTTTCCTTCCCGTCCTTTCCCTCGTTTATCGGGCTACAGCTGACCAGCTTCATCACCATAGGTCATTTCCTCTGCGGTGTGCGTTGAGGGTAGAAGTACCGGCCCCCCACTGCGAGCTCATCCCCTTCCCTCGCGCAGAATTGCCAGGTTCGTCTTGCCTCTTAATGAGGATACACAATGCGGCGCCATGGGGGTTTCACTCATGCAGACATCTAGGCCTACGTGACCGCGCTCGCCCAGGCCACATCACCAGAGGCGCTGAAGGCCGCGAATGTGCAGCTTGCCATCATCGGATGCGGCGATCCTGGCTTCATACGCGAATATGCAGGTGCGTCTGCGATGATCTTCAAGGCGCATATACTCACGTCCACCGCTCGCCATACTGACTCGCACCTCACAGAAAAGACCGGCTTCCATGGCGCTATGTATGCGGACCCCGATCGGAAAGTGTTTCGTGCGCTCGGCATGAATGTCGAGACGTTGGATAGGACCCCGGCAGGGCAGGAGCCCAAGAAGTATCTCCCTCAGGGTAATATCGTGACGAGAGCCGTAGATGGTATCGCAGTGAGTGGCCTTCCTATTCGCTTACGTCCTGGTGGTGGCCACGAGGAGAGGAGTTCTGACGTCGAGATGCAGCAAGCCTTCAAAAATCCATCGTTGCTGGGAAAGCAAGGCAAGATCTCTCAGCTGGGCGGCGAGTTCGTTCTGGGTCCAGGTGCGTCTCTTCAGGAGCCGAGTGACAAGTTCAAGTTGCTAACGCAGACCACATCATAGGCAACGTGTGCACCTTCGCCTCGCGGATGAAGCATACGGAAGACCGTGCGTATCAACCGGTCTGGGCTGTCCCTATACTTGCTGATACAGGCCATTTGTAGACGTCGAAGTCGATGAACTGCTGAAGCACGCCGACATCAGCGGCGTATAGGGCGCAAACTAGAGCCCACGAGCGTTGTTATGCAGGTCTGTTGCGCATATACGCCCTGTTCGCACATACACGCTGTTGGGTGGTTCAGCGCTGGATATGTGGATGCTGCCAACTTTGTAGTGTAGATCGTCGAGATCGGCAGCGCTCTGGGTGGGCGCCACCGAGTGGCGGGCCCTATCGACGGGGGCGGGAGCCGCTCCCGATGCGTGGGCAAGCGCATGGCCTCCGCCGAGGCACGGCGTCGTAGGCCCCGCCGCCGTCGGCCTCGACGTCGCCTCGACGAATCCGATGTTGAAGCCCAAGTCCAGGCAGTATCCGCAGGCCCTCGGCGAATGCCGACGGAACCGGCCGATCTCCCGCGATCGTGATCCGTCACGTCTGGGTGCGCGCATAAAACGACGGCGAGCGCGAGTTGTCTTCTCCCATATCCATCTCACCGAAACTATAATGGTCCAAACGAAGAACAAGGTCTGCCTGATGTACGTGGCTTGGTGCTATCGGATGGGCGCGCGCTGACGGGGGAACAGTGTCCACGATGGCTGGGGCATCGCGGAGAAGGAGGGCATTAAGGGCAACGCCATCGAGGCTGGCGACACGACCAACATGGACACGATTGCAAAGGAGCACTTCTTCCGCAAGCTCTACGCGCACGGCACTGCCGTCGGCCTTAGCGAGGGGCTCATGGGCAACTCCGAAGTCGGGTACGTGGCGACATCTCCCTCCCATCGCGCGCGCTGACGGCGGGTAGACACCTGAACATCGGCGCTGGACGCATCGTCTGGCAGGACATTGTGCGGATTGACGTCGCGATCAAGAAGCGGGAGTTCCACAAGAACCCCGCGATCCTCGATAGCTTCAAGCGTGCCAAGGAGGGCAACGGGCGGTTGCACCTGCTCGGCTTGGTGCGTGGTACGATCTTATCGGTCGAGGTGACCGCTGACGACTGAATAGGTCTCCGACGGTGGTGTGCACTCCCATATCAACCACCTGTTTGCGTTGCTGGAGACGGCGAAGGAGGTCGGCGTGCCGCACACATATGTGCACTTCTTCGGTGATGGACGCGACACCGCGCCGCGCTCGGCGTCCAAGTACGCGCAGCAGCTGCTCGACTTCATGAAGAAGGAGAATTACGGCGAGCTGGCGACGATCGTCGGCCGCTACTACGCGATGGACCGCGACAAGCGCTGGGAGCGTATCAAGATCGCCGTTGATGGGCTCACGAAGGGCGAGGGCGAAGTCAGCACTGCTGCCATTGACACTGTGGAGGCGAACTACAAGAAGGACGTGACGGACGAGTTCTTGAAGCCCATCATTGTCGACGGTGACGAGGGCCGTATCAAGGGTGCGTGGACACGTCGGTTCTCTTGAACTGCGAGCTGACCTATCTCGTAGACCATGACACGCTGTTCTTCTTCAACTACCGCTCTGACCGTATGCGCGAGATCGTTACTGTCTTCGGCCTTCCGGACAAGCCGATCGAGCTCGACATCCCGAAGGACTTGCACATTACTACTATGTCCAAGTACAACCCCGAGTTCACCTTCCCTGTCGCCTTCCCGCCCCAAAAGATGACCGACGTCCTTGCCGAGTGGCTCGCGAAGCAGGGTGTTCACCAGGCGCACATCGCTGGTACGTATCCCTGACGCACCCTCGCATGTTCCGGGCCCGCTAACGCACGTTCGCAGAGACCGAGAAGTACGCGCATGTCACATTCTTCTTCAACGGCGGTGTCGAGAAGCAGTACGAGAACGAGGAGCGGTTCATGATCCCGTCGCCCAAGGTGCCCACCTACGACAAGCAGCCCGAGATGAGCGTCCAGAGCGTAGCCGACAAGGTCGCCGAGGTCGTCGCGTCGCAGAAGCACGAGTTCGTGATGTGCAACTTCGCGCCGCCGGACATGGTCGGGCACACGGGCGTGTACGACGCGGCGGTGAAGGCGATCGGCGCGACGGACAAGGCGGTGAAGACGGTGTACGACGCGTGCCAGAAGGCGGGGTACGTGCTGCTCGTGACCGCGGACCACGGGAACGCGGAGCAGATGCTGAACCCGGACACGGGCGCGCCGCACACGGCGCACACGACGAACAAGGTGCCCTTCATCATGGCGGGGGAGAAGAAGGGGATCGAGGGCGTGCAGGGCTTCAAGGAGGACGAGGAGCTGGGCGAGGAGGGCGGCGCGCTGTGCGATGTGGCGCCGACGGTGTTGGATCTGCTGGGGTTGCCGCAGCCGGAGGATATGACGGGGCGTTCGTTGTTGAAGAAGAGCGCGTGAGCGTAGGGTTGCTTGAGGATGCATGGACGCAGAAGTATAGAATCTTGTAAGACCACAATAGAGTAGATACTGACGGATTAATGTGCTTGATAGAGGAGTAAATGATGTATGAATACTGTTGAAACTCAAGCGTTGTCAATGAGAATCACGAAGCCGAAGAGGGCAAGGGAAGCAGGCAATCAATTGAACCACAGATCGAACAGTACAAGGAACACAGATAGATGGGTAACAACAACGGCAAGAACGACATGTAAGAAGAAAAGCACTTCGAGCATCCCATTCAAGACCTGCCCAGGTTCAGGAGTTCCTCACTCGCGCCCGACAGGCGCTCGAGCTTCTTCTCAAGCTCTTCGCGCTTCGACGCCGCCTGCGGGCTCTCCTGGGCATACTCGCGGCAGAGGTGGTCGCCATCGGGGCCGTTGACGTGCAGGCCGGCCATGAGGGCCGAGTACATCTCGCGCTCGATGCCGTATACGAGCTCCTGGTCGATGGCGAGGGGGATATTGTCGACGAAGCGCTTGTACGCAACTATATACAGCATCAGTTCCATGAGCTCGACAGCGGCGAAAGAGAGAAGGCGCCGAAGACCTACCCTGGAAGTACGCGCGCACGTCGGCCATGATCTCAATCGCCGGCTCCATCTCGTCCGGCGGGAGGAGCTTGGGGATGTCCTCGGGCTTGACGCCCGCGACGCCCAGCTCGACGAGCCCGGAGAGGATCTTGCTGATCGCATCCTCGTCCTCGCCCGCGGGCACGTACCCCCTGATGCGCTCGATGAAGTCGCCGTGCTCGCCGGCCTGGCGCGCGCCCTTGTAATGCGCGAGGAACTTGTCGCGGTAGTCGGCGAGGTAGTGCGTGTTGAGCGTGAACGCCTGCCGCTCGAGGTCGGCGAGCCAGTCGATCTTGTGCTTCGCGCCCTCGAGGCAGGCCTTGACGAGCTCCTGGACGAGGAGGCTGGGGAAGGGTGAGCGCATGCGATAGATGCAGGAGAGGGGCAGCCTACCGGACGCGTTGCTCGAGCAGGCCTTGCCCGAAGGTGCCGAAGTGGTCGTGGGTGAGATTGCGGACTCGCACGGCGAGGTCGCGGTAGACGGCGTCGCAGAGCGCGTACGCCGGTGCGTTCCAGTGCCGGGTGAACCGCGTCACGTAGGCCTGCTTGACGACCCACGGGAAGTTCCCTGGAAGCTCGCGCGTGCGTGCTCTGTAAGCCCCTTGATCACGAACATTCACGGACCCATGCACCAAATCACTTACTGCACCGCAGCCTCCAGAACCTCGTCGATGAAGATCTCCCTGCCCTCCTCCCCCTCATCCTCCGCCGGCTCGTCTTCGTTCTCTAGGAATCCGGGCGACGAAAACGAACGCTCGCTGGCGAAGCGGCGCTCGTATGGGCGGAAGGCGGGTGCACTGCCCCGGATGGCGCGCCGAAACGTCTCCTGCGCGGGCCGCAGCTTCTGGTGAAGACCGTCGGGGTCGGGCACGCCGGCGACTTCTGCCGCGACCGCCTTCGTGAAGGCGTGGACGAGGCGCATGATGTCGGCGCGCGGGTCCGCAGATGGAGGGGGCGGAAGCTGCTCGAGCATCTCGGATACACCGCGCAGGGCGGCCTCAATCTCGTCGTGGATCTCGGGCAGCCTGAAGACAGGGTCAGCGAGCGTCGAAGCGCTATACTGAACGCGTGCACCCACCTCTTCGCAACCAGATCCGAGAGAATATCGCTCAAGCGCTTGATGAGGTTCGTCGTCCTCAGGTACTTCTGATACATGGCGTCCATCTCGCTCCACGGCGGCGTCGACGAGAAGAAATTGTTCTCGCTCTGGCGCGCCTCCGCCCAAGTGATGCCCTGCTTGAGCTCGTGCGAGCTGGGCTGCTTGACGGAGAACCAGTTGTGCTCGAGCGGCTCCTTCTCGTTCTTGATGAAGGAGATCCAGTGGTGCTCCTCCCCGCTGGGAATGCGGTCGGGCTTGGTGAGGACGCCTGATGGAGGTGTGACCAATTTGTTGCACAGGGTAATGCGAGGGGATCGTACCGACGGTGCGCTTGCCATCGGGGTCGAATTCTTTGGCCAGGCGATGCGCGCCCTGATTCTCGAAGTCCGCTGTGGAATGGGGTATTACAATAGGTTCAAAGGGAGGCATGCACGAAGGACGTACTCTCGCAAGCGACGGTGAGCAGGATAACACAGCTCGGCTTCTTGATGTACGACTTGACCAGGTTTTCGACGAGCGCGATGTCGTTCGAGTTTCCCGAGCGCCCGACGCTAGCAATCAAACCTGCCATCGCACTCAGTATATCGTAATCAAGCAGACGACCCCAACTCACCAGGCAGATCACAAAAGCTCAGGTCCGCGACCTCAGGACCACTGATACGCAGCTCAACGCAGTTGCTCGAGAACGTCAGCTGCCCCTCCGGATCCGACACCTCATCCGACTCCGTCGTCAAGAAATGGTCCGAGCGCATCCGGGGATTCAGGATAGCGCGCTGAGCACGACGGAGTCGGTCCTCCACCTCCGCCTTGTCGTAGATGACGTCCCCGAAGGCGACGATGCGCGCCTGGCCGAGAGCCTGTCCGTTCTCGTCGACGGTGAAGCGGAGGGCGACGCTGCATTTCCAGCGGCCTTCCGCGCGGGCGAGACGGCATTCGGTGGGGCAACTGAGAACGGCGTCAGAGAGGGTGATACGTGAGGGAGGCGGAGTAGGGCTTACCGCGTACAGGTACCCGCTGCGCGAGGGAGGGTGACGCCGGAGATGGACTCGATGAGGGAGGATTTTCCAGCGCTCTGAGACCCAATTACGGCGATCTGGGGGAGGTCTGAGGGGTATGATGAGAACCGAAGGGGGCTGAAGTTGACGAGACGAACCGATGTCCATCTGGACACTGCGAAATAGTCAGTGCATGAAGTATCACTGGAGTAGAGAGCACACACCCTGTACTGTGTAACTTGTTGACCAAGTCCAGCATCGCCCGGCGACCCTTGCCAACGGTGGGATCGGAGAGACCGACGCCAGCATGATCCCCATTGTCAGACCCACTGAACGACGAGGAGTAGCTGGCCGTGTCGCTGGTCTTGGGGGTATCGGTCATGGTCGTAGTAGAAGGAGTCGACTTGAGAACTGAGACGAAGTAGGAGGCGCTGAGGCAAGACGAAGTGGAAAGTGCTCTGAAGCGAGGCCGCCAAAGCCCGCGCCTTATGAGGGAGCCAGGGTGGCCGTCAGTTTGACCACTACCTGCCTCGTGCAAGGAGGCAATCAAGCGGATCGCAGGAGAGCCACAACGTAACCTTGTACACTTTAAGCGCCTTCAATAAGCGCCCAGGTGCCAGACCTTCTCTGGCTTCGCACATTGCACGGTCAGAATGCGTACATTGTCAATGCTGATAAATGTTTGGCTGTCGTTAACATCACGACAGCAAAGCACAAAAATCCTTCGTGAGCTGAGAGTGAGCCCGAGGAGATACCAGCATCTTGGAACGCACATACCAGAAATTTGTCGAGGAATGTACTTTGCTGACGACGATCCGCGGTGGAAGAAGCTCGAGAAGAAGACGAAAGTCGCCTCCACCCAACAAGCCCAGAAGCCAGAGGCGTGCCTGTTGTCATCCGTCGTCCACAGACTGCCGAGTAAGGATAAAGCATGTGCGTGGCAACCACTCCTGCGGACTCCGAGCATGGTCCCGGCAGGCTTGATGTAAGCATCATTCAGGATGCCCGCCGGCTAGCCTGATACTCCATTATGCATGCTTCGCCGTAGCGAATCCAATGCGCTCGTTCGTAGTATCATAAACGCTGTAGTAATGCCTGCAGGGCCCCATCAGTCACCAAGCCGAACAAGTGACCCACGCCACTCACTCAAAGAACTTCTGCCCCACAAAGAAATTCCCTTCTCCCGCTGTGCTGACAAACGACCAGTGCGTGCCCTCCGGCAGCCCCCACACAGCATACTGGTCCTCGGGCACCATATACATATCCGGCGTGAGGTCGAACTGGCGGCCGCCAATTGTGAACGCGAGCACGCCCGTCGGGCGCTCGTCGAACCGGCTGAGGTAAACCTCCTGGTCCCAGACGCCCCCGGAGAGGGAGAGGAAAGGAAAATAGACGTCGGGCGGGATGTAGATGTTGGTGGTGCCGGTGTCGAAGAGGCCCTGCCAGGTAGGCGTGCCGAGGGATTGGTTGTTGTAGGAGACGGCGTCGATGGGGGCCATCCAGCTGCGGATTTGGCCGTCGCGGGTGAGAGCGGGAGCCCAGGTGATGTCGCCGGTGTAGCGCGAGGTGTCGACGCCGCCGACTGAGGAAAGTACCAGCATATATCGAGGTGACGACGGAGCGGAATGATGTACTCACTCGTCACCTCCCCGTTGACAGCGTACGCTGTCTCGCGAGGCAGAGGCTCGAAGTAGACACCGAGCACTTCCTCATCGATGCGACCTTGAGCGAGCAGGTTATTCATCAGCGTGGGCACAAGCTCGACGCCGTCGACGGTGTTGTTCGTCTGCAAGACCCCACCCAATCCCAGGATACCGTCGATGCCTTGGTACCCGTATCCCTCTTCATACGCCGCGACACCGATGGACTGGTTGTGCACAGTGAGGTCTCCGATGGTGACCTAAGCCTCGGAGATGAGAAACAGCTGGATATATGCGTGAATAGAAGGCGTACCGTGTCATACCATTCGGTCCCATTCATATAGCCGGAGCCGTAGGTTATCTCGGCGAACTTATTGGTGCTGCGAAGGTGTCAAGTTCTGGTTCGGGCCGAGTCGACGATGGCAAGGAAAGACTTACTTTAACGCGTCTACACCCGGAACGTACGTCCGATTCGCGCCAATCCATGTGTTCGACGACCCGGTATCGACGAGTAGGTTGAAGGTCTGTTACCGTCGCGCCGGTTCAGCTGTAATTTCGGGATTGAGAGAGATGAATCCTACCTGTGTACCAACAGTAACATTCGCGAAGTAGTTCTTCGCGTTGTTGCCAACTGGGACCGCCGCCGCCGCTATCAGTAAGGGCGCGCCGAGAGCTGCTACTGCGCGGGACAACATGAAGGACATCATGAAAGTTGCAATCCGGAAAGCACTGCTCATCGAGGACCCTTTAGGAGCGAAAAGCCTCGGCGTTGGTGCGGCCGTCGTATGTTAGACAAGGTCGCTCTGAGCGGTGTTCGTCGATAACCGCGGTCCATTGAGAGCCGCACACGTCAAGCGGCTGAGAATTGGTAAGTATGCCCGACGAAAGCCATCCATATGCTTTCACCAGCCAGCGTCAACCCAAGGTGCCTGCGGGCGCTTGAGCTCGTCAATGATCCCTTTAAAGCCCTTCAAGGAAACTGAGACTGGAGCGAGCAGCAAACAAAATATATTGCAAACATGGTATACCCGGCGCTGCAGCGATGTGGTAGTCGTCGAGCATGGGGATGATGGTCGTTCGTGACGAAGAGTGGTGGGACTTGCCGAACTCGGAAACGTAGAGATGGCATGTCACATGTGACAATGATCTTCCCACGATCATGATCGCAACTCGTCACGGTTCATCTTCAGGTCGTGTGCCAGAGTGCCCATCGAACATTTGTACAAGTGATGAGCTCGACGCTCCCCGAGTCTTTTTCACGGCACATGCTGCTTTCCTGGGAGCTATGTTTAGGAGCCCTACTGAAATTTTCGTAGGTGCTGTAGCATGCGCACATGAAGCACGAAGCAAGAGAGCAACGAAAGACGAATAAATCCGTACGCGTAAAATCCAACGATCGACATATCTCAACTTCAGTCAATCGTCTGTTAAGTCGATCACCTCGCCTTGAATGAACGTCGACACATCCTCAAGCTTCACCCGGTCGTTGCCTTCCTGTCTATATAACCGCAGTCGCGCCTGACGAAGTGCCTCCTGCGCGGCTTGTCAGTAAAGGGTTTCATTAGGAGTAGAGGCGGAAGCAGAAATAGAGGTGAGATGATAAGGGGGAGTGGAAGCGGAAGCGGAGTTCAATGATTTCCTTGACGCACGCACCTCCGCCTGACGAACCGCTTCTCTGTCGCGCTCTATTGCCTCAATGTCCACAACTTCTCGCTTCAGAGGTCGCTCGTGTAGTAGATCCTCTGATGCCTTGCGCTTTCGACTCTCCGCCGCTGAGGACACATCTGCGATTTGTGAACGCGCTGGCTTTGTGTCCGAACTCAAAGGGTTCGTGTCCGCGATTTGCGAAGCGCAACTTGGTGCGATACCCTTGGCGCGCAGGACGTCTGAGTAGACATCAGCTGGCAGACCCAACCGACAAACACTCTGCATACCTATGCTGCGATAGTGGAAGGTGAACGTGGCGATGGGATTGTCGTCTAATACCTCCGAAGCAATGCTTCCTGGTGACGGAATCTTCTTGGCTTCTCCCAAGCTACGTACGCGTCAGCACAATTTGTATCAAAGGTGCACAAAGCTATCCACTGACACGACGACATGGGCGAGGCCTTTCTTGGCCTTCTCGTGAACACGAGCGGGCACAAAGCCCTGGTTGAACGTTCGCCCCTCTCGCGGCCTCGTATCATCCAAAAGACGAGCCCTCCACACTTCGAGGGTTATCTCTCCATACTTCCGCGTGTCGGCCTGCAGTATGTCGTCGTCGTCTGGTCGGAATATAGTCAGTATACGAGCCTCTGAGCCAGTGGAGCAGCCTCTTCGTACCTGTTAGCTTTAATGCACCAAACTGCACCACGCGGCGCTCTGTCAAGGAGACGCGCACATCCCTGTGCCAGTGCTCGTCCGACGCAGAAGAAGAAAATATCTTTCCGTCGCTCCGCTGTATACCGTCGATGTAGAGGGAGGTACTGAGGCAGCACTTCGCTCGCGCTTTCTTGCCGGGATCGCGGCAAACGACCTGGAATTGCTGTTCGGCAGTTGGGTGCACAAAGTCAGAGCACATAGCGAGCAGGTCTTATGCACATACCTGCCCAACCTTGGAGGGTATCCATGCCGAACATGTCTTGCTTCCTTCGGTATCACAATGCTCGACGCCGTATTCCTCCAGTGGCTCGAGACGACCGTCCACGTCCACGCAGACCTGGCACTCCAGATTCCCAATGTTCATCCTGACGGAGGCAACAGGGTAAGTTTCCGCGCAGCTCGTGAGTCGGCAGCACTAATACTACGCGCGCGTGACGGAGAACTTATAAGCCCCGTTTGAGAAACGTGACCGCGTTCATTACGTGAGCCACGCGAGCTGGGCGCCCACAACGATCAACAGCCACAAATATCGGCAGCCACCGTCATGTCGCTCACGCCATTTGTAAGGTATATGTACGCTGTTGTCAGTTTACCGCGTGAGGCATGAGGAGAGTAGACAGATAGTGATATATGAGTGCTCACGTACAGAATCCGAGGACTCGAGAGCATTGCCATGCACGGTAAGGAACGAAAGCAAGATACCATTACCCAAGGATATCGTACATGAGCGCACACTATATGAACATACAGTAAGTAGATAGAAGTACATGAAAGCGGCGGCGTTTTTGGAAGTACAGACGCAACACGGAGTGGGAAGTCCAGCGAGGAGACGCAGCGCGTCGTGGGTCCGACAAGGGCACGACGCACTGGGAGATACAGATACAGAAACGCGTCGATCCTCGGTAAGTTCTGAACGCGTCAATCTTCTGTGAGATCTATCACCTCCCCGCTGATGAAGCTCGTAATCTCCTCAATCTTGACTTTCTTATTGCGCCGGCGCTGCTCAAGCTCCTGCTTCGCGCGGCGGTATTGCTCCTGTGGGGAGTGAGCAACACGCAAGTAAGATAGATACTGCGACGCGCACCTCGATCTGGCGAACGCGTTCCTCAGCCTCGTCCAGTGCCACGAGATCGATCTCCGTCTTAATCTCCGGTTTGACGTCCTGGGCCTCGGGCGTCAGTGCCTCAGATGCGCGGCGTTTGCGGCCAGCGCCGGGCCCTGGGCTGCTGGAGGATGAGGTAGCGGAGGGACCGACAACTGGGATGTCGGCTGCAGGGGAGGGTGATCTTAGCGGAGGAGCGATGCCATTGGCACGAAGCATATCTTCATAATGATCAGACAAAGAGGATGTTGGGTTCACCGGGAAACGCACTGATCGTCCTATACCGAAAGATGAAGGTGGCTAGCCGTTCTACGTAGTCGACATCTACACATTTCCTTTTCGGAACAGTCTCCTTGGCGCCAAATCTGCATCACAAGCGTCAGTCTCCTCCTATGATGATGATGTTTTGCCACGCACTTGACGGCAAGCTGGAGGCCTTTCTTGGACTTCTCGTGCATCTTGATGCTCTCCTTCGGCTCGACGCCTTTGAATGGCACTTCCTTCCCAATCTTAACGCGCCAGACGACGACCTCAATCTGCCCGACGTCTTTCGCGTCCTCCCCCAAGTAGGCGTCGTCGTCTGTGGGATGTCGATGAACATTTAAAGTGCAGGCGGTGCTAGATGACGGACCTGTGAGCTCCAGTGCGGCGAACTGGAGCGGCCGCCCCTCTGTTGCGCTGATATGCGCGTAGGACTTATGTGCCTCGTCGCCCAAGCGCCGCGGGACTTCGAGAATCCCCCCACCACAGTAGATGCCGTCGATTTTCAGCTTGCCAGTCGTAGCTCGCGTCCTGTCGGGGTCACGCCAGTTGACGCAGAAGGCCTACGGTTCGTGTGAGCCAAAGGAAGCACCTCAGAGCCTGCGACGCGTACCTGGTCCGGCTCGGACGCAATCCACGCAATACGCTCTTTCTTCTCGTCGTCCTCCTCGATGCCGTATTCCTCAAGTCGTGCGCCATTGACGGTTATCCAACAGGTCAAGTTATCGAGTTGCATCTTGCGCTTCGCGTAGGATATTTGTTGTGAGAGCTACAGTAGACAAGCAAGGCCACAGAGGAGCCGGAATCAAGACGGCTGGTGCAGCTGAGTAGCCCAGAGACCTCGGTGGCGTGAGAGTGCAATGGTCGATGCGCCCGCCGCCCGGAATGTGATTCTATCACGATCACATGGTCGCGTGCTTTCCACGTGTAGGACCCGCTGACCTTCAACCGGCCACCGCGACATCGATTGCTTGCTTCTGTATCTCAACTTGGAAAGGGGCCGGAAGACGGCCATTGTCACAAGGAGATGCAGCGAAAGCATAAGTGAGGTTCGTATGATTACTCGTCATACATCGTGCCCTCAAGGTCGAACAACTGTTCGATTGTCCAAGCCATCACTTTATCGAGTCTGATTAGCGCGTGCTCCATTCTCCTTCATCTACATCTCGCATAGACTCGTCAAGCCCCCAACCACTAGATTGGCACAGCTCACATGATGAGACGCCACTGTTGCCCCTCCGACCCATAACCGACGTGATCCGTGGCTGCTGCTACCTCGACTCCTTCAATCTTCACACATTGGGGAGGCACTTCCTTAAGGGCTTGGCGCATGTGATCAGTTATAGGGAGCGCTGGATCGACCTTCGGCAGTGCGATGGGATATTGGGATGGCATGGGGGCAATTCCGCATGCGCGCAGCATATCTGCCAGACGACTAAACGAGTGAAAATGGGGTAGGGAGGACTAAAAGCGCACCTATACTTCGATAGCGGAAGACAAAGCTGGCTATCGGTGCGTCACCAACCCGCACGATGTGTTGGTCGCGAGACGCCGGATACAATATGGGCGCGCCGAATCTAGCAGCGCGGTCAGACAATCGTTCGTCTAGCAGATGGAATGGAGAATAGGCTTACGTGACAGCGTGAGTGACGGCCTTCTTCCCCCTCTCGTGCGCCAGCGCAGGCGGGGGTACAGTATACGAGTTCGGGACCTTCTTGCACTCTGGCCTAATGTCGCAGCGCCATATGTCGACGGCGATCTCGCCGAAGTTACGCTGTCCATAAAGGAGGTACGTATCGTCGTCGTCTGCCAAGTGCGTGAGTCTAAGCTTGTTCACATAATTTAAGCTTGTTCCCCGAGCGCAAATTCTCCCCAAGACCACATGGACCATCACCACTCACCGGTCAGCCGCAACGCCCCAAACTTCAACCTCCGGAGCTCCTGCGGACCCGTGCGTACGTACTTCTGTACGCACAGTTGCTCCCCTTTCTTCAGCATGTGGCCTTTGTACTGGGCGCCGTCGATGCGCGGGTAGGAGCCGGTCACGCGCATAAACTTTGGGTCGTGGTAGACGATGGAGAATTCCTGGGAGGAGAGAGGGGGGGGCGGAGAGGGGGTGAGGGAGGAGAGTGGACGGAGAGGGAGGGGAGGAGAGGGACGGAGAGATAGAGTAGAACGTCAGTTCATGCCACTGCCATCCCGAATACAATGGCAAGTATACGCACCTGATCAATCCTCGAAGGTATCCACGCCATACAAGTCCTCCCGTCGGCGGAGCGTTGCACGCCGTACTCATTGAGTGCCATCCCGCCTTTCACCTCGATCAAGCATTCGATGTCGCCCACCTTCATCGTGTTACGTTGATAGCAGGCCGTGAAATCGGTCGGAAAAGCAGGTGGCAGAGCGAGGATGGGTGGCGTCGAGCACTAGCGTCGTTAGAGATAGAAAACGCAAAAGCACGAGACGTATCCTTAAGTACGTGGGCATTGGCCACAGACCCGCTGCCACCGCGAAGGTCTGAACATCAGACACCTTTGTTGGCTTACCTTTGCGACTCACTAGCCGAACAACGCCTCAATGGGTCATTGGTCCGCGTAAGTTCGTACAAGGAGCAACGTCCATCGCGCATTAGTATTACAATCGGGTCATGGCACATAATTACATTTCTATTGGCTGCTTCTTTCTCTACTCTTCGAACTTGAACACTGGAGAGAAAGTCAGTCACCCGGTCGTACAGAAGGCTGGATATATACTCACCGCACGCTCCGCTACTAGGCTTCGTCGCAAAGATCGCATCCTTGAGCTGAGCCTCCGACAAAGCCTTGTACGGCTCATACTTCGCCTTCACCTGCTCAATGAAGCTCTCGACCTTATCCTCCGAGACCAACGACACAGAGCAGCCGCCCCAGCCCGCGCCAGTCAGCCGGCTCCCCCACGCACCCGCCTCGCGCGCGATGCTCGTGAGCGTGTCGAGCTCCTTGCACGAGCAGTTGTAGTCCTCCGCGCAGCTCTTCTGCGACTCGTTCATTAGCGCGCCGAGCTTCGCGAAGACGTCGGGCGGGCTCTGCAGGCAGGTGTCGCGGAACTGAAGCACGCGGAGCGCCTCGGAGAAGACATGTTTCGCGCGCTTGTAGAGCTGGAAGCGGGTGGCTTCGACTAGAAGGACATGTAAGCGATCGGGGGTGTAAGTCAGTCGACGGCAGAACGCACCTTCGACCCAGCTAAGGTATACGTCTTGGAACTCCTCCTTCGACAAGCCGGTCAACTCGATCATCTCCTCGAGCGTCACGCCAAGCTCGCCCTCGGGCGCATTCTTGGGCTTCAAGACCTCAATCTCCTTGTCCATCCGCACGAGCACATCCCTGAGCTCGCCATCGCTCATCGGCTTCTCCTTATCCTCCTTCACCAACCGCCCCACGACCTCTCTCAGCGTGATCTTCTCCTTCGGCCCCACAGGCAAGTTCAACGCGCGCGCCAGCGCCCTCGCTCCAGCCAGTGTCTCCACCACACGCAGGTTGTAGTTGAACTTCGCTGTGACCGCCTTGTCCGACACAACGAGGCTGTTGGCGATGACAAAGACCGCACCAGCGGGGAGTGGGGTCGGGTCCGCGGCGAGCTTCGGATAGAAGGTGATGTAGAGCGCCGCTGAGGGGGTGGAGATGACGGACGCTGCTTGATCCATACCGCCACTGTTGACGCCAACCCGCTGTTCGTTCTGCATGGCCATGCCGACGAGGGCGCCTTTCGTGAGGCGGGTGGTTTCGGGCTCGTCGAGCTTGCCGTTGACGGAGAGGAAGGCGAGGGTGCTGGCGCTATGGGGTTGTGAGTATGAGCGCCGGAATGATGGGCGACTGGCTTACACGACCATCGCAGCGCTCGAAGACAACCCGGACCTGTAGAGGGACAATGAGAACGGCGAGTGAGAATATTAGCGCAGTGGCGCACCCTGCGGGAACCGAGCCGGTGACCAGGAGATCAACAGGGACCGGAGGCGCCGAAGACGAGGAGGCAAAGTACTCGTTTAGCACACCCTATTCGATCGTTGAATACGGATCTCGGACATAAGCGAGAAGTACGCACGTAATATCCGGCCTTCACATAGCTCTCCCAGTGCAGCTCCTTCGTGTCAATGTCCAGCTTCCACGCGCGCACGGCGTCCTCCGATGCCGCCAACTTGTCCGACTGCAAGAGCGGCGCAAACGCTTGCGGACCGTACTTCTTGGCCAGGTTCTGCGCGACGACATGTCCGGGCTCCAACTGCACGGAGCCCGCCTTGCTCGGTGCGCACGCGATCAGGATGTCGGATTCGACCGCCATCGGCTGCACGCCGAAGAGCGCATAGTCGATGTGCTCGCCTGTAGGCGCCCCGTACGTCAGCGCTGCCCCCACGCCGTACAAGACCTTCCTTGCGCACCTATCAAACTGGAATTCGGGTATAAGCCATGAGATCGACGCCGATCGCGCTGATCACTCACTTGACTCTTCCGGGCGCACGCGCGATGTACTTGGGCTTCCCCCCAAAGCGCTTCTCGAACTCGTCGATCAAGTTGTTCCAGCGGGGGGCGTGGCTGGCGGCTGTCCCGAGGTTGTCATACAACTCAGACAAGCTTGTGTAGATGGGGATTGGTGCGAGGGCAGCCATGATGATGGGGGTAGGTTTGTGGGAGGATGATGGTGCGGGCTGGGAGGTTTATATACCGTTCCTGACCAATTCTCGGACCACAGAGCCCAGCGGCGAGGTCGGCGCGGGTGTAGACTCAACAAATCCGCATGCCCCGCACCGACCCACATGACGCACTCCGGTTGATCGACGCCGTCTCACGCTCTGTTTTGGGCTGAAGAATTCGGGAAAAATAAGGACGCTGCGTAGACTCGCTAGGATGGCGAGTGCGCACCTTTCAGACGTTCCCCAGAACCCTACGATGCATCTCCGTAGTTCGAAGAGTTGGGGGAGGCGGGGGCCCCGGACCGCTGCCCGCGGGGCGCGCCCGGCTCAAGACGACTCCGCATGCTCTCGAGCGTCGGTCCGGACATTGTCATCGTCGGAATTGGTTAAGGGGAGCGGCCCAGTCACCGCCAGATTGCGCGCGACCTTGGAGGCTTGGACGGCCGACTGGACGATGATGGCGCAAATCAGGACGACTTCGCGCTTTCAAGCGAAGCTCGATCGTGTGCCCATGACCACGTCAGGAGAGGAATAAGTGCGAAGATAGCCCTCGACGACTCTGTGGAGGGAGACGAGGGCTGGGGTTTGCCGGTGTCGGCCAAAGGGCGGGTTGCATTCGGCGACACCACGTGAGCCACGTGCTGCGCGCCTGCAGCCACCCACATAACCGCGGACTGGCCGACGTAACGGTGACTGCCGCGCCTTGCGGCTAATGCGGGATGAGGGTGATGCGACTCGGGACGGCTAACATCAACGCGAATGCAGGATGTGCTCCGAAGAGCTATAGCATCGTGGAAAGCGCGCCGTTAGGCTAACGCCAGAGGAGCACACCTTGCGACTAACGCTCTGATAGATGATGCGCCCTAAAGCACTAGCATCGACGATAGATGAGTGATGCGCGCAATAAGCTAACGCAGGAATGAGGGTGCGCCCGAGGGCTAACGCTGGATCGTTCGGGAGGATGAGTAGAGTGGTAGAAATGGATGTATTGCAACTGAGATCGCGTATTTGGAACGCGTAAGACGAAGGGGAGGTGGGTGAAGGTCGTGTATTGATGATGTAGGATAGGTGGTGGCATCGTGATTGCGAGAGGCAATTGTGTGCCTGCAAAGAGCGACTGAAGGGTCGCATATACTGGGAGAGCGCTCTCGGACGGCCGCGGTGAGACACAGCAAGCTGACGCACTTGTAGGTCCTCGGTGCCCATCAACTGGCTGGGCTCAGGTACGATGAGCGTCGAGGCTTGGTTATGGCGTCTCTTAGATATTACGGGGTGGCGCCTGCGTCGTCGTTCTTGCACAAGTGGATAGAAAAATGGACCGAGGGGTATGCCAGGAGGATTGGATGATAGCCCGCGGGGGGTCCACGATCGACGAGCCCCGGTGTCCGATCGCCTCAAGAAGCAGGTGTATGCTGGGTATATGCGCCTCGAAAGGGCCTGAGAGCATGCCGACATGGCTTCCCGCTCGTGTGGAGGCCCTAGGTTGTCGTGGTTGTAAGACTAGACAGGCCAAAAGAGATACGACTGCAGGAGCCTCGAGGCGATGGAGGGCAGAGCGGAGAAGCGATCGCGGCCGACGCACTCACCCTGTTTATCTGGAGCGCGCACGTGGAATGCACGCGAGATATGTGATCAGGTCCCATCACATCACATTGCTCCGTCCTTAATGAACGCGTTCACGGCGCGCCCTTTCCCCTTACCTCCCACTTGTGCGCACAAGGACCTAGCTTTCTGAGGCATTTCGACTATTGATTCTGATTACTCACAAGCTACGAACTATGAAATTGGGTCAACTGAGCTGCTGGATCTCTGTCGGCGGCATATATCTCTCGGAACATGGCGTCGAGATCGACGAGGACAAAGGGGAATCATCTGCATGGGTTCCTTCCAAGCCGGGATGGGTGCGTTACATACTATACAGCTGCGCCTCTATATCTGACAACAAAATCAACGCCAGTCTTTCACTGTCCATTGGCACGACCCCGATAGAACACGCGCCACCAGCGGTCGCATCAAACTGGATGGAAAGGACTATGGCGGAACCATACTCCGAGAGACACGTTCCTTTGACGAGATCAAGAAATCCTCCGTGAATTTTAGCCCCACGGAGGCGCGTCCCTTCCATTTTTCCAACCTCGAGTTCGCAGGCGCGTCCTCCCTTTGTTCCCCAATGATCTCCGCCATTTACCAATCTGCACGACTTTTAGACAACGACACCCTTCTGAAGAAGGAGAGCGACTGTCTAGGCTCTATTACGCTCAGAATCTGGCGTGTTAGCGTTGTGGGCCAGGCAGAGTACAGCGGGAACAAGGTGTCGGATTCCATAGCTTGCCAGATGCACGAACGAGCGAAGAATGGCCTCGAGTACGCAATCAGGTATATACGTCTTCAATAGCTTCAGTCATTCCGCGCTGACCTGTACAGGTTTGGGGACGTGCGGAGCGCGCCTATTCGCGGCGTCGAAGTCGATTATCTGGATGAAACGCCGATCGCCACCTTTACCTTCAGATATAGGAGCCTAGGTAAGCGCAAATCGTCGTTCAAAGTCCAAGATAGTCACACTTATCTCCTGCAGATACATTATGCTCCAAAGGCTTAGTGAAAGCTCCCCTCGCAGGCCCACGTTCGGACACACCTGCCCGCGCGTCATCAAACACTTCGTCTGGTTCCACTACATCCACTACATCCGCTCCTACCAGTCGTAAACGGCGCGCATCTGCTCTGGACTCGCCAGAGCCGGAGGAGATCCAGGACGACAAGGCTGATACTGTCACTATTGTCCATTTGGAGAAACTTGAGGACGAGCTTCGGCAAGCTTATGTGCGTACCTTCGTCTTGCTCGTTCATCTAATGTTTTGTGATGATCGCTACATACGGGATGTCTGACAACTTCCTAGGCAAACTTCTTCAGCCACAAGGGAGCCAGGAAGTATCTCCGTAAGGCAAAGAGGGCGAAGCTGGAGGAAGGAACCACCGCCAGTAGCGGCGAGGTTGTGGACCTGCCCGAAGTCCACGAATAAACCGTCGCCTCAGACCTGCTTACAGCTACCCTTCTTACAACACGCTGTATACAATCCACCCTAGATGTATCATTTCTTGTATCCATATTAACGTACATAGTCCTATGTAACTCCACGCCGCCACTCGCGGCCAGTGTGACAGGCCCGTGACCGGCCGAAGCCGAACCCCGTTAAGGTAATTCACTCTTTGCTTCTCTCCATCACGGACCTACAACTCGAGGCAACCTCGCTGACGCACGACGCTCCCTTTGTCTTCGTGTAAGTCTTTTGCATCTGTCTCAAGGTGCTTCAACACTGTCGCGAACTGCTTTGGCCGTACCGTCTACTTGGCTATCGCATCTGCTCGCCCTCCGCCGCCATGAAGTGCAACAAGCTTGAATGCTACATCACGGCGGACAAGCAACGACTCGACGAGTATGGCGTTGACTTGAACGAGGAAGAGAACACGTGCTCGACATGGATACCTTCGAAGGCCGGGCAGGTAATACGTGGATCTTCAGGTGACTGTGTGGAGACTTACCACTCCTACCGCTCCTTCAGGACTTCGCTGTCGTTCTCGCCGATCCTCAGAAAGCGCATGCGGCGGACAGCTTGGAGCTCAACCTCTTTTTTGATGGTGTCAGATGCGAGGACTCTGTCGTGCCGAGTGCACACTCTTCCAAAGTCTCTACCTTGCGCGACACCATCGTATCTGAAACCGAGCGCCGCAACTTCCAATTCGCTGCGCTGGAGCTCACTGGTCCGTTCTTCCTCACGCTCCAGTCTCTAACTGACTCTCCTGACCCTCGCCGAAGACGATGACTCGTTGCTCGGGAAGAGTGTCCAACGCGCAGGCGAAATCAAGCTTGAGGTATGGCGCTGTCGCGTGACAGGCAAGGGGGGCTACTTGCGCGGGAAAGCCGTTTCGGGCCCTTCTAAAGTGCACGAGAAGACAAAGAAAGGGCTCGCACACACTGTGGGGTGAGTGAAGTCTAATCTAGCCCGCGCTCCTTCTAGTACTGATCAATGTGTTAGGTACGGTAAGGCTGAGAAGGCGAAGCGAAACAGATCGGTTTATGCCGATAAGGTGGGTCAAAAGCCCATTGCTACATTTACCTTCTATTATCGTAGCCTAGGTACTTTCTCATCTTCACCTCGCAAGCATACAGCTGATTTGTTGCCTTAGACATCCTCCGCGCCAACGGCATCGCACCGAAACCCGCTGAGGAAACCAGATCAGAGTCGCGCTCCCCATCGCCAGAAAGCTCGACTGCGAGGAAAGGGAAGAAGCGCAAAGCGTCCGACGAATCCGAGCCGCAACAAAAGAAGATCAAGCCTGAGGTCGTCGACATCGAGGAGTTGCAACGGATAGAAGACCGAGTGCGGCAAGCGGAGGTTCGTATGGTTGCTCATTTCCGCGTCTCATCACCGCTTCTTCTTTTCATAACTGTATCTTCTCTCTTGTCATTGCACCTTCGTTCGCTTGCTGACCGATCTCCGCTTATACAGGAGGAGCTCCGCAAAGCCAGACTCGAGATGTATCGACAGCGCGGGAACGAGCGGGTGAAGCTCGAGGATGTGTCGACCTTCGTGCCTGGGGAGGTCATAGACTTGACGGACGACTGACGAGGGCTTTCTGGCACTTTTATACCCTTCGCCCTTTACGCGTCATATGATATTCCCCGAGTTATCGGTCCTCATAGACACTGGCATGACGGCGATGCTGTCGTCGCCGGACATACAGTGCCAGCACGCTCAAGCTCTTTTGGCAAGTCACAATGCACTCTCGGCCATCCGAGGTCTTCCAATCTACTATCTACCGAATCCTTCGCTCTCCGGTGTGGCAGTATCAAAGTCGCATGGCACGACAAGCCACGACGCGGTCGTGATCGGCGACAGCCCACGCGGGGGTTACGGCATGTGTCTCTCTGGAAGCCACGCTGCCGGCTCTCTCACCATCGTGTTGAACCAGTACCGCGACAGCCTCGATTGCAGCCCGGCGTAGACGTTACCGCATGCACTGTGGTCGAACACTAGCTCGGTAAACATCAGTGCCTCCGAACGAATTCGCTATGAGGATAGGGAACCTCGAGTGCTGCGTCAAGGCCGACCTTAAGCGCCTCGAGGAATATGACGTCCGCCTTTCTAAGGACGGAAAGAAAGGTACCGCATGGATCGCATCCAAAGTTGGTCAGGTCTGTTTTCTTCATTCTGCTTTCACCGGGCTGCAGTAAGTCTTACTCCATTCCCCAAATACTCGAACACGTAGGAGTTCTACCTCGTCTGCGCTGACCCTCACAAGCGCACGCGGGCGACATGCAGCCTCGACGTTGAGGTGGAAATTGACGGCTTGAAGAGCGGGCTGCATATAATAGAGAAAAACCGCAAGACGAATAAGATCTACATCCGGGACGTGCTCGTGTCGTCGACGGAATCACGTAAATTCCAGTTCGGCGCATTGGACCTCACTGGTAAGTGCACTACAGCCTCGTTGCGCGTCTGCATAACTCACCTCGCTGAAGATGATGATGCGTACCTTTATACTAGTCAACGTCGCATTGGGGAAATTGTGGTCAAGTTTTGGCGCTCCTGCATCAATGGTTTGAACGATGAGATGGACGCAGATACGGCCGTTCAGGATCCCACTCCGGTGCATGAGAGAGAAAAGAAAGGCTTCCTCCACGTCGTACGGTAAGCCAGTTCTCTGGTCGGCTCTTTGGTGACGCTGACTAGAACGCCGCAGGCTCGGCAAAGTCGATACCATCAGCGCACAGTCGGGAATTACTGCGAGGAAGTTGGACGATGAACCCCTGGCCGTATTCACCTTCTACTACCGCGGGATAGGTCAGTCATATTTGCTTGGGTGACTACTCGTTCCTGAGGTCCGTACGAGATGTCCTCCGCGCCGATGGTATCGCGCCGAAGCCTCCCTCCGAGGAGCTTGTGTCGCTCTGTTCCACCTTGGAGTTTGCCTCCACCTCTATCCCGACCGCAGTCAAGCGCAAGGCGTCAGAAGAGCTGCTTCCTGAGCTTCCAAAGGTGAAGGTCAAAGACGAGGAGTTCAAGCCCGCGTCCAGATTCATTATACAGCCTCATACGCCGGCTTGGACTACGTTTGAGGTACGGCGACTCGTGATCTCATAATATTATCTTACGCTGATCTGTCTGAAAGCCTTTGTGGTATACATCACAGCGTGTTGATTGCAGACACGGAAAAAAAGAAGTAGTGAAGTCCGAGAAGGCATCCCCTTTCGTTCCCGGTGAAGTCATCGACCTCACTGGCGAGTGAGGCGATGGAGATGAAACTGGAATCTTCCTAAGTCCTACCTCAGTGCTACGTGCTGCTCGGTAGTGTCAACCTCTTTCTTGGATTTCTTGAATATCTTGAATCATGCTTGCTGCAGCACGAGTTTCAAACACCTATTGCCTTCTTACAACCTATCGCACAAGCAAGTTATCATTTTAGATGAGTGCTAAGGATGATTTCGATGGCGTATCGTTGCCCCGCGAGCCGTCGACCCAAGTCCAACCTCGGCGAACGTGATAATCAGGTGACAACCGTGACCCGTGGGAAGTTTTGGGCGGCTAGGTCTTCGGCACCTTGCTTCGAACGTCCATCCTCCCCTTTGTCCCCTCACTTCCAGACCGCCGGAGCCTCTTTCAACCATGAAGATTGACGAAATCGACTGCTGGATTGAGGCGGAGGGAGAGGCGCTCGACGAATACGGAGCCGAACCGTCCGAAGAGAACAAGACCTGTGTGGCATGGGTTCCTTCGCAAGTTGGCCAGGTGTGGTACTCTCAGCATAGCCCCCGTCTTCATCTGTTGAGGGCATGTAGAAGATAGCCATCCGCTGGCGCGACCCAGCGCGGACGCGCGACACAGTCGGCTACGTCGCCGTTGACGGCGTTGGCTGCGACGGTGTCGTAATGGATACTTCTCGCACGAGTGACGAAGCGACCTTCGACCGAGTATACGAGTCCGAAACTGGCTATAGAGACCTCAAGTTCGGCGAATTGGCGCTGACGGGTATGCGGTGGCTTGTCACGAGCTATTGACCAAGTGGCGCTAATACACATTCTCCAGACGACGACGCGTACCTACAAAAGGACCAGCTCAGCGTCGGGGAGATCACTGTTACTGTTTGGCAGTGTAAATTGGCGGGATACGAGGATTTTATCCCTGTTGAGGCAGTTGCTGGGCCTTCAAAGGTGCATGAAAGGGCGAACAAAGCACTCGCGCATAGCGTCACGTACGTTGCTAGGTGTATTTGAGGTTATACTCATCACTCTGACCTTGGCCATCTAGTTTCGGCGAAGTCAACAACGACGCCGTCCTAGCCTTTACTGCGAACATCGTCGACATAAGCGCGGAGCCCCTCGCCGCATTCACCTTTCGCTATCGAAGTTTAGGTGAATAATTCCTTTCATCGGGCATACTCAGTGCCGTCTAATATCTCATAGACACGCTTCGCGCAAACGGAATTGCGCCCACACCCGAATCACAACCGACTCAGACTGAGTCTCAGTCGCGGTCACCGACCCCGGGACCTTCAGGCTCAGGCTCAGGCTCAGGCTCGCGCGGTGAAAAACGCTCAGCATCGCGTACGCTGTCGCGCGGGCCTGAAGACGTGAAGCCAGACATAGTTGACTTGGAAGAGCTGGAAGACGTGGAGGCCCGTGTACGAAAGGCGGAGGTGCGTTCGAAGCCGTCCATAGTTTCCACCAGGCTGATTTTACTTCACTACATAGGAAGCGCTGCGTCGAGCGCGATTTGAAGTGCAGCAGAGAAAAGGCAATAAGAGGATCAAGCTTGAGGACGTACCGGCTTTTGTATCCGGAGAGACCATTGACCTAACTGAAGACTGAGCGCCTACTAGTGTACGGGTTGGTAGTCTAAGTTCTTTCCTTTCATGCGTACTATAGCTTAGTGTTCGAGGGACTCTGCTTCAGATAGTGTATTGTACGTCTAAGCCTCTGTAAAATATATTCCCAGTCTTCTTGCTCGAGAAGATATATTACTGCACAGTTCGCAACAGCGCGCGCCTCAGTGCACGTATGTCACAAGAACGTGATCTGTGACAGAACGCGATTCGGGAGACCGGCGATTATTCCGCGCCTTGTCCTGAACAACGAAGACACATCGCCTTTACCGTATCCGCTGAGCATTTGCCCAACACTCGCCTCAAGACCTGTGCTCCGCCAGAATTAGCTTGAAGCTACTCAACAACCTGAAGCTTCCTGGCAACATACTTCCTCACCATACTGCTCCGCGCCACCCACCTCGTACATCCGGACTTCTAACTCATAAAACTCGGAACACCGCTTCGATCACCCATCATGAGACTTGGAGATATAGATTGCTGGATAGAGGTCGACGGGAAGTCTCTCGATGAATACGGCATAGAGCTCTCCGGAGACCTGAAGAAATGCACTGCGTGGATTCCGTCGAAGGCTGGACAGGTGCGTGCCATCGCTCCAGCATTCTTTCCTTCGGCTGAGGTCTACCCGCGCTAGGAATTTGCCGTATCTTGGCGAGACCCTTGTCTCTCACGGGCTACTGTAGGATACGTCTACGCAGATGGCAAGTACACTTCTGGCCGTGTCATGAGACCAAATCGCGCGATGGTGTCTGCCTTTGTGGACGGCACCTATACCTCCCCGACGCAGCTGCGCAAGTACCAATTTAGCGACATGACGCTCACGGGTAGGGGCTTCTCTTACCATTCTGCAAAGGCCTGACTTACACTATCTGGAAGACGATGATTCGTACCTCAACAAGACTTCTCAAGAAGTTGGCGAGATTACGGTCAAAATCTGGCTGTGTACCGTCGGCGCGCACGTTCCACTATCGGTGAAGACACTAGATGAGCCGTCCAAAATGCACGAGAAGACGAAGAAAGGCCTTGCGCACAGCGTCGGGTGAGGACACGCATCCCTCCACATCACGGAAATCGTCTAAGGCAGCCGCCAGGTTCTCGACCACGACGCAGCTACCACAGCCTGTCTCGGCCGTCTCGGTGCAGACAATAGGCGCATCGCCCATGGCGACGTTCACGTTCCGCTATCGCAGCATTGGTGCGCGCTGCTCATGCGAGACGTTATGTGGCACTGACGCCCTCGCAGATATGCTGCGCGCGAACGGAATTGCTCCGATGCCCGCGCCGGCTGCGGTCCCACTGGCCCGGAAGGCCAAATCCCCGAAGCCAGTCGCCGGACCTTCGCGCGGCCGTAAGCGCAAGGCCGCGAGTCCCTTGACCCCAGAGCGAGACACTAAACGAGACGTGAAGCCTGTTATCATCGACATGGACGAAGAGGACGAGGCCGAGGAACGCATCCGCAAGGCGGAGGTACGTTGTAACGGTCTCTGTGCATGCACTTGGCTGACCTCTTCCCAGGACGAGCTCCGCCGCGCCAGGCTTGAGATGCACCGGCGCAGGGGCAATACGAGGATCAAGCTCGAGCAGGTGTTGCCCATTCTGCCTGGCGAGGTCCTCGACTTGACCGAGCTCTCGGACTAGTGTTACTTATTCTACTTTCAATTATTCTAATACTTCAGCCTTCTGGCCGCGTTTCTCCTATATTACTCACCCTAATCTACCTTCCTGTGCCTTGTAATATACGTATAGCCTGTTGTTGTATATGTGCAGTGTCTGTTCACCAGTTCTAGTTATGCGGTGGGTTGCGTAGTGGAGAATGCCATGCAAGTCCCGCCGAGCTACGTCCATGGCGTGCGGCCCCTTTTCTCCTTTCTACTCGTCTTTAACCGTCCGTAGGCTCAGCATTGGGCCAACACAAACCTGTCACAGATTCGAAAGGCCATTGTTAACCGTGCGAAATTAGTGACAGCGTGACATCCACAGGCAAATTGTCGCCCTGGGCTAGTCGTCGCCGTCGCCGTCGCCGTTCCTCAAGGTCCCCACGCATAACCTTACCCTGTCAGTACGCGTTTCCGTTGCGTCGAGCGTTCCCCACCGAATCCATGCGTTTTTGTCCGGTTTTGCGCGCGTACGCGGCTGGATGGGCGCGCGCACCCCGAGATGACGATCCCCTGGCCCTCCAAGAGACGATGACCCGGACACCCTCCCCCTCGACTTGACGATGAGTTGCGATGCTGATCGCGATTTCCTTACCAACAGGCTCCCCACGAGCACGGCCCCCTCAAGACACCTCCGCCCAGCATGATCATCAGCAAGCAAAACCGGCGCGTCATCTACGAGAACCTCTTCAAGGGTGCGTGGTACCTCCCTGAAGATCGGGACGTATGTACTGATCGAGCACCACAGAGGGCGTTCTCGTCGCGAAGAAGGACTACAACGCGCCGAAGCACGAGGACCTCGACGTCCCGAACCTGGAGGTGATCAAGGCGCTGCAGAGCCTCACGTCAAAGGGCTATGTCAAGACCCAGTTCTCATGGCAGTGGTACTACTACACGCTCACCCCGGAGGGCGTCGAGTACCTCCGTGAATGGTGCGTCCTCCGCAGACTTCACGTTGTACAGGGGCTGATCGACCATCCGCCTTTGCTCAGGCTCCACCTCCCCGCCGAGATCGTCCCCGCCACGCACAAAAAGGCCGCCCGCCCGCCGCGCCCCGCGCAAGTCCGCCAGGGCGGCGAGGGCGCCTACCGTGCACCGCGCGGCGACCGCGACGACTACCGCAAGAAGGAGGGCGGCGCGCCGGGCGACTACCGCCCCGCCTTCGCTGGCGTCGGCCGCGGCGGTCCGAGGGAGTAGATGCGCAGCGCCCTTCGTGGTGCGCGTGCATATGCATGTTATTATTGAGGAAAATATGCGTTGTATGATCATGCGTTCCATCTACTTTCTATGCCATTCGTCATACTCGCTGTCCGTTTGCCCCAGGGATGTGATTACTGCTCGAAGTAGACGACATCGTTGCGGAACATGGTAGGCCCAGCCTCGCCAGCGAAGGCTGATTTTCGCTCGTCGATCAGGTTCTGGGTCGATACGCTGACGATGTGATCAGTCAGGTTCACTCTCCTGTACCAAATATTCGACACATACCCAGGCTTCCCGCAAGACTCCCCGCTGGCGATTAACAGCGATGCCTCTCCTCCCATCAGACGGTTGACAATATCCCTGACTCCAACATCTTGCAGAGTCTCCATCGAGAGCCCTGCGTTGTCGAACTCCTCGTACCCGCGCACCTTCCAGCCTTCCAGTTCGCCGCCACTACGGAAGGCACGAGAAACGACCTTCGCTCCGTCTGCATGGTGCTGGCGCACGCCGCGCTCCTGAAGCGCAAGGACCGACGGAAGATCGAGCTCCTCCACTTTGGCGACAGAAAGTGGCACGTCGATGCCAAGCCAGACGTCGTGAATATCGTCGTGAGCGAGCAGAACCTTCCCGAGCGTAGCCACGAGGGAACGAGCGCAGACGAGGATTGTTTCCTCGTCCAAGCTCTCCATCCGCCAGTCGACAGCAACGAAGGGCTTGACAGGTGCCATAGCGCCTGCAGCGGCCGCCAAGTCCGGAGCGTGAGCGAGTTTGCGCACGTCAGAGAACAGCGGCGCGCGAAGATCCCAATTCACCACCAAGACGTCCGCCGGCTCGAGTGGCACTGGCGCGTCCGCCGCCCGATTGTGCTCCCCCGCCAGCGCCTCCAGCGCCTCCGCGATCGCCTCCCCCGCCTGCCCTCCCTTCAGCGCCCTCCGCTCCGGCCGCACGAACACCGGCGCGTGCGCGTCCAGCGACAGAGCAAACTTGGTGTCCAGGCACCCCGGCAGGCGCGACACGACCTCGTCGATCTCGGACGCGAGGACGCCCGCGACGAGCTCGGGGCGCGTGATCGTCTCGGAGTAGTCGAGCGCGGCGTCCGCGCGCGCGGACAGCCAGGCGATCTGTGCGGTAGGCGGGATCGACCCGCGCCCGCGCGTCCAGGACTGGAAGGCGTCGAGGGGGGCGGTGTGCGCGCCGAGGCCGCCGACGTCGTAGTAGCGCGCGAGCGGCCAGTGGAAGCATGCGCCGAGGCGGCCCTTGCCCGCGTTGGGAAGCACGAGCGTGCGGTTTAGGGACTGGGCGAGGCGAGCGAGTTGTGCGACGTGGTTCCGGGCGCGGGCTTCGGGCTCGGATATGCGGAGGGGGAGGAGGAAGCGGCAGCGCGGCGAGCCGCAGAGGGCCTGGTCGCTGGGCCGTTGCGGTGTTGGCGGAGCGGGGAGGGAGGTGACCACGGGAGGCCAGCGAGTCTTGGCTTCGAGGATGGCAGAAGGGTGAAGCGGGTTGGTTTCGTCGGATGGGTCGAGGAGGAGCGCGAGGGAGTCGAGTTTGGCCAGGTGGGCGCGGTCGACACGAGGGAGGGTGCGGACGCCGTCGCGGTTTGGGGGCTGGAATGCAAGCGAGAAGATGTCAAAAGCGGGTTGAGAGTTCTGGACCTGGAGGACATTCGGGGTAAGAGGAGGAGCCTGAGCGTCCGAATCTGCAGGCAAAATCGAGTCCGAAGAGGCGGCGAGGCTGCTGGTGGTGTCATAGCAGAAGAAGATGAGACAGACAGTCATGACGCATAGGGTAGGAATGAGCAAACATGTCAGCATTCCGGGCGGTCGGTTGCTGGGAAAACTTTCGGCGTGAGGATAAGGACGAGGCATGCTGTCGAGTGAGACGCTCCACGGCCAGATATCTTGGATGGTCAAACGCTGAACACAGTTTAAAAATCAATAGAATGAGCCCCGTCGAAGTCGAAGCACAGCCGAAAGAACAATTGAATGCACGTCGTGGGAGATGTCAAGAACAACAGTTGCTATACGGGGAAATACCATATACTCTGTCACAGCACGTCACACGGGTATCAGCGGCCGCCTTGTGCAATCACAACTTGCCTCGGTCCTTCATCGCATCGTAACCAGTGGACGGCTCCGAATAAGCAAAGTCATGGATCCGGCGCTAGGTCCGAGGATCAGGGTATCAGCTCGCGACTGCCCCCAGAGGTTACACATTGACACGATATCCTTGATCACCCAACTCCCATCGTCTGCTCTCATACTTCGCGCATTCTCTTGCTTCCAATCCAACTACTCCTCGTGCGCGAGGTAAACCAATGAAGTCATCCTCTCAAAGAGCTTTCTCTTTGAAGGACACAATAACCATGTCACCTCACCTGAGCGTACATACCGACGTGTTCCATGTGGAAAATGCCTGGAAAAGCGGAAGACGACCAAGCAGTGGAATCCAGCGCATATGCCGCATCTACGCTCTGTCCATCCAACGCGCCATACCTCACCATTTCTACGGACGACCTGCGAGAAGCATCACGCCGCGCAATGCCCCTACTGCAGACATTCTCGTATCATGTCATCGAGTACTCGCCTCTGCGATACTTCGCTTCCGCCTCACGGTCGTGCTATCTACGCCCAGCCTCATATTTGGCCACTTCGGCTCAGGGTCCATCGATGATACCTCGTACGTGGCACCCAATTTTGATGTACATGTTCATCTGGAGAGTCTGATGGCCTTTGTCATCAAGCCTACAGTACCTCAGGAAAGCAATGCCTAGAGGTTATCACGAGTGAAACAACGCCCATACATCTACCTACCTTGCAGAGGCTGTAATTATAAACGGAGTATAAGCTACGCTGTTGAGCGTCTCTTCTTCAGGCTGGGAGAAGGGCTGACGTAGTATCTCGAGATTGGCGGCATATCTGCGACGGTAAGTCCATTGATCCAAGCCGTCTTTACACAGGAGCTCATCAGTCATGCTCCTCTCACAGCTCTCCAATTCATCGCCCTGCGAGGGGTCAGCTTTTACGGTCAATAGATCGTCCCAGTGGCCGACATGCTGACAGCACTAAGTTAAGTGGTTCGCCAGCAATCCGTCCTGAATTTGGGATTTCCATCGAGGACGATGAACGATACGATACTCCCTGCCGCGATACGGCTGCCCCTAAGCAGCGTCTGACACATCCTTCGAAGCCTCACGCAATGGATCGGTCTAGGCCGTCGGAGGGCTTCATAACATGCTTGTAGACGAATTTGGCAACTTATGACCCCTTCTGCAGTAGCAACGGGAACACCTCTTCAGGTGAAGTGGATCGGCGGCCCGTATGACCAACTTATCAACTCCTTCGCTGGCATGAACGCCTCACAGGGACACCCATGCATAGATACCTCTCTCCTTTCCGTCCGACTACAGCCTTCCTGCCCATATTCATGACGCAATCTCCTTGACGCCGTCCTTGTTGGCCTGCCACGACGGTCGAGCTGTCAGCTCTTGGTACCATCTGTCCTGGCGTGTCAATTGAGAACATACTAGGGGCTTGCGTACCCACCTCGCTACATTCGGCCTCGTCTCCATGCAATCGTATTGGACCTGTGGCAGCAGGCGTGTCGCGTACGGGATGTGAAAGAGGTCGGCGAGGGTAAAGGTCTGCAGAGGTTGCGTCAGGACGCCAAAAGGGATGTTATTATATCATGCTGTCCGATGCGCACGTCACCTGCCATATACCTCTGCTTCCCCAGTATCTTGTCATATACGTCGAGATTCTCGTTCAAAATGCGCCTCGCCTCTTCGAAGATGACTTCGCTGCCTTGAATGCCTCTCATTCTGCAGCAACGCTGATCACTTGGCATCTTCGACGCAGCAACGGCCATCTTACGGCTTGTACACCCTCTCCCAGAACATGAAGCGCACAATGGGGTCGAAGGCCGCTGACTCGATCGAGATACCCTGCTCAACGAGGGAGAAGCCCTCGAGGTCATCGGCAGGGTCGGGGTATAGAGCGCGCCCGCCGCGGTCGGCGTACTTGCGGCAGAGATATCGACAGATGGCGCGGCTCTCGTACAGGATGAAGCCGTTGTCGTCCTATGATTCGAGGATGACGTTGTACTGAGTGCATATTGCGGAGGACAAAGCACTCACGATGTAGGGTACACAGCCGAATGGCTGCTTCGCGACGAAGTCGGGGTCTTTCTGCTCGTCACGGAGCATGTCGACCTGCACGTACTTGAACGGTACGCTGAGTTCGTGCAGAACGAGCGCCACCACGGGGGTCGTCGTCGACAGATCTGAGCCATAGAGTTCGAGGACCATTTTTGTGGTGTCTTGAGCGGCTGCGCAGGAGAAGCGACGTCTGAGATAAGGAGCAGCGCTTTTAAGGATGCATTAAGCGACTAGAGGCCAGGATGCTCGGTTTGAGAGGCCTCCCTTCTGACGCAATGAATAGCATGGCGTGTCACGATATTACGCCGAGAAGACGGACTGGCCGGCTCATCTGGCGCCTAGCGAATGATGGGTACCGGTAGCGGTCGGATGCAGAGTCGAAACCGAGAGTTCAACGTTCCACGTGACAACATCGGTCATTGCCGGCCAAGAAATCCTTATGTGGCGTTTGTTTCTTTCACCCACCATCCAGCTCTTCTTCTTAAGTAGGTCGTCCCCAATGTCAGTTTACCACGACTTGACATAATATCTCCCAGGTACTCTCTGATTGGCTATGCTGCGCCAGGTGGAAGGGGCCCTTCAACGCGCGACATCCATCGCCAATCTGAACCTTCATCGTTCCAGCTTCGTGCCTTCAGCTGAGCAAGCCGAAGCCATTCGGGAGCAGTCTCAAGTCCTAGAAAAAGAATATTGCGGGATATCCGGAAGTAATGCTTCCTCTGCTGCATTGCGCACACTGTACTCTCGCCAACTGGCTCTGCATCGATCCCTCTTGGCACCCGTCCGTCGTCTCTTCCCCGAGATCCTGTCGAGCATATTCTCCATAGTAGTCTGTTCCATGTCCGGATTTCAACAACTGCACACTGCCTTCCGTATCGCCGCAGTATGCCATCACTGGCGAGTGGTCGCTCGCGGAACACCCTCGCTGTGGGCGCTCGTAGCCGTCTCCAGCGTCCAGCAGTTCGATCGCTATGTACGAGAGTTCCTTCCGCTCACTGGCGCAGCTCCCCTCCACCTCAAATGTAGCTGTCCGGATGTAAACGATGCATGGCAGCGCATCGGCTCCCTAGCGTCCAGGTGGCAGACCATCAGCATCTCAGGCTGCGACTCCGCCAAACTGCGTGGCGCGAAGGCGTTGACAATGGGCAACTTAGAGCAGCTGCTTATCAGCGCGACCGCCGACAGTGTGGACCTGGAATGGAGCGTGCTCGACCTCTTCCTCGCGCCCCGGCTCCGCACCATCGTCCTCTTCGTGGACAAGGTCCTGTCCGCGAGGCAGCTGCGGTGCCCGGCACCCGACAGTCTTCGCTCTCTGGAGATCATCACTGATGAACAATTCCTCTTTGAAATCGCGATTCCCGCCTTCGAGCGGTACGCGGGGACGCTGGAGTCCCTCCAGGTCCATGCATATAGCGGGCCGTTATTGGAGTACTTACGCTCGCCCTCGCCGAGACCGTTTACCATGACCAACCTCACCCATATCACGGTCAATCGCTCGGCGTGTGCGATACTCGACCACGTCGTCGCTCCGAATCTCAGGAAGCTCGCCCTCACTGTCGCTCCGAAATATACGATGACTATGTTGTTGGCCTTCCTGACGAGGCCGTTGGCACCGCGGGGCCTCCAGCATCTGGTCATTGACATTGGTCTCGTCTTTGTGGATTCCAATGACGATGTGGGCCCATGGACCCGCTGCCTGGAGCTCTTGGACAGCCTGAGGGAGCTGGATCTCGAGAATTCGTTGGCTGAGCCTCAGCTAAAGACCTTGCTGGAGCGCCTGGTCTGTCGCGGCAATGAGGAGCCTCCGCTTCTTCCACGATTGCGGCGGCTTGAGATGAGCCCGTTCTTGAAAAAGGCGTGTCGCGAGAGCCTGACGGAGGTGTACGAGTCGAGGAAGATAGAGAAGGTGGTCGATGGTACTACGGTAGTGGCGATGGAGGATCCGACGGTCATCCCGCGTTTTGGCATGGTACGCAGGCCAAGTTGATGGACGTAAGTCTTTCGTAGACATATGCCGCGACAAAAAACGAAGAATAGACCGCGATGTGCGCAGTAGGATGGCACAACATGCTGGAGAACGAGGGAGACCGACGGGGCGCAACGGGATGGAATGCGACGTGCGAAGCAGAACAGATGCGACAGGCCAGCTAGAAGTACATTGCGACTGAAAGATGCCCAAGTCCACTATGCCCAGTTATCTATCAAGGAGTCCCTCATCTCGCCGATCACGGCTGACGAGTCGTTGCCTTGCAATTCTGCAGGCGGGTCAGAGACTGCGCGGGGAATAAGAAGAGCGCGGGACGCACTGAAGGCAGCTTCAACGACGCTGATTTCTGTTGCTGTCGTGTCCATGCCGGTGAATGCTGTCCAGTCGTTGACGACGAGGCCGGCGCCGATTACTGGTGATCCCCGATTTATCGTGCCCGCCTAGAGCCACGTTAGCTCCCTATCCACACCCACAAGCACAGCACACGCACCACAACCGGCACCTGCAGCAAGCTGCTCAGCTCATCCTGGTCCTGCACGCTGGTCGCGGGATGCACGAGCGCGCCCTGATTCGAGAGCGCGCAGTACGAGCCGACGAGCACGTTCGACGCGATCGTCTGGCGGAAGACCTCGACCTTGAGCACGTCCGCGACGATCTCCTCCGTCTCGCGGTCGACGTCCGGGTGCACGAGCGCGACGTAGTCGTTGCACGCGATGACGTTCCCGAGCGCGGACAGGCGCTCCTCGACGCGCTGGATGGCCACCGCGTCCGGGAGCGCGTTGCGCAGGTGCTGCAGCTCGACGTCGGTCGTGGTGGAGGGGACGAGCAGGCCGTGGCGGTTGCCTGGCGAGAGGGGGGGGATTAGTGCGGGTGCTGGGGGCGAGGGTGTGGGCACGCACCTGCGGTTAACCGCCCGATGATACGCGTGCCGCCGATGGTAGAGTGCACGATGGGTATCACGTCCCCGAGCTCCGCCTCGAAGGCGGAGTAGAAGTTGGTAGAGCCCTGGATCGCGGCCAGGCAGTACGAGTTGGTGAGCTTGGAGAAGACGCCGATGTCGGACGAGTTCTCGAATTGAAGACGGGTCGCCATGGGGTACGATGTAAGGGGGGAGAAGGGGGGCGACTGTGGTAGCGAGGAGAACTTAGTTGTGGAAGGCGGAACGGGCTGAGGAGGCGGGGGTGAGCGCGGGAGGTGGAGTAGGCGAGATCAGTGATCTGAGCAATTATACAGCCCGATCAAGAAATTCTTGAATCCTGCTGACTCACGGACGGTCATCCAACCTGCCTCGAACGGGACCGCCGGAAACATACAAGAACGCTATCCTTCATACAGACGACTCTTTCTGACTGGGAGGCTCCCAGGCCAGGTCGTTGACTGAAGATCCGTAGGTTGGAATGAATTTTCAGAGGAAGATATCGACCTCAAAGCTTCCACTGGGATACCATGTCATCCCTTCACCTGCTCATTGGACACTTTTGAAGCCATGCAAACATGTGAAGAACAACAGCATGAACCAGTAAAGCAGCGGGTACAGTATACATGCACAACAACGCTGTAGAAAAAAATCCAACAAGACAACTCATGCTTTGAAGAGGTCGGGATACGCCGCCTTGATGATGTCTGCTGCCTTCTCCGCCACACCGTACACGGCAGCGGAAGTGTGTGCAGCAGGAAGTCTAGGCTGGGAAGGGTTCAGCCAAACCCCACACACCTTGCGAGAGTGGCAGCTTACCACAACACTAGCATCAACGATCCGCAGGCCCTTGACGCCCTTGACGAGCAGGTCCGGCGTGACAACGCCCCAGTCCGCGTCGGCAGGCGACATCGCCGCCGTCGCGACCGGGTGGAAGAAGCTGACCGTGTTCTCGCGCACGTACTCCTCGATCTCCTCGTCCGTCTCCAAATCCTGAAGCGCCTTCACAAAGTACCCGTCCCACGCCCGCGCCTGCACAAACTGCTGCCCGACCTTGATGCCCTCGCGCACCATGAGCAGGTCGATCGGCTCGGAGAGCAGTCTTGGGTCGATGAGCGGCGCGGCGAAGGGGTCGGACGAGTTGATCGTGATGAAGCCGCGCGAGGCGGGGGAGACGGCGCCGACGGGGAGGTTGAAGTAGTTGCCGGAGTCCTTGGTGGGGTACACGCCGTTCTGGAAGAGGAACTCGATGTGCGCGGTCGTGGGGCCGCTGGCGGGGTCCGTGGCGTTCGCCCAGATGGCGTTGTCGTCGGGGATGCGCAGCCAGGCGATGTGGTTCTCGGAGGTGTCGACGAGGATGCCAGTCTTGTTGGCCTTCCACTCGTCGAGGAGGGAGTCCATGAGCGAGTCGTCGCGCCAGATGTTGTCGAGGGTCTTGGTCGAGTTGACCTCGTATGTGATACTGCACTGCAGAGGCGTCAGAGGTGCCAGTGAAGAACGATATCAGCATGGGAAATACGCACCCCAACATGGTCGGTCAGGTTCTGCCCAACAGACGGGTTGTCGACGAGGACAGGAATCTGCAGGGGCTCGAGGACCTCAGCATCGCCGATCCCAGAGTGCATGAGGATGACGGGTGTGTGCACAGAACCTGCGGAGAGGATGACCTCTTTGCCCGCAGTCAGGTTCCTCAGCTCGCCTGGAAATCCGTCAGTCGGTGGATTGACCTCGCTGCAGGTGCCAGCTCGCTCACCATCAGGGCCATCCTGGAACTCGACGCTGCGCAGCGTCAGAGCGTCGTCTTCCGTACCGACGACGCGAGAGACACGCGCGTACAGCAGTACATCCAGATTCTCGCGCGACAGGTAGTCAGGCGCGAGGTAGGCCTTCGCGCTCGAGCGCACGCCGCTGTCGATCAGAGCCTGCGTCCATCCGATACCGAGGTGCTCGCCCGAATTCATGTCCTGCTGGTAAGGGAACTGCTCGGGCAGCTCCTCCGTCACCGCAATGACACGGTCGTCGATGGCCCGCGCCGCACCGGGCACACTGACGCCAATGATGCCGTCAAAGCCATGCACTTCGGGCGTGTACTGGCCAGTCACGTTGTGCCCATCGACGGGGAGGTTGAACTTCTCGCTCTGGACCGAGGGGGATCAGCATCACGTACGGAGGATGTGCGCGATCGGCAGGGCCGCAGGGTACGGAGGACGGGTGGGGATGAGAACGAGGGGAGGGGGACAATGTATGCGATGATTAGCCGATGCGGGATCGGTACGACTGACTACGAACCTTCTTGAAGTACGGCAGCAGGCCGTCCCAGCCCCACGAGTCGTCACCGGAGAGCGTCGCCCAGGTGTCGATGTCGGACTTGGTGCCGCGGGTGTAAACGAGGCAGTCTAGCCAGCACGAAAATCGCCAGTGGGAAGGAGAGCGCGAGTATCACGTCAGCGAGGTGCACGCGATGGAGCGCATAGCGACGTACTGACGGCGCTCGTCCCACCCAAGCCAATGCCGCGCGGGAAGGGCGGCGTGCGGCCATTGAGACCCTCCTGCGGGACGGTCGTGAAGTTCCAGTCCCACGCAGTGTTCGGGGTGAGCGTGACGCAGAGCTGGGGGACGTCGATGGCAAGCTCGCCGTCGTTGCTGGAGATGGGGGGCACGTCAGTGATCGGGGATCATCTGACCGCGCGCGAGACGCGGTGAAGCCGATGGGACGTACGCGCCGCCAGCCTCGAGGAGGAGCACCTTCACGTCTGAGCTTTCGGAGAGGCGGTTCGCGGTGGTCGCGCCTCCAGGTCCAGCTGGGCGATACAGATGTCAGCTCTATTGGAGAGCAGGGGGATATGCACAACGCACCTCCTACGATAATGAAGTCATAGGAATCCTTCAGCTGAGAAGAATCCTGCAAGATCACCGCGGCAGAGAGCCCGGCAAGGGTGCTCGATATTGCGAGACGCTGAGCAAGCCTCATCGTGTACCGGGAGCTGGTGGAGAGGTTGGAAGACCTGTGAGAGGAGCCGGTGAAAGAGCGCGAGAATCCGCCCGAGCCCCGTTTTATAGTGCAGCGTGCTTCGAAGACATCGTGACGAGGTATCAAGTGGTTGGCGCGGAGTGGGGGAGTCGCATGGGATGATGGTCAGCGACCTGCGGAGGCCAGACCCAAGGCCAAGACACACAGTCGTCGGTGGTCCCTGCAGGGGCAGGTAGCTGGATAGGAAGAGGGCAAGAAGGATCGTGAGGGTATCAGCGTTTGGTGGGGCGCTCCCACGGAGGTCCGTGTCGTTCGTTGAGGAAAGGATGTGCCTCGCAGGAACAGAAGATCACTGAGTTCTCCTAGCTTCCATTGCACGAATCGTCTTCTCCCCTTGAGGCAAGCCTTTAGGTATAACCTAGCAAATGCGTGGTGGGTAAAGACAAGATCGACTACTGTCACAGTGTGACGCCACCACCAAGACATTATTCTTCCAAAAGCGGACATATTTGTTCTTCGTGTCGCGGCTTGTGGTGCATGACCAACCCAAGGTGAGTAGCTGGATACTCCTTGAAAATATACCTGATAAATCCTGGAGACTTTATTCACATGATATAGCAGCACGACCGACTTCATAACTTAACGATCCATTAGATAGTAGACATCCCCCACTTCGACGTGAATATGTCGTATAGTACGTAGCGAACGATATTGATAAGCAGAAGTCCGCAGTCCAAGTCAAGAATAAATCACAGCAGCCGGATGATAGCCTCTATGACTCCTCGGGGTAGACGAGATGCGCGTCGGTCGTCACGACCTGGAAGCTCTCACTCTACAAAAGGCGCTCATCAGTATCATTTCTAGCTCGTCAAGGGTTGCAGACGTACCACGTAGTAGTCGTTGATCTTCTCAACCACGATGAGCGGCGACGTTTCCGAGAACTTGATCGTCGACGAGTACGGAATCGTCGCCTCGAAGTCGTACTTCTTGTTGTCCTTCGTGGTGAGCTCGTCCGTCATGATCACGGACCCGCTGACGTTCGTGCTGTCCCGGCCGATGGCGAGCGTGATCGACTTCGACGACGTCTTGAAGTACGTGCTCGAGCAGAAGCGCACGGGAAAGGGTTCGCCGACGGTGATGCTGTCGGGGATGTAGAACGCGCCGGTCGCTAGATGCGATGTAGTTTGTTAGTGGACAGCACACGATGAGAGACAAGCGAACGCACTCGGCTCGCAGTCAGGGTAATCTGAGTCCTGGCGGGGCTCAACGAGGGTCGTGGCGCCGACGAGGGCGACGAGCGAGGCAAACACAGCGGCGGTCTTCATCGTAATAGTGGGGGTGGGCGTACGAGGGTCGTAGAATGGACTTCATACGTTCCCTTCTTCCACCTTATAAGCCAGCTATGCATTTGAGACTGCTCGTTAACATGAGACGCGCTCCGCGGCGCCATTCCGCGAGGTACACGGGTACATTATGCCCATCGCGCGAAAGTCGGCGGCGACTGACCTAGGTCCGCGACGGTCGGCAAAGACCTCGGCCTCACTGACATTGAGCAGTGCGCACTCTGTGCTTCGACGCTCAAGGCGGGTACGACGGTGCATGCGAGTCACGGCATAGCGACGCCGATCGCATTCAGCTACACAAAACAGAGAGGGAACTCGGAGTTACAGACTGGCGGGCGAAACAAGGTGGCAGCTGATCGGTGCACGGGCGTGGTACTGGGCAGCATGGACGCATCCGAGGACAATGAAGTCACTACGTAAGCGGAAACAGCGACCTGAGGTCCTGATTATGGTCGTCGAACCAGTCTACGCAAAGGCTGACCGGTGAGCGGCGAGGGCTGCGAGCCATCAGACGCACCGATACACTGGAGCCACTTCACCTCCACCTCTATGCCTTCCCCCTTCAAGGGAACCATGCATTCGTATACCCTTTGACCTACCTTGTCTTGGTACGCGCCCAATCTCTTGACGTGACTTCCGGGCCGGAAGTACAGCGTCAGTGTCTCGAAAACGACGTGTTCCCTCTCCCGACAACGTCGCGCGTGCTCGCAGGCTAGCCCGTGCAAGCCGGCATACGTAGCTCGCATGACGCCAAACTTTGCGAACAAGAGGGAAAGACGCTTGAGCGAAACGGCGGACGACGTCAAGGCGAGCACGTATTAAGAGAGCTGGTGAGCTGGCGGGATATCGCGTATGACGAGAGTTCCCAGGTTGACGAGCAGGGCAAGGCCAGGTGGCGGGTCTGTGATAGCATATTCAGCGACAAATGGGTACGACAGCGAACAACGAACCTTGTGGGAACCAAGTCGTATTGAAGTGACGCAACGTTTCCTGGCAACCTTCGAACAGCCGCTCAAGGGGTTCTTTGGTAGGGTCGGCCGCATCGCTGAGGCGCAGGCGACAGAGGCATGTCAAATTTAAAGAAAGGGCTGGCGAGAGGTAATGCTCCAGCATAAGTCCGTCCGGGAAACTGGAGCGATGCGCCGCCTTGGGGGAGAGACTCATTAGCTTGACCCGAGGCCTGCGACCGGATATCTGGGTATCCGTGAAAGCGGCTAGGTCAAGCAAATGCCAAGGCGGTAGATTTGTGCATAACCAGATGTCCAGGGTATGCAGCGAAGGCAGCGCGCGACTGACTGCTTCAGCGAGAGAGGGCTGCAAACTTCGCATCATGTCTGGTTGTATGAGCAGGCAGCGCAGATTTGGCATCATGCCAATGATAGCTGCTGCCTGGGAGTCTCCTGCTTCTTCGAGGATGAAGACTGATGTACGATCCGTCCTTTTCTGCGGCTCTTCGCGCACGTACAGCGAGTGGGTGTACGTGCCGAACTTGTGAGCTACGTGAAGTATGTCATCGGCTGCTCGAGATAATGGGACGAATTGGATATCGCGCCATAGGAGACGCTGGCTGGGAACTCGGAGTCCCCGAGATGCGAGCGCACATGCCGGAAGAGCAGACCTGTCGACAAACGCAACGATCTCGTGCATAACATCGAGGGGAAGTTCGGGGCAATGGGCGATCGACATCGAGGTAGCGCTGTTAAGGAACCTTGCGGTCGAGAACGGCTGAGGGTCGTGGGACTGAAGTTGTCGATGATGTACGTTCGAAACAAGATGATCTGTGATCGGTGCCCTCGTGGGTCTCAACATCCGTCACAGTCACCTGGCTGCCACGAACAGCGGGCGCTGTGAGGCGCCCAGATCAACTGTTGTTTTCAATTGCGCCATAGCTAAATAGGGACACGAGCCTAGGGCTAGCGCCAGAAATTTGCTGTACTGTGGCTAAGTGTATGGAGGCAACCGGATGGGGACCGTGACAGGCGCAGGACAGGCAACCAGGGGTCGGGGAACCGTGACCGGAGCGAAAATATTGACTTTTGGACAATTTTTGGCGCCAAAATTGCCATATTTGGCAGGTCCCGAGGTCAGAAAGCTGACCGTACCCGTGACCCCTGCAACGCAACCGGTCCTTCGTGACCGTGACGGTTGCCTCCATACACTTAGCCACAGTATTTACTAGGTCGCATTTTTGAGCTCGAGGTAGGGAAAGCGGGACATATAGGTCGCGACGGAACGACACCTATTACATTCAGATACACACAAGGAATGTGAGCAGTCGGTACGCGGGCATAGCGCCAGATCGCATCAATGCGCTCAGGATGAATTAGGGCTTAGCGGACTACGAAGGGATCTTCGACGTCCGGACCATGAAATTCTTTGTCGGGCCAACCTTCGAGGGTCATCAGCGATGGGTTCAGATGACCAGTCCTCAAGACGTACCCGGGATGCACGGCAGCCACTCCACCTTCACTTGTATGCCATAGTCCGCCAGCGCACCCATGCACTCACAGATTTGTTTACCGACCTTGATCTTGTACGCGTCCGGCCTCATGATGTGATCGCCGAGTCGAAAGTACAGCGTCAGCCGCTCGAATAAGACATGCTGGCGCTCCTGCAGACTTTGCGCGAGGCTATCTCCCAGCTCACGCAGGCCGGCGTACGCGCATCGCATGAGGAAGAAGTTGTCGAAAGCAAGGGACAGGCGTTTGAGGGAGACGGCGGAGGATGTCAACGGAAGCACGGATCGGCTGACATTGGTGTCCGGGGGAATATCACGTATGACGATGCTCTCGAGGTTGACGAGCGAGGCAAGGCTAGCGGGCGCGCCGCGATCTGAAGGAAATGAGTGAGGAGCTATATGCGCAGTGGACGACGCACCTCGTCTGAGCGCAGTTGCATCGAAGTGGAGCAAAGTTTGGTGGCACTGTTCGAAAAGCCGCTCGAGCCACTGTTTGGCGACGCCATAGGGTTCATCCACACGAAGACGGACGAGGCCCGCCATGCCGACAGGCACTTCAGGCAGGAGCAGATATTTCAACGTTGAAGTTGAATCCCAATCCCAGTATTTGTAATCCTCTGGTGACATCATTGCGAGGCTGGAAAGCCAGACCCGTGGCGGGGGTGCATCCTTCTCATCCTGGGCACGTCGATTCTGGTATGGAAGCGGATCCAAGACGCGGACAGACAGGCGAAGGTCGTCTAGCGATGGCGCGCGATCGAGATTGTGAAGGAGCTCTATGGGAACCTCTGTATAGAGCCAAAGGCCTAGCGTATGCAGCAAAGGCAATGCGTGAGTGACTGCTTCGGTGATGAAGGGCGAGATGTCCCGTGGCACATACGGTTGAAGAAGCAGACTGCGTAGGTTCGGCATCATACGAATGGCGTAGGCTGCTTGTAAGTCGCTCGCTCGCTCGATCGCTTCAATCGACAGATGTCCCAGACTCTTCTGTCGCTGTTCATGCACATACAACGAGAGGGTGTACGTCCCAAGTTGAGGCAGCGCCAGAAGTAGGCCTTCGGCGGCAGAAGTCAAGGGAGTGAATTTGACCTCGCGCCATAGTAGTCGCTGACTGACGACTCGAAGCCCGCGAGATACGAGCGCGCACGATGGAAGAGACATCCGATCGACGGACGCGACGATCTCCTGCAGGAGCTCGAGAGGAAAGATGGGGTGGTGGGCACCCTGCATCGGAGGGGCGTCGCTCTCGTATGGTGAGTGTAGGTGCAGATTCTTGGAAGTCGCGTGTTTGCCGATGGTGGGAGGTCGAAAGAGAGAAAGAATCGCGACGCGGTCGCATCAAGGTGGCATTCTGAATTTCATCACGATCACATGATTGCCACGAGGCGTGCGGCGACCAACAAGGTCTGTGTAAACGGGGCGAAAACAGGTCCTGGGAAGACCTCAATGGCAGCGATGGTTTGCGTAGACATCATAGTCGAGGGTATCAATAGGATATATCAGATGGACGAAACGGTGAGGACGAGACATTGCGTAGAGACCGTGACTTTAACGTCGCGCATAAGACTAGCTTCCCCCGCTAGCGGTCTTGACTTCAGCGCTTTAGCATTCTACATAGGTCAGTGTAAAAGGGTCCTCAGTATTTGCTGCTGGATCCGTCTTATTGGACATGTCTGAGGGAGAATCATCAGCAGGACCGTAGAAAACGTCGAGCGTTCGTCCGTACACCTCAGAGCAGCGGATCGCCGCTCGCGGTGAGGGGACCGAATGTCACGTCGCGCCAGATGTGCTGCTCGCTGAGACCCCAAAGCCCGCGGAAAACCAGCGCGCAAGCCGGAAGGGTCGGTCGATCGACAAGTGTGACGATCTCGAGAGGGAGAATGGGCGTGGAGTTTGCTTCCATCTTGGGGTCGCGGTCGTGAGGATGGGTATAGCTGCCAGCAGCGAGGAGCCGTGAGCGATGGTGGTGGTAGAGGAAAGAAGGAAGCAGGACGGACGAGCGCGCTAGCCTCGTGCGGTCCGCGGTTGAATGTGACATACAGTAAGTATGCATGTCACCATCGCGAAGTGAAGTTTATTGGCGCCCGATTAGGCAATCTTTGTTCGCGCCGTATCTGACGGGTAGCTCGGAGTCCTCGGCAATGCCCACAACACGTGGCAAATCAGACTGAGCCCTCTGCCATCGTCGATCGAGTTCAACCTTTGGAGCTTCCACAGAGATGTCAGATAATACTCACCGTGGTCGAGACCTGTTTAATAATTTCAAGTTTTGAGGTAGCTTACATGATCACGCTCAATAATCAGCGCCGAGCATGTCAGTACCACGTCGTTAGACAGAAAGGGATAGTTCAGGGGATAATTTGATTCCAATAGACAGCAGTACAGACAGCAAAGCGATACGGAGAAGGGCGAATTGAGGGTATAGTGCAGCGTAGCGCGCACAAGTAGTGAATGTCCCAAAGATGCAGGCAATAGAAATGCAGAATGTGAAGAACGAAGTGCGTGTTGAGACGATGCACGAAGTGCGAGGAGAAAGTATGCAAGGGTCCCTATGAGGGCGAAGCAGGTAACGCTGCCAGCAAGGCGGTCAACGCAGTGCGGACACCGATCCTGGTCTAGGCGTGCGGTCAATGCCTGGGATGTACCTTAGTACTCATCGTCACCCATCGGAGGCGTCGAAGAACTCACCCTCGGCCGAGCATGCCCGCAGCGAGGACTTGGGCGAAGTCTGTGCGCCCGATGTCGATGAAGTGGTAGAGCACTCCTTGCCAGTCGTCGCGCGAATCCCAGGCGATGTCCGCGGGGCTGTCGACCTCGACAGGCATCACTTGCGAAACGCCCTCGGCTTCGAGAATGACGACTGCGGCGCCGATACCGCCTTCACGGCGGCAGCGCTCGTCACGACGCTGGATGTCCGCTTGGACAAGGGGATCGTTGACGTAGTCGCGCGACACTAGGCGTGCAGAGGACATCTTGAGTCTGAAAGGCGGGTGATGGGTAAGAGAGTTGACAAATTAGATGCGCAAGGTGGCGTACCGTCTGTGCGACTCGGCGTGCGGGCGGCTGGAGAGCTGGATGAGCAGCGCCTTATGCCTGACGTTGCTGGGCATGCGCTTGAGCTGGAGCGCCTGGAAGCCGGCCCAAGTGAGCAGCGCTTCGTGCGCGCTCGTGAACTTGCGCAGGTTCTTCGCGATGTTCTCGGAGGGTGACGGGGCTGCGCTCGCCTGGGACTTGAGCGCGCCCTGCGTGTGCTGGCAGATCGGCTTGTGCGCCGGCCAGTGATTCTTCTGACAGTCCTGCGACTGGGAGGAGGGTCAGTAAAAGGCGGGACTATAAAGAGCGTGTCGCGTACGCAGTACTGAGTCGTCATGCAGCCTCCGCAGAGGCGGAAGCGCGAGGCGGTAGGCGTCTCGGGGCGCCCACACTGGTCGCATACGCGGTAGCCGCGATCGCGGCGCGACGCGTGATGGTGGGAGGACGAGGATGCATGGTGCGCAGACGGTCCGTGACCGTAGGGGACCATGGGCTGGGCGTATACGGCGGCCATTTCCTGTACTTCTGGTGCTGTGCTTGCTAGCTGACGCTGGTATGCGTTCCCTCCGTGCTCGGGCTGGCGCTTATATACGCCCCTGCCCGCGCACGCGGGTGATTCGTGCGGGGCGGCCTTTTTGTCCTGGCCATCAGCGGCGGCGGCGCTTTTGTCTCGCGTCTTTTGTTACGGCCTCGTGCGCGCGTCGGTGTCGAGTGCAAGCAACAAAAGACCCCCGGCTGCCCACGTGCGCTCGACAAAAGGGCACGTGGCGCCGACTCCGTGCCGTGCGAGACAATTGTGTTCGTTATTGTCTTCCTTGCCTTCTGCCGATGTAATGAACTGCGAATATCGGTGGGGCAGCCGTGCCCGCTGTCCAGCAACCTCGGGTCACGGCCCAGTGACATTGGTGCTTAGAGACGCCGTCGTCAACGGCGCTGAACCCACTCAACTCGCCTTTGACGACCGAAAATTCACTGCCTCGTTGCCCGGAGGTACGCCTTCTTCCGCCTGCTGAATTTCCCCTCTGTTATAGATCTGCTGAAAGGCTCGAGAACAAAGCAAGCTATAACAGGAACGTCTTCTTGCCGAATCCCTCCCGCCAGCCTCGCGGAACCCCCTCTCGCGGCTCCTTGACGCACACCCGGCTGCTTTCCCGGCGACTCCTTGTATTCATTTACCAGTTTTCCATCTTCCGGCGCACCCTTCCTGCTCCGAAGCAAGCCTATGCCTCCCTTTATGCTGCGTGGCAGCCACGCCTCCCTCGGAACACTGCGCGAGCTTCCACTCCTTGTAGTGCCCAGCCACATCGGATTTCATCTCACCCTTCGTCCGCAGGCGCTAGAAGGCTTATCGGGTGCGCCGACGACAGGCTGTCTTCACTTCGAGCAGATCCTGCCCTGGATCGGGATCACTTATCCAGCCGAGCGCACCTCGGCCGCGCGTCTATGGCATGGCCAAGAGTGTGGTGGACCCACACACGATGGAGTCGGCTCTTAGCGAAGACGCGCAGGTATGGCTTTATCCAGGGACCAAGGACTCCGCGCTTCTCAGTCGACTGCTCCATGAGGGACCCGTCCAGTTTCCAGAATGCTGGACGTCTGAATTGTACTATTACTAGAGAAGCGTCGGCCCTGCCTCCCGACGACCTTGCTTGCATGTGACACGCATGCTGCGGTGGCCAAAGTTTCTCCTCAAGAAATATCTGCCAACATTCATGGCTAAATCGTGTCTTATAAAAAAGGCTTCACAATACTCTGCCTTCTATTTTCCATTTATTCGGGCTCGCTCGAACTTGCTCTTTGCTTCGAGTCTTGTTACCTCAGCTTCGACCGAACCATCCGAGTGTTTGTTCTGACCCACTGCTCATCTGTCTTCGTTCCTACTGTCAATGCGTGTAGAGTTTATACGGAGGACTTCTCCGTGCCCTTAGCTATTGGACATGAAGACGCGGATAGTTGTATACGGGTTTCAACAACTCTTTGTGAATGCTTCTAAGAAAGGCAACCATTGTATGTATTAACACGGGCGGACGCTTCGCGCCACCCTTACTTACCTATCACTACATCTACACGACAGCGAGTGTCCTACATGGCGCCGCGTGTCGAGAGATGCAACCATTCTTCACCTCTTACTCTCCTCTGCCTCCTCTTTATCGCGACACTAGGGACGAGCGTGGTTTTGGATTGAGTCGCCGTCTCGCACGTTGGTGGGGTAGTGACTCAAAGTTACTATCTCACCGTTTCTTGTGGTATCGTTTGCGGAGATTTTTCAGAACCACTTTCGGGTGAACGGGAATTGATCCGATTCGGCCGCTCGTCCGCTATTGCGTGCTCGTCGTCACTTTATGTCACGCGTCACCTTCTCTCCTCTCACGCTGATGTTCTCGCCTCCACCCTCTTCGTACGCGCTCGCGTTCTCCCTCTGTCCTCCGTCCGTCTTTTCTCCTCCGTTGGGATGTCCATCTCAGTATGTCTTTCAGATTCTGCTTCTGCGTGCGGGTACGGGTCGTTGTCATTGTCCTTGGCTGATCGTGCTTCGTAGACGCGCTCGTATTTGCGCCATCCGTTCAACGTCGTCGGTAGGGCGTCGGGGATATCGATCAACTTGTATCGTTGCTTGATATCTTCCGATGCTCCGACTTCGTCCGGCGCGCCCTTCGTATGGGTTGCACATGTTCATGTCCTCCCATCCCATCACGTACCCTTAATCCTAACCTACCGACGCCTACCTCTTCCACTCTACGCAACGAACTCGCTGTCATTTAGACCACACAACATGTACCCTTCATACCCTGTCCTTCTTCACGTCGCCACCTTGCTCGGGGTTTTCTCGCTTCATCTCGAAATTTTTACTCGGCGATTGCCGGATATTGGACCATGCATGTACACGTGGCGACCCTTCGCATGTCATTCACTCTTCCGTGCAATAATCATGTCATTATTGCTGTTTACATGGACGCCACCAGGACACGTATGGCCTGCTGTTTTGCGAGTCGTGCTTCGGACAAACGGGCTACACTTGGATAATAAGCAGCATAGCACAGCGTGGGTCTGTTACTGCCGTGAGGTACCATGTCTTGGTGATTGGTTGCGTTGTACGGATTACGTGGGAACCTCCGTGTTCGTCAATGGCGTACTTAATGCAGCTGGACACTAGCCTTCCATAGTGGACCTCATTGGGGTTCTGTCTCTACATCTCTGGATTTTCCGTCCCGCTTCATACAGTTAAATGTAGTCAGTTGCTGAACGTGAATTACAAAGAGCTCTTGCGTGATAGGTAGTGGAGGACGGAGGAGTCGCGCAGGGCGCGGAAGGAGATGATGCCTGACCTGTGTAGTACGTTGGAGTGGACATGACTGGACAGTGGGATTCAGATGTATCATTCACATGTCGTATATATGTATGTTCAGCCGCGAACCTAAGAAGGACAACTGGTTCAAGACTGCGGAGCGCAAGCGATTTGATTCTACCTCAGGCGAGTATATGAAGATGTTAAGCCGGAGGGTGCTTCCTAAAGCGAGGCGGCACCACCTTGACCAATCCACATCCGACGGTCCATCCCCTTCGCAGAACAAGGCGCATACATGTTCGCTACAGAGCATGATGGTAGGGCACGATTTCGCGTAGACATGCAAGTCGATCGTAGTCAACGCCGGGAAGGTGCGTTCTTGGGTGGCCCTCAAAATCAACATGAAGTCTTGAACAAATGACAGCTCGCGTCGGGTGTCGTCCCAAGGGTGGCGCACCTCAAACCGGACAGAAAGCAGACGCGTCATTGCGGGAACGGAGAAGAATGCTGTTCAAATTCAGCGTACATCAAGGACGATGATGGGCACTCACTGTACATCTCTACCGACGTCATAACGTCGACGTCGAGAGTGCGGAGAGTAGGCGCGACTAGCCGCAGAATGTCTCGCAGTGTTTCCCAGGAGCAAAAGGCCGGTATGCGAAGGACCTCAATGGGAGGAATTGCTCCGAACGTCATGAAAAGTGCGCCAAGATCACAAGCGTGTCCATCTGCAAAGAGAAGGTCGCGCAATGCAGGAAACTGCACCGCAATTGTCGATGGGCTGACAGCGAAGGACGCGCAGAAGGCCAGCTCTAGCGTTTGTAGTGTACGTGCGACTGGAGACAGCACGACACTGAGCTCGTGCGAGGTGCGTGGACCATCGTGAAGAGCTAATGCGACGAGTGATGGAAAAGAGGACAAGGCGTCTCGGAGCGTATAAGGCAGAAAGGTGCGGGCATTGAAGGGGGAGAAAGTCCACCGAACGCTTGTCACGTTGGCAAACGAGGGAAGCTGAGCTGGGGGATAAATGAGATGGAGTCGACGAGGCCATGATGGTTGCAGTCGTCCATGGGCATGCGCTCGCAGGAGGGAGGCGAGCGTCGCTGTCGATGCGATGGAAATGCTCGCAAAGAACAACGGCTTCGCCTCACGAGAAAGCGCTCTTGAGGTCCGCAAGAGCACTGCGAGCGTACGCCTGTCACTCTTGTGAACGACTAAGTAAAGGAGTTCAAGTGGGAGGCGTGGACAGATGATCATGGTGGGAAAGAAGGAGCCGTACCCCTATAAAGAATGTTCGGATGGTCTCAAAAGCTCTGGAGCATGTCTCGCTTGATCGACGGTACGAAAAGGAACTTCCACGCGTGGCGGGGTCTCTTAAGTGCTTGCAGTACGAAAAGACTGGACAGGAACCCGGTAGAGAAGGAGAGGATGAAATGGGATTGTGCAAATAAGGGCTTGACCTAGGAAGAAGCGTACAGGACGCTTGGTGGAGTCGTGTAAGCGGTAAAGTAGATCACGTTGAAAGGTACAAGTGGGCGTCCACTATACACGTCTTGAAATCGCGTCGGATGCCAGGGGACGCTATGCCCGCGTCCACTGCGTTGGCCTTGCTGGTCGGTTCTTAGAGTTTGCATCAGATGTACTGACCGATGAAGCATGTCCTTATGTCGGTGGTGGGTCCTCTACTCCAGGTAAGTCTAACTTTGGACGCTCTTCTTTACGGATACTTGTCGTATGTAAGCCTTTGCCATTACCACTACCACGTGTACCGCGCTTCGCGCATGAGTGGCGTCGTCTGGTCTGCGCGTTTCCTTTCAAGCATCGTCCCACCTGTCTCGCATGCATGCATCGTATGCTTATCGTGCAACGGTCTCTCGTCATGTGCGCGAAGGCAGGTATATGTCTACTTGCGGGTGACACGCGTCTGCACTCGCATTGGCTGACGATTACGATACGAAGCCGTGTGCCTTTCTTTACGCTTATAGAGTGCCTGGCTGTACCCTCTTTTGCATGTCTTGCGGTGTTTGCGCGAACCTGGTCCGACGTGCGAGAGAAAGTGCAAGCATATTTGTGTACTTGCAAGTTCACCCGTTTCTTCCTTGGCGCCGCTTACCAGAACTTGTTGGCTATCATCGGACCGCGGTGTCTCAAGCTTTCGGATGTGGTACTTGCAATATATAAGGAGCGCGGCGGTGCGAATCCTCTCCAACAACGCCATGTCATCCTCTTTGGTCAGTACTCACTCTATTGGTGGACGTTGCTGATAGCGTATTAGGATCTTCAATCTACTCTGGAAGTCGTTCGTATTCTTGGACGCAGAGTCCGCTTTGGTCTGCAGCACATCGTACGCTTTGGCTCTCTTTCATCTGCACGTCCGCTCACGGTCTGTAGCTCGAAGCCTACCAGGCCACGCAACGTTGCCCT